TTTCCTCGAATGAATAACTCCATCCGTGTTGACTTGCATTGCATTGCCTTGCATTGATTTATTCCCGGTTCCCAGGAACAAACTCCACTGTGGCAAAAGCCTATGTGTCAACGCCTTAGACAATTGCCCTGTTTAGGTATTTTTGTATTCAGTCCCTTAAGGGTCTCCCAAGGATAGACCCTCGTGTACCTTTGTACATCGTATCTGTATACCTGTCTACTTCCAGGAGCGCGATGTGAGTCGCGACGAAGGATTATACTATCTTAACATGATTCGCGAGTCGTATCCGAACTAATACCCAATATATTTGGTTTCTATTACTTGAATTGTGAATCATAAATAAGAAAACCTTACAGTGTCGCAGAGATGCAGCGTTGCAATAATCCCATATCACATACCAGTCCAAGCACACTGATCTGCTTTAATTTCTCCAACGGCCCATACATCCATGTCCGCTGCCACAGTCTTATGTAACCCAGCCTATACTAGTACCAATCTAGCTACGATGGTACTTAAGGTAGGATGAGCATGGGTCCAAAAAAAAAAAAAAAAAAAAAAGGAACGGCTAGATTCGAGCCCCAATAAAAGCGGGATCGACCCTGCACATCGAGCTAAGAATGTCAGACATGGGTGCTTCGCAGGAACCCTGCAGAGCACAAACCATGTTTAGCGACAACGGCCCCTAATTGGTGTGATTGCAGATCATCCCTAATGGGAATCTGGTGATATCATATTATTGGGACCCTTGCGCCTCCCTGGTGCTTGTCTGGCCTACCTGGGAGACGTACATGCTGCTATTAGATGTTGGTTTCATTTTTCCTACATATCGACTCCAGGCCGCGACTCAAACGCCCGATTATGGGGCTATTTTTGAGTGCTACTTTTCCTGTGTCTTGCTTCCGCCGTGTCATGTTAGGTTAGGTTTGCTACGATAGCGTGTACTTTGTGCTCGCACGGATCAATCCGATAAGGTTTGATGTCATTCTTGCCTTGGTTTAGTTCATACGTCCTTAGCGTGGTCTTGGATGGGGCAGGCTGATCTGTGATCAGATGAGAGGGTTGGATGATCATTGACTAGGCAGAAATGCTAGGTTAGGTTGGGGGTCATATAGCGCGGAAATCTATGGTTATTCTTTGGGTGTCTATTGGATTAACCAAACGGAATAATTAGTGCATAGTGAGTACTTTAGTCTTTTTGGATTATAACAATATGACCTTCAGATGAGATATTTATGAGTTCTCATGTGCTATACAGATTCAATAAAGGATAACAACGAACCTTACTTATGGCCACTTGGCTTTCCTCTCACCAGCATGTCTAGCTGTCCTTTCTGGGGTCCTGGTAGATATCCGCTTCCTATCTTCCCTTTTTTCCAGGGTAAATATAACAGATAAGCAAGAGCCAAGATGGTAAGCATGGAACCAATTAAAAACTAGTAGAAATAACCTTGGTAGATGCTCTACCAGTACTTCTGGGTCGTCTAGTGAGGTATGCATGGTGTGCGGTTACTATGGGACTCATTAGGTATGATTCCACCAGCGAAGCTAGATCAACCAAAATAATTCTGAAGTAGAGGTGTTATATATCAGTAGCTAAATAGTTCCGCAATGTGCGGTGGCCAGTTCAATTCGATATACTTTCTTAAGTAATGGTATTATCCGCATAGTTGTACGTGAATATACTATGTAGTTATCAGGAGACACAGCCCGTATAAACATGAGTACAACGTCTTCTAGCTTACCCCAAGTGAAGCATACTTTATCACTAATACTTAATGTTAAGGTGTCACGATTATTGTATGTTGAGCTGTACGAGCAATGTATGTACTTATACTTCTTGCTGTCTACATACATTATGCACCTAATCTCGTCGATATATATTTGCGGCTACGCTGACAACATGCTACGCTTTGCAACGTCGGGCTCAACACGATACCTCGTTTTAGGAACTCAGCCTTTTGATATAGAATAGACTGATTTAATTTATTATTCAAATATTTCTATGTGGATAATAACCAAAGGGAGATTTATAGATGAGATGAATTGATGTCACATGACTACGAGCCATTGCCCCACACCCTTCTTCCTTTCCTCCAACCACAACTCATCACTCACAGTATACATCCATCTTGGGTAATTGTTTGGCACTTCAAAAACATGCGAATACCCTTTGCTCTCCAAGACCAGGGCAGATAGTTAGCATCTTGGCCACCCCATATGTTAGCCTAAAGGATTGGCAGGACGTGAAGTTAATCTTGAACCAGACTCTGCAGTGAGATGGGCATCCAAGTGCGTCTCCCCGAAGCATTGTTGTTCGACTAGTTATCAACAGCCCAAAGCTTGACTCTGAGAGAGTATCATCTATTACCTACTACTGTCGTCAAGCATTCTTAAGCCAATACTCCCTGTCAAACAGCGGGTATGGCCTTACTGGGCTATACAAGCACCATGGTTTTTATGTAGCCTAGTGGTTAAACACTCTGGATATTTCCTATGCTCACTCCTATTATCTCGGGCTTGGGTACTATTGAGAATACAGAGACACAGCAGACTACTATGAAATAGGAGACTCTCTGTACAATACTGTAATGTGTGAGGATAAAAAGAACTATCTGAGGATGGAAGACATAGGTGTGTTAATTTTCCTGATCTCGCCCTTTGTATCCAAGTCCCAGGCTAGGTACATCCTGCGGTAGATATTATCTCAGATATAGAATGATATGATCGCTGCGTCATCAGTGAGGCGATGTGTGCCGGCCACCAAGTGAATGTACCGCTGGTAGGGCCCATTATGCTTTCGTCTGCTAGCAAGGACATCAGCTTCCAGCCAGGGCTCCCTCCGCTCTGGCCTTTTGATATTCCGCAGTCATCGCATTAAATGTCCCCTTTGGACTATTTTCAGCGATGTAGTGGTGTTCTTTGACTGCTTGTCTTGCGGGATCTGGGTTGGAATAGATTCAGTGTTGCCTGACTCTCATGGCCAAGTCTTGCTGCGCTGAGGTCATGAGAGTCTACATTCTGGCGGTGTTAGACTGATCAACACTGCAGGTTGGTTCGGGTGGTGAGCTGAACTGAATCTTGGGAAGTGAGAGGGGTTTGAAACCCGAGGAATAAGTCGGTGTAGTAGTGGTGGTACAGTGGACGGTCTAGTAAGAAATATGTAGGCAGGTGGTATTTCTGTTTAATAATACACGTTCAAAGTGCTGACGTGCTTCGTGAAATGATGCTTACTGGCCCTTTGGTTCTCGAAGTCCCTAGTTGCTTTAAGATTGGCTGACCGGTTTCCTCCTTGAAATGGATGGCCACAATCTGTTTAAACTAGGCCTTTTCTTCCTGTATGCTAGGGCTCAGACCTTTAGGATTTGGAGTTTGATTTCTGGTGAAAGACATCAATTATAAAGTTTTGTTGCTAGACTCTCAGTGGTTGACAGTCCAAGGAAGAGGCTGTACAAATGAGTAAACCTCTTTTTGTTTATGAGGATGGTGCGATGCTTCTGATATTCTTAAGTATGACTGCCCTTGAAATACTGCCATTTTAAATGACATGCAAGACTAATATTTTACAGAGCAGTCCAAAAGCTAAAGATCCGGCCACACAAGACCACGCGAGAATATGGAATCGCCAAATGCCGAGTTATCCACATGCAAGCACGTACCTGCTTGGTTCAAGCCCAAATCAGTCGAATGAGCACTCCATGTATTGCCCGGATTCGATCCGTGATACTAAAATAACTAGCCAGGACGAACATGTATCACAAATCCTCGAGGAGACGGTAAAGCCTAAGAACCAATAACATTATCAAGCCACCGGGACAGATGGGAATCTCATCTCCGAAAGATGCAAGCCCAGAACTGGACGTATCGTAATTCAGAATATGAACGCCACCCGACTCCCGCTTATGCTGTGCAATAGAAAGCCGCATACCAAAAAAAGCAAAGAAAACCTTCGCTTAATCCTCCGAGAAAATCGCCGGGTCTCGGGAAATTCGAGATCTCCACAATCATGTACGGAGTACTCCGTAGTGTTGGTGGCGGTCAGATCTGAAATCTTAAGGTGCAGCTTCGGGCGCATGCAGAATACAAAGGCGAGACCTATGGACGGGAACTTGCAGGGCTATCTGGACAACCTTGAGAAAATGCGGTCAGCAATTTCGTCCTCATCCTTATGAGATGTCACTGCATACCATCAAGCCTTCAGGTACGGTCAGACATTTTCCCGCTTTGTGGAGTCGAGGTGATGGTTTATTGCAAACTTTGACCATCGGTGTGTTGAAGGACCGACTGATGCATGCTCCGGAGCCAGACTGGTAGGAAAGACCAGCATGGAGGTGGGGTTGGGTGCGTTCCTGTTGGGAATATGCCTGTTGGACTGAGTCTGGATCAGAAGCACGAGGCAGATCACACAATTATATGGCTGCACCACCAAAGGGCACGTTTCTGGTCATCCCGGAAGCGTTCATGCTGGTAAGGTTGGTTTCACGGGCCCTGAAATCCTAGGTCGAGTGTCGTTTATATGAGTTCAGGAGTACAGAGTATTGTCGTATGTCTTTAATGCCAAGTTGTCGGCTTTTCTATTTAAGCGTTATGCGTCATCCAAAACCTGGGGCTGATGATTGGGCTGTTGAGACACGTCAGATATGCCTGAACTCCGAGCTCCGAGCCTCAAGATAAGACCGGAGATAGGAATTAGACATTGCCTAGGAATTACCTAGGAATTTTTTATTAGAATCATACCAAATAGATTTTGGCTTAGAGCAATATTTAAATTCATGAAAGTCAAGAATGTGAAGTGAAAGAATCCAAAACAAAGAAAAGAAAAAGAGTGGGGGGATAATACGATAATCTAACGGTCCGGTGTCATTGAACTCCGCATAAGCACAGAGGCAGCAATCTAAACAAAAGGAGATCGCCCCCTAAAAAACAAGTATTTCTCTAGGGGACTCCCTTAAATTCTATGTTGTAGGGTATCTGTTCCCTTTAAACAAACTTCACTATACACAATGACAGAGACACAACCATTATTGGGCTCACATGCCAAACCAGCCCAGCATCCACAGAAACTATTGATCTGTGTCGTGTGTACTATATTCTTGCTAGCAGCCGATTTCGGATTTTTCATGTCAGCCGCACCACAAATCGCAGTATATGAGGAAATCATCTGTCGAAACTACCAAGCCAGTCTTCACGGGGTGGGAAATGACACTCTGACTCCGCCAGTGTCTAACCCGTGTAAATCAGAGCCTGTACAGGGAGAATTGGCACTTGTGACTGGGTATCAGAGTACACTCGATGTAATCCCTGGTATGTGTTCACTACAATACACTGAGGTTGGGATGCTGATGCTTCGAAAATGCAGGACTTGTACTCGCGCTGCCATATGGTGTCCTTTCAGATCACTGGGGGCGGAAGCCTTTCTTATATCTTAGCATCCTGGGCATTATCCTCGCGGAGGTCTGGATTAGGATAGTTTGTAAGTTGGTTATTAATCCTCTTCAATATTTTACTAATACCTTTCTTTCCCTTAGGCCTATGGTCAAGTGTCATTCCTTTACGGATGGTCTGGATGTCAGCTGTGTTTAAAATCATCGGTGGTGGCGACCAAGTCCTTACGGCCATTGCTATGGTCATAGTGGCTGAGGTCTTCTCCGAAGACGAGAGGTACCGTTATGGCTTGACCTTTCTTTGTGATGAAATCTAACATTCTTTAGAGCAACTGCACTCTTTCGTTTACAGTCTTGTGTTCAAATCGCAGAGATTCTGGCCACCCCACTCAGTGCTTATCTGATGACCTTTGGTCCGATGTTTCCATATTTTCTCTCCATATTCATCATCATTCTGGGAAGTATTCCGGCCTTGTTCCTGCCCGAGACTCTCAAACACGCAAAAGGAAAACAAGCCAATCGAGAAATTTCAGAACAGAATGGTGAAAGTGCGCAGGCCCAGCCTTCGAGCAAGCGGACAGTGGTACAGGAGATCACCCGACAAGTTCGCGAGTTTATACAGTCGACTCGGTTCATTTGGACCGATTTCAATATCTGTTTAATGGTCTTTCTAATGTTCGTCACGATGATGAGTCGACAATGCACAAATCTGCTCCTGCAATATGTGTCAAAGAAGTTTGACTGGAGTATTGGTCGTGTATGTCCCTGTCCTCGCCCACCGAATCACAAACTAACCATGGTATAGGCCAGTCTTTTGATTTCGCTGCGCGGGATATTTGCTCTCGTCACATACTTGGGGATAATGCCAATCCTGGCATTCTTAACCGCCAAATATCTCAATCTCCATGGAAAATATAGTGACCATTTCTTGAGCAAAGGTAGCGGTGTGCTTTCAATCATCGGATTCGCCGTTACATTTATAGCCCCGACACCAGCTATTTTGATCGGTGGTCAGGTCATCTTGTCAATCGGCTCATCGTTCATGATCTCTACACGCAGTCTGGCTACTTCACTTGTACGACCCGACCATGCTGGCACTTTGTATTCGGCAATTGCCATTGCACAGGGTTTGGGAACAGTCGTTTCCGGCCCATTATTTGCCAACCTCTTCAGATTAGGAATGCGTCTTGGACCTGCCTGGATGGGACTGCCTTTCCTACAAGCCTCGGTCTTTTTCGTTATTGCCGTCACCGCTCTTTGGCACATTCGACTTGGACTGTCTCCGCGAGCCAATGATGAAGAACAGGAACAGGAACCTTTGTTGTCTCAGTAGATTATATGTATTTCTCCGGTCAATTTAATTACATCCAAGCGATTCCACACGGGTTCCTTAATGTGGGGAATACCATGTCAGCCCACAGAGATGGCGCAGACGGGAACCTCCCAGTAGAGGTAATCACATATTCACCTAATAGGTCATTGTCCTCTAAGCGAAGCAACACGAGCTTTTAGATAAAACAGAGCCTGCTAGATAAAGGGCGAAGTGTTCCGCTTCGTCAAGATGAGGGCGATCGGCAGGATCAATCTTGCGGGGTTGAATCAACTTGAGGCAACAAGTCGGAAATCCGAAGGGGGAGCCCGGACGATGCAACCTAAGAAGGCGTTTCGTCAGTCTTCTTCAGACGAAAACCGTCGGACTCTGACTTAGCGGCTGAGTCCGTTGTGCATTTCTGTCTCATCATTGGAGAATGTCGAAACGCAACTTGCCCCGCTCGGTGATCGTCGCCTACTTCGACCGACACTACTGTACACTATATTACTTTTTTGATGAGATGATAGGTGTAGCGGCGACGTCCGAGAACAAATCAGCTTATTCTTATCGGTGCATGTGCTATATTGTATATTTTGTGCCTGACGATGTATGTACCAAATATGATCTGCACTAGAGCATATAAAACCATTGTATGATCCCCTTACATCTCTTCTTTCGGTTCAACAATTCACACTCAGTTCAATCTTAACAAAATGTTGCAATCACAATCCAAGGGCATGCTCGCCCTGGCTGCCATGAGCCTAATCGCCGGCACAACCGCCCTCGAAAAATGCGACAGTGGCACCCCCTTCAGTTGCTCAAGCTCCGAAGAGCCAACCTGCTGCTACAATTCCCCAGGTGGTGCTCTCCTCCTGACTCAATTCTGGGATACCAGCCCATCAACCGGCCCCGACAACTCATGGACCATTCACGGATTGTGGTACGTAACCCTAACATCCAGTCTGATCTATAAGAGTAAAAAGTAACACCCCTCCAGGCCCGATAACTGCGATGGTACATACGAGGCAAGCTGCGACTCGAAGCGCGCTTACACCAACATCACCGCCATCCTGCAGGACCAGGACCGCGGCGAGCTGGTTGACTACATGGACAAGTACTGGGTTGATATCAAGGGCGACAACGAGGACTTCTGGTCGCACGAGTGGAGCAAGCACGGTACTTGCATCAATACCATCGAGCCCAGCTGCTATTCCGACTACACTGCCCAGCAGGAAGTGGGTGACTTCTTCCAGAAGACGGTTGATCTGTTCAAGAAGTTGGATACCCACAAGGTATGTCCCAAATTCCCTCTCGGCTCTTTTATTTGCTCTGTTCGTTTTTGACCATATCTCCCAGGCTCTCGCCGCTGCTGGCATTACCCCGAGTACTTCTAAGACATATACTCTCGCCGACATCCAGGCAGCTCTCACTGAGCTGCACGGAGCCGAGGTTTACCTCGGTTGCCAAAGTGGCGAGTTGAACCAGGCTTGGTATTTCTATAATGTTAAGGGCAATGCCATTGATGGAACATACAAGGCTGTTGATACCCGTAAGTTCTTTTATCGTTTTGCTTTCTGGTTGCTTTACTGACGTCTTGATTCTCTTAGTTACTAAATCCGGCTGCCCCAAGACTGGCATCAAGTATGTGCCCAAGTAAATAGAGAAAGGGGATTGATGTCCCTTGTTGATTGTGCTTGATTTGAAGATTGAATTGGGTCGCTGGAATGGTATCTCTGGGTTATTGCTATATAGTACATGTTGATAGTACAGATTCGAATACTCGTTAATCTGATATGACCATGATCGCTTTGATTGACGATAATGTTCCACTGGGTGTAGATGTGGCCAGTGGTTTTACCGCTGGGAGGATGGTGGCATGGTCGTATGCAGGTTCGAAGCTTGAAGTAAGGATGTCTGATTTTTGTGAATGCATCCCAGTTTATCGTAGCCCTGTAGTGGACATAGAGCACACCGCACTGGCTTCAAGATTGAGAGCCCGCAATTTCAATCCAAATGAAATGAGAAATTGCTCAAAGAAGAGCTACTCGTCGAATTTTGTCGTCGCAATAAGCGTAGGGTTTGCAGAGAGCCCCTGCAATAACACGGCTCTGTATGAAGCTATACCCTTATTGCGGCACTCGGCAGGAGAGTGTGTCTGACACCAGAAGGAGTTTAAGTATAGAACGCACGAGGGCTGTTTTCATATGCCCTTGAGCCGTGCAGCTCGCCGTTCGTCTTCTCTCTTCTCTTCCATACGACCCAAGAAATCCATACGACCGATATAACCCTCCTTGGCTTTGCTATGTGTGCGAAGCTCGTCTTTGATACCGGCAGAGTCGACGTACGTAGCCCAGTCGAGTCTTGACTTCTCCACGGTGTTGATTTTGGGTCCGCGCGCATCCGCAACGACTTGTTTCTCCCAGCTTTTCTTAATCGCACCGGTCGGATTGGGGTCGAATCGTGAGATCTTTCGAAGCGGTCGGCGAAGATTACGAGTGGCATTTATGGCTGCTGCATCCTCATCCGTATATTCGGCATTCTCTCCACTCGATAGGAAGGCTTTAGCCTCCGCCGAGTGTTTGGGTACGACCTTCTCCTCCGTGATCCATTCCCCGGCAAACTTGTAGGTGCGCTTGATCTTGATCATCTGGTCGGCATGCAGGGAAGGGTCTATTTTATGTTCCGCACCTCGGGCACCGTGGTCCTGTGCTTTCGTTTCGCCTGTTGGTTCGGGCTTGGGAACGGATTGCGTTACCGGCTGGGTTAGGGTTGGCTGCAGGCTGACCTGGCCTTGAGGTGCATTCATCTGTTCCCATAGGGCGTCCACGTCCACGGTTGCGCCATCGATCCTGGCCAACGGTTTACGCTGTTCTTCTTGTCTGCTCGGAAAACGCGTGTTAGAAGCCGATAATAGGTCAAGTCACATGGGTAGAACAAAAAAATTACATCTGTTGTTTCATTGCGCGCGTTCGCACGAATCCCCCCGTTCCTCCCTCATCGTCGTCCATGTCAAGGTCGACATCGTCCTCGTCGCTATCGCGCGCGCGTTTGCCCTTAAGCTTCTTTCCCTTGGTTTTTCTCTCTTTCTTCTCTCTTGCTTTTCTAATTGTGGCCTCATCTCCAGAGTCGAGTTCTGCATCTTCGGGGATCTGAGCTTTCGTGTCTGTCTTTCGCTTCTTCTTTGCGGGTTCTGCGGTCTCATCGGCATCGGAAGATAGATCGGAGTCGTCCGGTGCTGCGTCTAACTCAAAATCTTCATCCTCGGCAGAGTCATAAGCCTCCTCATCAAGGTCCTGATTTACTGGCAGAGTTGGGTCTGTCATTGTCAATGTTCTTTTTTTAGTGTCAGGGCTTAGAAGAGGAAGGTGCAGGCTCGCGCAACAAGACGAATTTCTGCCAAAGGCGGTGTCACGTTATACCGTCATCCCCAATTAGCCTTCCTGTGGACACCAAATAGAGACCGCTTTATCCATGCTTTTTTATTATATTCCATAGAGCAAAATCAGAAAGCACGAAGATGGATATCTTGCTTTGACACTGAATTTACGCTATGAGCTCATTTTTCTCTGCAATCAAAGCTTCTGGTGACCCGAGGCTCTAAAAACTCCGGGTCAGAAAGCGATCCTAAATCGCGGCTCATCTCCTGAGGCCTCCTACACCGCTCCTACTGCTTGCATAGTATTGATAGTCCAAGATACTTGTTGCGCAGAGTAAGGTCATAGTCCGCCAATTGCCCTGAGGACACGCCTGACTCTGGATCGCGGACATCACGATAACGGGGCAGACCATTGACAACGTGAGTAGCAACGTTAGCATTCCCAAGGACCGTTTGAGAGGGCGCTTGACAGCATTACTGGGATAATGGTTGGTGAATTATCTCAACATAAATGAGTTGAGAGTGAAACAGTGAGTGAGAGAGATATGAATTCATTCCTTAGTAGAAAAAAGCAAAAAGACAAAGGACGATGAACCCCGCTAAACCAAGCAACAGCTCAAGGAACAGAGCGCCCGACGGTGAATAGCTGTAGTGGAGACTTCAATACTCCTAATGCGGCTCTGGTCCTTCACCATTGGCCAACACAGGTAGGGCTATCGATCGAGGAATGTAACCCCGATATCTGGAATGCGACATTAGAGCGAGTGATGATGTCGGAAAACCACCTCATTATCTACCCCCATGGTAGCTCGCAAGGTTGGTTGAACCAGAGGAATACCGCTTTGGGCTAAATGGTCGTTTTCCGTTCATCTTTACCTTCGAACTTGGTGTCTACGTGTTATACTAACCCGGCACACACAACCAACCATTCATGTTTGATTTAGCTCTCTCTTCAATGGACATAGCCTCCTTGGCCATAAATGAGAAGGATATATGGTGCCTGCCAGGTGGCTAGGAATGTGGACCTTGAAATTCTTTCCACGTGGGAGCTTTCTTCAGGCTATAGGGCTCCTGTGGACGTTCCGGGAATAGACACGGCCTTGAAAGATGGCTTAATGGTTCCATCGCCTTAAGGATAAATGTAACGTTCAATATCCTAGCACACGCCCACTATAAGCCTAGAAAGTCTTGAGTGAATCTACTTTTAACTTTATCTCAAGGTCTGATCTGTACCTAACAGCGCGAATCTTCTCGTTCTAAAACATTGTATTATTCTTGGCTTCAGTACAAACATGCATTTCTTTACTATACATCTCTCTCTCCTACTTGCTGCATCGGCTACCCTCATCGCCGCCCAAGATGCAGCACCCACATCACCAAGCACAAACGGCAACTCGAACTGCGAGTCCCAAAAGTAAGCCCCCAAGCACCCGTAATCTTACCACTCACCAACCCTTTCTCACTATCAACAGAGTTGTAGATTCCTGCGTTGCGATCATGAAGCGAGGGCTCGCAAAGTGTACCGAGCCGGATTGGGATTGCAAGTGCTCGGGTGCTGCAAATATTGCGAAGTAAGTAGACATCATTCGAACCTGTCTGGCTCGAATTGCCCAATGATCTATCGCTTTTTTTTTTACTCCGACGCCGCAATACTAACATAATTGAACAGCTGTTATGTAAACTGCTCTGAAGATGATCCTAATTCAGTCGCGGCCAAACAACTAAGTGTGAACAATTGCGCTACGGCAAATGCATACGACGAAGGTCAGACCACCGTCGCACCTACATGGACACTCCCTGGGTCGAATGCTGCACAGCCGACGCTGGTAGATGCTAGTATGACCACTAGTGATAGCTCGTCTACTACTGCCGGACCGACTAAATCGTTCATTGGGAACGAGAAGTCGACAAGTCCATCTGAGGGAGCTGCAGTTGCGAATACTGCTGGTAGCTGGATGGCTCTTGTTGTTTTAGGAGTAGGGGCTGCATTTTGATACCGTTGGCTCCGGAAGGGATCCTTGATGCTATTTTTTCATAGAGGTTATAGATTGAAAGACGTATAATATCACATACATGGCTGAACAAGAAGAAAATAAAATAAAAGAGGCGCGGATGAACTAAACCAGTAAGCCGTTACCTCACAGCGCATTAATGTCCAGCAAAGATAACCACGAATACATCCCGTTCATTCAACACAGGAAAACATATATTCATACAAATTCACCAATGAACGTCACACGTACACATCACATCATCCCAAAGTTATCCACCAATCAATTGCGGTACACCTGCTTAGTAGCAATTTCCAACTTCTCAAGTTGGAACTGCTCTGCCCGACGACGAGCAACATCCCGCTGGTACCACGTGCCAGCAGCAGCAACGAGTCCCATCAAAACCTCCATTCCAACAAGTATACACAGCAAGACGAAGCCAGCGCTAGTATTGATGCAGTCACGATCAAAATGATAGGGTGTCTTTACGCTGCTTGTCCCTGTTTTCCACTTGCAAGTCCAGCTGTGCAGGGTTTCATTCTTGCTGAACCCAGCTGGGTAGTCCGCGGAAGGACGGTAGATTATAAATAAAATACCGACCAAGGCAGTTAGAAAACCTGCGACAGCTGATGCTGAGGCGTAGATGTTAAGTGGCTTTATACGTGAATGTGGCTTGATCAGAGTTAGTATATGGTATCAAGAGTTATCACACAATAGGATGGGAAGACTCACGGATGGTAGGAGCGCAGCGGCGATGTATACCAAGTTCAAGGTGGAGATTATACAGCCGCATGCAATGGCGGCTGTTGTTGGACGGAGGTCAAAGTTCAAAGGCCACAGTGCGAGACCAACAGTTGCCCACTGTGAGGTGTGCTTATAATGCCGCAAGGGTGGGGCTTCGCATGCGACGACGGCAATAGCAATGCCGAAAGTCAAGAAAGATAGACCAAGGCGTGCAAAGTGAATGATACGATTGCGTTTCAGGAAGTTTGATTCTTCCATGTCTGAAGAATAAGCAGTGCCTGATCCGGCGAGGGATGAGTTTGAGGTCATGATGAAGGAGTGCCGTTTGCCCAGGTGGTTTTTTGAGATGATAGAGAGGGGTTCGAAGGAGAGTGTGTAACTGTATGATAACCTTGCCAGCAAGGATATTCCTAGGAATTGATATCAAAGAACGAACGCCTCAGGGGCAATAATAAACAAAACGAAAAGTCAGGTACTATATTCAATTATATTTTGTCTCAAATAACTAAGGGATACTAGCTGGGATATATGTATATTAGTAGAACTTGGTCTGGAGACTAAATTAGTGAGCGCTATGCGCTATCACAGAAAGTACTCAATGGGCGCGTATCCGGACGATAGTCAGCTGGTATTACTGCATAGAGCCATGCATAGCGCCTCAGAAAAAGCTGATTCGTAGGCTTTGGGTTAAATGTGCACTGTGAATTATAAACATTGGCCTTTCAATTGGGACTTGTACATCCCCTATAATTGTCTGGGCGCCAGCGTGCAGACTTGGCAGTCACCAAAGCGCGTAGTAGACCCAAATATAGAGTCAGAGCGGGGTTTTCATTGGATTGAATAGAATTTTTGGAAAATGTGATGTTCAACTGTGATAGGCAAAGGCGAAGCGCCGAGGATTGTGCCAGCGGCAAGGAACACACATCCCGGTCTTTGCTTATTCGAGGCGTTCTCGTATCCCCTGGATAAATCTAGGCCTTTGTATGTCAATGCCCCGAATACTACCCCAGATGTGCCATTCATAGTGCAGTTAAGGGTGAGATAAAAGAGAAAAGAATATCTTTTTACTTTTCAAATCAGCCTATGGCAACACATCCTCTTTGACATTCTTAAACCCAAGACCGGAGAGGTTGCCACCGCCATCGGGCAGAATCTTTTCCGAAATGGCGGGGCAACATCGACAATGCTTTGAACATATTATCATAGGCATTTGCTGAACTTCTTGAATTTAATTTAAATATGACTCTCTCTAAGCTACAGGGAGTAAAGCTCCCCGCCTCTGCCGACTTTCATGGTACTAAGCAATTCCGGGAATTGATGCAATTGAACTGACCAAAAGATAGTCCACCTTCGTGAGGGTCCAATGATGGAGTTGGTGACTCCCACTATCCGACAGGGTGGTGTGAACACCGTTTATGTTATGGTAAGGGAATTTCATAGAATCCTGTCCTTTGAGCTAAATCTAATACACTCGATAGCCCAATCTTGTGCCACCTATCACGACCGTCGACCGTGCTCTGGACTACCAGAAGCGCCTCCAAGCCCTCGAGCCGAATGTTAACTACCTTATGTCGCTATACCTCCACGAGACCGTGACTCCGGAGACCATCATTGAAGCTAAGAAGCGTGGCATCATTGGTGTCAAGAGTTATCCCGCCGGTGTGACGACCAACTCCTCTGCGGGTGTGGTCGACTATACACAGTTCTACCCCATTTTCGAGGAGATGGAGCGTCAAGACATGATTCTGAACCTGCACGGAGAAAGTCCCTCCGGAGGCGATGTGACAGTGTTGTCCGCGGAAGAGCGCTTCCTTCCCAAGCTCTTTGAGCTGCACTCCAAGTTCCCCAAGCTGCGTATCATTTTGGAGCACTGTACCACTGCTGCGGCTGTGGAAGCTGTTAAGTCATGCGGTCCCACGGTTTCTGGTACCATCACTGCTCATCACCTATCCATTATCATCGACTCGTGGGCCGGCGACCCATTCTGCTTCTGCAAGCCCGTTGCTAAGACCCCCGCCGACCGCGATGCCCTTCTCCGTGCTGCTGTCTCAGGAAACCCAAAGTTCTTCTTCGGCTCCGACAGCGCCCCCCACCCGGCGGCATCCAAGCGTGGTGGTGAAAAGATCGCCGCCGGTGTCTTCACCCAACCATACACCACTCAGGTTGTGATTGATGCCTTTGAGCAGGCTTGTGATAACGGTGTCCTCAAGGAGGATGAGATCACGCCGGAGGTTGTCGAGGGTTTCATGAGCAAGTTCGGACGGGCCTTCTATGGCCTCCCGGAGGAGCAGAAGGAATTCATCACCATCGAGAGGAAGGGCGAGAAGATCTCGGAGATCCTCCAGTCAGACAAGATTGACGTGGTCCCCTTCAGAAAGACTCAGGAAACATGGAGCATCACTTGGTCTTAGGAAGGCGACCAGTACATATTCAATAATAGAGTCGTAGAACCAAAAGTTTTCACATGCATATCCTCTTACACAGACTTGTCTTTCGTAAGCATGTTTGCGACACTTTCAAGCGCGTGTGCCTCCCTGATGTCGATTCTGCGACCTGCGACCACTGGGTTGCCGTCATCACCCATAGCAATCTGGCCAGTTCGCTCGAGATGGAGTCGAATTCTGCTCTCGATATACTCCTTTCTCTCGTCTCTCTTAGACTTGGTTTCCATTGGCACCGTTGCATTGGGCAGGGCTGCTAATTTCGGTCGGAGCTGCTCAAGTGTGGTCTGTAACGCGGGCAGTTGCGAGAGAATGAATGTTGTGTTGGTTGTAAGAGGTGTTGGTTTAGAATTCGGCCCAGCATCGACACCAACACGAAGCTGGCGTGCTGATGGGGTAGAGGTCAAGAAGGACAAATCAACTGGTTTGTTTTCGGCCGTAGACACGCCATCTGCCTTCGCTGTTTCAACTGTCGATAAGATAGATTGTAGTTGCGAGATCACTGCATCGTTCCGAGTGCGTTCTTCTTTTAGCGAACGATTCAGTTTCTTCGTCTCGAATAACTTCTTGCGCTGCGCATGTATGGTTTCTGGCGTCGGCGTGTCTGGCGAAGATCCGAAAGCGAGACCCTAGCACGATGCGCATTAGTATATCCCCTATTACAAAACTACAAGCAATCTGAGATCCAGAGATCTGTAATGACTCCACATACCTCGTAGTGCTTCAACCGCACCCAAGACAGCAAGTCTGCGGGCACCGTGAGAATGTTGCGCAGCACATATATCTCGAATTTGTCGAATGCCTTATCAACATTGGCCTCTAGTAGTGTCTCCAGCTGGTGCAATCCATTCTCAATCTCCAGCTTCGCCTCAGGATAGACCACATTGCCATCCTCGTCTGTTTCCGCGATGCTAGGACCACTGCTGTCATGGGAGAAACCGAGCCGTTCAGGCGGTGTATTGAGGAGTCCAGACTCCAAGCTCGAAATCGCTTGGTAAATTAGGTTGTTGATCGAGTTGATAATGTCATCTATGAGAGACTAGGGAGCTGTCAGCGATATTCCTAGTTGTAAGCGGTGGGTCCTAAGTCGCAGGTCGCAGGTCGAGCGTGCAGCACGAGTTAATGTACATCGGTATTTATTGACGTACCAAGGGTGTGTAACTGAAGTGCTCAGTGAGCAAGGAGGTCGTCGCATCATCCATTGCGGAAAGATTGGTCTTTTCTGGCTGGGCTCGACGCGTTGAAGAAACAAAACACGCGGGGAAAATTCACGAGCCACCGCCTTCCGTCGATCAACTACAACATTCCTGACAGCTTTTTAGTTTATGCTCTGAATTTTTTTGTATTCCTGGCTCCTATTATATCATTTCCGATGCATACTGCGGGTTTGCTACGTTGTACATTATTTGATGTCAGACTGACACACGAATCCCAACCCGACTTAACCCAGTCACCAGGTACCTGGCAGAGTTGATAGCCAGCTGAAGCAAGTTCCTTGTACATGGCTGTCAGCATTACATATAGCTTCTTTGCAATATGGCAGATGGCCATCCCCTGGTAAATGTTCCAGTCTGAACGATCAAACCGCCGGGCCATTGGAAGGTTATCATCTAGTCCAGGTAAGACACCGAACTTTGCCCCCATGTACTTCATACGAGTAGGAAAAAAAATATTTAAACTCTGCTTGAGAACCCTGAGAAATCCTCGTAGCAGGGCACATTTTAGCAAAGAAAGTAAAAGGCGTAGAGACAATCCAACCATTCCGTCTCGTCTATCCTGGTAAGAACAAGACAAACCTCTAAACGGACCACTCCTCACATCTACAGCCCGCCATGTCCCAGGGAAAACCGCTCCGGGTCCTAGTCATCGTCTCGCACCGGAGTTCTCAGATATCCAAAGCCCAAACCAATCCAGAAGTCCTCCTACCCAAAGCCATCCGTCTCCTTAAAGCAAGTCACCTCTACAGCCCACAAGAAGTTCACCCAACAACAAGGCTAGTGGCGGCTCAGAAGTGGCGGACGCGGGTATTCTTCGTTTTCGACATCTGCCACACAACCTACGACGCCAAGCTCGGCCATTTGCCCGAGCAGAACAAGCTCCCCGTTGCTGTTGTTCGTCTCAGCAAAAGGAACACGGCCTATGTGGCGAATGCGTGGTTGTCGAAGAGGGTGAACAGAGATATTGCTTTGTTTCACAATGCCAATGGTTTCGGGGCAGTGCCGCCGTTTGTAGAGGACCATACCGTTGGAAAGCCACCTGAGTATATGAACCCGAGGGATATCTCACTCTTCCAGGCCTCTTGCCTTTGAAGGTGTTTGGATTAAAAGTGATGCATGCATTATGCCGATGCTGTGGTATCTTGAACAATTAACAATAAGCCCTAATACATGACGAATTTGAACCAACGCCATGAGCCCCTTCGTAAAAGAGATGCAGATTAGAAATCCATCGTAAGCTGCGGCGCCATTTTTTCAAGATCCTCAACCTATATTATCAATCAGAATACCCAAGGATAGCTAGTTGGATAAAATTAAAACTTACCTCGAGGAACCCGTCCCCAAGGCCCCTGCTCCCAGTATTTCCATCTGACTCGGCCCTCTCATATGCAGCTCGGGCGATGGCTTCCCTCACAAATACATCAACATACTTGGCAACAACACTATTAGCATCTTTTGCAACCTTGGTCTTCTCATTCTGGAAATGCTGATGCAACAAGCGCGTAAGCAGTTTTGAAGGTATTTTGGGGTCGCTGGACGTGACGTCTTCTGTTTGATTTGTAGTTATGATTTCAGCAAGAATATAGTCCGGCTCCTGAGAGAGTGACCGTAAACGACTGCGGCTTGATTCATTGGAGTTGGATTCGGATTCGGATTCGGAGGCGGCATTGGCATTGACATTGGCTACCGGAGACTCGGGTCGGGGCCGTTTCCCGATGCTCACGGATTTTCTCTGGGTTGTGGACTTGCCCTGAGTGGGTTTGCTTTTTGTTTTGGGCACGGTTGTGGATGTGGAGGCTTTTGTGCTGGTTTGTTTTGCCTTCCCTTTGGCCTTTGGCGCGGAGCTGGATGGTGCCGCGCTAGTCGTGCGACTAGGAGGTTTGAAGGGGAGGCGTGGGCGCTTTTGAGCTGGCTGAGGTTCTCCAGGCATATTGGTATCCTAGACAAGGTGTCTGATTGGTATGGCAGGAATCACAGTTCCTAAAGATTGAAGTCACTAGGGAAATTGGGGGGAAACGCGGGCGCGATCTACAGTACGCGCTATCAGGTGATAAGGGGAGGCTCAACTTTCCAGCGACAGGCTTTGTATTTTTTTTCGTCCTTTTTTTGTTGGATCTTTTTTTTGTACCGAAGTTACGTACATGGATTGCACAGTTACTGCAATTATCTTCCATAAAATGACTGTCCTCAACGCACCAGGTAGGAGCCCACCAGCCCAAACCCTTGCTCGCGGGAAGATGTCTTGTTTCCCTCACTCCTGTTCAATCTCACTGGGATGCACCATACGAATAGGACGAGGGCGGCGGCTGCTGGCCTCAAAGGGGTAGAACACAGTGATATGTAGACCAACTGTATCGATCAATTTACGAATGCGGTCCCAGGAGACCTTGAAAAAACCAGTGCAGAAGCGATTGGAGTAGAGTCTCTGGGGTCGATCATCTCCGCTCTCAGAAGCCTGTTGCCGAAGACTTCGTAGCTGTTCACTCAGGTGTTGGAGGGCAGCAAAAGTGCTATTGACAATCATATCCTCTGAATCCGCGCGGTTGCCGTAGTACTCCGAGGTAAAGACGCAGATGATCCAATGGCGACGGTGGTGTAGAGTGAAGTCACTTTGCTGTGGTGGGATCATGAGTGCGGTGCCGAGGGGACGGTTAACAACGAGAGAGGGCTGCTGGGCCTCATCCCGTAGATCGGTGATAACGTTGGTGACTGGGTGGTCACGGTAAATGCGGCAGTGGTTGCGGTAGATCTCGTAGGCGGCGGGATACTAAAGTTAGATCATCTCATTAGCTCTAAGTTGTCGCATCAACTGGGTATTTATTGACGAACCCGCTCACGAAATGCACGGGCAATGCCTGCACCCCAAACGCCCTGGCAGTTGCATGCATCTTAATTGGCTAGATTAGAAAGCACTCCTAAAGCAAGAGTTGCTAAATGAGAGGTTCTCACGGATCAGAGCAGCGCCGTTGGGGGCGTCGAACAGGTCGCCTGGGGTTTCCTGGACAAAGTTGACCGTAGGCAAAGGCGAAGTCATCAGTACCAACGACTCATCGCTGTTAGTGCGATCAATCGTAGAAATCTGATTATCACCTGCGTCAGACATGATGATATTGTGTTGTGGTCGGAGAAAACAAACGAAGAAGCTGAAATTTGATTATGCTTCCTTTGAAGGGTTGAGGGGGGGAAAAGGTTGAAAAGAGCATCACAGAGCGAGAATTGAGTGTTTAGTTGTCCAAACTATCAGTCTCACATGAATCTCGCAAGGCAACGCGTGTTTAACGACGCCAAAGAGAGCATACACAGAAAAGGAAGAATGCAAAGTAAAATTAAATACATACTACATTGACCAGAGCCTAATTAAGTCGACTCTGTGCTAAGAGAAAGACTTGATGCACTATTGGGTTGATTAACCAAGGCTGCATGGTATAATCATATAGGAATGAATGGGTTGATACAGCGAAGGCATATGGTCAAGGCCCCGTTAAGAAAATACTCCAATGCAATCCAACACATCACTCATCGCACTCACTATTCCTTTTCGACAGCAGTCAATCTTTCTTTCCTTTTGTGGCCGCGAACGGTTTCATTGTAGTCAGCTCGCCCAACTCGCCCAGACGACGGTTAACAAAACTCTTCAAGCTCTCTCTCTTCTTTAAAGTTCGTTCGGGCTTTTCGTCTCTGGATAAACCCTGCTGCATTGGTTCGCCCTTTGGTGACTCTGTCGGCTTTTTGTTCTCCGCATGCTGTGGCCTCGGCGGAGCGTTATGACCTGAAGCGACGGGAGAAGTTGAAGTAGGGGTTATGACATCAGGACTCATGACCGAGGTGAGGGAAATCGGAGCACTGTTGCCGCTGCTTGATTTCATGCGACGACTCATGGATCGCGAGATAGATTTGAAGATTGAAGGGCTATTGCTGGAATCCATTCGTTCGAGGCGGTCGATCTCACTCTTAGCGGTCGTCCCGTTGGTTGCAAGATTGTCTTCGCTCACTGGGGTATAGATCACGACTCCTTTGTCAGGTGCAATGCCAAACATTTCTTGAATGATTGATTGGATTAGGGTCGTACTGCGGACGTTGGTGAGTGGTCCAAACAAACTTGGGAGAGCAGTAATCTTCAACAGATATGCCGAGCCGGAGGTATTCCCGAAAATTAAGTCAACGTTCTGATCAATGGTGACTAACATCGATGTCTCCGGTCGCTGGTAGACCTGGGCAAAGAAATGGGCGAAATTCGACAGTAACTTGCGTGTATCATCTTTCGCCTAGTTGGTGAGTTAGAAGAGAGGGATCACCGAGCAGATGTCAGAGCGTCACAAACCTTGGTGTTGGTCCTGAGCTCAACAACAACAACAGATTCATGAGTGACGCGGTCCTTTGGGGAGTTGTGCGATCCACGGGTGGTAAATTCATCCTCGTAGTACAACTTCTTCGCTTTTGTTAATGGCGAATCGTCCACACTTTTCTGGGAAACATAGATGCTCTCTGACGCAAAACGTGTCACGGGCACGATGTTCTCCTCGTCGTGTTTGTCCTCCTTAAACATCGATGAAGTTCTCGACGGCCTCCCGGGAAGGATAATCGGAGGCGCGTTGGTATCTGGGAGATTCTTTGGCAAAGCATTGCATGATGCATTAGGCGATTTCTGTAATAGTGGGATGTTGGTTGTCAAGCGAGGCAAAGACGGTTTCTTCTTAGAAGGATCCATTTTATGTGTCAACTGAAGTTTGAGTATGTGATGAGAGTGCTAAGATGACAGAGAAAATCTGTCAGGACCTTTGGAAGTGACAGAAAAAAAGTAAACAAAAAAAATATTGGAAGGAGCCATCAGTCAAGAAAGGCCAATTCCTTAAATGCCGAGTTTCCACTCAAAAAGATTTTGTCAATACGCCTCCTTCGATCCCAAACAATCTCCCCATTGATATGTCTGATATATAACACCCGATGCTGTGGAATGAATTCTTCGTCGGTGGTCTCCTTCTTCCAACTTCCCATGGTGATTTCCAGTTGTCCTTCAAATCGGTCCACGAATCCAATGACATAGTTGCTGCGTTCGAAAGCCGAGTCCCAAGTAATGCGGTTGATAATGTCTGTAAATCGTTAGACTTGGGCAATATATAGTCTCAAATTACCTACCTCCAGCTGGGCGTAATCTGTTTTCGCCGGCTTTAGGGTCATATTCAGGCGAAGCACTTCGCTGACGCATTTGAGAGCTTGACTCCACTTGGAATGATACCTCTTTCTCCATAGTCTTATTGGCGTCTATTTCACTCAGAGTATTCGAATCCATAATCTCCAATAATTCAAAACTTGCGGGACTTGGGGTTTTTTTTTTCACGGCACCTAATCTAGAAACTAGAGGATTTATATATCACGCAGAGAGAATAAGCCGGACACATTTTTTGTATCTAAATTGCGGATTTTTGACTCAGCCTGTGATCACTAGAGAAGTAGCCCTAAAATGATTCACATTCAGTCATAAAAGCAGTATATACGAAGTGGTCGTGACTGACGTTTTGTGATAGGTCACCTAGGCGCTAGGCAGAATGCTACATGACTCAGAATGCGATAGTGGCTTGGCCCGGGAAACTTTTAACTCATGCATCCTGGAGCTATCTAATGTAACAAAGGCGATAAATGGGCATTCTACATGCAAAAAAAAAGACAAGATGTACAGAAAATTGTACGAAAGAGAAAAAAGTAACTCCGATAGGGGGAATCGAACCCCCGGCTGTCGTGTGAGAGACGACGATGTTAGCCACTACACCATATCGGATTTTTGGATGAAAGAACTAGTCCTATTTAGGTCTATGTGCCGTTAGCCGCCACTATGTGCGCTCTTAGTGCGTGGCTCTATATAATCCCCGCTATCGCCCTTTCAGCCTTTCCTTGTGTTTCGACCGCTGTTCATCTCTCGTCCCTATCCGTGCCCTATATCTAAGGCATTTTTGCTACTGATCCGGAGCACCGAGTTCCGCCACCCTCGCTATCCCTAGCGCGACTCATCAAGTCTGCATCGGGCGTTTAGACATCTCCGGGAAATTCCTATGCTGACCTGCCAGTGAGCAAGACGACAACAGGCGCGCATTTTTACGCGTTTACTAACAGGTTCCTATCGCCGGAGCTGAAACGAAAAAGGTCGCTATATGGGCTACGCAGGCTGTCGACGCCCCTCCTGACCATCCAGAACTGATCGTTTCCCGGACGTTCATAAGGCTAGACTGTGATGTTGTTCCTCGACTACTAGGCTATCAACAGCACCAGCAAGACCACGACGAGGGTGTTCCTGGAGGATACATCACGTATATCCTATGGGAAAAAGTCGCTGGCGAGTCTCTTAATTTGACCGAATTCTGGAGGCTCCCCTTTGCCGATCGCAAGGCCATCCGCGATAAGTTTCGCCAAGTCTATACGTATAAGTATCTAGTAACCACAGCGATATATTAGGCTAACATAGAGTAGAAGGCTTTTACCGTGCGGGTATATGCCTTGTATGGGTGGTCCATCGAAGATTATTTATGAATAGTCTAGTGGCCAAATGTGTGTCTATACGAGATCATCTATATGCACTATGATAAGAAAATATCTATCTCTAGCCACATCTGCGTATTTAGACTCGCATCTCTATTTGACGAACCTCAACAGTGGGATAACGTTAAACACTTACAATACAGACCCATCCAACCCTTCGATAGCCAATTTGACTGGGAAGGAACACCATCCGAAACGGCAGATTGTATCTAAGGTGTCAATGGCTGGACGTGGTGAATATGGAAACAATCACAGCAGAATACAGTGTGAAGTATGCTTCGTCATCCTGTTCCTCCCTGGCTGCCGTAGTAGGAAAATATGAACCAAGGTATTACTACAGGTGCAATGAAGGGGTCATATGTCGGATGTTACATGCGATTTATTCAAGTCTGTCTTCATTGCCAAATTTAGCTCTAGTTACCGTATGATCATCGGGACAGGCCAATTGCACATATTGTCTCAGCTTGCTTGAATGACTGGATTGTTCGGGCACCATACTGTGATTAACATCGTCCACGCAGCGGTACAGACGACAGGGGCTATCACCCCATCTCTAGAGAATATCGATGCCTTGATGTCTCATTTTGGCCTGGCTCATAACCGCTCCCCACACTGGTTTATCAACAGTTGAAAGCTTATATATTAGAAAGTCGTTTGTACAGAGCACTTTCCCGCCTTTTTTAACCGTAAACTGGTATACGTAAATAGAATAATATCTGAGGAGACTACTAAAGAGACTACTGATATGACCACTGGAAAGACCTCACAAGGCCGCTTTTACGGCCGACTATCTTGTGATAGTAATTCAAGTATCTTAATTATTCTGCTGGTCTTATTTCAGAAAATGAGGAACCAGGGAATCGATAATGCGTAGAAATGGGGGTTTGACCACTGGTATCTATACCGCTGCGTAATCGTCTGATCCATTGACTGCTAGGAGTGGGATTGGCAACCGGCACCTGTGATTCAGCAATGGTAGCAAGATACAGAAGATCTTGATTAGAGCTAAACATAGGTTCGATAGACTGACTGATTTGCGGGGTCTGGAGGCGCATATCGGACGGAGGATTTGATCACGGGGGAATGCTCAATTATCCAAGTTGATGCGGCCTGTATTTGTCGTAAGAATATGGTCTGGCCGCTGGCGGTAATTGGTGATGAATGAAACCATACATACAACCGAGGTCTAACATCAGCCAGGGTGTTCGATAGTCCATGGTCAATACCCTTAACAGGTCTCGTCTGCATTCTATCCTACCGGCGCCTTGTGTTAACCAACGCGTGATCAGTAAGCTCATTTTGCGTGTTTACCAGATAAAATGGGCATCCAATCCAAACCTAGGTACCGATGCCGGATGAGATAGTTTTGGAATAGAAACTCGCAAATCAGTACGTCACCAAGTCACAATTCTTAAGCGCGGACGGTATCCCTGGAGTCTTTTCATATCACAAGTTAGCGATAGACTAGGTTGACTCTTCCCGGGCTACCCGTTTTGAAAAATCAACAATTAGTCTCCTGCCTCACGTTCAATATCATCTTTCGTCTTTAAGATTCGAAGATATCGCGATCTCAAAAGTTGTTCCTTCGACTACTCCATATCTTCTGGAAGAAAGTCCCTAAATACTCCACCATACGTTGTTTATATGAGCGCATCTTACAGAAGTCTACCAATACCTCTCACTAGTCGATCAAGTTTGTCTATCTCTCAGCTGCGGACGGCTTTACAGCCTATTCGGGAAGATAATGGAGCATAAAGACCTTGAATTTCCACGACTCTTGCATATCAGGAATCCAATACTATGCGTGAATAGTAGGGGTGTGCTGCGAGATCAACTCCTTCGATTCGAAAATCGCTGCTGCCTATTGTGTACAGTGTTTGAAACTCCATCCACGGAAAGAATTTACGAGACATTTACTGAGACAATCACCTCTAGAGAGATCCTACAAATACTACGCTGGTATAGCTGACCTATGTCCCTGTATTTCTCTGACTATCTGAGGTCGAGACCAGCTTATCAAGATCCCCAAATCACCCACGAAGCTAGCCAAAACCAACTATGGCCCATTTGAATATGACTTTATCGACGGAGGACAACCTAGCCTCGGCCACTGCTGTTTATATAGCACTAGCTCCGGCGAAATTGTGTGAGTTACTCTGGTTTTATTAAGGAAACTAGCCAGTTATATGTATGGGCTCGGCATACTATAAGCTTCCCTTCCTTAGACGCTCATCACAGAGCTGAGCCTACCTTTGCTTGTCCTCATTAGGACCTGATATCTCTTATTCCCAGAGATCAAGGCGTAAACCATCCTAACACGTACTAGACTTTGATTTCTTCAAATCCTCACCCGGATATCATGTCTCTTGTCCCCGGGAAGGTGATCTCAAAAGCCTGTCCCATGTGTCCGACTTTGATTACAAAATATGCTTTGCCTGAAGACAAGAACCCGGCTATTTTCTGAGTGGTTCAAGATCTGGGAAGCTGTAAATGGTCGGCAGACCGTCCTTGATTTGAACAGTGTCGTCTAACCGGAGCATTGTTTTCGCTTAATGAAGTATACTGGTGAGCTTGTCAAAGGGTCTGCAGAGAAAGAGGAACTATGAAATTCCCCTATAGGCTTCGGTCGCAGAGCTTGCGGATGATGACGCAAGGTATTCACGGTCAGTGGAAACGAGATTATTGCCTGGAACAGAAAAGAAGGTTGCTTCGGCGTAAATGCGGAGCCTTAACTGTAGATGGGGAGCTTGCTCATTCTCCAATTCGCAATATGAAATCCTCGACTGGCAGTCATATCAGATATCATTCTGTTTAGTTGCCTTGTCAGTTTTGTGCAGGGCGGAAAAAGGCGGAAAAAGCTTTGTGAAATGGACCTCTGTGTCATCAATCCGATCAATTGGCACTGTTCACACTATTAAGCTCTCAATATTATCAGGTTTTGGTTATACATAGACCGACATCTTTATGTGTCTTATCTAATATAGCTTGAGTATTTGGCGGAATATCACTCGAGGTCAACTTACACCATGAAGATTTATCACGGCTAGGTACCCTGCCATGACAGCTCGGGACGGGACGCTAATGCACGCCACCACATGGCAATATTAAGTATGGTAATATTTCAAGTACGCTACAATGAATTCAATACGGATATAGGTGAAGCCTGCATACTAGAAATTGATTATTACTAATAAATTGTATTGGTATTACTGCCAAAGAAGGAGTTTGTGGCGTGCATTAGCGCCCCTCTCTCCCGAGGTCTCCCGAGTAATTCGGGCGGAGATGTCTACATACTCACCCGGGCAAGACTCGGCCTATAGGATGGACATAGGAAGGTACGCCATTGGTCCCGAGTCCAGAGAATCAGTTTATGGGATATTGTACATCGGGCAAAAAATATTCATGGTATTCCAAGGTTAGGGAGTGGCGGAGTATTATTACTTAAGCCATTGCCCGTGCACATTGCCTCAGTTGTAAGTTGGGTTTAGATTCTAGTGGTCGATCTCGCTCGGACACGCAAGTGGCGCAATGGGTATATGGAGTCTGGTCAGTGCCCCTGGTGGCTAATTATTGATGGTTACATGCGGGGTATAGTTTGGTCGGGGAAAGGCGAGGGAGAAATTGGAAGCACGCTGATTCCCTTTGTCGCCATAGATGTACCGTTTTTCGCAGAACCGAGGTCTAATTTACCCCACTGACGAACGCCTTAGCTCTATAACTCTTGATGAACAAAATGATGAGTGTTCTCGAGAGTTCTGCAGGCGAGGTACCGATCACCGAATTCGTGGGTCATCGTGATTAGATGTTGCCCCCTGGGGAATCCCACCAGGACGACAAGGAAAACTTTAACTAGTAAACTGGAGGCTTGAAATGTCGTGTAAAGTTTTTAGATCGGGCCCTGACTGCAACAGGGGCGTTTCGAGAGTGTAGCTGCAGACTTGATTTGGCGTTGAAGGCGGTGTAAGAAGTGCCACTGATATTGCCAGAGCCCCTGGTTGCGGCGTTTGGTGAAAACAATTAGACGATTTAGATAATTGATCTATGTTGTACAAGGAAACAATTGTTAGACAGGACTAACGATAGGACTAACGGGTGGAAAAGATCTAGTTTTTGACCAAGCTCCTCTAGCACCTTGAATCTGGCCCTCAGTGCCATCCGAATTTTCTACTGCGTCCTCTGAACAGAATATCCGAGACCACTGAAACCACCACCGAAAAGCCATCACAAGGCCGCATAAGGGGCTGATTATCCCCGTTATGATAATGTGGTATGTATATGAGCCTATACTAGCTTTGGTTTAGCGTCCCTTGTCGTGCGTCCCCGTGGGTTTGTGTTTTAAAAGTCCTCTCTGTTGCCCCATCTGTTCGACCCGTTGTCCTTTTCCCTAGTGGTGAGGCATTTTACCAAGCTCCGCCACCTCCGTCATTCTTGGTGCCACTAGTCAGACCCTTCAAGCCATTTACGCTGCTTAATCGCTCTACACCGAACAATGAACCACAAGTCGGACTACTCGACCATACCTTATCATTCGCGAGGATGTTAGCATATTGTAACTTATAAGGTCCTACAATAGTGAGTTGAGACTAGTGCGACCTTTAATTTCCGAAAGTCGGAACTCGATACACTGCTTCATAGTCGATTTAGAATGCGCATGTAATCCATACTGCAGATAGATACATATAATGGAAAGTCTCGCGAGCCCTAATATCATCGCTAATAACGATTATCATTGTAAGCTTGGCTTGCCCTTGAGAGCGTAAGTTTAACCGTTCCCCGCCTACTAACGGTTTCATATACAAAAATTAATCCATGGCACCGACTTTGTGATTTCTTTCGGCTGTCTATGGAAACTGCATCTAAACATGTCATAATGCCACCACCATCAGACTACGCGAAATTAAAAAGGGGGCGAAATGGAAGTTTTACAATTCTTGGTGTGGGGAGAAGACCGAAGCCGAAACCCGAGATCAACACCCGGTAGGCCACCCTAGGTGTGTTGGACGCTTGGCGCGATTATTAGGAATTCATAATAGTATATAATACTACCATGGATGTCTGTATCGGCTAAAGAACCGGGCCTGGATGACCACCGAAGATTCAGGTACCATGATTGAATAACTCCTCCCCAGAAAAATTTAATGTGTATATTATTATTACATAAGACAGGAGACGGCACCCGGGGCGACACCGAGTCGGTCCCGATGCCATGTCCGGCCGGCACAGCGTAGTCGGAAACCGGCTTGCCACAAAAAGGGAGATTGCACCGGTCCGTGTGACGTGTGCCACGCCGCAAACATTTTTTTGGTGCCGTTGGTTCGGACTTGCAAACTTTGTCTAGCGCCGATTTTGAAGTTTCCGACGTCATACTGGGGCAAAAGGGTCTTGGCAATAAGGTACAACATAGATGTACTTTATATAGTTGTACAATGCGAGTATATGTAATATGTATATCATGTCGAAGAGACAACAGTAAAATGTATGGTTTATGTCAATGAATACAGCCCTGGACATTGGAATTTCAGGTCCACCTGTCGACAGGTGCCTGCCGTGTGCGGTCTCCAGATTAGTCAGATTAGTCATTTATGCCCAGACCAGTGGATCCATGGATCCATGCCCCCGCTGAATACCCCGCCAGGTGGCCCTGTAAGTGGCCCTGGAAGTGGCGCCCAATGCCAAGGTCTCCGCTTCGGGAACCTCGCCTTCGCTAGACTTTCCAATCTGGGCCCTGACCCAAGGTTGCAGTATAACCAATATTTTTAAGTTACCGTACTGTTTTCAATCCCCTATGGAGTTGCTTGCTATAAGACCGCCAATTCCCGTCCCCATTCTTCCCCAACTTTCTTTTACCCCGCCTCCCTCCCCAAACCGACGGCTATTATTTTGTCCATACCGTCAATATGTGGACGACGACCAGCGGCCTGAGTGGTCGGCCGCTCCGGCTGAGCATCACCATCGCTGCTGTCATGGGTTTCTCGCTTTTCGGCTATAATCAGGGCATGATGGCTGGCCTCCTCAACGGCGACGAGTTCGTAAAGTCGTTTCCAATTCTCGAAATGCCCACGAATGCAACTAAGGGCCAGGAACATTACATCAACGTCATCCGCGGTGCTGTCACATCCTGTTATGAACTTGGCTGCTTCTTCGGCGCGCTATTCTCTATGTTCTTCGGCAACTCACTCGGTCGCACTCGCCTGATTTTCACAGGTGCCAGTGTTCTGGTTATTGGTGCTTTGCTTACCACGGTCTGCTTTACTGGTAAATGGGAAGTCGGCCAGTTCGTCATCGGCCGTGTTGTGTCGGGTATTGGAAACGGCATGAATACCGCGACAATCCCGGTCTGGCAATCGGAATGCTCCGGCGCTCACAACCGCGGATTTTTGGTCTGTTTTGAAGGTGCGATGATTGCTGGTGGTACTTTTATTGCCTACTGGGTCGTCTTTGGTCTTTCACATGCCCAGGATACCGTCCAGTGGCGATTCCCCATTGCGCTCCAGATCCTCTTCGCTCTTATTGTGGCGTCCGGTGCCTTGATGCTCCCGGATTCCCCGTCGTGGTTTGTGAGCAGAGGATACGACAAGGAAGCCTGCGAGGTGCTCGCTAAGCTTAATGGCGTTGCTCCTGACTCCGACAAAGTCCTTAACGACTTCAACTTCCTGAAGCAGGACGTGGAATCCTCAAAGAGCTCAGAGTCAAGCTGGAAGACTGTATTCACATTCGGCAAGACCCAGGAATTCCAGCGCCTTCTTGTTGGTTGTTCCGGCCAGTTCTTCCAGCAGTTCACCGGTTGTAATGCCGCGATCTACTACTCAACACTACTTTTCCAGGAAAACCTACATATGGAGAAGTACCTATCTCTGATTATGGGTGGTGTGTTCGCTACCGTCTACGCCCTTGCGACTATTCCATCATTTTTCATGATTGAGAGAGTTGGCCGTCGCAACCTGTACTTGATTGGCTTCTTAGGTCAGGGACTCAGCTTTGTCATCACATTCGCTTGCTTGATCAAGGAGAACGAGGCAAACTCCAAGGGCGCTGCTGTTGGTATCTTCCTCTTTATCACCTTCTTCGCTTTCACTCTATTGCCACTACCCTGGATCTACCCTCCCGAGATCAACCCCCTCCGTACCCGCACTGTGGGCGCGGCGGCGTCGACCTGCACCAACTGGATCTGCAACTTTGCCGTGGTCATGTTCACGCCGCTTTTCTCTGGCCAGAGCTCATGGGGTGTTTATCTCTTTTTCGCCCTGTTTAACTTCATCGGCTTGGTCTTCGGCTTCTTCTTCTATGTCGAGACAGCCGGACGTGAGCTCGAAGAGGTTGACATTATCTACGCCAAAGCACATGTCCAAGGAAAGATGCCGTTCCGGGTCGCCCAGGAGATGCCCAAGCTCAATCTCCAACAGATCCTTCACGAGTCACGCGAACTGGGGTTGAGTACCGACATTAATTCGCATTCTTCACAAGAGAAGAGCGAGCTCGGCCTTGGTGGTGACAGTGGCCAGGAGATCGAGGAGGTGAAGGAGAAACTGTGAAAGTCATGACGATATTTGAGACTGGATACTGAATGTTTCTACTTCCTTCGCTGGCGTTCTGTTCATTATCTTTCTTCTTTTGTTGTGGATATGTCCATATTCCGGTGATAGAACGATGGCAGTGCTCCCAGCATGCATATATATCCCAGACAAGGAACGCGCGCTATTTCGGATTTCGATCCATTGTGATATCATCCCTACTGTGTGCTATGATGTTTGCTAGTTTTTACAGTTTGTTTGCTAGATTTAGAGGGGTAAAAATACCCAGCCCCCTTCATAGATTTTACAATACAGATAGATCTATGCTCCTTCATCTCTCACACTGTATGCTCAACACAATCTAGTATTCGATGTGCTGGCGCCTTCAGCTCGTTCCAAAAGGTGAATAATACTAGCTTTAATCAGTAGGGACTGATACGGAACAAGAAAGAATGTCCCACCCTGCGATACGTGTTTGGTTTTGGAACTGAAGCACGCAGATACATAGAAGCAACCAACTCGCCATAGAACCTAGCCTACGCTTTTCTCCTCAGCCCGGTGTCGAAATTAGCAGCTCTGTGCAATCAGCCTTCTAGGTAGTACTTATTTTCTGCTCTTTCTGCCAAGCAACCTAGAGAGATGATGGAGTGACGGAGCGGTATCGTAGAAAAAGGATAGGGTATTTATACCCATAAACCTAGCAAACAAACTGGTAGATTGGCAAACAAAGATCTCAAGCTTCGACTAGCAATGGCATAGCAAACGTCAGGGATAGTTTATCACAACACTTTCTACCCTAGGCTAACAAACACTCTAAAGTTACCACCCCTAGAAATACTCCACATCTCTAGGTGTGGCCCACTAGCTGTCAGAATATATATAACTGTGGTCCATAAAGGATCCATTTAAAAACAAAAGGCCCAATAGGTCTAAATTCACTTAGACTTAAGGTGAGAAACTGATCACATAATCACTGTCGTAGCCCTGGAGACGTCGGGATTGGTGAGAAGGCACCGGAACCTGAGCGAGTTTTATTCCGGATCGTATCACCCCTATCTGTCTACTCCGTAGGCAGCCATGCCATATACATAGTAGTTAACATGACTACTCTGTAGATCAAGTTGAAATTAATTCAATTAGAAATTCACGATGACCATTCTCCACTCTTACTACCCCGTGGGCGTAGCAATCCCCAGCTACGTCCCTAATGAATGGAGCACTGTAGCGTTGGTCTCTACATTCGCTATTACCTGCATAGTTGTTCTAGCAGCCGCTAAAGCCATCGCGACAAATACGAACCCTCGACTTACGATCCCTGAACTTTCCAAGGTTCTCTGGTTTACGTTATGTATGTCTTCGCTCCCATTATCTATGCACAGTACTAACAACCGACCAGGCGGCTGCATCCACCTCATCCTTGAAGGCTATTATGCCCTAAACTTTGCCACACTTCCGGGCTCCCAACATATCCTCGCACAACTCTGGAAAGAATATTCCATGTCTGATTCGCGGTATCTCACATCTCATGCATTTGTCATGTCTATGGAGTCAATTACTGCCTGGTGCTGGGGCCCGTTATCTTTCCTCCTTGCGTCTTTCATCGTCACGGATAATCCCTTCCGACACCCGCTCCAGATTATCATATCCACTGGACAGCTGTATGGGGATGTATTGTACTACGGAACATGCGCGTTTGACTTCTTGGTGTATGGCGTTGAGTACTCGAGGCCCGAAGGGTACTACTTTTATGGGTATTTTGTGTTGTTAAATGCGTTTTGGATTGTTATCCCGGCTCGTAAGTGTTTTTCTTTTTTTTTTCTCAATGACTGGCGAGGACCGGGCTAATGAATATAGTGCTTATTGCTGATAGTGTGGGCGCTTGTGGGAGGGCGTTTGCAGAGGCCAAGAGGATGAGGATGGCCGGGATAAATGGTAAAGCAAAGCAAGTGCTTTGAAGAAGGCTATGCTATATGGGGGCAGGCTTGGAACTACAGGCTTAGAACATGGACTAGGTTGTCAGAAGTTGCAACCTTCAACGTTGTAGATATACCTGACCTAGACCGCGGCACAGACCTTTAGGGTCGGTCCTTGGTTGACCACGCCCATTTGATCACTATATCCTTGCGAGGTTAGCCCCAATGCTCATTGGTTGCACAAAATTGGCCAACTCATGTCAATAGCAAAAATGTGAAATCAAATATATAAAGAGTCAGTGAGGCGAGGAGGCCGTGGCACTTGCCTATTGATCTTCATGGCTGCGCGAACTTAGAGCCAATGCCCCCGATTAATCTAGGGAATCCTACTAAATCATCCTACACATGACATTGGTATTTGCTCCAATGTTCAATTCAATCTTAATTTTTGGGTAAACCACCATATCTGCAACCCATGTTCTATCTAATGAATACCATTGGTTCCGTTGGTTCCATTTGTCCCTTTGCTCAATTTGCTTCCTTTGACATCCCCCGCAGCCTGCAAAAATTCAAACACCTCTGAATACAGCGATCCACTACGAACAGCTTCATAAATAATCGAAACCCAAGATCCAATTGTCTTCTTGGGGCGACCGTCGATCATATTTCCGTCCTTGTCTCCTGCAACAGGGTGTTCAATCAAGCCTCTGTGCATGGGCACGCCCAACTTCTCGCGCACGAAAAGATAAATGGCCTTGGTTCCCTGTCCCAGATATTCAGAAGTGGTAGGATTTCGGAAGAAAGCTTCGCGGTGAGTCAGGTACGAGTCCAGGACAAGAGCTTCAAAGTCTTTAGAGAGTCCCGCAACATTCTCAATCGAGACCAGAGCGGGTATCTGGTCGGCATGCGCCACAATAGCTGTTGTGAGCGACTCAGATGCCTTCCGCGCTCGTTCCGGCGCGTCGTAAGCGACAGTATCGTACCACGCCTCCTCAAAGAGTTTCCAGAATGAGTTGAAGAATTTGTGCGCGGTGGCCACGGGCCAGCTCTCGTTTGGTAAAAAGCCCACAACAAGCTGGCGGGCGGGATTTTCTAAATTGGCAATAAAGGTTCGGTGGAGGGCTCGCAGGTCCACCCCCTGGCAGCCAGTGTATAGGGAGTTAGCGACAATCATGGACAGCACCTCGACAGAAGCCATCGTCTGGCGTGCAGAGAGGAGTCCTAGTGAGTTGATGCCTTGGTTGTTCATCTCTGCCGTTTGGACATGGTTGCTGACTGGATTGGCAAGGAACCCGAGCTCCGAGGTATATGCGGCAGTGTTGATGTCGAGGCCCTTTAGGCAGAAAGAGATGCTGGGGTCATCTGCCGCCAAATTGGGTGGGAGACCATTGCTTAGGTCGTGATTGATCATTTCGCTAGTCTGGCTGAAAAGCATCCTGCCAATTGATTGCAATGCCAGACGGATCTTCTCCGTGGCGGAGGTGACTGAGGCGGCCTGGAAGTTTGCACCACAATGGATATCGTTGTCGAGAGAATTAACAACTGGATTATCAGAAGTCGAGTTGAGTTCAACATGGAGCTGCTTCTCCGCGCTAAGAAGGTCCTCGAGCTGTGGCGCGAGCCATTGTGGTGAGCTTCTTAACGCATAGCGCTCTTGGGCCAACCCCGATGAGAATCGATCTTTTGTCTGCTCCAAACCATAGGATAGCTTTGAGCCTCGCAAGAATGTTCGCATGTTTTGTGCAGCCTCAATCTGTCCTTGGTGAGGGCGTGTCGCGGCGATGAATGGGTGTGCCCACTCATTGTTGGCATACAAAGCCTCAGAGGTTAAAGCAGTCAGCAGTTGCGACACTACCGCCAGTTGATTGGCTTCATAACACCCGATACTAGCAACGGCAGCTGCCGCCGCCGTTCCATTGATGAGTGATAGTCCCTCTTTGGGACCTAGAACAATAGGTGTAATTGAGGCCTCCTCTAGAGCTTGCTGAGCGGTGATGACGCGCGGTAATCCCTTTTGACCACCTACGCGCACATAGACATCTGGAGACCCCTGAATTGCCCCAGAGATGTATGCTAGAGGCATTAGATCACCGGATGCGGAGACCGAGCCGCGAAGTGGAATGACTGGTACAATATCATGCTCGAGCAATTTGATCATACTGTCAACAACATTGCGGGTCATAGCAGAATGGCCGCGAATGTTGGCATTACACCGGATGAGAATTGTAGCCCTGGTCCAGACGCTAGGCATACTGTGAGACTCAAGGTACTCATGACCATTTGGGGCGTCTGATTTGTCCTCTTTTGTCAGGATGGCACTCTGCGTGAGCTGCATCAACCCTCGCTGGAGGCCATACAAGTCCTGGGTGCGAGTATCCGCACTACCTCCAAAGCCAGTATTGACACCTATGATATTGCATCAGCTGAACTGGACCCGTTGGTTTCACAGTTATATAAGCCAAGGACACTTACCATACAGATAGTAGCCCTTCGAAAGGTAGCCCTGCAGGGTTTCAACACTTGCCTCTATACCCTCAATGACACTTTGGTCCTCTTTAAGAGCTAGCCTAACACCGTTTCTGATACTCCACTGTCAGTTAATATCATACAAAACTGGAATCTTCTTCACTGACCTCGCTATCGCAACAACTGATGCAACATCTAGCGATTGACCATCGATAAAGATGGTACCTGCCTTTACATGTTTCTTCAACTCAGACCATGAGTTTAACGTATGCTGGACATGTGGAGTTGCCCACTGATGGTTAACATCATATGCAAGTACTGGTGCGATGCTGCCCATGATGGGTATAAGATGACTGAATAAGATTAGGAAAGTTAAGAGGTTCTGATAGCGGAAAGTAAAACTGTAAAAAGGAACACTTTTCTCGAGATATAGTGGTTTTGATACACTTGACACAGAGTCCGGGCTACCTGGTTATATACTGTTGTCGGCAAAATCTACAAAAGTCCAAAAGATAGCTTGCTTCAAAGGATGATGATTACATTTTTTTCACCCCGTTACTACCTCCGGGGTTTGATGATCCATTGGGACCCACTTGAATCATTGTTCAGAAAAAGGATTGCCTTAACTTGGAATAATGCCATAGGCAGGATATAACGCTTTCAGTACAAATTCCAGCCAGGTAATTTGTGGTGGCAAATATACCGCCATGTGTTACCAGATCGTCTGGTAATCTCATCTATATGACCACAATAGGCTACGTGTCTTCCTCGGGATCACTTGGAAACGCCACAAGTACCATAACAGAGGGGGTAGATGATATTGTAGAGTGAAGAAAAAGCCATGAAACATACAGGCGGAAGCGGGAGATGTGTGGGCAATCACCAACCGGATGTTGAAGTCTCACCAATATTGACCCCAAAGCATATACAGGGATTAAGATCCATCTGATTCTCCATCTCCATCTCGCTTAAATCTGCTCATACAGGGCGATGAAAAAGTGTTGCTTACCGGCTGACCCAATGTGAAACGAGTATATTAGGGGCTACTTGACGCAAATAGCCGTGATTACGACGGACTCCGTCAATTTTGTTCTTGGAATATAAGCATGTCATCTTACTTGGTGTTCCAAATTAGCGATTATTGCCTTGAATATTTCAAGTCATATACACCAAGGGTAATTCTTTACCAGGTAATAACAACGAGGATGACTGTCGCCCTTTATGGTATCAGTGATATCCCCGAGGCTACCTATAGGGGGAGTTAGATAAGATTCACATCTAGCTAGATGTGGGTTCGAGAACCCTATTGTAAGAGCCTCTGTTATTTTACGCTTTTCACGTTGTGTAATATTTAGGGTTTGTCTTCTAAAGTTGTTCCTCAGTTCAGCCTTCCAAGGTTAAGCCGCGGGAACTCCACCGGATCTCCGTTACCCGGCACTAGCCTCAGTGGCGATGTAAGGAACGTATACGGGCCTAGTAATTTTCAATTCCTTGAAATTCGATTGAATTGGCCAATCTACACATCCCTTTACCTCGTCAACATTTTCCCTCTTTGACTTGTATTGTGTGATCGTCGGAGATAGTTGCGCTTTTGTGCGATCGAATATTGTCATCATTTTGAAATATCCTGTATACCTATTCAAATCTATCGGACTTGTATGAGTAATTACCTATTCGGCACTCGAATAAACACAACCTTGAAAAGCGTCCACCAAGGATTAATGCATATATTAGAGGAATAGAATACATAGTGAAAGTACTGTCTAGATGTGAGAAATCACGCTAGCGGTATCTCCGACGGATTGCATATATTTAAGAAGGATCAGTTACTGTGTCTTCTCTCATTACTTGATTAATCGCACTGACCATTGAGTCTTCTTCTCGCCCAAATTCCTTTATCAAGAGCTGGGCCCCTTTCCCGCCACTCCCCCACATTTGGAAAAACATACATGGCCTTGCCCCATGATGCCAAAAAGGGCCCACTTCCCGTCTTGCCTGTGGATGACAGCCTCGGAGACCGACAAGACATGCATAATCCTGATCCTGATCCCAATGAAGTATTCTGGGACAATGACGAAGATTCCTCAAACCCCATGAACTGGAGCGGCACGTATCGTTGGTGCCATGTTGGCTTTATTTCGCTTGTAACCTTTGTCACGTACGTATTGCTGGTTTCATAGCTTGCTCGTTATCTTCTCCATAGCTTGGCATACTATGGAGCTGCTAAACGGACGGCTAGTCGCGGCAAAATCTAGTATATGCATGAGACTAATGCGTGATGCTACAACACTAGTTCGCTAGCTTCATCCATGCTGGCACCCGCAGTCCACGACGTGATGAAATCTCTTGGATCTGACAATACGAAGCTAGAGTCGTTTGTTGTGTCAATCTATGTGATTGGATTCGCTATTGGCCCACTCATTGTAGCACCATTGTCGGAATTGTATGGTCGCGCCATCGTCTACCATTTGACAAATGTGATTTTCCTTGGGGCCATCATTGGATGTGCTTTGAGCAAAAATGTTGGGATGTTTCTGGCATTCCGGTTTATTTCCGGCTGCGCGGGAGTAACCCCTTTAGCTTTGGGTGGCGGTACTATTGGCGACCTCATGCCTCCGGAGCGGATGGGGACCGCAATGGCCGTTTGGGGTTTAGGATCTTTAGTGGCGCCTGTAAGTCACCGACTGATTCCTCACGGTCTACTTTATCTGTCTCGGCCGAAACTTTCTGATATTAACATTGCGTCTAGGTTTTTTCTCCAATTGCAGGAGGCTACCTGAGCCAAGATGCGGGCTGGAGATGGATCTTTTGGGTAATTGCTATTCCGGTAAGCGTCGGCGAAATACAACCATGAAAGGGCAATGAATGCGTAAGCACAACGGAATGGGTTCTGACAGTGGAGTAGATGGCCATCCTTACGATCTTGTCCCCATTTCTGATCCGTGAAACATACGCCCCCGTACTGCTGGAGGCTAAGACTCGGAGACTCCGTAAGGAGACAAATAATCCGCAGCTGAAGTCCCGCCTGGATCCTGGGGTTTCTCGACGGGAGGTCATTCTCACGGCTCTCATTCGCCCCCCAAGGCTTCTGCTGACTTCATTTGTGGTGACAACAATTGCACTCTACGTGGCAGTAGTATACGGATACCAATATCTTGTCTTTACTACATTGGCGTACATTTTCCAGGATAAGTATCACATGTCAACTGGGTCGTCCGGGCTGATTTACTTAGGAACTGGAATTGGAACGATTTTAGGTGAGTTAATTGCTTACATCTGTTCTCTGTCTTTGAGTTAGATGGCTGGGAGAAGAAGAAAATCTGACATATGTTCCGTAAATGCACTAGGAATTTTCGCCATTGGTTTTGCCGCCGACAAAGTTGCCGAACAGAAGAAGAAGAGAGCATCCGCCTTGGCCAAAGATCTCCAGCCGGAGGTGTGTCTGTGGCCTATGATTCCTTCGAGTCTGGTAGCTCCCATTGGTCTCTTTTGGTATGGGTGGTCACTGCAGACGAATGCATCCCCAGTGGTCCCATTAGTTGGGTTGGGAGTGTTTGGGTTCGCCATGATGGGTGTTTTCCAGCCAGCACAGGTCTACCTGGTGAATTCATTCACGATACATTCTGCATCTGCCCTGGCGGCGATGAACATTCTTCGAAGTTTGGCTGGAGGCTTGTTGCCTCTCGCGGGCCATGGCCTATACGATGCTTTGGGGATGGGATGGGGGAACAGTCTCTTGGCGTTCATTGCATTGGCCTTCGCCCCGGTTCCCTTTCTCTTGATGAAATATGGGGCAAAAATGAGGAAGAGGGATCGGAATATTAAGTGATGTTAGATTGGTGAATATGAGGTTTGTCAAAGCGATTCATAATTGGAGTCAAAATAAGCTTGTACATCCGATGGGACATGGCGCATATGGATAGTTGGGACTTCTCCACTCCCTCTCCTTCATATTCTGTTTATATATGAGGTCACTTTGAAATTAGAAGATGAACAAAGCATTGAGATGAATGGTTGTCTTCTATGGTAATTATAAGCTTTGAAAGAACTATTGTCAAGTTCTCGGAAGACATTCAGGCGCCAGTTATTCCCCGTGGAATCCGGATACAACCTGTCAAGCAACCGGATAGAAAGAATAGACCAGCAGCAACCATATAGGGCAAGCCCACCAAAAGCCCATCTTCCTGTAACCCCCGGCGGAATGCGGCAGCCAGAATGGGCCCTGACAGCAGAGAACCAATACTTTGGGCGAACCCAATCGCCGTGTTCACAATACCTACCTGCGATGGTGATACTAGTTCCATCGCTAGACTTCGCAGGGCCGAGTAGAAGCCCCATCCAAATGCGAGCAAGCTAACTCCCACTATGAATGTGACCGGATAAGTGGAAACGGCCATGATGGCGGACCCCAGGGTTAGAAGCCACACACTGCCTTGAACAATACGGAGATCCTTGGCAGCGGGGGACAGAAGCAAATTTTTATTCAGCCAGTTGGAAAGCCAAGGTAGAATGAACAATAGAGTGACGAGATTTATGATGCCCTTCAGAGTGATGAGTGAACTGGCACGCGCAATGCTCCAAGAAAAGCGATTTGAAGCATATTGAACAATGAGTTGTAGCGCTTGCCGACCGATACTTGCAAGTAAAAATGCCCCGACAGTGTAGAAAAGGTTTGCGCTCCAGGATGTCGAATAGTCGTTTTGAATGTGGTTCCACTGCCGTCGTATGGCATTTTTCCAATGTAGATATGGTGGATCATCCGTCAAGCTCAAATCATGTCCTTGTTCCTGGCCTTCTTCCTCCTCTTCAAGATCCTGTTGGTCGTTGGATGGCGCTGAATCGAAAGGTATATCAGAGATAAAAGTGGCTCCGAGCAGTCCTAAACACTCAAAGAATAGACCCAACAGTGAAGGAATCCATGGGGTCCACGACATTAGGAATGCTGCAACCGGAGTAGCAATAATTTCGCCGAGTAGAGTCGCAGCAGACAGGATGAAGAAAACAGATGCCCTGAAAATAGACCGTCCTCGTTAGTCAGCTAATTCCTCATCAACATGGGCAAGGTATTATCGCCACCTTTGACTACCTGGCACCATATCGGTAACCATAGCGTAGGCCATAGCGGTCGCTATTTGGGGTCCGCCGCCGATGATTTGAAAAACAGGAGTCGCCCAAACCATCCGCAGCGGCAGGGCGGAATTAAAGAAAAAGATTAATCGTATGGAAATTTCTTCTAGAATGAGTCCAGTCAAGCTGAGTGCCAGTATGGGCTTACGACCTACTCTGTCGGCAGCAAACCCATACGGAAGGGCAAGGAGGATTCCTGGGACTTGGTCAAATGTGTCTTTCCATCCATTGATAAGAGCCAATTCTCCTTGCACGTCAGGTGACTTGCAGTTGTCATTTCCCACAAAGGAGTTGCTGCCTCTAGCCCGGCGGCAGATAATCGACTCAAGAATTTCGATATGAGGGGCATAGCCAAGGTAATTGCCGAAATCAGCGGCTACAACAGAAAGACATACAAGGAGCAAGAGATGACGACGAGGAAAGGACGTAATTTTGGAATGCTCGCCATGCCCAGCCTCGTGGCCCCCTAACAGCGGTGCCCGCTCACCCGCCTCCGATGCGCGTGTCGACGGTGCGGATGGATTTCGCGTCGGCATAGCGGGTGGCGGTGGCTGTTGCTCTCGATTCGAATTTTCCCTCATCTTTTCGTGAGAGGCGGTTCTACCAAGTTCCCACAACAACGATATGCAGAATGAGAGATGTCGGGGAGAGGAAATTGCAACGTGCAGGGGTAGGGAGCTGAGGCGTTGAGACACCAGAATTAGCAATTATTGTTACATCGGGCTGACAGAATTCTCCGGCGGAAGCCCGTCTCCCGCTTAGGTACGGAGTGACAAAGTGCCAACGTTGGCCGGGGAAGGAACGAGGCTTAAGTTAATTTCACGGGGTTCCAGGGTTCTGTCGCGTGTTACCCCTCAGATCCACGTCAGATCTGCCCCTGTGTAATTTTCAATTTCAAATTACAACGTAATATTCATACCTGAAATTACAATTTTTTGGATCTATCTCCTTTTGGCTAATCCTCTCCACGGAAACAATGGCGATGTCTCGTCATGCAACTGGGACGGTCCGGGTATGTATGAAAGCCGCTGACAGCCCTTAGATTGGGGACCCTTGATGCCGCAGCAAGGTACTGAGGGAAAGCGAGAAGGATTATATATCTCCTAAGCAGCCCGACCTGGTAAGTATATCTCAATCCTACTGAGTTAACAGTACTTTGTCCTCGAATTCGAATGGTTCCCAATGGCTCATCAATTCTGGCAAGATGAATTTGCAGACCTTGAAACTTCTCCGTACCCAAACCTCCCATCGACTGGTTATCACCCCGAACTCAAGCACACCATTGAGCACGAGATAGACTGGTTAGACTGGAGCGATTTTCACCATGATCAATGTACCTTGTCCACCAGACTACAGGCCGCATGGGCCCTACTGTTGGCCCAATACGCCAACAGCGAGGACATAGTGTTTGGAACAAATGTGGCCAGCGAATGGAGGGATTGTCATAGAGCTGAGAATGCCCCAAGTATCCAAGGCAGTTGGAAATATGTCATACCATTTAGAGTTCCAGTATCATGGTACTCAGACCTCGTGGAGTGGTTGCAAATCATGCAAACTCGAATTGAAGCTATTGAAGAGGTTCTCGAATGGGGAGGATTGGACCGCATCAGGTCTTGTAGTCCACAGGTAGCGGAAGCTTGTGATCTTCGCACGATACTGCTGATTCGGGAAATTGACGAGGAACAACAAGAGGTAAAACATTCTATTCCAACGGATTATAGTGACAATTTTGAATGCTGATCCGTGTTGGCCACTAGGATACCCAACCCTTATCAACCGAAGGAGTCTGCAATATGGGTAGTGTCGCCCTAATTGTGGAATGTCTGCCATCTGCTCGCCTGCAGAATCTCTCTGTACGATTCCATATTGATGAGGCTATTGTGAATGGTATTCAAGCCAAGCAAATGATGTTTCAGTTCACAAATCTTATCCGCCAGCTCTGTCAAGTGAATTTTCACGAGAAGGGAAAACATATTATCGGCCTTGACACCATATGCGAAGAAGATAAAACTCTCATCTGGAAATGGAATGGGTCTCGTCCGCGGAATAATGATATCTGCATCACCGAACTGTTCAGTCAACAAGTCAAGAGACGTGCAAATCGGGCAGCTGTGCATGCTTGGGATGGCCTTCTCACATACTCCCAACTGGATGAGCAATCAACGCTACTAGCCAAGTACTTGGTGCACACCCAGGTTGCTGGTCCAGGTCAGATTGTTCCGGTTTGCTTTGATAAGACCATATGGACGACAATAACCATATTGGCGATTGCAAAAGCCGGAGCCGTTTTCATCCTGCTTGATCCGTACCAACCTCGGAGCCGCTTAGCAGCAATTATGGCTCAAATCCAATCCTCCACCATTTTGGCGAGACCAGATACGGCTGAGCTAGCTCAGTCCATCACTACTCATGTAGTGATTGTTGACGAAGGCTTCAATGGGGTGGGGTCTTTCGAGACAGCTCCGCTAGGAGGCACATCATTGCCATCGGATCATCTCTACATCGTCTTCACATCAGGCAGTACTGGAACACCGAAAGGTGTCACTATATCCCATGCAAATCTTGCCTCCGCAGTCGCCCATCAAGCACGCACTCTTGGATTCAACACAGGTGTTCGCACATTTGATTCGTCTTCATATACCTTTGACGCATATGTTTACAATACTTTTTATACGCTCTTGACGGGCGGTTGTCTGTGCGTTCCTTCTGAAACGGACCGTATCAATAACTTGCAATTGGCCTTGCAGAAGTTGGATGTCGAGTTTGCCCAATTGACCCCCTCGACCTCCCGGTTGCTTGACCCAAATAAGCTCCCACGCCTACGCACTTTGATTCTTACTGGCGAGAAAATAAACCGCACCGTACTCGACCCCTGGTTGCAAACAAAAGGACGAGTGCGTGTCATCAATGCGTATGGACCATCGGAGTGTACAATAATGTGTGCGGCAAACTGCAATATTACCTGCGCTGAAGATGCGGAGAGCATTGGGTTTGGTCTGGGTGCCAACCTTTGGATCGCCGATCTGCATGACATTAACCGCCTGGCGCCAGTTGGGGCGGTGGGCGAGCTACTTATCGATGGGCCGATCGTCGGGCAAGGATATCTCGGCGATGAGCAAAAGACCACGGAGTCTCTTGTGCAAATACCCAATGGTTATCTGCCAGGAGTGGCACTCGCACCAACCTCCCCGATGTTTCGTACTCGCGACTTAGCAAGATACAACTCTGATGGTTCAATTTCCTTTATTGGGCGCGCAGACACACAAATAAAAATCAATGGACAACGCGTCGAAATCGGTGAAGTTGAATATCATCTTGGTCAGCTCTTACCCGACGGAATTCTTCCGATTGTGGAGGCGGTTCAATGGCCATCCGGCCAGAAGCAGCTCCTGGCATTCATCTACTTAGATGAAGAAACGGGAGGGTCTGTCTCACACATCAGGCGCCTGGTAGGGGATATGATTGCAGGCTTAGATGAGAAATTGTCTGACAGACTGCCTCGATTCATGATACCATCCGCATTCTTCCCACTCCAGTCTGTCCCCATGACAGCCTCGGGAAAGACGGATCGTAAGACGCTACGAAGTATAGCACTAGCGTCACCCGATCGACTACTTGACCTTTACTCTGTGGAGACACTCGGAGAGCCACTAATGGATGATTCAATTAGGCCATTGACCTCAGATGAGCTCATCCTGGGGGATTTCTGGACAAAAGTGTTGATAATCCCAAATGACACTTCACTTCGACCCCATGACAATTTTATTGCCAAGGGAGGAGACTCTTTGGCAGCCATGCGTCTTGTAGCATTGCTTCATGAGGAAGGATACGGTGGTTTGAGCGTTGCAGACATTCTCCAACATCCACATCTTTCGGATTTAGCAGGGTTATTACAACGACGAGACCGGTATGACCAACATTATGTTGCCGATATCTCGACTGAGCCATTTTCGTTGCTACTGGGACCAAAACCAGAACCAAACGAAATCAATGCAATTTTTATCAGAGTCTCGGAAAGCTGCCAGTGCAATCCCGCCGACATCGAGGACATATACCCCTGCTCACCTATCCAGGAGGAGATGATGGTGCTGGCAGCTCGAAACCCACAGTCATTTGTCACACAAACCGTGTTGACTCTGGAACCCGATGTGGATCTGGAAACGTTTGTCCTCGCATGGAAGAATGTGTCAATGTCAACGCCAATAATTCGAACGCGGATTATCGATATGAAAGCGAACCATCTTCGTGGCGCTCAGCATCAAAACTTTGCCCAAGTTGTATTGAAATGCTCTTTGTCGCTATCCAAATGCCCTGATCTAGATGAGTGTCTACAATCTGAACGGGAGGCTGGCATGGGAGTCAATGAGCCACTGTTCAGAATCGGGATTGTTGAGCAGGGTTCCTCTGATACTGATACAAAACCAGAGTCTCGTACTCGGGTCGTCTTTACGATGCATCATGCCATCTATGACGGTTGGTTCCTCAGTCAGATTGGCGATGAAGTATTCAGCACGTATAATAGTCTGAAGAAAGGGGATATTTCGGGAGGATCTATGATTCCATACCGTAACTTTATTCAATATCTTCATGGGTCAGAATCAACAGCAGCCGGGCAGTTCTGGACAGATTACCTTCAAGATGTCAATCTGGTCGGATTCCCGCCACTTCCAGAGGCAAATTATAAGCCATACGCAACGGCTATCGAGGAGCTCAATGTGTCTGGGATTGACTGGGCTAATACCAATGGATTTACACCAAATATTCTCATTCAAACTGCCTGGGCACTTGTCTTGTCTAAACGCTCCGGGGCCAGTGATATCGTTTTCGGTACTACACTCCTAGGCCGACAAATCTCGCTGCCTGGAATTGAGCGAGTGGGTGGCCCGACGATTACGACTGTCCCAGTACGCATAACGATAGACTGGGAAGGGCACGATGCCTTGAGTTTGGTTCAAATTACGCAGAACCAGGCAGGGAAGATGATTCCTTTTATGCATTATGGCACCTCCCGCATCCGTCGTCTGAACTTTGATGCAGAGCAGGCCTGTCAGTTCAATACATTTCTGGTAGTACAACCAGCACTGCAATATTCAGAATCAAACCCACAGCCACTATTCGATCTCGGAGATGGTCGTGATGACATCCAGGCTTTCAACACTTACGCAGTCATGCTGGAATGCTGTTTGACATCAGATGGTCTCATTGTTCGAGCCAGCTTTGATGAAATCGTCCTGAGCAAGGAGGAGATTGGAGAGATATTGGCAGACCTCCAGAAAATCCTCTCATTCCTTTCCACCGCGTCAAAGGAATCCCCAATTCTGAGCGAGGTCGGCATCTTATCAAAGATAGAGCGGGATCGTATTGCTGCCCTTAGGAAACCTGGTCGAAATGTCCATGTTCTTGAGGCAGAAGCTCGTCTCAAAGAATGTCTACCGGATGAAGTGGAGAATTGCGGGTTGAATCTTGTTAACATCCCAGGGATGTCCAAACAGCTGGTGGCTTTTATTTCCATGACAGAAAATGACACAACCCCTTCAAAGCTGCTGGATGTTCTCTCTAGACCGCTTGGTCAACTTTCGGAAAAGCTCAGCCGACACATGCTGCCAACGAGGTTCCTTGTCCTCCCCCAGCTACCCATGATAGAGCCCGGCCAGATCAACCGAGACAAGCTGAGCCAAATAGCCATTGAGACACCGACGGATCAGTTCCTCGACTACTCAGCTTTCGTAAAATATCGAAGGGCCTTCGATGATCCACCACGGACGAAAGCGGAACTCGTATTGCAGCATCTCTGGGCAGCTACCCTGGAAATTGATGCTTCTTCAATCGGTCGACAGACCTCCTTCCTGGCTATTGGAGGAGATTCACTTTCGGCAATGAGACTAGTCGCTGGTCTTCGGGGGGAAGGATACTTTTTGCAAGTTGCTGACGTGCTGCGCACCTCTCACCTAGCAGACCAGGCCATCAAGATGGTTGAAGAGGGTTCCGAAAATAATGCACCATTGCTCCAGCCAGTTGCACCGTTCTCACTCCTCGAGGAATCAATCAATAAGGAATCCCTCGCTGTGGCTTGTCATGTTCAGCCGTGGGAGATTGAAGATGCGTATCCCTGTTCTCCTATCCAGGAGGCGATGTTGGCTCGTACCGTCCTCCAAGCCGATGAATTCGTATCCCGCGGTCTCATTCCGCTTCCCGTGGACGTCGACGTGAATCGATTGAAGGAAGCTTGGAATACAGTGATTGCTGAAACCCCAGTTCTTCGCACTCGTATAGTTGAGTCTGCCGGACAAGGATTGTTACAGGTTGTTACCAAGGTAGCCGTACAATGGCTGGAGCTTGGGACTCGGGAGGAGGAAACACCGACAACCGTCGGGATTGGGGGGCCCCTGCTTTCTTTCTCCCTCATAAAACCCTCCTCCGCGTCTGAGACAAGTCCCCGTGGCTCTGCAGCCCTCTTCATGACCATTCATCATGCAATTTACGACCGATGGTCTGCATCATTGATCATGAGAAGGGTTGAGTCCATTTATCGTGGCATTGCCCCAACCAGGAATCTGATTCCATACAGCCGGTTTATTCAATATATTGTCCAGGAAGTGGACGAGGAGCAGTGCCGGGATTTTTGGACGGGATACTTGGCCGACTGTGCTGCACCGCAGTTCCCCGCTTTGCCTAACCCCAAGTACCAGCCAATCGCCAATATGGCGTCCAAACGAGATGTACAGGGCATTAAATGGCCTAAAGGCTTCACTCCAGCAACAACATTGAAGGCTGCCTGGGCTATACTAATTTCGCAGTATTGTAACTCACATGACGTTGTGTTTGGGTCAACCGTTATGGGTAGACAAGCACCTCTCGCTGGAGTTGAGCTAATTGCCGGCCCAGTCATTGCCACAGTTCCTATTCGGGTAACATTGAATTGGCAATTACCTCTCCGAACTTTGTTACAGGGCATTCAATCAGCGGCAGCACAGATGATTCCATTTGAACAATATGGACTCGGGCGCCTGCAACGATTGAACCCGAATTCCCTCCAGGCCTGCCACTTCCAATCTCTGTTTGTTATTCAGCCGCGAGCCGAAGAGGACAGCCAAAAGAATTTCTTGTTCTTGCAGCGAAGTGAGAATGATACCATAGGCCAAACGTACGCCTTGGTCCTGGAATGCGTCTTGGGTGGTTCGTCGTCCGTATCATCGACGGACGCAGTCACGCTGAGTCTTAGCTTTGACGACCAGGTTATCGATGGGCAACAAGCAGACCGACTCTTGCTTCAGCTCGAACACATTCTCAAACAATTGTGCAAACACGATGATACGATGGAAAAAATGCCACTTTCTGAACTCGACTTACTTTCAGAGGAGGACCGCCAGCAGATCTGGGCTTGGAACGAAACCCTCCCAGAAACAATTGACAGTCGAATTGACAACATGATCGCAGAGCGCGTGAGTGAACAGCCAAACTCACTCGCGATCGACGCTTGGGATGGTCAATTAACCTATCGGGAACTGTTCGACAACGCCCGCGAACTGGCTAATTGGCTGGTGACAGAACAAGGAGTTGGACCAGAGATTTCAGTTCTCCTCTGCTGTTCAAAAAGTATGTGGACGCCTGTGGCGAAGCTGGCAGTGATCATGGCTGGTGGTGTAGTGGCCCTTGTGGACCCATTCCAGGCCGTTGAACGCTTGCGGTCCATCGCTTCCCAGGTCGATGCTCGGTTGACCTTGGCATCACCAACAACCAAAGAGATTGCAGCAAAGATTACTTCAACCGCAGTGTATGTCGTTGATGCCGCGTTCATCCAAGGCTTGCATGATACATGCCTAGTGGTTGACAACTCATGGATTCCAATTGTGTCGGGCAGCAATGCTCTGTACATAATATTTACTTCGGGAAGTACGGGAACCCCCAAAGGGGTCATCATTACCCATGCCAATGCATGTAGCGCTGTGGTTCACCAGAAGCAACACTGGGGTTATGATTACACCACTCGGGTATTTGATTTGTCCTCTTATAGCTTTGACTTTGTGTGGGCGCCATTTCTCCACGGACTGTGTGCGGGTTCGTGCATCTGTATCCCCTCCGAAGATGAACGCCGTAATGATATCGCGGGTGCAATTCAAAGACTACGCATCAATTATCTGAACATCACGCCTTCCCTAGCGCGATCTCTGGACCCCAGATCCTTCCCAGATATAAAGAACATCACTATGGGAGGCGAAGTTGTTCAATTAAAAGATGCCACTCGTTGGGGGGAGAAGGTCAGAGTTATCAACCTCTACGGTCCATCTGAGTGCACGATAGGCAGCACAATGGCAGTATATGGAGTGGACTTCAACAGAATAGTGAATATTGGTCAATCCCATGGTTTGAACGCGTGGGTTACATCTTGTGCTCAGCCGAACAAGCTGGCTCCCATCGGTGCCATTGGAGAGCTTGTCCTCGAGGGGCCCTTGGTTGGAAGGGGGTACCTGAATAACCCTGAAAGGACAGCCAGCGTATTCATAGAAAAGCCTCCCTGGCTGTCTGCGATTGACGATGATTCAATTCCTCGTGGCCAACGGGGAGGCTTGTATCGCACAGGTGATTTGGTGAGTTGGAACAGTTACGGTAGATTGATGTTTGTGGGCCGAGCGGACACGCAAGTCAAGATCCGTGGACAGCGTGTGGAACTGGAAGAGATCGAATTCCATGCCAGTCACTTTCTTGGCCCTTCGTTCATGGTAGTGGCCGAGGTTATCGAAATACGCAATACAGGAGACTCCGGATACAACTCCCAGATGTTGACCTTATTTTTGGCGTCTCGCAATGGGAAGGAAAGTACAAATATCGGTGAAGAATTGCAGCAGTTTACCAAAACACAGCGCAAAGAGTTGAACAGATATCTTACACAAGCCCTCCCTGTGTACATGGTTCCCTCATCCATGTTGGAATTGGAGCGGATTCCACTTATGCCCTCCGGGAAGATTGATCGCACGAGGCTCCGAGAAATCGGAGCGAGCAGCAAGTTCCAAGACGTCCAATACAATGAACCCGTCGAGGAACTGCAGACAGACTGTGAGATAGTCCTGAAGGACTTGTGGTCAAGTCTGCTCGCAATCTCAAGTGACAGGATAGGCCGCCATAGTAACTTCTTCGATCTCGGGGGCGATTCCATTATGGCCATCCGCCTGGTAGGAGCTGCTCGACAGCAACAACTTCCTTTGTCGGTGACCCTCGTCTTTCAGAATCCGCAGCTCGACGACATGGCAGCCCGACTGTCAACTCCCTTTAGTGATGAACGGGCGCACCGTTTTGACCCTCCTGATAATGGACACCTTACCGAGTCCCCAAACCAGGTGCTTCCAGGGAAATCTCAGGTTGCAAACCTTCTTTCAGTCCCCGAGGATATGATCTGCGACATTCTTCCAGTGACTGATTTTCAGCGCTATGCCATCCGCTCTGGTTTCACTCAACCTCGCACTGAATGGAACTATTTCTCTATGAGATTCACCGGCCTTACCAACATTGCTAATTTGACAAATCTCTGTCTTCGGCTTGTATCATTGTTGGAGATACTGCGAACTGTTTTCGTGCCTCATAACTATGATGGTGAATACATCCAGGTCATCTTGCGTACCTTAAAACCAAATGTCACGGTCATCCGTGATCTTGACGAGCTATTGGACGAGGCATGTGCGAGAGTATGTTTGAATGAACTGGAAGAGAAGCTTATCCCAGGCTCGCCATTTGTCAACTTCTTCATTTTCCAATCCCAAAAGCACAATATGTCGCAATTGGTAATTGGTATCTCCCATGCTCTCTACGACGGAATCAGTTTATCACAAATGGCCGAACATTTTGGCGCGCTCTATGATGAACGCCCAGTCCCAATTGTCGGTCAATTCTCTTCTTACATAAACTCAATCACTTCTGCCACTTCCAACTCTTCTCGGGCAGCTTCATACACCTACTGGCGCTCACTGTTACAAGACGCACCGGTACCGACAAATATAACTTACGATAACTCCAGACTTCGTCCCGGAAATCGAATGCGCATATGCAGGGAGGTCAGCGTTTCTCAACCTCCCAAACGTGCTACTGTGGCAACGGTGTTTACTGCCGCATGGGGTATAGCACTTGCCCGGGTTACTGGGCAAAGTGACGTCGTGTTTGGCCGTGCTGTCTCCGGGAGGACATTGACATCTGCTACTGCAGACCACGAGAGAATCATCGGGCCGTGTCTGAACCTTGTACCAGTGAGGATGAGCGTTTCCAATTTTGATCCTGCCACTCCATGCTCTACTGCAGACAAGTCCCAGATCATAGAATCGCTGCAGTCCCAGTTCATCGACTCCATCCCCCATGAGACCATTGGCCTGTCCGAAATCGCGAAGAATTGCACCAATTGGCCGAAAGACATCTCGGAATTTGGCTCGGTATTCTACTTTCAAAACATTGAGCAGCAAACCGCTGTTCTAGTGGGAGGCCAAGACATAGTGTTTGCCGCTCTCCCACTTGACCGACCAGACCCTCCTGAGCCACCCCGACTAAATGTGTTGCCACGGGGCGAGACGCAATATACATTGGAGCTGTTGGTGCCAGAGCAAATGGCAAAAAACAATGCCTGGTCGCAGATTTTGGACGCGATGGTCGAGTGGCTCGATGCTTTTTCTTCCGGTGACTAAATGGGTGATCATCCTATCTCTACAAAGTATATATTGCTCCTTGCCAGGTCATTCAAGTGTGTGTTATCATTTCAGTAGGCAAATATTTATGTAGTAACAGAAACACCTTATAGAACAAAAGGAGATAGTCCTCTATAGTATGTTCTAAGATTGGGTTGTCAATATTAAATATTTCAGACAACCAAGAAATAGCAAGTTCAATTTGGTGGACAATACTGAGCTATAAATACAGGAATGCCGACACTTACTTCCATTTACTCTCCATGCTGCGAGCCCAAATAAGGGAAGAACATCGTCTCCGTATTCTCAGCCACAGCTTCTAGAAAACTTGGAATAAGTGGTTCAATCCCTAGTTCAAGCGCCCGCGTGCTCCAATCCCTCAGACTAAGTTCCCCAAAAGGTCGACTATGCACTCTTTCCATGTATTCCCTGAAGCTCTTCACGGAGACCTTATCATGGCTGGAGTGGTGACGGAAAACAACAGAGGAAAGACGATTGTCGATGCCGTCCATCACCTGTGTGGCTATTTCGTCTGCAATAATCTCCACTTTCTGGAAGTCCAGATAACCATCCATATTCGTCATTTGCGGTGTTGCTCCCATAATATTCGAATAACGCAACATAGAGTTAAGGGCATCCTGGTGTGGTGCATTGTCCCCAATGGGGGTACAGGGTCGGTGAATGCAGACAGGCAGCCCAGTGTGTTGTGCGTAGCGCTCTAGGAAGGCCTCGCTTGCCCATTTGGTAGCTGTCAGCCCCTCAGAACCATCGGCGGGGGGAGGATGGGAGGACACAGACACCGGTCCCAAAGCTGCGTTTCCAGTAAGAAGAATGACCCGGGGCGAGGAGATGTAGTGCAGAGGAATCTGGGCCTGATGGCAGAAACGAGCAAGGAAGTGGGTGGAAAGCAGGTTGGGGGTCCGCAGTGAATTATAGAAGTTTAGACAATGGCCGTTTGAGCCGGCGTGGATGACAACATCGATGCAGGATAGCAGCATTGTGTGATCTGCCGTGGACAACCCTAGGGCTGAATCGAGGAGACTTCCATAGTGAACAATGACTTTATCACTGCCGGTGATAGAGTCCTCATGTCCCTTCTCAACCGCGATGCAGTGGACTTTGCTGACCAGAGAGTTTTCCACCAGGGCTTGCACAAGTACACTTCCCAAAAAGCCGGTCGATCCGGTAAGGAGAATCTCACACCCAGTAGATGCAGACCGGCGTGATACAGGCGCGGTCTTTGCACTGTTCAGAAGTTCTTCTGGGATGAGCGTTTCCTCAAACCAGTTGACTGACTTCGAGGGAGATTTTGCTTTCTCCGTGGTTATTTTGATGGCCATGCTGGATAATGTGCTTGCACCATACAATTCACGAATGGTGATCGATACCCCAATGGATGTGCGAATCGCGCTTTGCAATTTGACAAGCAAGAGTGAGTTCCCACCTACCATGAAAAAGTCTGTGTCGGGCTGGATCTGCGGGTTATTGGGGAGAATGCCCTGCCATAGCAATTTGAGCTCGCCCTCCCCCAATGTCAGACGACTGGATGGCAGCGGCAGTGGCTTTGGGATGGCACTCTCGAATGGGCGACTCTCGATAGCTTTGCGATCAATCTTCCCGTTGGCGTTCCTGGGTAGAGATTCCAAGCAGACAATCCTTGCGGGGCACATGTATTGTGGGAGGGGTAGACTGCTCGCAAGTATCTGGAGGTCGGCCTCACTAGCGGTCTGCCCGGGAACCAGTGCGACATAGGCAACGAGGATTTGAGAATCGCCTTCGCCCTTTGTACATACAACGGCTGATGATAGCAAACCAGATGCGGAGGTGACTAACGTAGAGGCAACATCTTCGAGATCGATGCGAAGTCCTCGCAGCTTAATCTCCGTGTTTCCGTCCATGCGACCCATATGAATGAGCGAACCATCCTCCAGAAGACAACCCTTGTCGCCAGTGCAGTACATTCGAGTCCAGCCTCGGGCAATGTCATCAGGTGTTGCGAAGGGATCGTCATGGAACTTGAGTTTGGTTTGCTCTTTGTCCAAATATCCCAAGGCAATGCCAATACCGCCCGCACAGACCTCACCAGGGACTCCGATGTCCACTGGGTTGTGATCTTTATCAAGCACATAAAGGGAAGTGTTAGCGATTGCCTTTCCAACACTTCGTGCGGTTTCAACCTGCGACACTGTCATTGTCTCGAAGGTAGTGCAAGCAGAAATCTCTGTTAGACCGTAGGAGTCCTGAACAATAGGGCAGTTCGTCCCAAGCTGAGCGAATTCCAGCTTCAAGCGATCTGTGAAAGGCTCACCACCCAAGCAAGCATATTTCCATAGGGTGTACCCCTTCATATGCTCGCGTGCATGCTGTAGGATGGCAAGATACTCGGAAGGTGTAGCGAGCGTGAATGTCACCTTATGTTTGCGGATGAATTTGGCAATCTCGATGGGGTCACCGCGTGCTGTTTGAGGAACAATAACAAGCTTACCCCCGTTCATAACGGCATTGAGAGTCTGCGCAAGACCCATGTCGAATCCGATTGAGCTCTGTTGCAAAACAACAACTCGGCTGTCGAGTGCCAGTTCTTTCTCTTTGGCGGCAAGATAGTTAATGAACCCGATTTGCGGCAGGAGAACGCCTTTGGGCTTTCCCGTTGAGCCACTCGTGTAAAGCAAAACTGATGGTGCAGCCCCACTACTTCTGTCTTGTACAGGAGTGTTCGGATCCCCACCAACTTCTTCAACATTCAGAACGGAAGCGGCACCTAGTGCCAGGGCTCTTTCGCATGTTGATGATGAACAAAGTATTATACTTGCCCCGGAGTCCTTGATCATAACCGTGTGTCTTGCCGTGGGAATGCTGAGGTCAAGGGGAAGGTGAACGGCACCAACCACGAGAACAGCGAGCATGCTCGCCACTGCGGCGAGTGATGGTTGGCACAGAATCCCGACAACATCCCCTCTAGCAATTCCTTCTTCAAGAAGGACATTGGCAATGCGGTTAGTATGCGCCCCGAGCTGCGCATAGGTAAACTCTCCAGATTCCTGCACTATGGCCACCTTGCTTCCGAAAGCTTTCAACATGTTCTCAAACCTTTTAGATAGAGTCGTCGGCCATCCATTATCCAATCGTGGGCCTCGTCGAATAGATAGTTTTCTTCCATCAATTGTGGGCGAGGGAGGAATTGGAATCCTTGCAGGCAATAGGGTATTGCAGGAGAAGGAATCAATCAAATCAGCATATGTGTCCAGGATTGATTCGGCGGCTTCACGTGTGTAAATATAATCACGGCAGGTTACTTCCAAGATGCAAGTACCAGATTCAGTGGGAGTGATGTGGAATGAAATATCGTACGGTGGATTACCCATGGCGCTTTGCTCATAATTAAGCTCGAAGTCTGCCACAGACATTTTGGTGATTTCACCAACGCGGTAGTTCATCGCCACTTGGAAGATTGGAGTGTGGGAAGAAGCCCGTTGAATTTTGAGAGTGTCCACAATGACACTGGAGGGCACAGAAGAGTTTGAAAGTGCAAGTAAAGCCTTTTTGGATGTTTTCTGGTAGACGTTCGCAAAAGTGTCCTCCTGGGCGACAGCAACCTGAACAGGCACTACATTCACAAAGTAGCCTATGGTATTGGCGAACTGTCGCTGTTTGCGGTTTGCGTCGCCTATGCCGATGCAAATATTTTCCACGTTCAACAATCTGGCAAGAAGAACGTTGAGTGTCGCCAGGAAAAAGTGGAAGGATGTTCCTCGAAGGCCAACACTTGTCTTCTTAATCTTGTCCACTGTGATTTTACCTATCTCCCGCCTCATCGTATGCGCCGTGTAATCATCGATTGGCACTCGTTGTTTGATTTTGGCAAATGGAAGGAGAGGCATGACGGCTGGTAACGGGGACAACTCACGCTTCCAATAATCGAGTTCTTGGGTGAAGGTGCCATCTCGGATAGCACGATTCTGAATTACAGAGTAATCGATGTATTGGACAGCACTGGTGGGCGGAGTTCCCAGTTCATAGAAAGATTTCAAATCGCGTAGGAAAACGGACCAGCTGACACCATCCATGATGATGTGATGATAGGCGAATATCACGGTGTGCTGCTCTGATCCAACAGACACCACGGTGACTTGGAACGTCTCACCTTCCTCCAACCGCCAGTTGAGGGATGCAGCATTTTCAAATTCCCGCGATACAGTGGCAGTATCTAATGTCTCAATATGGCGGAAGAATGGCAGAGGTTCATTCATAACCGCCTGGAGCAACTGGCCACGGACAGGGTCTGCGAAGAATGCGGTGCGCAGCATCTCATGCCAAGAAACAGTCTGAGAGAGAGCTCGCTCAAACCTCGCAAGCTGGAAGTTCCCCTTGACCTCATACGAGATAACAACATTGTACTGCGATGGATCTTTCATGTAGCTTCCTCCAAGCCAAATCAGTGACTGATAGGGCGACATCTCCTCGACTCGTTGGTATTTCTGAGAAATTGGTGAACTTGAGGACTTGGCATATGTAACCTGGAGAGTGTTGGAAACGCTTGTGGATGTCTCTGAGTCACCTAGTTCAGACTGCGTCGTTTCGGCAGAGCTGCTGGGGCCAAGCTTTGACCCAGAGGTCTGTGAATTTGAGCTCTCAGTTGACCCTACAGGCTGTTGTCCGACACTATCTTGTGCTGCCGAATCCAGTAAGTGTGTTACAGCGCTGTCACAGAGCTCGAATGTAGTGAATTCCAAAATATTGGACGCTGGAATATGGAAGCTTAGCTCTTGGAAGAACCAATCTGCGATCTCAACAGCCAACAAAGAATCGAACCCAAGATCGATGAGTGGCTTATGGGTGTCCAGCGTGTTTGGAGAAAGATGTAGCATAGACTGAACTTTTGCCGAGAGTCTTTGTTCAAGAATGTGGAAAGCGTGATCCTTGGACTTGGAGTTGTCCAGTTGCTCAATCACACTTGAATTCGGCGATATACTTTGCTGCTGTTGCTCATCTGGTGCCGTGTCTTTAGTCACGAAGTGTGACAGGAAGGGATCTGAGCACCAGGGAATGTTTGGGTCACTGGCAGATTTCTTGAATTGCTGGAGTCCAAGTACAATTTCCGGGCTACCTGCAGAGTCACAGGAACTGGAAACGATTGCCTCTGCAAAGGAGTGATGAATATCTGGCTCGGACAATGGAGCATATCCGAGCTTCGCCATGCGCTGAATGTTATGTTTGCTTTGCCTTGCCATATAACCCAGATCAACGACCATGCCCATGTATATCACCGAGGCTGCCAATCCTTTCTTCCTCCGCTGTTCAACCAAACCAGGTATGGAGAGACTATCAGCGGGGAGGTTCAACCACCGCGATGTTCCCATGACAGTACCAAGAGTGGATACAACAACGAAGAAGTCCAAGGTGGGCTGAGAGAAAAATTCGTCGAGATATGCTACTCCTTGGACAGCTGCAGCCGATGGGTTACTCGAGTCATCAACCTTATCCTCAGATGGATTGGGGGAGAGGCCCATTAAAGCATAACACACGCCGGCAACAGGTGGCATGGTGCGGGTGACCGTTTTGCAAACCTCTAAAACGGAATCACGGCTGGAGAAGTCCGCTTTCATCACTTTCACATCTGCCCCAAGAGCTGAGATCTCCTCTAGCGATGCTTGACTAATCTGTGTGTTCCTACCGATCAGAGCGAAGTTTCGTGCCCCATTTCTTGCCATCCATGAGAGAAGGGATGATACAGGTGACATTGTCATGTCAACCATGCAGTAGGTCTTGGATGACGAGAACAAGGCACTGGGGTCTAAAGGCTGGATCTGAACAGCTAGAGGGCTTGAATGAGTCCAGTCTATCATTGTAGTATAGCTGTACGTGGAATCTGGTGATCCATCCAGCTGCTCCAGACCAAGAATGTTGGTAGACCCCCGAGGTAGAGTGTGCAGGTTGGTTTTAGCGTCACTGAGGGAATCCATAATCATCTTTCTTCGGTTCGCTGACTGGCGGAATAGGTCGAAGATGTTTTGTCGGGCATTTTCGTATAGCTTGACAAGAATGGTTCGCAGGCTATCATCACAAGATGTTGACAGGTCAAAGAAGCAAGACACATCCTTCGGCAAAACATCCTCCACATCTTGGCGAGATGCCCGTGGGTGGATTGATATTGTTCCAGGGGCGGACTTTTTGAGGCCTGATGTCACAAAATAAGTACGTCGGCGTTGCCCAGCATGAGATGTTTTGATGGCCGTGATAAGGATATCGGACGCAGAATATATAAGAATAGACCCTTCATCATGTGTCGAAGTTGCTATCAAGCTTGCGAGGATGTAGCTAGCCGTAGCTTGGAATAACTCTGGAGTCAAATGATCAGTGTTGAAAATACATGTCTCGGATGGGTTTGCCTCAATAGCAGAAGTGGCGTTGTTGGAAAAGCCGATTGCAGTGCGTTTGTCCTGGGTGGTACCCAGCCACAAGAAGAATGCCTTTGAAATTTCTTTGAAGAGAGGAATGGACAACCTTGTCTTAACGGGAATAGACCCTCCAGCCCCTTTAGGAGTTTGAGAAGATTGCAAACACAAACGGCCAGCGGGGCCCACTTTGATCTCCACGGGGTGCTGATTAACGTCGATCTTTTGAAACACCTGTCGTCGTCCGGCATTATACCTTTCATTTCTTTCATGATCCTTGACAAGGCGTGGAATGCGAATGTTCTCACCGTCAAAATGGATTTCTAATTCATTCACCCACAGCCTATCCTTCTCAGTGAGCCATGGGAGACGAGACCACGAGAGACGAAGGAAGACCTCGACCACGGTTGAATGCAGAGAAGCGCTGACCTCTGCCACGTCCAAGAATTGCAAATTGACATCTGGCGTTCTCGATTTGATTGAGCGCCCCACGCTCATAGTCATATTTGCCTGTGATAGCTCTGACAGACGTCCGGCCGTGAGCCAGAGGACGCACTTGGATTTCCTGAATAACGCCTGCAATGCCTGCAATCTGTGCTGGGTATTTGCGCCTGAGAAAAATGGGTTGTCTAGCTCTGTTGCGGAGATGACCGAGGTATCTTCTGAAAGACGAGACGTGTCCAAGCTTTCGATGTCATCAATGATCTTGATCGCAGTTCCAGGAGAGCGAAGGGAATTTTTGAGGCTGTGTACTAAGCGAGACACCGGCAATGTTGCTCCCCCAATGATGACCACCTGCCCTGTCACTGGAACTGGGCTCATCAAGATCGACGGTTCCCGAAGCATCATCATACAGTCATCCACAGCTTGGGAAACGATCAAGTTGAAACAGTGCTTGTCTGAACGTCCCACGTCTTGGGATATCCCATTCACACCAGCAAATCCATTCAACCGTAGAACTTTATCCCATTCAACTGCTGAAACGGGCCGCCTTTGCTCGTGCCCCTCCCACCACTCAGGTATGAGACCCATAACAGAAAGCGGTGTTGCCATCTGGTCAGCACGATCAATGAAAATGAGATATCCACCAGGCTTTAGCAGTGATCGGATGTGCTGAAGGCCTTTCGTTGATGCGTGTGCTGCATGGAGAACGTTGGCCACAATCACAAGGTCATAAGCCTCGGCTTCAAATCCTTGATCGACGACATCGGTTTCGATTTCCATTACCTGGAAGGATATGCGGTGGGCAGTCTCAGAAATCGTTTTAGCAGCCTTCTCAGCAAGTTCTGAAGACGCGTCGGTTAAACAGTAAGAAGAATATGCATCGCCGGCGACTTTCAGTATTTTGTTCGTGACTATCCCGGTCCCAGCGCCAACCTCAAGTATGTTCATCCGAGGATGCTTGTGTACAATGCGCTTGATGACGTCGCATATGCTCTTGTGCATGGGAGCAAAGATGACTTCATCCAAGCACAAGTTCTCGAGCGGGTACTTATTCAAAACTTCCATTGCATCAATCTCCCGGCGTAGGATTGCTGGCAGAAGCGGTCCAAGGTGGTTAATGAGGTCACACTCGGCCTTTCCAGCGATCATCCTTTCAGACATGCCAGTGATGTATTGTTCCGAATCGTCGAGCCACTGGGGTTTCAAGACAGGGTGCCGATTGTCTTTGACAGCATCAACAACACGCTTAACTTCAGAGTAAAACAGTTGATGGTGGTTCAGGAGGTCCGGAACCTCGGATGGATCGATCTCACACAGCATACGTTGGAAGTAGAACAAGGCCGATCTCTCCATCGTCTCTACCGCCTCCTCCTCATCTGTGTCAGGGCTCGTCTGATTTATTTGTATAGAGCCGAGGGATGGGTCGATTCCCCACACTGTATGCGAGAAAATATTCCGATCGTCCAAAGGACTCGGCTCTTCCACAGATCTGAAAGCTAACCCCTCCACTTGGACCATTGTGTGTCCATCTGGATGAAAAAGTGAGACATTACCCTCGATCAGAGTGGCGTTCGACTCTGTCACGGAAGTATCAATGTCAAATTTGACAACCTCCCCAACGGGATATCGCGAATGACTCGGGTTGATAAACAGGCGCGAGATTTCCATGGGAATAAATGGGGTCCGGGTGGTGTTGCTGAATGGCGACGAGAAGGCCCCCATGGTTGATTGGAATGCGACCTCCAGGGCAACAGGGTGGAACAAGTAATCCGAGGACAGCGTTCCCTCCGTCCAGGAGGCGGAAGCTTTGGCATGGTTTAATTTCCGGCTCATGGAATCAATGCCCCTGAATAGGCCAGTGTATTCAAGCCCCACTGACTGCAATAGCTCATAGAAATTGGCAGGATCAACAAGTGTAAGATTCTGTCGCTTGGATTTCCTAGCTGGTAGCTCATCCACGTTGGAGACACCAAAGTGAAGAATAACTCGCGCAGTACACATTCGCTCCAACGTTGTACTATCAGCTGGGCAGATTTCACAGGTGAAATTGGCTACGAGTCGGGCCTGTGAATGACTTTCGACACCAGGATGCGGAGTGCTGAGTGTGGTGATACACTCAGTCCCTATACTTCCATCTTCCAATGTGATGCTCTTCACAATTCTTAGATCCTGTATCTCCACGAGCGCAAGGGGCCTTTCCGCAGCCAAAGCAGCAGCTGTTTCCAATGCAAGACTAACATAACCGGCAGCGGGAAAGACAACCCTTCCGATGTGTTTGTTGCCGTGCAGCCAGGGGATCTCATTCAAGTGAAGGATATTTCTCCAGCGCATGTTGCTTTCTGAATCATCGGGAGCCCGTCGGCCCAACAGCGGATGTGGGCGTGGATCCCTGAGTCGATACCTTCGCGAGATTCGGGATTCTCTCCAGTGTGACCTGCTGTGGTCCCATGAGTATGTCGGCAAGTCCTTGACCATCCTTGGTGCTTTGTGGTTGCACGCTCTATAGTACCGGTCTAGGTTGACACATTGGGGTCCGAAATGCTGCCACATGAAGCCCACAGCTAACGAGGCAGCCTTCATGTCATCAACTCCACGCTGGAGCAATGACAGATATGGAACCTTCTGGGCTAGAACGACATCCAAGGTCTGCAAGACAGGGCTTTTGAGAGCAGGGTGCGGTCCAACTTCAATGCACAGACTAAATTTGCCTTCGTTCAAAAGACACTGCTCAACTGCCTGGGAGAAACGCACAGGTTTCAACATGTTGTCAACCCAGTATTGACCGGTCAATGCTGATAGGTCCCCAGTCAGGAAGCCGGCATTATCTTGCACGCTTGAAATCCAGGTACAATTTATCTTTGGTGGTTGGACATGTATATTACATGCCCTCAATGATTCCAAATACGCATCAGCATAAGGGTTCATATGATGTGAATGGTACGCTACTTCAACCTTGAGGATTCTGGCAAATATCTTCTTCTGGTCAAAATGCTGTTTGGCTTCATTGATTGCGTCGTAGTCTCCAGACAAAGTTATGCTAGCCGGTCCGTTGCTCGCGGCGACCACAAGTCGGCCGAAGAACGATGACTGGTTGCAGAAAGCAACTGCATCTTTGAAGGTGATACCAACTGCCATCATACCGCCGACCTGGTCCCCACCAGAGGCCCTGGGTACCTTTACGTGCAGTCCACGGTAATAGGCAATCTTGATGGCATCCTTAGCGGAAATGACCCCCGCCGCATATGCTGCTGCAATCTCTCCCGAGGAATGGCCAACGACAACGTCAAGATGGATGCCAGCAGCAGAAAGAAGATCACAGACTGCAATCTCAATGGCGGTTGTCAGTGGCTGGCTTAACTCTGCTTCTGACAGGCGGGAGGAGGCCACGTCGGCCATAAGCTCTTCTTTAAGGGACCATGATGGTCCATCGGACAGGTCAGCTAGACCGCGCTCACAGCGGTTGATGGAGTCATGAAATGTTGGGGACGATAGAATGAGTGACCGCCCCATAGCTGCCCACTGAGCGCCTTGGCCTGTGAACACACCAAGGATTCGGCATGGTTCGCTTTGATTCCTTCTGCTGAAAGTTCCAGCCTCGCTGTACGAGCTGCATTCTCGTTCTGTGACTGCTTTGTCTATTGCTTCGAGGAGTTCCCCATGACTGTCTGCAGTGAATGACTGTTTAAGTGAGAACGAGCTTTTCTTGGTACTGAGTACCCACGCAAGGTCATTGAGATTAACTGATGGGTTCAACTTGATGTAGCTCGCCACACTTTTGATATTTCCCAGCAAGGATGATTTGGATTGGGCGGAGAAGACGAAAGGCCCCGATGTCGCGTATTCTCTTGCGGTTTTCTCTTCGCAAAGGGTTCGACGGGAACTAAGCGAGGGAGCTGAGTAGCTTTCAACGATGGCGTGTGCGTTTGTTCCTCCAAAACCGAATGAATTTACACTGGCACGCAACGGGCTGCCAGGAGCCACTGGAGGCCAACGGAAGTTCTTTGTTGGAATTAGAAGATGATCATAAAATGGTTCGATATTAGGGTTGAGTTTGTTGAAGTGCAGATTCGCAGTTACGGTCTGGTTTCTGATGCACGCCACAGTTTTCAAAAGACCGGCGAGGCCAGCACAGCCCTCCAGGTGTCCGACAACTGTCTTGATAGATCCAACAAACAGTTTGTCTTCTTGGTTTCTCGCAGGTGAAGCTTTATCAGGGAAGAACGCCTTCTGGATTGCCTCGGCTTCGACAGGGTCGCCGGCAAGTGTACCAGTTCCATGACATTCGAAGTATTGACAGCGGTCGTTGACCGGATCCAGACCACTGTTGGCGTATGTCTGTTTGATCAAGGCTGCTTGGGCCTCAGCATCTGGCATAGTGATGCCGGGAGAACGGCCATCAGAGTTCACCAGCGTCTCCCGAACAATGGCCTCGATCTCATCGCCATCTGCGAGAGCTTGACCTAAGGTCTTCAGAACCACAGCGGCGCATCCTTCGCCACGAGCGTAACCATCAGCATTTTGGTCCCACATTTGGCATCTCGACGTAGGCGATAACATATGAAGCTTGGATTCACCGATGTAGGTGTCCGGGTCTAGTATCAAGTTCACTCCGCCTACAATCGCGATGTTTGATTCACCGTTGCGTAGACATTGGACTGCCTGGTGCAATGCCACAAGCGAGCTGGAGCAGGCAGTGTTAATGGACATGGACGGCCCTTTCAAATTAAAACAATAGGAGATTCTGTTCGCCAAGATGCTGGGCGCGGTACCGGTGGCATGCCACCGACCGATGGTGTCTAGATCCCGTGTTTGGATATCATGAAAATCCGACGTCATGACACCCACGAAGACAGCCGTTGAAGATCCTTGCATTTGTTCCAGTGTATATCCCGCTCTTTCGAACGCTTCGTACGTTGTCTCTAAGAGAATCCTTTGTTGTGGGTCCATTCCGTCCGCTTCGGCGGGATTGATATTGAAGAACGAAGCATCAAACTTCTGATGGTTGTCATCGAGGAGATATGATTTATTCGCGACGTTTGTACTGCCATGGTGCTCTCCATTTGGGTGGTAGAAGCTTGAAAGGTTCAATTTGTCGTCATCGAATTCAGACAGTACATCAGTCGGGTTGCGTAGAAGTTCCCATAGCTTCGCTGGCGAGCTGGCGCTACCTGGAAAACGGCAGGCAGTGCCTACGATGGCAATGGGTTCTTTCATCGAAGATGACTTTGTGGTTGAACTAATCATACCTCGCAGCACGGTCACGAAGAACTAGTTATGGAAGTATACAAATGACAAGATCTAATGAGAGAGTATGTGCCGCGAAAAGAAGGATGATCTGGGCTGCTGCACACTGCGTGTAATAATATAGATAACCTACTCAGGTATCCACAAATCAAATGTCAAATAGTACTCTGTTCTATCGCCATAACCCACCCGCGGACTTCCATTCAACACCATGTACGGAGTAAGCTCGGGATACGCACCCATGTGCCTTCTCCCTTCACCAACCACTATATCAATTTACAAGGTGAGGGAGAATAAACCTAGCTACATCAGGTTAATGCGGTGATAATCATAATCATGCCGATGGGAGAGATCAGATGCAGGGTTGCAGGTGTACCCACTGCATGTGCATCATTGGCGGAGTCGACATTCCTTCCAGAGTTAGGGTACCCTTACATGGAAGATGCATTGCATGAATTACTATCTCCAATTGACGTTAGTATGTACGAAGTACTCCGTAGCCATTCCAGCGTTTCAAAGCTGAAAATTACAACACCACAGTTTCAACCAACCAGGGGTGTGATAGGGGTGCGTACACGGCGCAGCCTAAACGTGTCTCGCTAGAAAGGAAACGCCAAGAAGGAATGTAGCAAGTATAGGTCCGAGGCTAGCTTATCGTACAGGCTCTAGTCTCACCATATACCCTTGTAAAGCTACCACTCGATCGACATAGGATATAACCAAGCTTGTAAATATGGTTTATTGCTGACTCGCATGATATTGACCTGAAAGATTGTTGTCCGAGCGGTGCAGCGTTGAAAACTGCCTTGCCGCAAACCCTTTTCCTTTTGTTCAAAACTATTATATTGTTGTGTACGACAGATAGTATCGTCCCAAACACCAGTCAGTTCCAAGCCTAAGTGACCGTATCCACACATCCAGGTTCATCCTACAACATAATTGCCCAGTATGACTCGCGAGCAGAACGAGATTCAGACACCACTCCAAGTGTTGAGTCGGAGCTTCAATTTCACCAGCACCGATGAGGCAAAATGGTGGCATAGCACAGCGCCAATGTTTGCAACCTTGATGGAAAAGTCCAGCTACGATGTGCACGCCCAGTACCAATTTCTGTGCCTGCACCGCGAGTTCGTTATCCCAGCACTGGGTCCTTACCCCACCAAGGGGAGCCCTATGCATTGGAAAAGCACGCTGACTCGCTTTGGACTTCCCTTTGAGCTGAGCTACAACTACACAAAATCGCTGGTCCGTTTTGCATTTGAGCCACTGGGTCCGTTGACTGGCACTGAAGAGGACCCATTCAATACCCAACCCATTGGTCAATGTTTGAAGAGGTTCAAAACCGTCCTTCCCAAGCTTGACCTCGAATGGTTTGATCTCTTTATTCGAGAGCTCGTTGTTTCAGATGAGGACATCAAGGTTATTCGCGACAAAAACCTACCGGTTCCCATCTTCAAAACCCAAAACAAACTTGCTGCTGATCTGGCTCCCAATGGTGATATGCTACTCAAAACATACATATATCCCAGGATTAAGGCTATGGCAAACGGTGTTCCCAAGGAACATTTGATGTTTAATGCAATCAGGAAAGCCGACACTTCTGGCAAGCTAGCTGCTCCATTGTCGGTTCTGGAAGAATTCATGGGATCGCGGGAAACTTTAATTGCCCATTTCCTTTCCTGCGATCTTGTAAAGCCATCTGAGTCGCGAATCAAACTCTATTGTTTCGAAACCCAGCTTGACTTCGAGACAATTTCCGGAATCTGGACTTTGGATGGCCGCCGTACGGATCCCGAGACACAGGCAGGTCTAGGCTGGCTGAAGGATCTTTGGGAATTGTTGCCTATTGCCAAGGGACGCGCCACCCTCCCTAATTGCTTCTACGAACTAGGCGAATCGCCGGTGGAGCAACTTCCCTTCATTATCAATTTCGCCCTTTACCCCAACAGAGCACTGCCCGAACCCCAAATCTACTTCCCGGTATTTGGTAACAATGACAAAGCAACTGCTGAAGGGCTTTCGACCTTCTTCGATCGTGTAGGCGTGTCCAGCTTGCCCAAGTTCTACGCCCCCGATTTGGCTGCATACTAGTAAGTCTTCTTGCTTTTATCTCAATCCCACATAACACATCAGTGACCAACAAATCCCACAGCCCAGACCAGGATCTCGCACAGACAACTCATCATCAAGCGTGGGTTTCCTACGCCACCAAGGCAAACAAACCCTACATGAGTGTTTATATGCACAGCTTTGAGGCTATGGGTAAAGGCTTTGGGGCCTTCGGGAAATCGGCCTCTTGACCAAGAGTACTACGGAATGTGTGCACCAAAACGCAACTGGTTCAACACCTAGCGTGCAGGTTCAGCTTTTCATACTCCGTATTCAGCTCTCATGTCACGTAGTACGGTGGGTAAGTACGCCATTATCAACAATGTATCGAAACTTCGCTCGATTCCTCTAATTTTCTCACATTCCTCGTAAATGCTGGCACGCTTAAGATTTGGTCAATTAATCCCTGATCCTTTTAAAAAGAAATCGCATTTGACTGGCGAACTATAATTATCTATTACATGTCCAGGATCTCACTCTTGTACGAGTACTTGTTTACATCTGCTCGTTTTACGGCGGGTTTCCCACCGCAGTAGATAGATCTGCACATTGAGTGGGACTCTGCCAGGAAGGAAAGAAGGAGATCTTTGATCTACGCAATTATTGACCAATACAGTGCTAGTTTCAAGGTCACACAGAGGGATAATAAATTACTGTGAATGGCCGTGAGGGTCAGCTCACGGCCGGTATGGATACACAAGGTTAGACTAACGCCACCCGCAGAACCTGTCGATCCTATAGATGCAACATCGTATTAGCCTTTGCGACAAGAGCCTTCCTTTAAGGCGCACGTGGGCCTTCAGCTATAGAAGATCTGAAATGAGATTACACTATCGACGCCATGGGATTACCACCTACATACTCCACTCCTCCCACCATGTCCGGGCCAGACCTGTAGGTCAGGTGCAGCACGTAGTTACAGGGTTCCAGTTGAACTCCTAGGAGCGTACAAGGCCTAAAATGGCCGCCAAGGGTTTATATATCCCAGCCACAGCGACTCAGGTGTTGAATGTTTGAAGGCATGGCGTATGTGTCATATGCCTTTGGATAAGATCTTCAACTAAACAGGAATGTTTCTCCTGGTTACATTGCAGTGTCAATCAATCGAGGCTGGTTAAAAACAAGAATTTCATTTCCCATGCATACAATGATAGACTAACTCCGTTGCGGTGTCTTTTAAGAGACACCTAGTGAAATGAGATGCATGTGTTCGACTGAGACTCGCATAATGTTGTTGGTATGCATAATGAACTGTACTCTAATGAAGTCTAATGGAGCATACCCAACGGAAATTGCACTTGAATCCAGCCAGCCCTGTTTTCAGCTGGTGGCGATCCCCGAGGGTCTCCGAAGTGGACACCCAGCGGTGCAGCCAGCAGTCGGCGGCATCGCGCCATGTCGACTATGGGCCATTAGAGCCGTTATAGAATTGTCTAGAACCTACTGCCTGACATGTTTGCAATTATACCATATGACTGGTAATTTCCAGACTATTTACTCATTCACCGTGTTGTGATGATATTCCACTGCATGCAGCTTTCCGGATAGCTATGTCATTTCACAATTTGCCATATGCAAGGAACTAATGCCCTGACATACCCAGTAATAGTTGGAGATCCTCACTATGCAGCTGTTGGATTATTGTCTGTCTTGCGGAGACTCACTATTCACCGAATGGACTATCCACGTTTAGATTGTAGAATATATATAGGATAACTACCAGGGCTGTCTAGCATCGGATACGCAGCTGATTGCCCCTTCGCCATCCAGCCGTACTTATTTTTCTTCTTATCCATCCTTCCAAAATGGGTCACACCAGTTTTGGCCTTGGTGGGCTCCTAAGCTTCGCCTTGCTGAACTCCCCTTTTCTACATGCCCAGGCTACCCCTGATGTTATCACTCGCGACGTAGTGATTGTTGGAGGTGGTGCCTCTGGAACATACGCTGGAGTGCGCCTGAAGGAAATGGGTAAAACATTTACCCTCATCGAGCGCAATAGTCTCCTTGGTGGACATGGAGAGACCTTCTATACCAATGACGATAAGCCTATCAACTACGGCGTCGAAGGATATTTCAACAACAGTGTTACCTTGGACTACCTCGCCAAACTCCAAGTTCCGTATGAGCTTCGAGTACCAGCTCCGGCAGAAGATGATTACATCAATTTGAGGACTGGGAAAAAGGTCGACGCACCTGAAGCATCGAAAAATCAGTCGGCTGCGCTTCACCAATGGATGGACTCAATCTCCCAATTCAAATTCCTTGAGGATGGCTCTTACAATTTCCCTGACCCAGTACCAGAGGACCTCCTGCTGCCCTTGCGTGACTTTATCGCCAAGTACAAGCTGGATGATGCGGTGTGGGGAGTCTTCTCCCATGGCTCTGGAAACATTCTCGATATGGCTACCCTTTACGTTATCCAATACATCGGAGTTCCTCATGCCAAGGCATTCTTGAACGGGTACATCCGGCCAAGCCACGGAATCGCCGACCTCTACACAAGAGCCACCAAGGTCATCGGCTCTGACGTCATATTCAACTCCCAAATCTCGCAGGTCGATCGATCTCGGGACGGTGTGAAAGTCGTTGTGCGAAGCTCTGATGGGAAGACTCAGCGCATCCATGCGAAGAAGCTTCTTGTTACCATCCCACCTACCACTCGCCATCTCACCGGTTTCTCTCTGGATAACCGAGAATCCAGCCTTTTCACAAAGTGGCACTACCAATCATACTATGCCGCCCTAATCAATGAAACTGGTATTCCCGATGGCCACAACCTTATCAATATTGATCCCAGTAACCCTTTTTCTGTTCCCTACGAGCCATTCATTTGGCGCGTTGATGCCCAAAGGGTTCCCGGATACCACACCATCAAGCTGGTTGGCAACGAGCAGTTCTCGGAGAAGGACGCTAGGGAACTCCTGGAAAGCAGCATCGAGCGCCTAGGCCAAGTGGGTACATTCCCTGCAACCAAGCCTCGCATTGTTAAATGGGGGGACCACACTCCAGTGACCATGAGCGCTTCGGCCGAGGACATCCGTGCCGGTTTCTACAAGAACTTGTACGCGTTGCAGGGTCATCAAAGTACCTTTTACACAGGAGCTTCGTGGTGTTCCGATTATTCGACTCTCCTCTGGGGATTTACTGAAGACGTGTTGAAGAAAATGTTTTCCTGAGATGTGGGGCGTGACTTTCAAGACAAGGGGGGGGGAAATGAATTGTGTGTCAATAGTACGCAGGTTCACTTAGGGATCCATGCAACTGTCTACAATATACATGGTTCGACTACTCCAACAGATAAAGTCTTTTGTCTAAAACCATGTTCTAGAATTCTAAAAGTAGATTTCATCTAACCATAGCTATATGTGATACGTTGGAGAAAAACTTTTGATTGGACAATCTTCGTTTTGTGGAGTTGCAAACTGTTGAGACCTTGGTGGATCGTGTAGTTAACTACGGAGTTCTCCGTATGGCTATGTCGGATACCAAGGTTGAATTACATTTGACAGGGGGTTATAGAAAACTATCGTACGAGGCATATGTAATTTCATTTGTCATATCTACAGGGCTGTTAACCTCAAATATGTGTTGTCATTTTATATGCCTGCTAGCACGGGCGAGCAAGGGCGCTAATGTATGCACGCCACCAATAATATTTTCAAATAAAATTCAATAAAAAGGCTGGGGGTTACTGGTAGGCAACCTTGAAAGTGATGATTTTAGTTGGATTGGTACAACAGGGTAAAAAGCAAGATTGAAGGATCCCTTCTAGCCCTTGTCGTGACAGGGCTACGCAGCATGAGACTGCATTGAGCGCTGTCTGAGCAAGTTCTTTTCACCCTTGTAGATAATCCCTGAAGGTGATAAATCACAATTGAATCAATAGCATGAGCTAAATATTACACCAGCCCTTACGGACTAAACGCTATGCTGTTATGAGGGCTGCTTGCGAAACTATATATCTGACGGAGCTGATGGTCTTGTACCGTATAGGGTGATAATAACCGAGGATTGCTTTCTACATTGTCTTAAATATATAAAAGAAATGTCGTTAGGTACCAAGACTGAGTAAATTATTACGACATTAACGCCCCCAAGAAACAGCGCATACGTGATGTGGAGGAAAAGTTGTTGGCTGTAGAATCTACGAAAAAGCAGGACGTTTACACCCATAAAAATGTAGCAAACAACCAAACACTATAGTAATTAAAATTGCATTATGCAGAGTCAATATCACTTTTCCAGCGATAAAATGTCAACAAAGCAGCCATCGGGGTGCCTTGAACGGTATTTTGACCCGATTTCACCGTGCCACAGGTACAAATTTGATGTTCAGCGGCTTTGTACTCCAAACATTAAACACAAGTGCTTCCTCCCATCTTTGTGACCCAGGAGTTAATTCCCAATCAAACTCCCAGATCAGACGAGCCAGTACCCAACGAATTTCCAGCCTGGCAAGGTTAGTGGCGATGCAGTTTCGAGGGCCATAGCTGAACGCCTGCATTGCATGGCGATCGTCGTTCTTATACGCGACATCCCCGAGCCATCTTTCGGGTATGTAACTTTCAGGGTCAACAAAATTTTGCTTGGAGTGGTTGATACAGAAGTGTGCGATGCCGACTTGTGTACCCCCAGGGATCCAATGTCCGTCGATAACACCACCGCCGCGAGGAACACGACGGGGAAAGACAGCCGGACCGGGAGGAAAGATTCGCAGCGACTCGTTGATGCACGCATTGAGATATTTGAGTTGATTTGTGGTGACGGAGTTGATGTCATCGGCGCTTGTGAACATGCTACGGATCTCGTCAATCACTTTGCGCTTGGCGTCCGTGTTCTGGGTTAGGAAGTATAAGGTGGCGGAGAGCGCTGTGGCAGTTGTTTCACTGCCAGCTATAATGAGTGTAGAACAGTTGCCGTTGATTTCGTATCGTTCGAGACCATTTTTGGGATCGAAGAGGTTAGTGGTCAGATCCTTGTAGTCGATCTTTCGATCCATTCGATGCTGGACCTTTTCGTCGGTGAACTTGCGGTGGGTGACAAATTTATCCCGCAAGGACTTGGGTACAAACCACATTAAGATGTGGAATGCCCAGGGATAGTACCCTACGGCGTGGGTCATGGCTCGAAGCTTCATTACTTCTAGAATCATTTCTACCCAGGGGTGGTATTGGGAGTTTTCTAGACATCCGTAGGTCTCGCCAAATGCCAGCTCCCCGATCAGGTCAAATGTCGCATACTGATAGTCATATAGGTTAGCTACGGGTCTGTGATGTGGCTCTGGTAGCTTACATTGAACCAAGATGTCATCTCAGGTGTCTTCCCGGCTGCGACCTCAACATGCAGCTTTTCAATTAATAGGTCGATATTTCGTTTAATCACCGGTTCTTGTTCTCTCAATGCCGCGTCTGAGAATCCTTTAGCGAGAAGCCGTCGGTAAAATCGATGGAGCTCGCCATCGACCGTAACAATTGAGTGTGGTGCTGTCGGGCCTTTGTAGAGGGGCGTGGTCTTGTCCATCTCGAGCTTCCCGGGCTGAAGGCCGTAGATATCATCCCATGCGCGGCTGGATGTGAATAGCAACTCATCGGGAGCAATACGCAATATCGGTCCGTATTTCTCATGTGCTTTGGAGAGAGTTGAGACGATGCCTCCCGTGCAGAGTTGGTACGAGTGCCACAAACGGGTCACAGCTGCTAGTTTTGGACCCGGATATTTCGCGAGAGGATGAAACGTGAGGCTATATATTATAGACAGAATGTAATACTAGCAATATCAAGTTAGCCAGTATGATTAGGCCATAGTTAATTCTCATATATATACCGTCGCCCAGCAGAGAAAAAGTGATTTGGCAACCATACCGACTGACAAAGTCTCAAAGGCCGGGTGGTTGGCATTGTTCGTCAGATAGCGTACAAGCCCCTCTACAATGTGTCCCATGTCGACCAGGTCTGGTAGGAAGAAACACAACCCTTAGAGATGGCTTCGAGTAATTGTTGGTATTTTTTGGGGGTGAAAAGGACTAACCGACTAACTGGCTTTGCTGGAAAATGGTAAAAACAAAGATACACACTAGTATTATCGGTTCTGTGAAGAAAGGTGGCAGCATATATACACCGCTTGTGAGTGGTGTGTAACTATAAAGCAGGGGTCAAATGCCTGATCTACACAATGACAACTCGATGCCTTATTCTGGCCTGAGCCTGGTCTGGATTACGAATTTCGAACAGAAAATTAAAAATACCTCCCAGGCTGCTGCATTCCTTAGAAGCACCTTGGCACCTGGGCATGACATAGCTGGAGCCAGCCCTATCGGCCTTCCGCTTTTGGCGGAAAAAGGGGGCTTGTGTCCAAATGATACATCATATATGGTTCGAGTAGTGTGGGAGCGCCCAGGAATCAAGCATTAACAAGGCGTTAAGGCGTCACAACCGTTATTACTTCGTACTCAGAATATAACTAAATCATGGGTTTGACCCCTGGTGCCGAGTTTACACCTTCGCACACCGACGCTATGCATTGATTAATTATGTATACTGTACGGAGGACTCCGTACTTCCACTTGCATAATTTCAGTACACGTCTTGAAAGCAAAAGCAAAATCCAGTTCACTAGTAGCAATTTAGCAGCAGTGCTCCATGCAATGCAACCCCCTCCCGGCAAGCACACACAATCGTGGATGCTAGGGGGTATCGATCCACCCCAGATAGTGACGTGTCATGCATACTGTGAATCTGATCGTTAACCCTGTAGATCCATGATCTACAAGTATCCTTGAGATCTCCCTTATCACAGAGATCATCTCGCCCCCCATTCTCCCCAGTATATATTCGGAATATCGGCTGACTGTACTGTCTGTTGTGTGCCCAATCAAGAAATTTGCAACCTCTATTCCGTATCAATTTCAAAACTCATCATGAAGATCGGGCTCCTTATTTTGCGCCAAGATGTTCAACATGTAAGCGATGCAGACACAATTTTGTATACCTTTGACAAAACTGATATTCTGTTGCAGACACAACAGGGTGGAAGCGCTGTCGATGCCCGTTACTATATCACACATGCCCGCCATGAATTTGAAACTTGTTACATCAGTAAATCAAACGCAGAAGAAGATATCGATGAAATCTGCAGCAATAAATTTGACATGTTCTTAAACTATATGGTTCGTATAGCCAAATGGGAGAGAAGCAATGTTGCTGACCACTCCGAACAGGTGGCCAAGTCGGAAGATGCTGTGAGAGTGGCAGCAATTACCAAGTACCTAGAGGCGAAAGGTGTCCCTCTTCTGAATAACCAAACTGGTGCCGGTGAAGGTGTAAAGAGGTCCGTGGTACGCAATATCAATGGACTGAATCCCACATTTGCCGCAGGCCAAAACTGGCTTTGTCTCGTCATGGATATGGGCCTTGAGACGAAGGTTTTTACACCAGGCCAGCAGGTTTCTGCTCACTGTCTAGATAGAAAAGTCTCGCACCCCGCGTCGGCAAACTTCACGTTAATGACGGACGTGACCTTGAAAGCTGAACTGGAGTCAATTACCTTGGATTTATTTAGGGCAACATGTAGTGGTTTTGCCTGCATTGGGATTGAACTGGTATCACATGGCAATGCTGTATCATTGGAGGGCCGGATCTGCCCTCCTCGAGCATTTAGCCCAAGGGAAGCATCCACATACGAGGACCTAGTGATTGAAAAGGAATTCCCTGGTGGACATATGGCATTTATCGACATGTTAGTCGCTAGCAAGGAAATGCGATCAGGCCAAGATAGTGATCGGAATCGGCATCTCGCCAGTGTTTATGACGGGTTTGCTCCACGCTATTCTGCTGCTCGAGCCAACACCGGACTCAGTCGTATGCAGGAAGACCTGAGCAGAGACTATGATTTCTCTGGGACTGTATTGGATCTTGCGTGTGGGAGTGGTGAGTTCGGAGCCATCCTACATGATAAGGGCATCGCTGCCAAGATCACAGGCAGTGACCTCTCCTCGGGTATGACCCAGTCATCATATATCCAGGATCACTATGAGAAGCCACTGTTGATTGGACCGATGGATGAACTGATCATGGTAAGACCTGAGCCCTCGGTAGACATGTCGGCATGGTTATTAATCTACAAGTAGAGCGTGAATAACTTCGATCATGTTGTTTGTTTTGCGGCATTCCAATTTCTAGACCCAGTTCATCTAACAGCCTTTTTGGCACGGATGTTCATGGTTGCGAAGCGATCTGTGACTGCAATCCATGAGGATCTCACTGAGGCGTACATTGAAAATATGAAAAAGCGAAACGGGGAACTATGTACGAACTTCAATCATGTCTCAACACTAGAGGAGTTTGGTGTTCCTAAGGGTTGGAAACAGGTTCGCATGGAAAGATTCCCCTTGTATGATAACCCGAATCTTGGTGAAACTGTGTACGGATTTGTGATCCGATTCGAAAGACTGTGATTGAGGTTTATTGTGTCGGGGATATATATGTTGCGCAGAGGTGATCAATATCAAAGAGTGTGATAGACTTGAGATATAAACACTTTTTGGTTTTTCTTTTCAAGTTTTGTAACGAATTTGCGTAATTTAAATCATTATTCATTAACGATACTAGGATTTTGGGCTACTATGGATGTATAAACAAGACAAGAAAGCGACCATCTCATCGAAATTGTCCGGTACCCCCTGAAGGATGCATAGAAGGCCTTTTTGGTAACACAAAAATGCCGGTATCCGAGACAAGCTGTAATTTCATACAGAAAGAGCAAGGGATAAAAGTAACCCATGCGAGGAATGTGATTGCCATTAGTACTATTGCTTTCTATAATGCTCTAAGTAGTTGAATGTTCTTGTTTCCCAAATCTGTTCTTGTCGATATATTTTTTAAACCTTTTGGTGTGGCCTCTACTTTTGTGTAGAGACCAGGTCTGTCCACTATATCTCCAAGGTCCATGTAATGATTTAGCTAACATTATTATTCCTGACGAAGTCCAAGATTGCCAAGAATATGGGTTATCAAGAAGATTTGCCAAGCAACAGTCACAATCTAAAGTCCGATGATGAAGAAGCACTCGCAGAAAAAACATCACACTCACCCCTCAACAATACCACCCCCGACCTTGGCTGGGATGGGCCAACAGATCCCGCACGGCCAGTTAACTGGTCAAAGACGAAGAAATGGCTGAATATGTTCAGTATCGCCTATCTCACTTTTCTCACACCTTTGACGTCTTCCATTGTTGCACCGGCGCAGGGACTCGTGCTGAAAGAGTTCCATACAACGAACAAGACTTTGTCATCATTCGTCGTCTCGATATATCTAGTAGGGTTTGCCATCGGGCCGCTCTTTCTCGCTCCCCTCTCGGAAATGTACGGTCGACTGCGCATATATCAGATTGGCACCTTGATATTTGTTATTTGGAATGTTGCTGGCGCTTTGGCACCCAACATCGGCGCTCTGTTAGTCTTTCGCCTTTTTGCAGGAATTTCGGGTAGCAGCCCAGTCACCCTAGGTGCAGGATCTGTCGCGGATATGTTCATCCGGGAAGAGAGAGGAGCAGCCCTATCGATATATGGTCTCGGTCCGCTCCTAGGTCCTGTAATTGGTCCAATCGCAGGAGGCTATCTCTCACAAGCCCAAGGCTGGCGATGGGTATTCTGGCTGCTTGCCATTGTGGTGAGTACCATAACTTTTGTCATCAGAACAGATACTGACTCAGTTTCCATTTAGTCGGGTGTCGCCGTCATTATGGTGTCTATCTTTCAATCCGAGACTTACGAGCCCGTTCTTCTACGACGACGTGTGACTAGAATCCGAAAAGAAATGGGGAATCCAGATATAATCTCTGGACAGGATCTGAAGGTGGATTCCAGGAAGCTTTTTATTCAGGCGATTTCCAGGCCAACAAAGATACTTCTCCTCACACCAAATGCGGCCTTATTCTCGCTGTATACTGGTAAGCCGGATTACCCTTAGGACGAAGAATGGAACTTAATTGTTTGGTACAACAGGAATTGTTTTCGGCTACCTCTACCTCCTTTTTACGACAGTCACCGATCTATACCAAACAACGTACAATTTCAGTCAAGGCGCCACTGGACTCGTTTTTATCGGCATTGGTGTCGGATCCCTAGTCGGATTAACATTTTTCGGGGCCTTGTCAGATAAAATCCAAAACCACCTCATAGCAAAAAACAACGGCCAAGCCGAGCCAGAATTTCGTCTTCCGATTCTCATCCTAGCAAGCTTCCTGCTCCCGATCGGTCTGTTCTGGTATGGCTGGTCCGCTTATATGCATGCCCATTGGATTATGCCGATCATCGGGCTGGGCTGGATTGGCTGCGGGATTATCGCCACCCTCATGCCCATCCAAGCATATCTGATTGACGCCTTCGGCGAATACGCGGCCTCCGCTGTCGCGGCGAATACGGTTGTGCGGTCTTTAGTAGGTGCTTTCTTGCCGCTTGCTGGACCTTCGATGTATGCGGCGTTGGGGCAGGGGTGGGGCAACTCGTTGCTTGGGTTTATTGCGTTGTGCATGCTACCTGTTCCCGTTGTGTTTTATATTTATGGAAAGCGGATTCGGATGAGTCCACGTTCTCAAATATCTCTGTGATATTAAGGCGTGATTGTGAGTAATGCTAGAAGAAGAAATGAGGAAGATTACCTGCGGAGAGGAAACTATAGACGAATAGATCAATTCATCCTAAGCTCCCTAGAGGCCAAAGGCCTTGTTGCTACCTGCTAAATCCTTAATAGACTAGAGTTGCTATAGTAGGTGGACAATATATAGTTTACGGTTATGAGTAAGACTAGACCCAAAGTGTGTTCATATAAACTCATATTTGGAACGGCGACGAGTAAGAACGCCAAATAACAAGTCACCCGGGGAGCTGGGGAATAGCCATAGTTAGTCGGCAAGGATGCTACCTCCATGAGAAGTAGAGTTCCGAAAATGATCCATCCCTATTTGTACTTTCGCAGCAATCCATTAGATTGAAAGTCGCTCCACCTTGTTCTTAGTCTGCTCAATGATGTGAGCCAGCTCACTGGCATCGTTCGAGTTCATAGTGATCGCGCTGATTGGCCGACTAATACCGCACGCTCGACCCATCGCCTGCTTGCTAGGTACAAACACATATAGGACGTTTTTGCTTTCACGTAGCGCCGGAATATTCATTAATATTGCGAGAGGAACGGTGTCAGCCGCGAGAACGACGATCTCCGAGATGCCTCGGGTTAGAGACTTCATGACTAGACATGTATCAGCTCTATGACCAACTGAAAGAGTTGTGAAAGTACATACCTTCATTTGCACCTTTCTTGACCTGGTCGTAATGCATCGCTTGTTGAAGCAAATTCAGGAGTTTTTGTGTCAAGGCAGCGTCTGCCAGAGGCCATGCTGAAGAGTGTTCGATTAGAGAATCAAAAAGTGAAAGGTGACGTAGACTTACCGGTGGGTTTTTGGTGTGACATTTAGTAGAGGCCACGAGACTGTGAAAGGTGAAAGAGAGGCAGCTGAAAGACGTCAAGAGCCAGAAACGTTGTTTGCGTAGGAACCTTGAGTAATTGACATCCCATACATTTCCTCTGAGATCCCCTAAAAGACTTGTAAAAACGACTACACATATATGTATCCACGGATGTACTAACAGAATACATTTGGATGCCTGCATAAGTGGTCGACTTTCTGAATATCTCAAAAGATCATTCGTTACAGAGGAATAGTAACAGAATTGTAGAGGTCCAACACGTACTAACAAGGAGATCAAAGACGCAAATATGAGTTTTGTCCTTGGACTGGATTCTATAATCTTGAGGACCGTTGCAACATTAGATGAGCCTGCCCGAGAGCTCCCTATTTCTCCACCAGTTGGTAGTTACGAAGACGACATTATTCGGGCATAGGCCAAAGTAAGAAATTGGATCTAATGCTAAAATTGGTTTATATTCATATATGTTGTACCTTTTAGATTTCCTTGGATTGCGAAAATGCGTGGTTACGAGTACGACCTGAAACACACCCGCCCCCCCTGGGGCCCGAGACCCGCCAATTATTCCGCCAATTAAGCTTCGCCAGGCTACGTATAACTACTGATTTAGCAATTATTTGCATTTATTATATAGTGACCTATATGAGAATATAAAGAGAATTATATATATTTACTTTCCTAGTGTGTAGCCATGATTGGGGGAATTATAAAGATAAAAGAGTTTATGCGAAGTTTAACCTAAAAGTTCATATAAAACAATCTCAATGGGGCTCTCATTTGTAAAATGATCCATAGGAGAACAATAACAGCATATATAGTAGACTTTTCCGATTACTCAACTGACGCTCTATGGTATTTAATGTGATCGCAGCAACCTAGACAATCACTTCAATCTAAGGGAAACACTATTATATTGACCGCGGCTATACTCCGTACCACTTCAAGGTTTCTTTTCGGCATTGGAATTAGCCTTAATGGTGTTTCAGAGATGGGCTTGCCGACGATCTCCTTCCTAAAGCTAAATAGCCATGGACCGATCGGCGCATCTCCACCGGGCCCTCTTATTCACACTTCCGAAACTGCATCCACTCTCATTTCGGCCAATGTACGAGTAGAGCTAAGGAGGCGTTGAACGGAACAAACCAAACCCAAAATCACCGTTATATAAACATCATTTGTCCTGTTTATCTCTCATCCATTCCTCTACTTGCCTTTCTTTTTTCACTTCATACTTCTGTTCGCTTTTGTTTATCGTCACTCTTTATATACATTCTAAATCAACTTCTAAAATGAAGTACGCATTCGTTCTCACGGCTATTGCCGCTATTGCTTCCAAGGTCGCCGCTGTCGGTGTTTCTGGCACTCCTGAAGGTTTCGCTTCTTCCGCCACTGGTGGCGGTGATGCCACCCCAGTCTACCCTATCTCCACCGATGAGCTGGTCTCTTACCTCGGTGATGATAAGGCCCGTGTTATTGTTCTGAGCAAGACGTTCGTAGAAACATCCCCTGTTGTGGACGTACGACAGCTGACAATGGCGGAATGCTAGATTCGATTTCACCGATACTGAGGGCACCACTACGACCTCCGGTTGCACTCCATGGGGTACTGGCTCTACCTGCCAGGTTGCCATCAACAAAGATGACTGGTGCACCAACTACGAGCCTGACGCCGCTACCACTACTGTCACCTAGTAGGTAACCCATCATCTGGTTATAATAGACATTCCCTCAATGCTAACACGGCTCCCAGCAACAACGCTGGTATGCTCGGTATCACCGTTGGCTCTAACAAATCCTTGATTGGCGAGGGCAAGACCGGTGTTATCAAGGGCCGTGGTCTACGTATGGTCAATGGCGTCTCGAACGTCATCATCCAGTATGTTCAATCCCTGTCTCGGCTTTTTGCACAAAAGGTTCGTTGGAATCCACGCTGACTGGTTTATCATAGGAACATCGCTGTCACCGACATCAATCCCCAGTACGTCTGGGGTGGTGATGCCATCACCCTCAATCAGGCCGACCTAATCTGGATTGATCACGTCACGGTAGGTTATTACCTCAGTACAGACATTATCAGCGGTCCAATAGACTTACTCCATAATCCAGACTGCTCGCATTGGTCGTCAACACTACGTCCTGGGCACCGAAGCTGACAACCGTGTGTCTATCACCAACAACTACATCGATGGTGAATCCGATTACTCTGCCACCTGCGACGGTCACCACTACTGGAACGTGTACCTTGATGGCTCCAGCGATAAGGTTACCTTCAAGGGCAACTACCTTTACAAGACTAGCGGTCGCGCACCTAAGGTCCAGGGCAACACCTACCTTCATGCGGTCAACAACTACTGGGACGAGAACTCCGGCCACGCCTTCGAGATTGGCACTGGTGGCTACGTTCTTGCGGAGGGTAACTATTTCTCTAATGTCAAGGCTGTTCTCGAGGAATCCTCCTTCCAGGGTGCTCTCTTTGCCTCGGACAGTGCCTCTAGCACCTGTGAGGCCTCCATTGGTCGCTCCTGCGTCGCCAACGTTGCCGGGGGTACACTTTCTGGTTCCTCCAACACCGTTCTGGAGAACTTGAAGGGCGAAACTCTCGCCACTGCATCTGGTGCTAGCACCGACCCCGCTGGCAGCGCCGGCCAGGGTAATCTGTAAATAGTGTCCTGCGCTTTTGTTGGGGATTTCTCGAAATTTTCGGCGGGACAATTACGACAACGCCTTCGCTACGTCCCCGTTTTCGGAAAAAGGCAAGGAACAGAAATCGATTCTAGTGTATTGGAGCTATATGCCTGACTGACCTCCGCGGAAATGAGAGGAGAGGAGATCATCTGACTACGACTACGGTCCTGACCCCAGCAGTCTTAGTTTAGTGTCTGTGTCACCCTAATCAACGATGTTCAAGGCAAAACCCGGGTGATTGCGTTCGTATTGTGTATGAAGCATAATACACAAGATGCACAGCGTGCTTGTAGATAGGATACTCGAAACTTGTTCATTAGGACCATTCCGCTTTGCCGATTACTTTATTAGGTCTCCTTTGAGACTAACTCTATGCCCAGAGCGTCCGAAAAAAGTGGCATAATACTAACAAAGCGCCACTTAGCTAGTTGAGTACAAGTGTCGGAGACAGTGACGACTCTAAGAATGGTCTTGAATCTGTTTAGCAAAGTCTCGAAAGCAATGTTTTATCATTGCCTTTTCTTTTGTATCCCTGAGAGTATGCGGACGCGGTTTTGCACTAACCGAGGCTTCCCTAACGGTTTCCAAGTTGCTCCATTATAAGCTACACTTTCTAAAGTATGTTAGAATTTAAGCCTTTTTATAAGGTCTAATATCAACCCGAAACACCTGTCACCCATCCTGTCATTTGCTCTAACTATCCACGTGGTGTCCGCGTTACCCACCTGCACTTGCTGCACAGACGACCCACTTTTTGGTACTATTTGTAAACATTCAGGGGTTATATGAATGGGAAATAAAACCAGTTCACCACTTGGTCGGTAGAATACCCTTTCGTATCAAGTCATCGGTCCCGCGGGTTCAGCATATAGCTTAAGTCGCCACAACGATCATTCTCAGGCAGCAATGTCTTCAACCGGATCAAGAAGGCGTCTCTGCAGCTTCTTCAAACCTCCTTCCTGAGAGAGAACACGAGCGACTTCGTTGATGTCCTGAGTTGCGAGTTCATACACATCACAATAAAGCACATCCCAGAGGTAGAGTTTATCGCCAGATTGGAAAATTATTGTAGAAGCGTCGTCATCCTCTAATATTGGTCGGCCTGGGGCAAGGCCATAGCCTCGAGCAATCTTTTGGCCCGATGAATCGACACCGTCCCACTCGTATTCAAAGCTGGGGCTCCCGGGACGTGCCGTCCAGCCTGGGGGGACGATGAACTTTTGAAAATGATACTCGTAAGTGACTCAAATTCTGCTAGTAGGGTTTCGAAATTTGCTTATTGGAGGCACAAGAAGCACTTTAGTGGTACATTTTGCGGGAGAACGAGTAGGTAACGTGGTCTCGGAGGGTAAGGAAGCATATACCGCGTGGCTTGCATTAGTGGCATGTAAAAAACTCACAGGTAATGGAGTAACTCCGCCAAGCTGCGACATGATATTCGTAATAGAATATCTGTTAGGGCGTGTGAGAAAGGGCTGTTGATCTAATTGCTTGAGCTTCAATAGGTGGAGATTGACATAGATGTGGGTCTTCGGAGAAATCAATCTCTCACGTGATCCATCACTCCACTCCAGGTATCCATGGATGTTTCCCTTCCATCCATCCAATCAGAATCACTATGTCTACGGCTCATTTTTCCCATACCTTCTTTCAGGAGACTGCATCAACGATCATGATGATGCTCTAGTGGTATCAGTACAAGACCTGCGACATATGTTTCGTGTGCCTAGTATGTATTTCCACTTGGGGAGAAAATTATGATCAGCTACCTATTTTCTAACAACGAGTGCGTTGAGTGGGGCAACAAAGCCACTGCAGCTAAGCGTGCCTCGATCGAACTTAAAGTGATAGACACCAACGATTGCCTCGAACCCACCACCCTCTCCAGGATTAGCTGCTGACAAGCGAAGGCTGAGCTGGCAGACGAAACTACTCCTAACTTCGCCGCATCTTGATGGACTTGGCACCAACTGAACTTTAGAGAAAAGAAATTAATGAAAGGCTGTACCAAGAGCCTAAGAGAAGCGCCGACTTCTGAGTGCAATCCAAGCCTCTCCCCGTCGTTTAGAAGGAAACAATACTCTTGCAACATTTTCCAAACACAATCAAATATCAGGAGACGTTGATTGGCAACATGTCAACCCCTGAATCCCCACACAAGTGAGTTTTATTCCTGGTCATTTATGTGAAGAAGACAGCTCACCTTGGTCAAGCTACCGACCGACCGAATATACCGTCAGGTTACTCCGTACAATGTACTTATATGGGACGAAAAAGGCTTTTTACGCGAAAGGCCTGGATTGCGTGTTCCCCTACAGCAGCACATAAAGCCATAGACATACGACTCGATCGCCAGATTAATAGTCTATGCGATTCTACGCTAAACTTGCCCCATTAAGGATTTCTCTATCTGCCCCTTCATATCAATTGGCGCTTGCATCTTACAAAAGTCACTGTGATGGTTGAGGCGGTAGACAATTAGTTTATTTGACGTCATACGTCGATTATGCACCTGCAGAAGTGGTTGGCTGAATGATCGGCGAATTGAGGGGAAAAAACCCCCACGAAGACGAAAAAGATAGATCGGATTCTCTTGGGCTTGGCCTAGATCAAGTGAAAGCAAGCCAGTGCGTGGGTATCCCGCAGCTTAGCTCCTTTATGCAATGGATTGATCGTGTTAGGATTTAATTTGACCCCCGCTAGTAGACCGCAGCAGAACGGCTCCCCCGCCCCGATTTCCTTTTGGTGCATTTCCTTTCATTTCCTTTTGGCCCATGAATTGGGTGGCCTCCAGCTCCTTGATCGCTCCTTAAGCTGATATACCTGTGTACTGTCTTATGGAGTATAGTATGGCACCCAGTTCCATCCATAAAGTTGAACAAACACATCAAGCAGCAGTATAATTGAGCCATTAGCCACATAATCCGTACTATGATGCCATCTGTTTTCAGGCTAATACTCCCGTATCAGCTCGTGCTCTAGCTGCCTTATTCGGGTTGCAATGGACCCGTCCATGCATGCACAGTGGCAAAGTTGTAGTGGTAGTCCACTGGGCTGGCAGGATTGACTTTCTAAAGCTGCAGTATCATCTTCCTTTTCTGAGACAGATATGTGCCTTTCAGCTTTGCTGGATGTCCACTCGTAGTAACTTGTCATGACGAGAGACGGATGGTTCTTGGCATGAAGCTGCCATGGCTATAAGTAGGCCTCCGAAGTTCCCCATAAACACCAAGCACACAAATCATTTTTTCAAAGAATTTAGCTTTCATACAATAAACGATTTCCATCATGGCTGCCTTGACCAGTTCCGACTATGCCGCTGTATCTGATGGCACCAAAATCTACCTCTATTATCAAAACGGTGCATCCCAGATCCTTGAGGTTACCTCTTCGGATGGATCCAGCTGGACGGAGAGTCCTAACCCAGTTGCTGATAAACTGAATCCCGCCGGATCTCCTATAACAGCCTACTATGTGGCGAATGACGGCGCTGAGGGGAACAAGCCCTCTGTATGGAAGACTTCCACCTGTCTCTGTGATGTTTGGCTAATTAAGTTGTTTATAGATCCACCTCTTCTTTATCGACGCATCTGGAATTCTTCATGAGAAGGTCAAGTCCCTCCCGCATGGCACTTCATGGAAGGATAAGGAGTTCGCTTCTCAGATCGAGAAATCTCCCGCTACAACATCGCGGCTGTCTAGTGGAATCTGTCATGACGGCCCTAAGCCCGCTCACCAGTGGCTATTTTTCGAAGAGTAAGTAATACACCATACCGTGGTTTTGAAGTTTCGGAGAAATGCACTATACTCACATAGAGGCAGGTTCAATACGGCCACAGGTGTTACCGAAATATCTGAGCTTCGATGTGGCGATGACAGCGGATTCCAGTGGAGGTATCGAAAGGGTCTCTCGGAGGGAGCCGCCACTGCTCTTCCTGGAACTCAATTGGCTACAAATCTCACTGATACCACCACCCACTTGTTTTTTCAAAGGCATGACGGTGAAATCTTTGAATATCTTGGCAGTTACGATAAATGGCATTGTAAGTGTGGCTCTTGAACCATCTATCTAAACCTGTGACTATTTCTAACATGATACACAGCCCAGAAACCTATTCTTAAAAGTGGGGAGGTTGAAATCAGCACTCCTCTCGCCGCCATCAGTTCAAAGGCCACGGACAAGCCCTATCTCTTTTATGTGACTAAAACCTCTCCATACGAGGTCATGGCTTACACCGACGGCACAAAAACAAAGGTTGGGCTTTATGTTCCAGGCACCAAGTTGGGCGCTGTCAGTTTCGGTGGAAAGATCTACCTCTTCCAGAAACCCCTCGACCACCCGGCAAGTGTTTGGACTAGAGTTTATGACGGTAACTCTTGGAAGTTGGGCTCTAAAGTCGTTGAGTAGATAAATAGTCCTTTACAATAGATAACTTGGATGATGACTATATGGGCCATTGTTATTGGATTATGCCCTTCGATTTCTCGTGTCCAATATCGTTTTATTGTGGAGTTAATTCCCTTACGCAGTGTGTTTCCTCTTATTTTTTGTTTCTTTTTTACAGCCTAGTCTGTTTGCAACAGTCATTTCTGCATTGTTTAGTTACTCCCCGGCACTTTCCTGGGCAACTGTCGTTATCATTATTAGATCTAGTTCTATATTCATTCAACTTCCTGGACTGAGTTACTATTTTCTCTTAGTACAGTAGGTCAGTGTGATATGCAGGACCGGATATTCTAGGATTTAAGCCGATTTTGCCTCATACGCTCGAGATCTAACAGCCTTTGAGTCGTCAATGTTGGAGTATGGATACTTCACCCAACTAGGGTGAATGGGATGCATCACAAATAGTACGTTTGGCATATTGGAATCCACTTGTCCCCTCATTTGAGCTCCACTATGCAATTGAACGATATTCAAGCCGCGATGAGGTCCTAATCTCCACTTCTCTACAGAAGGCATCTACAAACTAAGTCAAATGGTTCGCTTTGCCAGCCCGTACGTATAATTCATCTTAAGTCAATAATTGCTACATTATAGTAGGAAAGGGTACACAGACTGGCTGGCTAGAGATAAGATCATTGACAGGGCTGCTAGTATGGACCATATAACATCTCCCAGTTTATCCAACGTGAGCCTAGAACATCCAGGGAGCGCTCACAGCTTAGGACTTCTTCCTCGATGACATACATTTGCACCAACATATGTCCAGGAAAGGTCTTGGGCTTTTGCGCCCTTGCCTCGCACAGTGATCTTTTTCTTGTTCCCAGGTACCAGATCAAATCCGTTGTCACTCAGCCTCAAGCCTTCCCTCTCCTCGAACACAAATCCTTTAACAGGGAGATCCGCCGATACAGTGAGCTCGTCCTGCAATGGCGAGGTTTCAACCCTGACATTTCGGTTTGAAAAGTCCAGATATTTTAGGGGCTGCGGCCAAGCCGTGTCAGTTGCCATAACCAGTCCATTAACATACAACTCTGCGTGGATGATGAATTGGTCCAAGTTCTCATGGACCGCACTGTCACAACTCGTGGACATCCTCACGCAGTGATTCCCGAGGATCTCTGTTGTGGCATTCGGGTTTGCTAGTGTCGTGATATTGATACTATCACTAACCAGGTTACCCGTCCGTATGGAAACAAACTTGACCTTCACCTCTACTTCAACTGCCTCCTGCCGGCTACTCGCAATCCATAAGTCGAACTCGCATGAGTTGGTTGACATAGGATCGGCATGACCCGAAGTCCACACCGGGCAGTTACGAGATACACCAACGTCCAGTGGCCTCAAAGCTCGAGATATGGCGTAGAACGCAGGCTTTTTGACCAAGTAGTAATCGACGATGGCCCACGACATGGTTGGCCAACAATCGTTCAGCTGCCACACAAGGACACCTCCACACCTTCGAGCTCCTGGTTGTCCCCAGCTCCGCCTCCAGGCCTTATATGCGTAGCGCATGGTTTCAGCTTGGAGGACCTGGGTGATGTGTGTGAAGGCTGTGAGGTCGGACGGCACTATGAAGTTCTCGGCAACGTACGTCATCAAACGGCGCTCATGATCGCCAGCTTTGTTTCGGAAGTCCATCATCATTGAGCCAGGGTGTTGTTGGCGCGGGTCGGTGATGACTCGGCGAAGGGACTCAACATGAGGGTAGGCTTCCATCCCAAACTCACTCACGAAACGTCCGACGAGGTCAGCGGAATCTTGGTATCTGCTCATTTGGCCGTGCCAGACTATGTTCTATCAGAATGATACGTTCGAATCGGACTTGGACAGAGAACTCACTGTTCCACTGGTGAATATCGCCTACAGTTGGGTCACTTGTGTGTTTGCCATCGCCCCAGGGGCTTCCAGGGTGGTAGATCATTGATGGGTCCTCTTCTTGTACCCATTTTGGCAGCAGATGCTCATAGATATAACGTGCCGGGAACGTCGATTGGCGCCAAGACTCCGGGTCAGTGTCATTTTGGTCATATTCAAGCTTATATCTTTCCTGGACCTGATAATCCTCGTTGTTTCCGGCCCAGATTACCACAGATGGGTGGGATCTCAGCCTCCTAATGTTTTGTCGTGCTTCTTCCTCAATAGATTTCAGAAAGGAGGAATAAGCTGGGTAACTCGCGCAGACGAAGGCAAAGTCATGCCAGACCAAGATGCCTAATGAATCGCATGCTTCGATGAAGGCATCGTCCTCATAGATTCCACCGCCCCACACACGAATCATTATTTGATTGGACTCCACCATCAGTTTCATCCAGTCTAGATAACGATCTTTGGAGACTTGGGCAAGATAACTGTCGGCTGGGATCCAGCATGACCCGCCGGAAAATATGTCGACACCGTTGATCCGGAAGTAGAAAGACTTGCCAAACTCGTCTTTTTCTTGCACTAGTTCACACCGTCGGAACCCAACAAGTTTAATTTGCTCGTCTAGTTTGATAGCCCCACGGATGAGATCCGCGGACAGTTGGTAGCGGGGCTGCGATCCATAACCATGTGGGTACCACAGAGAAGGATTATCAAGCTGAAATGCGGCCCTTACCAACCCACCAGGCCCAATATCACATTTCTGCTGAAAAACCACCTTTTCATCAGCAAGCAGCGACAAAACGACACTGTCACCCTCCTGTGCACCCGTCCCAACCCGTGCATACAGGTTTCCAGAGCAAGTCTTGTTGTCTGCAGATAAGTTGTATTGGGTCCATACATCATCGACCCTGGCAATGTACTGCTCAAGTACAACAGGACGCCAAGGTCCCGCAGTCATCAAGATAGGACCCCAGTCCCAGCCCCAGTTGTACTGTGCTTTACGTACAGGGATGCGACTTGCTTCAGTCTGGCGAACGTGAAAGGTGTGCTCTGGGTGTTGATCGACGAGCTCTCGTCCACGAAGGAGCGCGGAATGGAACATAATCTGGAGCTCATTCTCTTGACCCGGTCGAAGGAACTCGGAAATTTCCACCCGATATGAAGTGTGCATGTTCTCCGACTGTAAGAGTATGATTCCATTTAGAGTCACAGTAGCAAAGGTGTCGAGGCCGAGGAACACCAAATCCGTTGTGGAGTCTTCGCGAGACGGCGCCGTGAAGTTTGTACGGTAAACCCAATCTTTCTCTGCGATCCATTGTACCGCGAGTTCATTAGCATCCACAAACGGATCGGGAATTCTAATAATCAATTAGTATTGGAATACTTTGGAATGCTGTCCAGGAGCACCGCCTACCTTTTGTTGTCAATGAGATCAATGTGGACTTGGCTGGGAACCTGTTTCACAGGAAGCCAACAATCATTGGAAATGTCATCCACCTGCTTCATAGACCAACCGGTCTTCAACTCTCGTCTGGACTTCTGCATCACGTTGAAATAAGTCCGTGTTAGGCGGTCTGAATCTAGCGACCCATGGAACTTGAGGCCACTTTATCCCTACTGCCGAGAGCAACTGGGAAAGATGCGGCATTTTGAAACCGCGGCCAATTCCAACGTGGGGGCATTCGGAAGAGGGGAATTGGACTACTCCAAGGGTTGTATAGTGAGAGCTGTGGAGTATAAACCAATGCCGATGTTGTCCCGCTCTCCCAAAATGGCACGGGAATTTGAAACCCCGAACAACACGGAGAGCACGGAATGTGGGGAAGGGATCTTCATGAAATATCCCCGATCCCACAGAAGATGGAGAAAATGAACATTGAAAAAAGGAACCTCGCCCAAATGCTATTAGACAATTAGAATCAATATGTCGGACGTCATGCTTACGCTGTCGGATAGTAAGTCTCACTGAATCAAATTTGGCCAATTGCTGACCACATCAGTACAACCCCACAGAGTTGAAGGTGACTGCTGGATCGCAATCCATGGCAGTGTTTACGATGTAAGCCCTGAATCCATGCCCGCATGATTGCATCTCTAACATTACCAGGTTAGTGGGTTCTTAAACAGCCATCCCGGGGGGAAAGCAATCATCCTCCGACATGCTGGCACCGATGCAACCCGTGCTTTTGAAGATGTACATCCAGCTGAGCTTCTTGATGAATATTTGACTTCTGATCAAGTATTGGGCAAATTTGAGTCCATGCCTCAGCATCTTAAGCAAGATGCACAGACTGAGCATATTCCCGCTCCTCCTCTGGATACGATTTTGAGTATCGCAGAGATGGAAGGGCTAGCTTTAAGGCGTCTTACCCCCAAGGCTCTTGCATACTACGCATCCGGTACGGATGATGAGATCACAAAATACGCAAATGGAAATATCTTCAAGTCTATTCTCCTTCGACCGAGGGTTTTTGTGGATTGCACCGACTGCTCGCTGTCGACCACTATAATGGGGAACCAGGTCGGACTTCCAATATTCATTGCCCCGGCCGCCATGGCGAAGTTGGCACACCCGTTGGGCGAGATGGGCATTGCTGCAGCTTGTTCTCGTCTCAACGTTCTCCAAATTATAAGCAAGAATGCATCTGTATCTGTGGCTGATATCGTGAGTGCGGGCCCCGATGCGGTGTTTGCCTGGCAGCTTTATGTTCTCAAGGATATCAAAGCAACAGAGCGGACCTTGGCTCAGATAAAGGGAATACCACAAATCAAATTCATTGTCTTGACTCTTGATGCCCCGTTTCCGGGGAAGCGCGAGGCAGATGAGCGTTATAAGGCGGGAGAAGTTGCTGGAGGAGGGCCTGCACAAGTTTGGGGGACAGAATCCGCCCTTACCTGGCGCAAAACGCTGACATGGCTTTCTGCCCAGACCGACCTTCCGATTGTCCTCAAGGGTATTCAAACTCATGAGGATGCGTACATGGCAACTATGTTCCCGGCTGTTAAGGGTATCATTCTCTCCAACCATGGGGGACGGGCATTGGATACGGCCAACACACCCATGCAAGTTTTGTTGGAAATCAGGAAATTTTGCCCTCAAGTATTTGAGCAGCTAGAAGTTCTTATTGATGGGGGAATTAAGAGAGGTACAGATGTTGTCAAGGCGCTGGCTTTGGGTGCAAATGGCGTTGGGCTTGGCCGGGCCGCGCTCTATGGCCTAGCTGTTGGTGGAGAGGACGGCGTTTACAGATCTTTACAGAGTCCGTCATCTCCTTTTTGTTCCATATGGTATTTATGATGCTAATATACTATCATAGTTCTCGCGGATGAGGCAGCGACAGCTATGAGACTCCTCGGTGTCAGCAGTGTGAGGGATCTTCGGCCACAGCATGTGAGTTCCAGCATCGACATTGAATCGAGTGGGCGCAAGTCGAGCCAACAACTGATTGTAAAATTCATAGGTCAACACTTCGATGTTGGATGCTCAGCTTTACGATGGACCCTCTGACTTAGGCACAGTGGAGAATAACTTAATGGCTAAATTATAGACTGATTTGTAACTATTCCTTTTATTATATCCTACAATTGATCAGAAAGCTTTTCTCCTCTTTTTTTTCCCGCTTGCTACAATCTTGCCTTATGTTTGAGTGACAAGACATTTTTACTATTAAACTGCCAATGGAAACCATGAATGCTAGTGTGATCGATTTATGTTCCAACTATCCATACTGATAGGTTCCCACCAGATTCGGCAACTATATGCCATCATTTGTCTATACGGCACTAATTGAATGAACATTTATCATCTTCAAATTGTAGTTACTTATAAAAAAAACATAATATAAAGTCAAGACTAGTGAGTGGCAAAAGGATCAACAGAGATGATTCCAATTCCGGACTTCAAACATGTGTTCGATATTTCCGCCCATAACGAAGGTTTGAATCTCCGTGCGACAATTTGGGACTAGCGTTTAGCTAAAAAAATATTGGGGGCATCCCCGTGGGGATTGAAAGTCTACTTCGCATTATACGAGCATATTCTAGGCATTCGGTACTGTTATAAGAGTCTTCCGATGGCCTGCATTCGTGCACATCCCCGGGCATTAACATCACATCTTCTTTGGAGCTGTGTGTCCATTAAGGATCAATTCTTGTGAATTCTTTTTTCTATCTTTTGCAACCCTGATCACATTTTAACTGGTGGAGAGCCAGTTCATTATTTCCATTATGAGTAAAGTAAAGGAAGAACCTACCCTGAAGGAGGTTGAGAATATGGAATCCATTGAAACATACGCAGCCATCATGGCAGCGCACAAACCGAATCCCCGAGGTCCAGGCTACATCAAGCTATATATCCTATCAGCCGTTATATTCCTGTGTTCAACTATGAACGGTGAGTCTGCCGCGTCAAAATAACCGTGGTCTGACTTTCTAACACAGTATAGGATTTGACAGTTCGTTGATGGGATCTATCAACGCGCTTCCGAACTACATTAGGTATTTTGGCTTGTCGGAGAATGGCAACGCCAGTACTGGCATTGTCTTTGCTATTTTCCAGGTAATAAAATACTAGCTCACATGCTCCCACCTATATTGACTTTTGTTAGGTTGGTCAAATGTGCGGTGCACTATTCATCTGGATGGCCGACTGGTACGGACGAACATGGCACATTTTCTTCGGCTGTCTGGGTGTCTGCGTCGGCACCATTGTCACAGCTTTTGCATCAAATCTCCCTACTTTCATCGCCGGAAGATTTATTCTGTCATTCTTCGCAACATGCGCACATACTGCTGCTCCCCTTTATCTGGTCGAGCTTGCTCCACCGGCTTATCGGGGAACCATCGCAGGAATGTATAACACTTTCTATAATGTGGTATGTAATAGAAACACGCGCAGAATATGGGATATCCTTCGACTAACTTTGGCCTTTGCAAGGGCTCTGTGTTTTCAACATCGGCAGTGTACGCATGCCACAAATACCTTGCCGACCAGGGTGATTTGGATTGGCGAATCCCACTTTGGCTTCAGATGGTATGCCCAGGGCTTGTCTGTCTAGCTATCAAATTTTTCCCTGAATCTCCGCGATGGTATGTCGAAATGTTCCATTGTTGACTTCTTGTCTTGCCTCATTTACCGAAAACATGTGCTAGTGCTAAGCTAACCGTTGCTAAAGGCTCATGTCCCATGATCGACACGACGAGGCGAAGGCAATCATTGCTACGTATCACACAAATGGTGACAGTGACCATCCGCTCGTTTCACTACAGATGAGCCAAATCCTCGCAACTGTCGACCTCGACCATAAAGCTAGTTGGAAAGACCTGCTGGATCTCCGGGTGCTTGTTGAGTCCCGTTCTAGCCGTTACAGACTCATGCTCAACATTGCCTTCTCTTGGTTCGGCCAATTCAGTGGAAATAAGTACGTTAAAAGTCCTGGATACTGGCTTTCCGGATATCTAACAATATGGCCAGTATCGTATCCTATTACCTGCCCATCATGCTCAGTGGCATTGGCATCACAGACACCAACATGAAATTGATTCTCAACATCGTGTATTCGGTCGTTGGGTGGGTTGCTTCCATCTTAGGATCACGTCTACACGATGTTGTCGGACGTCGCAAGATGCTTATTACAACCACGGCCGGTATGGCAATTTGTCTGGCAATCGTAGCAGCGTGCTCCGCCGGCTACACTGAGTATGGCAACACGACGGCATCGACCGTTAGCATTGTCTTCATCTTCCTCTTTGGTTCAATCTTTGCTTGCGGCTATACCCCAATGCAGCCTATATATCCCGCTGAAGTTGTGAGCAACAAAATGCGAGCCAAGGCCATGGGCACATTCAAATTGACGGCCGGAGCCGCTGGGTTTCTCAATACCTTTGTTGGTCCTATTGCGCTATCAAGTGTAAGACAAGTCCTCGCACCCTTCCTTTACACCGCACTACTAATCTATTATCTAGATTGGGTACTGGTTCTATGTGTTCTTTGTGTTCTGGGATACTTTTGAGTTGAGCTTTATATACTTCTTCTTTGTCGAGACCAAGGGTATCACACTCGAGGAGCTGGACATCATATTTGAGGCAAAGAACCCACGAAAGGCCAGTGTTGAAGCTGCAAAGGCTAGAAAGCGAATCATTGTGGCGGGAAGAACTGAAGTATGAATTGATGCTCTGTAAATATATATTTTGCGGTCTTTCTTCCAAATATATGCCAAGTTTGGTATTATAGTTATCTTGGGTATGGTTTAATCAAGGAGATTTTTAGCTGTTCCTAATATATGTTATGAAGTTACCTGAAACTTGAAATCCCACGTGGAGTTGTAGGTAGAGTTGGGGTTAAGAGGTCTTGCATCAACCCCGAGGATCGGCTTCCGGAAAAACCTGCCACAATGTTTATTCCCCACAAAACTTCCCCATCTTCTCATCCGCTTTGCCAATACGGCAATATGCCCCTGAGCAAAGATTACGACAGTCCTGACAGAATGGGATCCCCTGTTCCATTATGTTCCACACGTTTGAAACCCAACACCCGGGAGAATCTGCGACTCCAAGACTCCAACCACCGCGCAGGGTGAACAGGTCATGTTCAGAATGTACCCGCCGAAAGGTGAAATGCGACGGGGGAAATCCTTGTACAAGTTGCCAGTACTACCAGATATCCGAAGCTTGCGCCTATAGACAACGGACCAGGCGTCAGGCAACGAGCAGGAGGTATGTGATGCTAATCCATGCAAAGTGTTTCTCTTGGGGTTCAATAAATCATGTTGCTGATACATGCATCTCGCTTCTTACAGCGCCTATGAGAAAGCCACAGATACTCTACGTCGTCAGGATAGAGTTCTTCGACTGCTTTTTCCTAATTTCTCCTTGGACGAATTGGTTGAAAAGGATCGATCGGAACTCATTCTGCTATTGTCGCGCGACTCAGCAGAAGACGGACCCTCGGATCACCATAGTGACGCGCTCCCTGTCGATAGATCATCCGCTATTTCCGGCCGACTTGAAGATCCGCATGACTCACCGGAGGAGTCTGATAGGGGAGAATCGGGAGAGGAAAGGTGCTGGGACGAGTCTGCGCACAACCCCGCCACCATTGCGGCTAGCGACGATATCAATGCAATCAGTCTGGCGGGCGACCGACATCGCCGCTCATATCTGGGAATATGCTCCGTGAGTGCTGTTTTGCGGGCGTTGTTTCGACTTTGCCCTGCCGCGAAAGACCGCATTGTGGAACAATCGAAGATTTTGCCCGGCATCCAACAAGAGCTTAATAGGCCCTCTATTTTGAATCCGCATATTGGGTTTCCGGTGCCGCCTGATTCTATACGAGAGCTGCGTTACATTGGATTTTACTTCGAGAATATTCATGCCGTAACACCTTTCTTGCATGAGGAATCCTTTCGGGCGACCTTCGCTGCTGGCGATCGCCAGACCCCGGCATGGTTGGGTCTCTGCAATATGGTGCTCACAATGGGTTCCATTGCTTCGGGAAGTGACACTGCTCACATATACTATTACGATCGAGCCCGGTCCTACATTGACCTGGACTCACTTGGATCTGGTAACTTGGAAACTTTGCAAGCTCTATGCCTGCTGGGCGGGTACTATCTGCATTACCGAAACTCCCCCAACATGGCATACGCGATTCTCGGTGCTTCCCAACGGCTGGCCATAGCATTGGGGCTACATAGAGAGTCCCCGACACGTGTCGATCACCAGGATCCTGATGTTGCCCAACGCCACGCCGTTCGGCTCGAAAGTAGACGGCGTACTTGGTGGAGTCTGTACTGCCTTGACACATGGGCTAGTATGACACTAGGTCGTCCTACGTGTGGACGCTGGGATAGTACCACGATGAACACGTCATTGCCCACTCCTCTTGATTCCGACGATCATTTTGCGGCCTCTTTGAGAGCTAGCACCCAGTTCTGCCATATTAGCAACCGTCTCCAGCATCGTTTCGCCCAAACCACCAGGATTAGTATATCGGAAGCTCAAAGCCTTGATCACGAACTTCAAGAGTGGTATCGGTCACTATCCCCCATTCTCAAGGAGACCATGAATACGCCACCTCGCATAACCATGGCGCGCGAGTTCCTACGCAATAGATATCATAACGTGCGTCTAATGCTGTCCCGGTGCTTTCTTCTCTACAAGGCGTATGGAGATCCTGAAAGACACTGCATGGGTCAAGCAGAAGAGCAGATGGCCGACCTCTGCCGTGCAACAGCTGCGGAGGCTATCGATGCGATTGCGCTTCATTGGGTTCCCAATCGAACGCAGGTCTGGAACTCTGCTTGGTATCTGTTCCAAGCTTGCATGGTTCCCCTCCTTTCTATTGCTATGGCTGCATCCTTCAACGGAGCACTTGGTTCCAACGACGTCATATCCTCGTATTCAAGCTTAAACAAAGCGCTTGAAATCTTTGCAGAAATGAGACCTTGGATGCGGGCGTCTGACTGTGCTGCAGACATCGTGGCTGTCCTATTTCAGGCAGTTTCTCAGGGTGCCGAGGGGACCGAGCGTACGCCGTCGGTGATTGACGGAGGGTCTCATCTGTTCGGTTGGGACGATGAAATTTTGACGGATATGGACTGGAGCATGATTTTCAGTGACGAGAACATATCGCAAAGCTTATTTTCATTGACATGAGCTCTACCTGAACCAAGACGGTTGAAAACACTATATTGTCATGCTCTTGGTAAGTGACTGCCGTAGGGTGCAGTTGTTTCTATCCATGGATAAAGTATTTCACAAGCGAGTGCCCCACAATTGTTATTGTATTGTTTGACGGCGGAGCGAAGGCGGAGCCTTTGCGGCCTTATCTACCTCCCTCCAAACCCTCCCATGGGGTATAGGACGTGCTAAGCTTCGAAATTATGTACACGGAGTGTATAGTAGGCAACCAAGTCTTTGTGATTGGGTTGGTAAGCTACCCCTATCTGACCTGTGAAATGGGGACCTCGGGAAAATAGCATCATGTGTTGCCTAGCGGTAAAAACCGCCCTTCGTGATGAAGGCCGTAGCCTACAGAATTGACGTCCCTCAGAACTACAGAATTTTCGTCTCCGAGGATAGGATAATCGATTGGCCCACTATTCTTCATCCCTACTGAAGGAATGCCAGTGGCGTTCTACTATTACGCCACCCTGCGGGCCGGGTGGCCCATGAGCACTCGCTATACTCTGATTTATGCTCAAGGCCCATAGGGGTCCGGGGCCGCCCCCGATCCCGCGTAATCTCTCGCTTAGGGGCTGCGTGGCTATACCCTTTTAGTGGGCAGTGGCATGGTTGTGAACGATCTAAAATCTGACTGTACGGCGTATTTATGGTCCGTTGATCCTGTACCCCGCACTTACCCTCCCGCACTTACACTCTTAGCTCTATACGTTGGACTTTGACAGCGGCATGGAGTCGGGTTGACCCGCAGTACACCAATGATCAACACGGAGGCAAACTTACGACTGCAGTCATTGTTACATTGAGAATCCTCGTGGCGCAAGCTGGCCTATGCGGGCCAAGTGGAACTAAACTGACACAAGCAATTTACCATCCTTGTCAGTAATAGGCCCGCGGAAACAGGGAGGAGAATTGGCTTTTTTCGTTCACAATATCTAAACAAGCCTCAAGATTAAACGAGAAAAATGGATTCAATTGGGGGCCAATCTGGGTCTAAATTTGGTCGGAAGGGATCCACTTCCTGAATCGCGTTAGGCATCCCATCTGCCCTTCCCGTCACTATTTAGTTATGTTTATGAACAAATATGCTCCTATGCTCCTTCACCAGCAAAATGTTCCCAGAACGATACTCATGCGATCGTTGCCGCCAGCAAAAGGTCCGATGCCTTAAGAACTGGGAACTATCAACGGCCGTTAGCGGCCGCAACCATCTTACCCCATGCGAGCGATGTATAAAGGCGGACGTACCATGTGTGTACAGCTGTATGTCATGTGTCTCCCTTGCACATTATGTATTTTTGTTCTTGGACTGATCAATCGCGTCGTTCACAGCGAGACCGAAAGGCAGACGAGAAAAGGGGAAAGACGTCCTATCCCCAAGAGGAAATCCACATCTCAGTCAGCATCTCTCAAGCGTGCTCTCAGGTAGCGATGTTGCATATGATCTCAACGACCTGATGATGCCGTCGCTTGACACGACCATGGGCTGCATGGACGATGGCGACCCACACAGCTGGATCAACAACAATGACCTCACATATAATACAGAGAGTTACGACAGGACCCAAGAGGGCCCAGGGACCAACCCAACACTCTCTCGGGATGAAGGCAAAGAGACCTTGACAGGGCAGCTGATGAAACTGAGCAACCGGGCCATGGGCGCCACACGAGAACTTGAATGCGCAGTCATTACTACGTCTTTAACAGTAAACTCCCCTGTAGTGAATGAAGCATTCGAGGCCGCGAATGCTTTAGTGCACATCATCAACAGTATCCCTCCGGTGAACTGCCCATATGGCTCCTCGCAACCTTTGTCCCGCGATGGAAACGAGCGACAACTGCCTACCGAACACAGTACAATTTTTCTAGCTCTGGCGTCTTATCAGCACGTCCTAGCCCTCTTCCACGCAGTTTGTGACTTTATTAAGAGATCCTTGGGGTGCATAGCTCAAGGGACCGAGCTGCAACAACAAACTTTGCACGGCGCTGGGTCGTCCTCTGCGCAGTTCATCATGGTTCTGCAGCTCATCATGCACCTACTCAACCGCATAGGTCGCAGCCTTCGAATGGGAAACCGAGAGAATACTAACCAACACGATTTGAGGTTTGGGCCTGGTGGCGGTGGAGATGGCAGCAGCTTAGAAAGTATTGTGGGCTCTGCTCAGGTCATGCTCAAAACCCTACCTGATGAGCACGTCAAGCTTAGCGAGGTCATTCAGGAACTTCAGGCTTGCATAGAGGAAAGAGTTTATGTCTAGTGTTAGAATCTACGATGTAGATGAGAATGAGATCATGAAGCACAATATTTGTATTGCAGCTGTGTAGCAATTTATTCGGAGGTGACGTTGCCTGCAGAAACCACTTGAAGAAAGTGATAATGAATAGCAATATTTTCGATCCGGGTTCGACGAAAAGGTTTGATCATTTGATTGTTGATCAGGCGTAGGCTGCAAATTAGATTCATCAGCCTTTCTGATTCATAGAGAATATTTGGCAGCGAGGATACGTATGGAGTAGAATTGGCTGATCTAGAAGATCAAGGTCCAATTGGACGGGAACTAGCAGTAGATGGAAACCTTGGAATCCACCATGAGGTCCACCATGAGGTCCACCGTTAGGCCCACCGGCCCCCTCCTTTTGCGTCTTTCCATTGTAGCCAAGGAATTGGGGGAATAAAAAAAATAAGACGCGTGTCGAGAACTGCCGGAAATAATTACTGAAGGAATAGACACTGCAGGCACTATATGAGCGGAATTAACGGGATTAACAAATTGACGGACTTAACGGAATTAACGGCCGTAGGCAAAAGCTGCAATTGATATTTGGGCATGTACCATACCAAGCCCCTATAATGCTTGTTACCAAAATAACTGGACCCTCGCGAATAAGGGTCTCATAGCTATTATCTCCGTAAATTTGAATAGCCCATAATTTATAAAGCTTACTCCGTAGTAACCTTAACCTTAAAGCGTCAAGCGGAGTCTCATATCAAGAGCAATTAATGTACAAACATGTCTACAACACTTCCACCTACCTTACCAGACAGCAACGGCAACAGCAATCTCGAAGCAATGGGAGAGAAATTGCATAATCTCGAGCCCGAAAAAGATAAGGAGACAGATGAGTCTAACAAGCCGTCCACGACATCCTCATCTATCAATGGTGCAGACGATGGTCCTGCTACTGAAGAAAAAGCTGTGGTTGAGCCAAAACCGGTGATGGAATATCCAAAAGGCATCGAAGCCTTGTTCATCATGGTTGCACTCGTGCTCAGTATCACCCTTTGTTCTCTGGATCAGGTGAGTTCTACTCCAAGTTTCTCGTAGAGTCGTCTTTTGCCAATGCAATATATGACACGGCAGTAAGCTGATACTCTCAATTTAGACCATTGTTGCAACGGCTATTCCAAAAATTACCGATCAATTCCATAGCCTCGACGATATCTCGTGGTACGGCTCAGCTTATTTCATGACACTCGGAGCCTTCCAGTCAACCTGGGGCAAAGTGTATAAATACTTCCCCCTCAAGGCTAGTTTCCTAGTGGCCATCTTCATCTTTGAACTTGGGAGTTTGATCGCCGCTGTCGCCCCAAACTCAACGACTCTGATTGTTGGACGTGCCATCTCCGGTCTCGGTGCCTCAGGTATCGCGCCTGGAGTATACACGATTTCTGCATTTGCTGCTGAGCCCACCAAAAGAGCTACCTACACGGGAGTTATTGGTGTGTCATATGGTGTCGCCGCTGTCTGCGGACCTCTCATTGGTGGAGGGCTTACAAAAGGGGCATCCTGGAGGTGGTGAGTCAAATCTCTACTGCTTTATTTTTGTTACGAAACTTGGGACTATTTCCTGTTGTCAAATCCTGTCATGACTGGGACTGACCTGATTTGAACAACTATAGGTGCTTCTATATCAATCTTCCAGTCGGTGGTTTGGCCGCTTTCGTCATCCTGCTCACCTTCAAGACCCCTGCAGCCGCTAAAGTGGTCCAGGCTACGATGAAGGAAAAGCTTCTAAACACGGACCCTATTGCAACAGTGCTTACAATGGGTGCGCTGGCCTGCTTGCTTCTAGCTCTCCAGTACGGTGGTGTATCCCATGCGTGGAATTCTAGCGTTGTTATCGGTTTGCTCGTCGGCTTCGTTGTTATAGTTATTGCACTTATAATCGCAGAAATATGGCAAGGAGAACGCGCCATGCTGACGCCACGCATTATGGCCAAAAGGACCGTCTGGGCCAGCAGCGTATGGGGCTTCTTCTTCGCTGGTGCGTATTTTGTCACGCTCTATTACCTGCCCATTTATTTCCAAAGCGTCGACAACGTCAGTCCGATTGGCTCCGGTGTGCGTAATATTCCTCTCATCATCATGTTCGGCATTGCCACATACGGCTCAGGCAGAGCCATCACGAAGACAGGTATTGCAACTCCTTATATGGTGGTTGCCTCTGTGATTGTTACCATCGCCTCTGGTCTACTGTATACCCTCGACGTTGGGACCTCGACAGGAAAATGGGTTGGGTATCAGATCTTGGCCGGCTTCGGATACGGTCTCGCCCTCCAAGTCCCCGTCGTCGTTGCGCAGGCTTTTGCTGAGCCAAGTGACATAGCCCCTACAACCGCGATTATCATCTGTAAGTCCCCTTTGCCCTGTCCTAGGATTTCGTCAATTTTCTTTGTTTCCTTGTATCCCAATGCTAATTGTATTCCTCGTACACAGTCGCTCGTTCTGTCGGCGGCACACTTTTGCTCTCGGCCGCGCAATCCGGCTTCGTCAACCAGATCGTGCGCAAGCTTGCCGACACCGCACCAAGCGTCGATCCCGCCCTAGTCACTAGTACCGGTGCCACTGATGTACATCGGCTATTTTCCGGGGCCGAGCTGGACGGTGTTATCCATGCCTACGCATGGGGTATCAAGGTCGTTTTCGCAATTACCATTGCAGCCTGCGGCCTCACTGTCCCCTTCAGCTTGTGCAACAAATGGACCAATGTTAACGCGAAGAAGAAGGCCAGTGCTGCTTAAACCTTCTGTTCAAACGATTATGTCAACGGGGTAAGAGCCGTTTGCTTGTTATGGAAATTGTTCATCATGTACGATAATTCGGAGCTTAGAGAGACGGCGGAATGGAGGAATGCATTGAAGGAGGGATTCGATGGTATTCAAGGCTGGCTATTTAATGCACTGAAGTAGGACTAGTGTTCCACAAAAATTATTCTTTGAGTGAGATCGTTGCCAAACCTTCAGGTGCAATGATAAGATAAAAACATTGCTTTAGTGTACAGTGACTTTCAGCATGTTTGAGTCACTAACCTTGGTGGCCTGCAACAACTGCATGTTTATACCTTGCGCAGTGATGCTATTCTGTAGGCTCTTAGATTCTTTCAGTGCAAAGTTCAAGAAATCTGGCGATAAGGCAACCTTTGATATCTTTTTTTTTGCCTACGTTATACTTTTTTCAAGACTACTTTCTTAACACAAGCCAATTTAATTGATTGCGTGAGTATATAAAAAATCTATTACCTACGTTACCTATCGAAAGTTTAATGCACTGATTCCTGCCTAGGGCAGAAATGGAGACAAATCAATTTCGCTGTTTGTTCTCCTCTTCTTTTTTCCCCTCGCCCGTCCATCATTTATCAATAACAATCAATACGCTGCATATCACATCAGGGTCCACTGTATCTGCATTCTAAGACTATGACTTGCCCCCCTTACGCAACACAGGCGACACAAATACTTCATTGCCAGTCCAGGTGGCCTCCACACCCGGCGGCATGCCCAAAGCCTTGGCCTTCTGCATCCAATCGCGTACTGGTAGGACGTTGACCTTGGTACCGAGCCTGTCGTTGTACATGCTCGCGAGATCTGATAGCACATATCTGTTTTCGCTGCAGTAATTGTGCACGGCAAACGGTTCGCAGGGGTCATGAGCATATGCCTTGGCCAGAAATTCGGGCACCACGTCGCTGACATCGATGATGTCAAGCTCTCCCTGCCATTGCTTAGGGTCAAGCGCCGGTACGGCCCGCATCTTGGTGCAGTATTTGTCTAGGGCCACCAAGGGAATCTCTTCGGGCGCATCAGGCCCCATGATGTTGGGGAAGCGGTGCACAACGGCCGGAAGTCCCTCCGCTTTCTCCAACAGTATCTCGCCCATCCATTTACTGGCAGCATAACCGATGGCGTTTTTCAGCAGCGAATCGGCATCAGCTGGCGGCCAAAAGCTGGATGGCAGCACCTCAGCTAGCTCGTTGGTATCCTTTTGAAGCATGGCCACCGAGGACGACGAGACAAAGTGTACGGGGACGCTGCGTGGCGTAGCCATAGCTAGTAGATATTGTGTTGAGACGACATTAGCAGCCCGCATCATTTCATACGACTTGAGATGGGCGACATCCGCCCCCACATGGATGATCAGGTCTGCTGTTTGGCAGAGGCGCTTGAAGTCATCAGTGGAGAGGCCCAGCATCGGCTTGACCAGGTCGCCTTTGTACTCGCGGATCTTTGCGTCCTTGACGCGCAGAGGACGTGAGCGGAGGCAAAGACAGTGCACCTCTGCAATGTTGCTGTCTGCCACGAGGTTGCGTAGCATGTGCGTACCCAGGAACCCTGTGCATCCCGTGAGGACCACACGTCGTCCGCTGCTCCGAGGATCGTCCTTGACCAAGTCTGCACCTGCCGGAATGAGAGAAGGTATCCCGTCGATGAGCCCAGCCACTTCCTTCTTCCAATCCATTTCTGGATCGTCATGAGTCTTAGTAGCTGTCTGCGACTCTGCCTGGGACCCTGTACGAAGATTTCGCCATCCTACTAGTGCGTCTTCGCATACTCGTGATAGAGTGTGGTTGGTTGACATAAGCTTCAACACAGGCACGTCAACACCCAGCTCTTTCAGGAACCAGTCGCGAATGCGAACCGAAACGAGCGAGTCAACTCCATGATCGGCCACGGGCATGTCAACGTCTATCTGGGCGGGGTCAAGCTGGAGCATGCTGCCGAGGGACTGCGAAAAGCACTTTACCAAGATTGCTAGACCTTCCTTTGGATCCTCGGTTGTCGCCAGCTGAGCCTCAACCTTAATGTTCCCATCAGGTTGTTTCTGACTGGTGTCCTCTTCTTGCGCGCCTTCCTGCAGAAGATAGCATGACAACCGAGGGTCTTCGTGCCACGCCTCGGTAAACACCTTCCTTATACCAGTGATGAGCTCGGATGGCAGGTCTGAGTCAGGGCGTCCGCACTCAATGCCTTTGGCTAGCATATCGTGCAAATCTGTCTCGCCTTGTCTATCTAACTGTGGTAGGAGAGACTTCTCAATAGCAGCATTCCGCTTCTTGTCTGAACGGTAAATGTAGCCCAGTCCGGTGAGGAGCCCAATGACGACAACGGAGCCCGCCAGTCCACGTCCCCGCCGACGTCGCACGAGACTTGCCATATAATGGTTTGCCGCACTATACGCGGACTGGCCGATGTTTCCAACAATTGATGTTGCAGAAGAAAGTCCTATGAAGAAGTCCAACGCCTCATCTTCACCAAAGAGCTCGTCAAGATTGCGAGTTCCGGCAACCTTCGGCGCTAGCACCGCCTCGAAGTCATCCCAAGACGTCTCGAGGAAGGCGCGGTCCCGAAGCACCATGGCACCGTTGATAATACCTCCAATTGGCGGCATACTGGACTTGATCTCGGTATATGCTGCTCTTAGGCCTTCCTTGTTCGTAATGTCCACTGGCACAACGCGCAACACGGCTCCATTTTTCGACATGAGTTCGAACACTCCGGCCGGAACATCGGGATGCCGGCTGGTCAACACGACGTTTCGAGCCCCGTTATCTACCATCCATATAGCAATGGAGATCCCAAGGTCTCCCGTCATGCCGAAAAGAATGTACGTCTTGTCGGCGGCGAACATGCCCTTCTGCTTGACAGGGCTAGTCTCAGCAGGTATTTTATCGGCAGTGTGTTGTTCCGCCACCGCCGTAGCTGTATCCGGAGGCGCAAGATCGGTCAACTGGGTGACTTGGCCATTCTTCGTTGTGGACTGACGATTGATCCTATCTAGAGGCAGAACCCTGGGAATATAGAGGGCGCCATCTCTAAGTGCGAGATGGGGTTCGTGAGTCCAGAGGATTTCGCTTGGATTAGGCTGATTCATTCCAGTGAGTCTGAGAAGAAGGGTAGCCAGCAGAGATGGTTCAAGCGATGTTGGGTCGTCGACGTCGAGGAATTGAAGCCGCAAATCACTACGTTCAGCCAGCAGCGTGCGCCCCAACCCCACCGTCACATTGGCCAGTGGATTCTTGCCCGAGGCCGCCCCTGAGGTTACCCACAAAACAGCACTGGCGTTACGGAAGAGAGTCTGCATAGCTTCGAATCTGGCCACAGTCATTTCACTGAAGACAGGACTATCCAGGTCGCAAAGGCAGAGCACGACTGCTCCGATGGGACAATTGATATCCTCCAGGCCTTCAATATCACACTGCAGAACACCCTCGATTGAAGCAAGGAGGCCCTGCGATTTGGATGCAAGTTCCGACGTCACGTCGCTGACGACCAAAACACTGTCGAGTGGCCGGCCTGCGGGACGTGAGGCAACAGAAAGCGGCTCCCGAAGCTCCTGGAAGGTCTCGTCTGTTGCCTGGGATATGATAACGGAACAGAAGGAAGGCGTTGAGCTTGTGTCGACGCCTGAAAATCCCGTTTCTTTAAGCAAATTGTCCCATTCATCGAGACTGAGTGTGGGTGCCCAGACGCGGCCTTCGTCAATGCCCAGGAACCACCCAGGAAGCGTGCCCATGATTAGTTGTATAGGAAGATGATTAGTTGTGATCTCTAGCAACACCAAATAACCGCCTGGTCGAAGCAGGCGACGACAGTTGCTGACCGTTTCTTTTAAGCTTCGTGTCGCGTGCAGAGCGTTGGAGGCTATAACCATGTCATGCGCCCCCTCCTCGAATCCTTGGTCCAATGGATCTTTCTCAATATTCAGCAGCTTGAACGACATTTTGGCGGTATGCTGGCTGAACTTTGCCTTTGCAGGTTCAAAGAAGCCGGCTGAGATGTCAGTATACATGTAAGATGCATATTGATCACCCACAGCCGAAAGCACAGCTTGAGTGGTACCGCCCGTTCCAGCTCCAACCTCGAGCACCTTCATACGCGGGTATTGATGCGCGAGTTGCTTGACTAAGGGCCCTAAATCAAGGTTGCCGTCGGCAAAGCCAACTCCTTCCACATACAAGCGGTCGAGCATGTCGTCCTTCAAAAGAACCTGAAGGGCAGGCATAATTCCACGAGCAATGGCTGCCAAGTTTTTCCCCACGGCATGCAGTATGAGCATATCGTTGTTTCCCGCTGCAATATAGGGAGCGCACCATTCCTGCACATCTTCCAGTGTGTCGTTCGCCCACTCTGCCTCAATATCGGGAACCTTGCCTGCTTCAATTTGGGGAAATAGGTGGTCCCTGACCCACTTCATCATGTGCCGCCGATGTTTGCCCATGACTAACAGCTCGGAAGGCTTGATTTGACTGCGAAGCCTTCGCAGGTAGAAATGGGCCGTGCGCACCAGAAGCTTCCGCAACACTTCATCTTCAGGAGAGAACTTGGTCTTGAGGCTGGGCTCAATTCCGTAAGCCGCATCCCGCACCCATGTTTCGCTTGCATAGAGCCGGCGGTCCCGGCTCTGGTTCAAGGGGGTCCACTGGACTCCACGCATTTGAACTTGGACAGTCTCATCGCTTGCGTTGAAAAGGTCAACATCACCCGTCAGTCCCTTTTCTGCCGATGAAATTAGGCGGCTGTCAGCCATAAGTAAATCTGGAGAGGCGGCTGTCATGTTGATACGGACACAATCGATGCCCGTGGGAAGATATACCGCCCCAAGTCTTCCATCTTCTGGGTACGAAAAGGCGGCAAGTATGCCTTGAATGGTGGTATCAAGGACTGCAGGGTGCACAGATGGACGGACTGAACTGGATTCAGGAGGGTTTGGTACAGATACCACGGCATGGTTGAGGTGGCGATCTACCGAGGTAGCTCTGAAAGCACCGGAATAGTTGTAACCCACTTTGGACAGATGTGAGTAAAATTGGTCCATATCTAAAGTGTTCATGGGAAGCAGAGGCCTATCCCGGCTGGACAGGGCCTCAGGAGGGCCCAGCAAAAGTCGCACGCTACCGCTGAAATGTGCGGTGAGTCCGTTCACAGGGCCGTCCAGCTTGGTCCCGTCGATATCCCCGCTGTAGCAGGCCACTTCGGCGGTAATGCAGCTGTCAGTCTGGCTCGTAACGCGTATGGTGAAGAGAACTTCCAGGCCCGAAGAATCTTCCAACATGCCCATGGTGCGCACAATCTCAATATCGTGTAGCTCGACTAGCTGCAGTGTTTGCTGGTCATTGACGAGGCGCACGGCAGCCTCGTACGCCATTGTCACATATCCCGTTGCCGGGAAAAGGACCTGGCCCTGTATAACATGGCCATTCACCCATGGGAGCTCGCTCAGCTTGAAGACCTGGCGCCAGTGAACCTCCCGCCTACCGTCCTCGCCCAGTGTGGTCGGACGGCCGAGCAGCTCGTGTAGACGCTGGCCATTGCGGAAGAGGCGAGATGCTCTCGACTCACGCCAGACAAGGCTATCATGATCCCAGGGATAGGTTGGCAGGCCCTTGAGAATGCTGGGCTTCTTAGGGCCAGTTAGTGGCAAAGCCCGTTGCATACCGTCGAAGGTAATTAGAGGGCGTGATGACGGGAAGGACGTCCATATCAGTCCCAAGCTATCGGAAAAAGCTTCAACCGCACCCTGTCCGCGATTAAGGACACCACAATACGGGAAATTCAGGCCAGTCAACGACTTGATCACCTCGGAGGCTGGTCCCTTCAGAGCTGGATGTGGTCCTACCTCGAGTGCGAGGTCTAAGACGGAGGATTCCTCAGACAAGGCTCGGCTCACTGCCTGTGAGAATTGCACCGTGTTGGTCAGGTTATCGACCCAGTACTGTCCCTCGAGCAGTTCCATGCTTTGCTCGCTGTTGAAGGAGCGACTGCGGCCATTCGGTCCCCAAACACTAGAATACCACTGGCACTTTTTGGACCCCTTCAGGGCCTTGACTCCACAGTTGCGCAGCGACTCAAGGTAAGGCTCGGCACATGGCAGCATGTGGTGAGAATGATATGCTGTGTCCACCGCCAGCATGCGAGCAAATATTTTGTCTTGATCTAACCGCACCTTAGCCTCGTCAATAAGAATGGCATCTCCAGCCAGTGTGCAGCTTGTCGGGGAGTTGCTAGCGGCCACCCTGAGATTCGCGCCATATTCGTTGCAGAATGCCGACGCTGCTTCTAAGCCCATACCCACAGCCATCATCTTGCCACGCTTGCCGTCTAATCCCTGCGCCAGGCCGGAATGTAATCCTCTATAGTAGGCAACACGAATAGCATCCCGAGCATCAAGGTACCCTGCGGCATAGGCAGCTGCGATTTCTCCAGATGAGTGGCCAACAACAGCCGCAAAGTCAACACCGGCCGCGTGGAGGACATCCACTAGAGCGATCTGGATGGCAGTGCAGATTGGCTGGGAGATGACAGCTATGCCGACGCGGGATGTCTCCTTGGGCGCAGAAAGTTCGTCGATCAGGGTCCAGTCAGGTCGATCGCTGTCAGGAAGCGCGTCGAGGCTCTGCTGCAGCCGGTCCATAGTCTTGCGGAAAACAGATGATGACTCGTAGAGCTCCTTGCCCATGGTGGCCCACTGAGCACCTTGCCCAGTAAAGACACCGAGGATGCGAGGCGGCAGGGCCTTTGGAATTGCTGGGGTTCGTACGGTCTTCTTGAGCGCTTCTGCGCGGGCTTCAAGCTTCTCAGCAAGCTGTTCAGCAGATATAGCGGAAAAGGAAGCCCGGAAGAGGAATTCAGCCCTCTGAAACAGAGTGCGGGCAAGTCGACCAAGATCCGTATTAGGATGCTCCCGTAGGTAGCCGGCCAGCGCTGTAGCTTTTGCTGCCAGTGCCTGAGCCGAGTTGGCAGACAGGACTATGAGTCCACCTGGATGCGACTTGCACATATAGCGGTCGTAGGCTCCATCCCAACTCTCAATGATAGCGTGGGAATTAGTCCCGCCAAAGCCGAAACTATTCACACTCACACGGCGCGGCTCACCGTAGGCAAGGGTGGGCCAGGGTGTCAAATCTGTCGGAACGCAGAGGTTCTTATAGAATGGCCGAATCTTTGGATTTAGCTCTTGGAAATGGAGGTTACCTGGAATCTGGCCGTTTTGAACTGCCAATGACGCTTTGAGCACTCCAGCCAGGCCTGCAGTGCCCTCGGTGTGGCCAATAACGGTTTTGATCGAACCAACAAAGAGCTGGCCATCGTTCTGGCCTCTGTTTGGAGGGAAAAAAGTGTCATGTATAGCCCGTGCCTCGATAGCTAGCGCACATCAGCATCGTAGTCCATCGGCCATGCAGATTATATACTTACGATCACCTGCCGGCGTGCCAGTGCCATGGGCCTCAAAGTAATGGGGGCGATCGCGTACCGGGTCCAGCCCGCACCTCATGTATGTGTCTCGAATAAGTTGAGACTGTGACTCTGCACTAGGCATTGTAATACCTATATCACGGTTATTACAGTTGATAATGGAAAGACCATGGCAAACAAACCTGGCGTCCGACCATCCGAGTTCACACCGGTTTCGCGGATGATACACTCGATGTCATCACCGTCAGCAATGGCTTGGCTAAGAGTTTTGAGAATAACAGAGGCGAACCCCTCTCCTCGTGTATATCCATCAGCAGAGGAATCCCACATGTAAGATCGCCCGTTGGGAGACAACATGTTTAACTTGTATGCACTTGTCAGCTTAAACTACAACGATGTGCTCATTTCATAGCAGAACATACATTTGAATAAGCGATGAAAAGCTCAGGCCCAAGAATGAGATTTGCTCCAGCTGCAACGGCCATATTTATCTCTCCACTTCGAAGGGAAAGGACTGCTTGGTGCAAGGCCACGAGTGACGACGAACAAGCCGTATCGCACGCAACCGACGGGCCTCTCCAGTCAAAAAAGTACGATAGACGGTTAGCTAGGATTGCCATGGAACCACCAGTTGCGTAGTATTGCGGTAGGCTGTCGAAGCCACGCATGGAAACAAACTGGTAGTCGAAGCACGTCGCTCCGACGAAAACGCCAGTAGATGATCCTTGAAGCTGAGGGATTGAGTATCCTGCCGATTCCACGCCTTCATAAACAGTCTCAAGAAGACACCGCTGCTGGGGGTCCATCGCTTCGACCTCCTTGGGGCTGATATTAAAGAAATCGCGGTCGAAGAGTCGCGGTTCATCTTGTAAAAGATAGGCATACTTTGTATTCGTGCTCTGTTCGTACATTAGTTACCCTCGGTTCAAATATAAAATTTGGAATGACCAAAGCTGACATACTCCATGGTGCTGGCTGTTTTTGTTATAAAACGCCTCGGTATCGAACCGACTGGGCGGGATTTCTCGCACTAGATCTGTTGGGTTCTTGAGGAGCCCCCAAAGCTTCGATGGGGAATTAGCACCACCTGGAAAGCGGCAAGAACTTCCCACTACCGCAATAGGCTCCCGTAGCGGTGTGATGTTAGATACGCTCCCCATGATCAAAGTTGTGTTGAATCAATCAATTGGACTGGGAAAAATGGTTGGCAACTTGCATTAGCTTGTATGGAAATTCAAATGGAGGATCCAAGCTTTGTGCATTCCGGATGTGACCGTGGTTAAGTCTAGCTGCGTCAGGGATACCATATGGACACGGACACACGTGGCTGTCAGCTGCCGACCCGTTTTTTCGGTTTGCACAAGATCATACCAAAGGCCGATCCACTTTGTTGATCCGTGGGTTCGGTAAGCTTTGTGGGTCGGCGGTCCGCTCCGGTCCGATCGGTGCTGGAGCCAATCGGACAGGCGACTAAGACTCAACCTCCGATATCCCGATCCGTCTACCGACTCAGATCCGAGCAACATTATCAATATGAACGCGGAGTTTATTCCCCCAGCTTCAATAGCTTCGTCCGAGATTTTGAGCGATCATTCATAGAAACCTACCTTTTGTTCTGGAAGGCCAAATACAAATTGCTCTCGTCCTCAAGTTCTCAACTCGAGACCGCATCCTTTCTAAGGATTTATATCATCATGACCGTGAAACAGGAGCGTAAAGACGTCGAATTCAAAACCTTTGATGGCTTGACTTTGCGCGGCTCGCTGTACGTCGGCCCTAAGGGCGGTCCTGCAGTGATTGTCAATGGCGCAGTAAGTCAACCCTAAACGGAGACGCCTCATAAGATATGCCCAGAGAAACTATCCCGACTGTTACTTACGTGAGGCTATTAGTTCATGTGCCCAAAGGAAATTTTTGTGGACGGCATAGCAGCTTGGTTCGGACGTAACGGCCTAACGGCTCTTGTCTACGACGCCCGTACTATAGGCACGAGCGACGGCCTACCTCGAAATGACCTTGACCCGCAGAAGATGGCAGAAGACAACTCAGATGCAGTCACAGTATGTATTCACCGCAGACTTCCGACTTCTATTGCCCTACAATTCAATGTACTAATGAATCGGGAACAGTTCTTGCAGAAAGAGGGATGGGTGGACCCGAACCGCATAGCCATATGGGGCTTCTTCTATAGCTCTGGTATAGCACTCGAGGCCGCAGCTTTTGACAAGCGCGTAAAGGCCGTCATAGCGCAAGGTCTGATGCCCGAGTGGTACCTGACTGAGGAAGACCAAGAGGACCTCGTGGCCCGTGCAGTCGAGGATCGGGCGAACCAGCTTCGCGGCGATCCGCCCGGATATTTGCCCCTTCTCAATGAAAAGGGCGAGCATTTAATGCTCTTCAAATATCTGGACAAAATGACACCGGAGCAAAAGGCCCATCTACCCAACTGGGTCCACGGGGCTAAGAAGAATGCCCCGACCTTTAAGGACAGTCTGACCCTCCAAAGCTTCTACCGCCACGCCAAGTGGAAGCCCGTGAATCTGTTCCAGTCCGTCAGCCCCACCCCCGTTATGATTCTAACGCCCGAGAATGACGAGATCGTGCCGCCCGAGTATCAGAAGAGCATATTCGACAGCCTGCAATCACCGCTGAAGAAGTTCCATATTGTAAAGGATAGAGGACACTCGGACTTTTTAAGCGTTGACCTTGAGGAGCTGTTGACCCCACAGCTAGCGTTTCTTAAAGAAGCTTTGAAATTCTGAGTTAGGAAGTGCTTCTGAATGTTATTCTTTTGATTTGTACACACCAATGGTGATTATGCTGTGTATCTCGGTAGATTCTTAGTTTGATGTCGTTAATATCGAGGATAAATCGATGAGAAAGCTCGTGGATACGGACTCGATAAATACCGCACATTTGCGTCTGTGCTGTCAAAGTATTAAAATGTGCTGTGAATATGCATCCGGGTTGCATATTCTGTCCTAAGTTCAGCATATAGATATAGCTGTTTGCCGTTATTGATAACAAGTCCACAGTAGGCAGACCAATTAGACGTGACGATCAAAACACAATTTTTGGCGGTGCTGAGAATTGATTATGCTCCTGTGATGACTTTGCGCACGTTGGCGCGTCGGAAAAGCTCTGGGGCGCCCCACTGTGGGGCGCTGTGTCGGGGCCAGGGGTAACAAGGCCGAAGATTGGTTTGGTAAAACGATAATTGTATTCGGAAATGAGACAAGGACTCATAACCTCTTAGAGATGGAGGAGATATTGTCAATATAGTTGATTCATTGAGGAAAACAAGGAGAGAGGAGGAGCTAGCTACTGGAAGTCCTGACAAGCAAGGTCATGTGATCAACAATCTGCCCTAATTAAGTTCTCCGTACTCCGTTCATTTGGTGACCTGTGACTCGTTTGACTACCAATTGCTTGATTGGTGGGTATTGGTAGCGACATCAACAGTTAAGCCTGTAGGGCGGAATTTAGCGCTAAACCCTAGCATTCTTGGTGGTTCCACGCCACACATTTTAATGACTGCACAAGCATCATCACCATAATGAAACTCCTCGTCAAGAAGTCTACACATACATATTTTCAAGCCTCCTACTATGGCTCATCTAGCTACCTACCTAATATGCATGTTCCAAACTAACGTATTTCACAAACTTCACAAGCGAGTCACCCACTTCAAAACACATAGTAAATGTGATAATTTACAACTTTATATTTCAACAATGATAGCTTATATAGAGTTTACCTAACGAGTTAATACTTTTTAGGTGATATCTAGCCTCTCTTTCAAAAAAAAATTATTGACGACTTGATGATTGCGATATATATATTCAGGATTCGTTTGGAAGTGCTGCCACTTTCCTGGTTGACCTCTATAATTTCTGGACCATCCAAATTAACGCGTTTTTCACGTTTTTAAACGTGATATAAAAATATAACTAGTAAATAATTCTAAGTTATTTAAATTAATAAAATATTACCTTATGCATAATAGTGAGAAACGGTGATAAACGTAGAATAATTAAAAAAAAACTAAAATGGGGGTTCAACTTTGTATGTTTGCATTGTTTGGTGCCAATTGGGCTCGTGGCCCACCAGTGGGCCTAGGATGGGGCCCAAAACCCAGCGCATTAGTGGGTTGGGTTGGACTGGGTTGTGGGCTTTACGGGCTTTGTGGTGGTCTGTCTATTTCAAGCCTCAAGCATCGTAACTTTCGGTACCATGATAATGTAGCTTTTAGATTTTCTCAAGATCGACATATGCCCGTGGTGTTTAAAAGACTTATAGCTATCAAGTAAAAATGCAATCATATGATAACGTGACTATTGTAATATGAGGTTGTAAAAATATCGTATTTACTATGTGTTTCGCGGGTGGGCGACTCGCTTGTGAATATGTACGTCATCTATCTCATGCCTGTGCATCCAGGGTCTCCACTAAACTCTCAATATCGCGGTCGATGTTTACAAGGTACAGCCACCCCAACTGCGACTTGCCCGCGTCACTCCAATCAAGCTCCCACCTCATGTCCTCGGGCACACATGCCCTTTCTTCCTCTGTCATCCTGATGGTGAGAAGCCGGTTGGTCAATCTTAACACCTCATCCATCCTCTCCATTCTATATGCCTCCCAAGCCGTCAACGCGTCCAACCAACTTACACTACCATTGAGCGTTGCCAAGAGCATTCCGAAGCTATAAGCGTCCTCAAAGGCCTGATTCGCGCCTTGTCCTGCCGAGGGTGGTATAGCATGCGCTGCATCTCCGAGTATAACGACTTTCCCTGTTGATGAATGCCAGCGATCCATTTTAGGAACAGTGTAAAATGGCCAGACATTTAGGAAATGCGCGTCTGGAGTGCTAGCTTGCGCTTGTACGCACTGGACAAGTGGTGTCCATGCGGTGGGATCTTGCTGAAGCATATCAATCACTTCTTGTTTATCCCGCAACATTGCAGACCAGCCTGCACGATCTTTCGGTTCATACTTGTACTGCCGTCCAACGAAGATCTCTTTGCCACCTTCAGCCTGAGGCGTTATGATAAAGGAACCGTGTTTCCCACGCAGAGATACTGGAAGTGGGAAGTCGTCATCCAGTTGCACATTGGCGCGTGGGAAGCAATACGTCAAGCCTAGGAAACCCCCGTAATGTGGATGGATGTCTGGGAAGAGATACGATCGGACCTTTGAATGGATCCCGTCGGCGCCGATCAACATTTCAGCTTTCTCCTGAGTTCCGTCTGCGAACTCGAATACGACGCCATTGTCGTCTTCACTGACAACCTTTGTAAACTTCTTTCCGTAGTGAATTTCGATTCCAGCTTCTTTTACCATTTCCCTCAACTCGTGGATCAACACTTTGCGTGTGATACGTATGCCATCATACTCATACACATCTTTCTTTCCGAAGTAGAGCTTCCCAGTAACCTCATGCTCAGGATCCGTCATGAAAGTCATAGCCTCGAAGTTGAAGCCTTGATTCTTGATGCGAGAGTATGCGCCGATTGAATCTGCGACGCGCAAAGCGTTTGGAGTGAGGGAGACGGCGCCGTCGAAGTCATGGTCTGGGTCTCGGAGTTCGAAGAATCGCGATTGAATGCCATATCTCTTGAGGACGAGAGCAAGCGTGAGACCGCAGACGCTGGCACCTATAATAGTTACTGTTTTGGGAGTCGGTGAGGAGACCATAATGACAGAGAGATGCACACTGAATGACAGGAGCCAATTGGTCGCTGGATGAGTTTTAATCAGGGATCTCTTGAATTATGCTTGAGAGATATGTTATGACCAATACTCGGAGAATTCATGAGCAGCTTCGCGGTTGCAAGGGTCTGCTAGGGCCCGGAGTCGGTGGGCTCGGGCCCGGAGTCGGCTCGGTGTACGGTAGACCGATGTTTAACTCTTAGAGTGTTTTGCGGCACCCATTCTTAGCAAGGACTCGGAGGTGAGTCATTTCGGATTCCACTTGAATGGCAAAAGCGTTTTGTCTTTCGATCTTACAATGCCTGTCAACAATGCTGGAGAAAGGGCCTTAAAACATCACAGGAGTGACGGAATGGAGCAGCATGACCAAAAGTAAGAGGAAGTGATGTTCCTCATCCACTTATTTTAAGGGGAGTAAGGGGTAACGGGGAAATCTTTCCCCAGTTAATTAATGTTTTGATTAAACATTGAATCTGCACGGGAAAACTTCTTATAGTCCAGAGGCAAAAATGAACGCCGTCCTTTTATATTATTAAAATATTTCAAAGCGACAGATGCTTCTTCAAAAAGTTAAGTTGCCTGTCAAAAACAGCATCCATATCCCCAAACATCCAATCAAAGTGATTCTTCCCAACAATAAGGTGATGTTCCTTTGGCTCATTCAACAAGTCAAATGCCTCCTTCTGCCTCTCCGCGGGGAACACCTGGTCTAGCTCAGGCGTCACCATAATGACAGGTGTTGGAGTGATTTTCGGTAGTAGGTACAGAATGTTCCAGTTGAGGCATCGCATGTAGGTATGGACTGTGACACGGTTCTCAATGGGCATCTTCATGCTGTCCATTGTTGTGAAGAAATTTCCCAAGAACTGACCGAGTGGCGTATTTCCATCCTCATCAACCAAGGGCAGGTACATAGGTTCCTCACCAGCTAGCTGGCTGGCGCGGTCTTCTAGTCCAAGTTCGAAGATAGCTTCCCTGCGTTCCGGATCCCCAGTGACATCGATCATGGGTGCGACCGTTACGACGGCGGCGATCCGCCGGTCGTGGGCCGCGGTTGCCAGCATAATGTTGCCGTCAAAACAGAGACCCCATACCGCAATCTTTTTCGGATCTACCTGAGGGTGCTGGGAAAGCCATGTGACCGAGTCGATAAAGTCGTCAACCCGCCTTTGCATGTCGCTCTATCACGACATCGGAAGTTAGCTTATACAGGCCTAGAAAGCCTTTACATATGGGTATAGTTAGATACTCCAGGACGACTTACTTCATGCCTGGGCTCACCGTCGCTAGCACCAATGCCGAATGTATCAAAGATGAGTGCCGTGAAACCACGCTTTTGATACCATTCAGCAATATCCGGTACAACTACATCCTTAGGCATGTTGAACTGCATGGAGAATCATCAGGTTAAATGTCTCTTATAATATTCAGACATAAATTCTAACGTACTCCTGCTGAAAGAATGATTGCAGGTCCACGCTTCTCGGCTGGGTACAGCCAGCCGCGCAACGTGACGCCGGCGAGGGTCTTGAACTCGATATCTTCGCGGGGAGGTAGTGTCATTGTTTCAAACGGTTTTCATTCGACAGACTGCAAAGAATTGGCGAGCGTTCATACATTCATCTTTTAGTGTTTATAGCCGGGACTACAAGGTCGGAGTTGGGCTCGGTCTAAGCTTTTCTGAGGCTCCGCAGCCGATCGGATCCCCGAGGTCGCAAGTCGGACAAGGCGGGGGCGGCGTTAGTAGTACGCCGAGTTCAAGTTTTGGAGAAATGCGGGGAGGGAAAATGATATTCGCAAAGCCCACAAATGGGCCCGAACCCCTGACCCAAAGCCCAACCAGTGGTGGGCTGTGGACCCATTGGATCCCCCATCAAACCCCCATTTTGTGCATAACTACAGTCTTTGCATACATATGGCAGAACCTCTGTAGAGACCCGTTGGACAAGGTAGAACCACAACTTCAGTCCTTTTACATTCTCATGATTATGAGATCCAACTAAATTTAGAGTCAATCACTATGTAAGAAGACTCTGTATCAAAATTTTCATTCGAAAATGTTCTTAGTCACAGCACTAAACTGATCCTGTTTAAATCTTCAAAGCAATTGGAATGAGCAAGCATAGATAATATTGAGAACTACACTTTTGACCATATCTATGCACCGACCAACGGCACGATCATCCTCTTGCCCCGTACATTCCCAACACGCAAGTCATTCACATACGTAGGGATCTTCTCCAAGCCCCCCTCCTTAATATCCAAAGGATGGTTCTTGATCCCGCCCTCCATCAATAATCTCTCGGCTAGCAAGAATAACTCCGCCCCAAATATCCTATGCTCGGGTGTGCTAGGGCGCCCGTACGTACCCGGAATCACCACTGGATTTCCCGTGATGGTAGGAGTCATCAGCCAGTCTGCACGGACATCTCTCCTCGTGTATTTGACGACTTGAGTAACGGCTTCGAGCGCAACGTATGCGCCGCCGGAAGACCCAATAGCCTCATAGCACATACGCATTGTCGGCGCGTCAGTCACACAGTCTAAGACAGAGACTAGGTTGTTGGCGGTGTATTCGCGGATGTCGGCACCGCATGTGGAGGACCGGTAGTCGAAGCAAGCGGTAGCGCCGTAGCTCTCGCACAGAGCATTGTTGGCGGGTGAGCAGGTGACAATGGGGGTATAACCGGCACTGTGAATATTAGAGTCAGTGAGGTGGTTTTGAGATTATCTCAAGTGCAGCTAAGAACAGTATATAGTCCATGTCGATGTGGAGCACAAAACTCACATCTTTAACAACTGGGTTGCCATCGTTCCGGTGCCAGTTGCACCCCCGGAAACAAGAACAAATGAAGGCATGTTCTCATCATCATAAGCAGGTTTGGGTCGCGGCATTTCCAGGTGTAGCCCGGGCGATTGGAAAAGGGCGAGACCAGCAGTAGCAATACCAAGTCCCATTGAGCATGCCTGCTCAAAGGTCAGATTCTCGGGGACGTGGCAGCTCAAGTCCTCGATTGCCAGCGCGTACTCGGCAAAAGCGCCTGCCGTCTTGTCTGAGGCATTGAGCCCAAAGCTCACGGCGAGGACGCGGTCTCCCTCCTTGAACCGTGTAACGCCTTCGCCCACCCCAACGATAATGCCAGAAAAGTCGCAGCCGCCCACTGCACCAGGCGTATTCGAATAGTCTACAATCTTTGCGTCGTACGGGCTCAGGGCGACCGCATGCACCTGGCAAAGCATCATGCCTGGCCCTGGGGCGGGAATGTCCATATCATCCGCCAGCCGGTAGCCGCCCGACTCACCCCCGACGAGAGCCTTCATTACTGTGCTAGCCATTATCGTTGATCTGAGTCGTTCTTTGGGATACGTGGAAAGAGGTAAACGAATTCTTAGAGATATTGAACCAAACGGATTTGGAGTTATGCTGTACTCTTCGTAGCTACCTCTTCGCGGACTTAAGCTTTAATCTCCTTAAACACCTACTCTTTCTATACTGTAGGGTATCGTCGGGCTATTCTGAACCAGAATAGCAATGATCGTCGCTTTTCGAGGAAAACCGATCGGAGCGCCGATCGGAGGCCCCACATCGGTGACATCGAGCTTAGGGCTCAGGCTATAACGGCCAGCAATCTTTACGACATCTAAATCAACAGAAAAGCGAAACAACACTATCCAGCCCAAAATGACCTCAAACTCCTATCTCGACGACACCCCGGCGGAGGTGAAGAACGCTAAGGTTAGCGGCAGCCCACCAGGCCCTAAAGGTTGAAGCTAATGCGGGTATCTAGGGGCTGCACCTGATCACCACGTCGACCCCGAATGGCCAGAAGGTGCAAATTTACCTGGAGGAATTGAAAGAGTTGTATGGCATTGAGTGTGCGAAAAACTGGCCCGATCGCTTCTTCACATGAGGTGCTGACGGTAATTACCTAGACACTAAGACGATCATCGACATCAGCACCAATGAGCAGAAGAAAGACTGGTTCTTGAAACTCAATCCGAATGGTATGGAACAATCATGTAGGAGTAAACAATTTACTTACTAGTAATCGCAGGACGAATTCCGGTTCTCGTCGACAACACCAAGAACCCGCCTTTTCCGGTGATGGAGACCTCAGCCGAGCTGCTTCACCTCTTCAAGGAATGTGACAAGCAGCCTGCGTTCGGCTTTACAGACGATGTTGGGCGGAGTGAATGCTTGCAATGGCTCTTCTTCTGGCATGGCAGTGTATTGATCCTCCTGGTGCTGATGACTTCAACTATGCTAACAAATTGCCAGGGCCAACCAATTCAAGGTCAATTGAATTGGTTCTCCAGGAATGCTAAAGACGATGCGCGTCAGTATCTGAAATTCATACGCCACGTGGTACGCATTGCTGATTGTTGGTTCAATGTAGTCGCCCTCAACCGTTTCAAGAACGAAGTTATCCGCATTTATGGCGTCCTCGAGCTCCATCTCTCGGGCAAGTACACTGGACAGGTCAAGGAATACCTCGCCGGTATAGGCGCAGGGAAATACTCTGTCGCAGACATCTCCACTTGGCGTAAGGCACTACTCCCAACACGTACTCTACAATGCTTTTTGACTGACGCCTGCAAGCTTGGTTGAATGTCTGGCACAGCAACGGCCAGATCACCCAGGAGGAAATGAACCAGTTCCCGCACTTGCTGCAGTGGATTGAGCGCATCAGACGGCGGCCTGCAGTGCAGCGTGGCATCGATCCGAAGACTTGGACGTTGTGAGTGCGTGACAGCGTATCGAGACGATCTTGAGAAATTGACGCGCTGGTGGGGGGGGGTTGGAAGAGAGAAATTGGTGTCTAGAAATCCTTTAGTGTTTTGAGTTGATGATTGATACATTTTCATGTTGAGAAATTGTGGTTTTCATGTAGGAAGTCGTCTATTTAGCTCAATTCTCCCACTTTTTCCCCCTCATTAGTATCTCAACCTCATATGACTCTTAGTGTTTATCTGAAATATAACGTCAAGGACAGTGTGCGATTTTCCTGTTATCAATGATCAAAGAAATAGTATACGGCTGAGTTCTCATCATACAAGATAGAGTGGTATTTGATACTATGGTTTGTGGTTCTGCCACATAGATGATCAATAATGTACTTCAACTCCTTCTTCCATCTTCGCATTGAGCTTCTAATTTCCTTATGTTGCTCCTTCTCCTTCGCCCATTGTAACCCGTACGCTTTGAGCCTGTCATATATTGTAACAGCTATAAGCTTTCGCTTCATGCATCCCTCTTCGTACAGAGAATCTCTCCATGCAAAATGCCAAACCACGCATCCTCATCCTCAACCCACTCCAACCAAACCTCCCGCACCCTTTCAAAAAATTCCTCCGTTGCATATCCCTTCTCAACCGCAACCTTACTCAAGGGACTGCCAACAGATCTCTCCGCAAAGTTACCACCCCAAGATTCCCTCTCCTCCCTCGTCTGGAAACACCAGCTCCCGGTACTACACTTCACATCCTCAGGGCTGAACCCGGCTTTGCGAGCCCAGACATGAATTCTCTCCCCAGAGTGCGGGTTGGTGCCTCTCTCCGCCGCAACTTTGAGGTAAATTTGCTGCCATTTAACCATTTCAGGCGCTTCAGGGTAGCAGTGCAAACTAGCACTTTCCTTAATCGCAACAAGACCGCCGGTCTTGCATACCCTTCGCATTTCCCGCAGTCCATCGATTGGATCTGTGATATGCTGGAGTACTTGATGAGCGTGCACGATATCGAAAGATTCATCTGCAAATGGCAGCGCGTGGATATCGCCCTCTTTGAAAGAGATGTTGGTGATACCCTCCGAGGCGGCGAGGGCACGAGCGGCTTCGAGGGGAAGGGAAGTGGGTTCGATACCGGTGACATGGCCGGCTGGGACGAGGGCGGCGAGTCCGGTGGTAATGCTGCCGGGGCCGCAGCCGATGTCGAGGATTTGGGAGGTGGGTTGGAGGTGTGGGAGGAGGTAGGCGGTACTATTTTGGGGGGTACGCCAGGCGTGCGTGCGGAGGACGGGAGCGCTGTGGTCAGCGACGTAGGCTTGGTTTGTCATGGTGAATGTTGGTTTTTTGAAGGCTGTAGATTGGAAGAAACGATCGGATGACCGATTAACAGAACTATGTATTGATTCTCAGGTAATTTGTAGAATTTAGGTATCAAGTATGTCACTTGTTGATTAAGTATAGAACCTAACTTATACTAAATCCTTGTAAGTATGTAGAGGTATAGTTGCACCGACTCCAACATTGCAGCGACTCCGACACAACACCTAAAGTCGATTTTCAATTTTCGCTACAGTTCTTGTTGGCTTAGGATCGGCGTTGTTGCCATATCGGAGTTGATCGGATTTAATATCGGATCGGTCGTTCAAATCGGGGTCGCTATATCGGAGTCGGTGCACCGGCCACAAGCCGGCGAATATCAACGCAACTTCTCAGCTACGAAATCAATCCAAAGCCGAGTAAAGACCGCCCCGACCTCGTAAAATAATATCCGACCTTTATCAATTGAGCACTTTGAATTCCTCTGCTTGTTCGAGACACGTAATCCTCATTCCTGAATCCTCATTTAGACAATTCAATTCAATTCAATCTCTCCCACTATGTCCTGTCCCGACTGCTTTCGTGGAGGAGTCTCCAAGAGCCATGCAACTGGCAAGGAGGCCACAATTCATGGCGTCAAAACCTACGTTGCTGAGCCCGAAGCCGGCGTCACGCCCAAGGGCATCATTGTCTTTATTACTGATGCATTTGGCTGGGACTTTGTAAACAACCGAGTCTTATGCGACCACTATGCTAAAGGTGGTTTCCTAGTTTACTGCCCAGATTTTATGAATGGTCCGTCCAGCTCCTAAGTCTTAAGGTTAACCTACAGCTGACTTGTAAATACCTAAAGGCCGTGCCATGTCTCCAGCAGTCCTTCCTATATTCGACACGCTTTTAGAGAAAGCATCCTGGCTCACCACAATCTTTGTCAAGCCGTTCTACTTCCTCATGGCCCTGTACTACGTCGCCCCCTGGATACTGACGTGCAGCCCGCCCAAGACCGAAGCCGGCGTGATCAATTATTTCAAGAGTCTCCGCACCTCACCTCCTCCTTCCTCCCTTCAGACAAAAGACTTGAAGATCGGCGCTGCCGGATTTTGCTGGGGTGGCAAGCACACTGTCGAGCTCGCAAAAGACGACCCCACGCACCGAGTGACCCGACACTCATCCCAGACCCTCTCCTCCGCACCTGAACCGCTTATCGATGCCGCCTTCGTCGCGCACCCTACCTACATTAAGATTCCGGACGACGTTGACTCCATAAAGGTTCCCATCTCCTGGTCCGTCGGCGAAGAGGACATCCAGATGAAGGGACCCGATATCATGAAAATGAAGGTCATTCTTGAGAGCAAGACGGATGTTGAGCATGATGTCCAGATTATACCCGGTGCTAAGCATGGCTTTGCGATTCGCACCCATCCGGAAGATAAACAGGAGATGGCGGCGGCGGAGCGAGCGGAGCAGCAGGCTGTGTCATGGTTCTTACGATGCTTTTCTTAAGAGATATTTAGTACTTTAGTATATAGATGTGCTCTTGAGTCTTGATCCAGGAACCATCAAAGTAGGTACTCATTATGGACAATAAGTGTTTCCACTAACAAGATTTAAACCCATGACTCTATCCGTAGATTCTCCATTGAGTCGGAACCTCCCCAGTTTTGGGAATTTCTGGACCTGGTAAAATCTCTCTCAGAAGCTCATCCACCCCCATGCCCATGTCAGCACATTTCTTCCATTGCCGTGGATATCCAAGACTGACTTCCTCGAATCGACACCCATCCCTCCAATCGGTTCTCCGAATATGAAGATGGCCACTAACTACCACCTTGACATTGAATTTCCGATGCCAATCATCTGTCAATTTGGTACCACACCATAAGCTAAACCTCGGGATAAATTTGAGTGTCACCAAGTCTTCCCGTAATGGCCAATGGTTTGCAATAACAAGAGGCAACGAGGGGAATTGTGCTCTCGCAGCCTCCAACTTGGTCTCAAATTTCTCAATGAGCACTTTGCACCAATCTTGCCGACTAGGATGTGGATCCGGATGAAGCAAAAACTCATCTGTAGCTTCCGTGTTCTTCTCCCTTGCCCAAGGGACAGCACCCTCCAAGCTCACATGGTCAGGTCTGAAGGAATAATCGTACAGTGTAAAAATTGGAGCAATAACGGCTGGGCCACCTTCTCCTTCCCAAACAACAAAATCGTCTTCAGGATTAAGAACATTGTATTCTCGCGCTATAGCAATGCATTCTTGATATTTCTGCTCTCCTCGAACTCCGGCGCCGGATTGATCGGGCATCGTGTATAACTCGTGATTGCCCGGGCACCACCATACGGTATCGAAGCATTCTGTCGCTCTAGAGAATGCTGCTCGTAACTGCTCAGCGGTATCTCCAACGTCTCCGCACAGAATGAGTCCATCTCCTGGATGAGGTGTCAGATTTGACCACGCTATTTTGTTGTCCGTGAAGCCGATATGGAGATCGCTGATAGAGTAAAGTTTGCCCAGGGCCATTTTCCTTGGGAGTATTGAGCTATTGGATGCATCGATTGCCTCTCTCTGTCTAAGTAGTTGGGAAGCTTGAGGATCGGAGGCCATCGTGAAGTTGTAAGCTAAAGTCTCAGCCTTGAGGGTCGATCTCAATATCAAGACTCGTTGTCAATGTCAGGGGTTTGTACCTAAGCAAGCGCGCCAAGAGCCGAAAATGGCAGCGTACAATGGTGCAGACGAAAATACTGAAGCTAGGAGACGAAGCTTTTTGAGCAGTTTGTGTACAAATGGTGGACCTTCAGCTTTAATGCAAATAGTGCCGAGTTAGCTTATAAAGCATAAGCGGTTAAGCTTCTAAAGGCCCCGGGGGTTATGGGGGTAGACTCGACGCTGATCAGGTAAGGATGGAAGGATAGCTTGACTTCTTACTGGAAAAATAATTCTGACCGAAATCGACCCCGCGCCTTGGCGATCACCTGACGCTCTCCGAATTGGGAAGTGTTCTCTTATAAGAGATTGGAACGTCAAATATGCGTGCAACACGGAGATTTCTTGTTTTTGAAGAGCCGTGATAGCAAGAAGGATCCTGTCCTGCTCATTCGAGTCTTGACGGTTTTTGGCACGTTTTGGTGGTATTGTAGACGTGTTATATAGTGCGCGTTGGGGTACGTGTTTTTAGAAATGTGGGCAACTCGCTTACCGGTTAACGACGTTACAAATCATACCTTATAACCCTGGAAGGCCCCATAAACTTGTATGCCTCTGCCTAGACCTCGGCAAACCCCATACAGCTCACAACCCAGCCTAACCCAGTAATGGGCTGGTTTTCTGGTCCTATCTTCGGGCCATCTGCTGGGCCATGGGCTTTCAATGGGGGCCCCCATCAATGGGCCCGGGGTTGGGTTGGACCTCAAAGGCTGGGCCCACTGCTGGTTGGTGGGCCAGGGCTTCGGCCCATTTGTGGGTTTAGTGGGGCGCAAGTTACCAACCACCTTTTGATAGCGATGATGATACCCTATCGACTGGAAATATGATCCTAATGCGGAGGTATCTACCTGAATCCACTCGATCAACTAGAATTATAGGCATTATAGAGAGACTGGATGAGTGAAGATGGCCAAACACCGGGGTGCCGAGGGTATATCATCTACAAGTCTCTCATGCGGCACTCTCTCAGGGAATATCAAAATAAGGTCACAACCTTTTATCGAGCTTTTGTAGGCTCCGGTAACTCGTGGATAGTATTCTCCTTGTTGGCAGGTAGTTCTGACACATGACCTCCGCCTAACTCGCTCAGTGTGCTCTCTTTATTGCCGGGTAGCTCTGACACACGACCTTGGCCGTCTAACTCGCTCGGTATTCCTGGGGGCTGCAGATGCTCCTGCTGTATCGCCGATTCTTCGGTGATGGGTGTTACTGCTTGAGATAATTGTTTCTGCGGACGACGGCGCATGAAATACCAAAGCAAAGCGACAATGATTCCCAACCCAGAAACACCGCCAACCACACCACCCGCGATAGCGCCAGTATTTGGACTAGAAGAGCGATTCGATGATGGGATGTCGCTAGATGTTGGGGAGCTGCTGGATGTCGGTGAGCTGCTCGATGTAGGGGAGCTAGTCGATGATGGAACGCCTACATATAGTTATGTTAGATGTGGACTCATAACATGCAAGCAGGAATTAAATCCGCCTTACCTAGTGAAACTTGGTATAGTGGCGTGGTATCATCAGCCTTGGCTACCCCATTTGGCGCACACCCAACTCCAACCGCTTCACCAGTCCTATTATACGCCCACTCTCCCCTCTCGCAACAGAAATATCCGCCCCCATAGTTTTCAAAAAGACCCCAGGTTGCATTGGCGCAATGTGGTTGTCTACTGATTTCCTGTCTGCAGTCTGTAATACCCGGACAACAGATCCCTGTGTACTTGTCACTACAAGTTGAGCCACTAGGGCAGCATCGGAAGACATCTTTCGATGTTATAGGATCAACGCCTGCGGCGGTGAGGCATTCTCCTGGGAAGCAGGAGCCAGTTCTGCGTATTGCGAATCCGAACGGGGGACCCCAATCGAGGTCGTCAGCCATGATAGGAAAGAACGAAACTAAAAGCCAAACGAAAGTTGATTGCGAAGCATACAAGCCGTGTGTGATGTAGAGGATACGAGGTAATGGCCTCGTCCAAAAAAGGTTGGATTTCAAGAGCTAACCGAAGCGAGAAAAACAGAAGAGGAATGCTAGTAAAATTTAGGGGTCTTTTATTAATAGAGGGACCCTACGCTCGAACAGACCCTGCACTTAAGGCTAGGATATTGGCGTCACCTTGGCATTAATCTTCGTCGCGAGATTAGTCTCGCCGAGGGGACTTCCTAGGCAGACTACTATATAACAGAACTTCTAGTTCAGGCTGGCGAAGGTGGTATGTTATAAATTCATTCGATGAAGATGACCGCTTTTGTTTAAGAACTGTTATTCCTTACTAATCGAGAATCCCCTCGCGTATAAACCCTTTCTTCGTTGTGAGCAAAGGATGGAAGGTAGACCGGGAAAAAGCCCCAACTGTCTTCGGGCTACTTAACCATAGCCAGCTTCCCCACAGCAAAACAAGGCAAAGATCAACAGCAAAGGTCAAATTAAGGGGGAAAATGAAAAATATGATAAAGCGAGCCCTCTAAATTTAGTCCTATTTCGATTCTAGTTGAACCTCAGAAACTAGATACATACTAGGTAAAAGCAAATGGCTGCGGCTGAAAAGTGACAGAGCATTGACCGTGGGAAGACATCGAGGTGAACCTTGGCACGAGTTTCAAGTTGACACTATGACGAAAAAGGCAACCCCACTTAAAACGGGCAATTCATAGTTGATCTTATCAACCTTGAATTGCCTGTTTACTCCGTAGATTCTAACGGAATTGACTTTATTTTACAACCGAGAGGGTTTAATTAGACATATTAATGGAATGCTTGGCTAATGGACTTGCAGGCTCGTTATCGACACTATCCAGAAGAAGAATCCATTTTCCAATTTCCCATCTTGCATCACAGCACTAGATATATCGAAAGAAGAAATAAATCATTGCTTACTAACTGAAAAACGAAAAGGCCTCACTTGTAATACCCCGCATCTTTCAAGAAATCATGATCTGCATACGCTATTGTCGGGTAGGAGGCCATCATTTTGTAATATTCATACGTCTGGCCCACGGATATCCTGAAGTCACCTGTACTGATCTTCCCAGGAACTAGGTACCCGCGATACGACCTCCACTTGTCCGGGGTAATGTCGTTGAAGGCACTGGGGTCGATGGACTGTGGGGAGTCGTCGCTAGGCGTGGTGACGGTGGTGTAGATGGACTGGATTTCTGTGTCGCTGGCTCCTAGGGCAGACAGTTTGAGGAAATGTTGGAACATTTCTAGGCTGGGGTTGCTCCATTCGCCGCTAGCTTGAGCGGCTGCTTTTCCGGCGATCCAGTATGGAGATGTGATGCACTCTTTGTATTCTTCCAGCGAGCATAAGCCTCCCGTGGTGGATCTGCTGCCACCCCATTGTAGCCACTCGATGAATCGATCGACGTTGCTGTCCCATAATTTGGTATTGAAAGAATCTGTTGTTTGAAAAGCTTTCGTGATGTTGCAATCTTCCTATCCACCTATTAGTACTGAATAGGACTGGGCTGGTTTGCTTACCTTGTATTCACCATCGCCGTTGTATATAGCCTGGGTAATGAAAGCCTTTGCAGCATCATTATAATTACACGGGTCCCCGTTCTGGATGGGAGGGAATTCAAAAAAAGGCGAACCAAAGAAGACAAGGCTCCAAAATAAGGGTTGAGGGGCAAGGCTGCCTGGAAGATGCCACATGCCCAGATCTCTAGTCCGAATCCGACCTATGGCTCCCTGTCCTGTATAGTGCTCATTCAAGGGGAGAGAAGATCTTTGGAGCCATTGGAAGAATTCTGGAGTGAGAGACATGAAATCGTCAAAATTCTGATATGCCAACTCAGGGCGGAAGACGGTCTCGGGTTCTTCTAGTCATTCGCCAATGGGTGGATTGTTGGCATCAAGGACGGTGATTGTCAGCGTGCCTTCTTGCTGGTAGGAGCGCCCCTCGATCTCGATGCTGGCCAGCAAGGTAAATACTGTCGGCTTCAATATGGCAGGAGCTGTGGCAGTCACTTGCTTGACAGTGCCGGCATCATCCCCGGATTCAACGAGTGTCAAAAAGGAGGGAAGACAGGGTGTGATGGACCACTTGAGAGGGAAAGATGTTGGCCGCTTGAAGTGAACCCAATTCAACTCATCCCGACTGTCGGTTGATAAGGTCCATTCCGCTTGGTTATAGTAGAACGGGGCAGGACCCAAGGTCTCCAGGCTCAGCTTCCACGTGCTGAAGCTATCGCTGGTGGTTCCCAGATGGATGGTCGAATCAGACGCCATGAGTGCTTTGCTTCCTTGCATTATCTGGAAGGTGGCGGATGTCACGTACGTTGTGTCGGTATTGTCGACCTTCCGGGTGGTTGTTGTGGGTTTTGACTGGCAGATGAAAGTCCACTGCTGTCGACCCAGGGCTTCTTGGTAGACCTTGTCATCCACAGGTACTGTGTTCCCTTCTGCATCAGTCGTGATCTTCGATGGAGGAGGCACGACCTCCAGGTCGCCATTCTTAGTCTGTCCAAGACACACTGCCATCCAATTCCCTTTCGAGTCTAGCGCATAGGTGAAGATGGTCGTCTTTCCTGTCGAGTTGGTGGTGATACACCAACATGTATCGGGGGCGTAAGTGACCTTGCTAGAGACGTCCACAACAAACCCGTCAGAGCTCTCCTTGCTCGCTTTACCCAATGCAAGGTATATAAAGTCAGACCCGGTGCTAATCGAGATACCATTGAGGGAGCTGGCCGAGCTATCAGGTGGTACGACATTAAAGTAGTCAATGTCAGTCTCATGCTCCATTTTCAGACCAAGCTTCTTGGCATGTTTGTCGATAAAGTCCTGGATGGGGTTGGGAGGATCCTTATGTAGGAACATCATTACGATCATCACAATAAGTCCAGCCACCAAAAAGGCAAACGCCACGGGACCCGCACAGGTTACCACAGACTCCAAAATGGCCACCGTGCCTTCAGCCAAAAAGCTGGCACCACTGACGAACCAGTTCAATCCGATAGCGAAGAGCTGGACAGCTGTCGAGGCAATCATCAACGAGTCCATAGCAATCTGCAGTGGGTCCGATGCCCCGGCCAGGTCGAGCGCTGTCAGCACAAGATCGACCGCGGCAAGCAGACAGCCCACGACGTTAGCGAGGAACTCCCCTGCGGACCGGCCGAAGATCTTCAAGGATTTGCTAACTGCTTCGCCCGTGATTTCCATGGTTTCTTCCGGCGTGCGGATCAGCCATTGGGCTAGCTCGCTTTCAGTCTGCCTACACGTTAGTACTAGCTCGTATTATTGAAATGATAAACTCACCCGTTGCGCAGCAGATGGAAGTCGTTTCATCACACTCTCAAAGCCAAAGAAGGCTTTGAGGCAATCGGAAAACCCACTTAGGTCTTCCCAGAACACGTTTAGCCTGATCGCCCCTTGGATGCCCTTGATTGTAAATGTGACTCCCAGTTCGACCAGTGTCGTCACTATCGAAGCCTTTTCTTGATCTGTCATCGAGTCCCAACCCCCGCCAAACTCGCTCAGCAGGGGCAAGATTACCAGCACACTGCAGGCCATGCGAAGGAACGTCCCGGAAATCCCAGCGCCATTTGCAAGTTTCTTAAACCAGTCTGATTTCTCGTTGAAACGGTTGAACCCTTTGACCACATTTGACCAATCGCCCAAACTGCCCCCGAGAAGCATGCTCATATCGAGACTATTGAACAGTTGTTTCCGTATAAAGTCATCAGCAGCCAGGAGCTTTGCATTGTTCGCCTCTTCCACGAGATCGGCATTCGAGCTGTCCTTGTTTGCCTCGTAGAATTCCTCCAGCATGGCCTTCAGCACACTGTCGAAATTTTCCGAGACCCCGTTGGCGTCGATAAACTGCGGAATCATCGAGGTCATCATATACACCTGCACCACGTCGTTGAATGCTTGCTGGAACGACTTTCCATCGGGGTTACTCTGTCCGTTTTCCAGTATGCTAAACGTTCCTGTAAGCGATTTCAACATCCGGGATACAGTGCCCGAGGTGGCTCCTCCGGAGGCAACCTGTGCCATCAGACTGGGAAGGTATGTAACGACTCCCCAATAATATAGCTGAAATGCCCAAAGAAGCTTCTTGTCCACAGCCCAGCTACAGAGAGAGTCAATATCATCTAGCGCAGTCTGGAGATTCTTCGCGGCCTGGTCGGGATCACCCCCATCTCCCATGCCATTTGCGTGCTCCTTGATGTTGTTTTTCATATATTCTGCGGCGGCTTTGATATTGGCCGTATGGTCCCCTCCCGCCTGGTCATCGAGATATGCCTGGATACTAGGGAACTTGAGCAGATAGCGATGGCGATACAGTTTCTCCGCGTGTCGTTTGTACGTGTCAGACTCGGCGGGAATACTCTGCAGCTGGGCCTGAGCTCGGAGAGCATTGCATTCTTTTGCCTCGGGTAGAGTCGAGCGTGACAGGCTGGCAGTCACATAAGGGACCTGCAGAGAATTGTAAAATGTACTATTATCACCGCTGTCGGTCGCAATAGCCTGCACCGTTTCATCTTCTAACACGATGGGCGTGGCCTGGACAAAGGTTGTTCGGAGGTCATCATCCATGTGGTATGCGATAATGTCGCTAAAATCCTTATTGGCAGCCTGCGAAACCACGTCTCGATACTGCGTCGGGCTGTCTGGCACCGGCTCCATGGGGTTCAGCGACGTGAGTCCGGTGACATTAAGTGATGACTTGTCATCAGCGGGGCGTAACAGATGGGGCGAAGGCTTGATGATCGACTTGAATGGTGGTAGAGACGGGTTCCGGGGCATCGCTGGGATTGGCTCTCCAAAAGGCGACTGGGCTGTACCGATGACCCCGTACACAGTCTTGGTGTCCGGCACAATATAAGCCCCCGTGAAGGAAGTGGCAAAGGCATCAAATTTAAACACAGATCGGTTTGGGAACACAGATTTGACGTCACTGTTCACTCGGACCTCTGGAGGTGAAGGCACCTGTGTCTGATCGGTGATAGTGATGCTGAAAACCGCACCGGCTGGATCACTGCCGTCCATCACAGCTGTGTATTGTATCATTCCTTCGGCATCCAACGAGAACGTCTCGCCCGTCTGGCGGTCCGTATACGCAGCTTCATTGATGTACTCCGGACTGCCAAACGGGTTGGACTTGGAGACGGTGTCATACTGAAAGGTCATGCTTGTCTCCCACGAGGCTGAGTTCCATTCCGAGGAATCAGGATCCCACACCAATCCTCCCTGTCCGCTGGATAGATACGCGCCCGAATTGGCGGCCACCTGCACATCAAAACTGACCGCATACGGCTGCAGCATCACCGCATAGTTCCCTCCCGCAAGATATATCTGACCAGTGGGACGGTTAGGATTGGTAAAGTCGATAAACAAAGACAGGCTATCGCCGTTGCTGTCCTGCGTGTTGACTGTGTAGATGTTCCGTTCGGGGGTGATCTGGATATCACTCGGGGCTATCCATCCATTGTTCAGTCGCATGGGTGTATCAGGCGTACCAAAGGCGGGAAGGAAGAGGTAATGACCCTCATCATGATAGAAACTCGGGTCATGCAGCTTGCGGCCGGCTATGGTATCGTGACCTGTCACCAGTATCTTGAACATTCTCGGGCCTCCAATCTGTTTTGGATTCGCGTCAAGCACCCTCCGGGCTTCTGTATTGGGTTAGAAGAGCCTCGATAGATATATTTGCGTGTTACTCACCCTCCCCCATTCGAGACCGCTGGAGACTCTGCTGGTAACGGGCGTTACGTAGCTTCCGGTTCTTTTTGGCATCGAATCGGTCTCCACGCATGTAGCTCTGGATGCGAGACACCTGCCGACGGTAAACGGCCGGGTCGGAAGAGAGAAGGCCTCCCCCACGACCGAGGAAGGATAGATGATCGTACGGATTCAGGATGGACATTATGGTTAGACAAAAGAAGATCTGAAGATGTGTAGTAAGAAAGATGTCAGTATTATGGGTATTTCCTACTCACTTTATAGATCGAGTCAACAGGGTTCATTCCCTTTGACAAAATAGGAAATAATGTTCATGATGCTCGTTATGGCCGCGTGCATAAAACCCCCTCTTTCTCTTTATCCCCCGCATCATCAACCCAGTCTAATTGAGTTCAGGTATCTATACAGGAGTCTCATCAGGTCCAGATCAATGCAGGGGTTTTCAACAGCATGTATAACAGATGCTGCGGGGATCTTGACTCCAATATATGTATCAATCGAGTATAGATTAGCGTGATGAATATGCTCTACTTGTGGAACATATGGCTATCGATTACCTATTTCATCTACTGGCTATCACCTGAGCGCTCTGATTTGTCAATGCATATTCTACCACACTATAACAACAACCAATGATGTATTTACCTTATAGAGATTTGTTTCTACCCAAAACAATAGGCAATACTAGTTGCATCGGGGCTTCCGGAGCGTATGTACGACATAGCGGGCTTATGCAGAAAGTTTGCTCCGGCACGGGTCTAGGTACATCCCGCTGCAAGGATGATAATCTCTCCCCGCTTTACCTGCATATGCATGAATCCTTCCAAGATTACACTACCCAATAAAAAACTTATCTCACTCCCACTCTTCCCTGTTTCCGATATTTTCGCCACCCCATTAGGAGGTGGTTTAACAAAGTGAAGGTTGGCTGAGCTGGCTAACAAGGTAGAGGGTTGCATTACCCAATTGAAAACAGGCACGTAGACTACACACTCCGCAATTTGTGGATGTATACAATTTGCCACGCACGTCTGCAATGAGATAGTGCGGATGTTTTGCAGATTTGTAAATAATCCACAAATCCATGGGTGTCCAGACCTGTAATCTACTTGAGAGTGCATTAATGATGCAATTGTGTATATTCATTGCGTACTCAGTAATGAGTTACGGACGAAGTACGTAGTACAGGGCCCTTAGTTGACCACATCGACCTCTATCCTTGCGAGGCTAGGCTCAAGGTTGATTGGATATTGCACCAAATTGATCATGAAGGGTGGCAAAGTTTAGGACATAATAGCCAGGATGAGATGGCCCAGTCCTCACTCGTAGCCTGTTAGTACCTAGTTCTGAGTTTTATGCCATCCAATTGTTTTTATACTGTTTCACTTTATGAATCATACTATACGCACATGTCCGACTATCGAAACAGGAATCTGCAAAGTAACACAAAGTCAACTTAATACGTAGCGGTATAGACGCCAGGGATCAAACACCCATTTCTGGGCAATATAGACGCCTTGGTGTCTCATTTTCTGAAATTAGACCGGCAGAATAACTAAGATAGTTGAATTACTATAACAAGAATAGTCGGCCGCATAAGCGGCCTTGTGGCAGTCGTTTCAGTCGCCCCAGATATCACTTTGTTTAGTATGCTAGTTTTACGTGTTGATTGTACCTCTGCGTATGACGTAGCGATGCTAAATATGTCTTGTTGTGAGACTAGCAAGATCCAAGCTCTCGATACTTCCAGTACAGTCCATTCGGTCAATAAGTACAGTAGAGGATAGACTATCTCCGACAAGTTCGGCGATATGCCTAATAGGAGTAAAGCAACAAATAATACAAAAGTCGGACCAATAGCAATAAAGGACGAAGGAACAAAATAAAAAGAAACAGGGATCCCACAATAGTAAAAATGCCTCGTCGACAGATCGCAGACAAGATGCCGGAGATACAGGATGATAGGTTGGGCTTTATAGAACCACGCACATGGACACACGTATAAAGAGCATTAAACTGATAGTGTCAAAATTATTCGAATTCAAACTACGCCCAAGGCGGGGTGATAAATCAATAAAAGAAGCATGCTCGAGAGCGAAATGTGCAGCATGGTCACAATGGTACCTAAATCAAAATTGAGACTGCATTCCACTCTGGGCTCAGGACCTCATACGGGATGGTGTCCCAATCATCCGTGGCTTGCCCGTATCCCTTGAACTCCTCTTCGCTATCAGCAAGTGCTGTATAGAATTTTCCGGTGATTCTTGCAATGGCCTGGTCCTCCTCTGATGGCTTGTGGCGGTAAACCCGGAACTTCGAAGCAGCGTAGACAATCAGGCTCTCTTTATTGCCGGGTTTATAGCTCAGCAGGTATGGTGTATGGGACGCAAGAAGCCAATCCCGAGTACGATTCATAGGCAGGGCCTCAACAAGGTCTTTTTCGGTGTAGCCGAGCAGGTCATTCAGAGATGATGGGAGCTCGGTGTAGAGACAGGGAGGTTTGTTGACAACGAACGACTGGTAGTAGTTTTGTAGATAGTTGACCGCCGTGTGTTGAGGGGAAGCAATATGTATGCACATTGTAACACAATCAACTAGCTCCGCGAACGTGCTAATGGTTGGGAAGGATGGTAGATCTGCACCGCTGGGACTTCGCATCTCTGCAGACCAGGCCTGAATGCGTTCGTCATGAAGGACCTTATGATCGGCATCAGGCTGTGGGTAGTCTAAGGTGAGCATCTCTTGGACGTAGCTCCTAATCTTGTGCCACATGCTGTTGATACATCTGGCATAGGCGTAGTTGTGAAACTTTGGACTGTCGAGTTGTTCCGGAGGGAACCCACGTTGGCTGAGGTCTGCCGGCACGTAGCGTTGCTTAAAGTCGAATGTCTTATATGCGTGTCGGATAAACCTATACGCCTCTGTTTGTTTGAGCCCAATCAACTCAACAATGATATGGGGAACTAGAGTGTTCCGGGCTGCCGCATTGATCGCCAGGGTCTTCTGCCAGTGTGGATAGAGCAACCTCATCACGGGGTGGTTCGGGTCGAGTTGCCTGTTAGCCGCGACAATTGTGGCCTCTTCGATTAGGTGCGTGTTGGTGAGGTGCACAGTTACTTCATGTCGAAGCCAGTCGCTGCATTGCACGCAGGTTTTTGCTAGATTGAAAGGGATAAGTCAGCGCACGAAAAAGGGGCCTCAAAGGGTAGGGGATTCACCATATCTCCACGGCCAGTCATGGGATTCATCGATCATGTTCTCACTTTGCCAACTCTTCTCGCTTCCCGATCGGAGGTCTTTCCGTTTCATGAGTTCACGGTTGTAGATCGTCACAGATCTGTCCGCAGTTCCCCGCCAGTCAACAACAATAGCCAGTGGGTACAGTTGGCCTTTGTCATTAAGATAAAAAAGACAGACCGATGCGCAGCCATAACGATAGCTTTTTTCGCCTTTGACTTTCTCACCTGGATCCTCAAACGCACTCTTGATGACAGCACTCGGATCCAACCCAACAGCCTCGCGGAAGTAGCTGTAATCCTGCATGTATAATGACTCACGGCAGTTGTCCTTGAGATCAGTGATGTTCTGCTTAGCTTCTGAATCCTCCGGTGCATTTGCGGCTTGAATGAAGTGTTGTATCCAACGATCCGAAGCCAGCTCAATGGTTGTAGGATTAGCCCCTGTAAACTGCTGCTGGCAAAATCGGTTATCGCTGTACCAATCCTCCAAATCACCCACGTTGGGGAGATCAAAGATATCTTCACGGTGTGTGGATCCGCGAGCTTTCCTGTTATACGACTCCACATCTGCGAGTTTGGTCCCTGCATCGGGTGTGCCCATAGAGCCAAACCAAGCCCATGCTGCTATCTTGGCAGCCTCTCTAATGTATTGATTTGGCACAACACTAGGTAAGAGAGAGCTTAACTGAAGCAGGCGCATCTTGTTAAATATATCAGATGGCTGGAGTGTTGATCTCTGGGTCTTGTTTTTCTCCTCCTCTGCTGCTGGTATATTACCAGCAAGGTTTAGATGGGGTGGATAACCGTCTGAGCCATTTGTAAAAGCAAAGAACTTCTGTTTCTCTTCTCTGGACAGAGGCGATGGAACTAAAGGTTCAAAATTGGCGACATCCATGAAGGACATAAAGCTGTTGATCGTATTAGCGATATCCGAGGATCAAAATAGATAAGGGGTAAGTACCGCTGCTCTATTAGATCATAAGCTTTGGTGAGCGCTAGCTTGGTCCCACGATATGTTCCTTCGCGGATGGGAGACGGCCCTTGTTCATGGGCTTTCCAATGTAGATTCTCGGGGTTTTGACCAAACGACTTCTTCTCCCCGTCACTCAATAATTTGAGACTCCTCGGCAAAAGTTCAATATTGGCTAGTTCGTTGATGAATACACCGCTGTCAATGCCGTTAACAGCAAGCTGTTCAGGGTCCCTAGGCCATTTCCCCTGAACCTCAGGATGGCCAAGCACGACGCCGGGCGTTAGCCGGGTCATTGTGCTAGCGGTTTGACCCATGACTTCTGGGATAGTGCTGTATTGATTGGTAAACTCAAGGATAAAATTGAGTAGCAAGCCCGTTGATGATATCTTGTACAATATTCAAAGGATTGAATAGCGCCTTACTTCCTCGTGATGTCATGAGTGGTAATTGAAAATAATAGAATCATGAGATAATAGGAGATTATAATGGAGTTCACGAGGTCCCCTAGAAAGACAAATGCGAGGTGGAATATTCAGGCCGGATCGGTCTTGCACGCCTAGGGAGCCGCTGCAACAGGAAATGGAAAGGCTATTGTTCGGCACCATTTTGCATTCGTACTTCGGGGCCGGAAACGGCCGGTGACGGAAATGTATCTATATTTCTCCAGGCCTTTGTCTTCGGCTTATTGATCCGATCTAGACTCGGCTTCTTTAAAGCTTAGCCTGATCAAGCTAAAAATTCAAACCTTATCTTCTTATCCACATAGTAGATCCTCAATCCGTTATTTCTGCATTTGGCTCTTTTAGTGAATAAACTTCACTATAAAATAAAATACCTCTAACAATTAATGGAGATGGAGAGGAGATCAAGATAGTTGATTGATTCGGGGATAAAAAGGATAGAGAGGAAGAGAAGCTTGGCAAACAGGGTCACGTCAGGTGACCACGACATCTTGGAGTTTTATCCCGAGGGGTTTGCAGGGTTTGCATCTCCTTGATGGCCTCAGGCCTCACTTGTCCAGGGGCGGGGAATATGGGGTTTCTATTGGCTGAGAAGCGAGGCCTCCTGTGGATTATGTAATCTATCTGCATAACGTATTCGGTAAGCGAGCTGCGCGCGCAAGCCAGCTGCGCAGCCCAAAACACATAGTAAAAGTGATGCACTTATCATTTATATTTCAACAACCAACGTTTTTATCATATTAAATTTCTTGCCGATAGCAACCGATAAGCATTTTTAGTGTTATATAGCAGTTTCGCCTAAATCAAAAACATGCATTGTCATGGTTTCAAAAAATACATCCCTACATTCAAGAAATATATATTTATCGATCATATCTCTATCAAACACCTATTAAATTCCTATAAAGTCTAGATAATAGCTAGATGTCATATAAAATATATTAGGCTATAAGGAAAAGTTCATATACATAACCGTTGTTACAATATCATATTGTAATTTATCGCTTTTACTATGTGTTTTGGGCTGCGCAGCTGGCTTACCGAATACGTTAACTAACCTTGGAACTAGTTATAACGCGTTAGCTAGTACTATCCAATAGAAACCATGCGATCTTTTCAGAATCTCAGAGTGAAATTTTCGTATTCGACTTTTGATGATCCTCACTCAAACTCTGTATAACCTTTTGTTTCCTTAATCGTACTCCTTGGATAGCTTTCTCTGCTTTGCTTTAAGCTTAACTGGACAAGAGGTATGGCAGAAAAGACAGTCACAGGCATGGGATCAATAACCGGAATATCGAATCCCGAAAGTTCAAGCCGCTTTTTGATTTCCTCAGCACAACCTATAAAGCCAGTGCATCCCAGGATAATAGAATGTGCACCCATATCTCTCACGAGAGCGAGGGCATGCTCCGCTAACCTATTCGTCATTTCATTGACTTTGCCCTTGATTTCAAGCGATCGCATATCGATGGCATGACAACCGACAAATCTGCCCTCGTGACCGTATGCTTTAACCGAGTCTTTGATGATGGGAATGGACCCTTTCAAGATGGTGACGACCCCAAATGTATCCGCTAGACTGGCACATATGTTCATTGAAATCTGCGCCACACCTAAGACTGGGATATCGACAACTTCTCGCAGAGTATCTAAGCCGGGGTCACCGAAACAATCGATGACTATGGCATCGGCTCCTTTTTGTTCTTCTCGCTGGGCTGCCGCAATCAGGCCGGGGATTGCGAATGCTTTGTCGGCTCGAGATTCGACGGAGATTGGGCCAGTGTTCAAATTGACGACTGAACAAGTGATACCGTTTTTGCACAGTCCTTCTAGTTCCTCGCTTGACAGGTCGACTGGTGTCGATACAGGCTGAATGATTGAGATGCGCATATCGAAGATCATGCAGACCAGCTGGTTTCTGGGTCAATGTTCAAAATGGGTATTTCAGGTAGATTGCGATGCAATTGTGAATGCTGACCCCTAAAGTGCGAAGTCAAATCTGGTTGAAGTCTCGAGTCTCTCTGTGCATTGACCGGCAAGAGAGGGATACCTGACAATCGTTCTGTACTGGAAGCTTCTGGAGGAAAGTGATGTACACTCGTCTGAGCATACAGAGTGAGCCAGCAGGATACCTAGCAAAACTCAAATGCATTCAGCGGTGAGAATAGGGCGCATAGCATGCATTGCTATCACACAGCATTATTGACTAGTCGAAGACGGCTCGTATTGTGCATGCAAATTGATCTAGGTTTCCAATTACTCCGCACCTGCAGTAGTCACGATCTTTGGTGTACTCATCATTATTTCTGTATCTCGTTCAGCTAGTGAGATCGTAGATGAAATACCGTACAGCGATATATTACAAGGATATACCCTGCATGCCTAGCCATTCACGGCTTATGATGAAAAAATACAGTGGAGATGGGACTAAATTCTGCTTTTGTAGGATTTCAGCTCGTCATCTACAGTGTCGCGAGGGGTCTACATGTATGCCACTTGCAGATGACACTTCAGGGCTCGGAACTGAATGTTGAGTTAATGCGCTATTTCTCCAGCTTGGGACGGCCTTGCAGATAAACTTCATGAAGTAATCTGCATAGCACAGGTCATTTTTTGGCGTCCCGCGTCAGCACGGACTTTATTGATCACATGTCATGCATCAATGGAACATTGGTTCGGGCCCTGTATTGCATAGTAGGTGTCCATCCATCAAGGGCACGTTGTTGACCTGCAATTGTTGTGGAGGGCTACACAGACCGCCGATCGCAAGATTGATATTTTGGGCTAATTGCATTTGCATTTGCATTTGCATTTGACATCTCATGTATATAAGGAAGCTTTAATCCGAAAGTCAGGACTGGGCCATTGTTCACAATACCTTCCATTCAGTTTGTCCCTCAAGAGACTCCTCCAAGATGACCAAGGAATACGTCGAGCCTGCCAACATCCCTGTTATTGATTTCAGGGCTCTTACTTCTGAAAATTCTCAGGAGCGTAAAGATGCCTTGAACCAGCTTGATGAAGCTTTCCAAACATACGGCTTCATCTACCTGTCCAACCACAGCATTGGACAGAAGCTGGTTGATGAAGCCTTTTCTTGGGTATGGTCAAGTCCTAAGTCTATCATCAACATTTTCTAATAACCTATAGTCCCAGCGCTTCTTCCATTTACCGAATGAGGTTAAAGAGCTTTGCAAGCACAACACCGTTGCAGCTGATCACCGTGGCTGGGCAGCTGTCGGAACTGGCATTGTCACCCAGGATGTCTGGGACAAGGATGAAATTTCGAATCTGCGTAAAACTGCACCTGTTGAGCAGAAGGAAATTCTCGAAATGGGTAATCCTCACTCTAAGGGTGGCCCAGGCGAGTCTATCGTGAATCGTCTGCTCCCTGAGGACGTTTTCCCCGGATTCAGGGCTTTCCTTGAAAGGTGGTGGGACGCTTGTTTCAAGCAGCAGCTCCAGGTTCTACGAGCTCTCTGCGAGATCCTGGAATACACCGACCTGGACTACCTTGGCAAGCAGCAGGACCCCAGCCGCAGCCGAAACCATATGAGCTGGCTGTATTATCTTTCTCAGCCATTATCAACATTGAAGTCAGGCGAGAGCAACCGATTGAACACACATACCGACTTCACACAGTTGACCCTGCTATTCCAAGATATGGTCGGAGGTCTTGAGGTCCATGATTATAAGGCGGGAATTTTCCGACCTGTGCTTCCTAAGCCCGGTACCATGATTGTGCATATTGGTGACATGCTGGAGAAGCAGTCAAACGGCAAGTGGAAGAGCGCGTTGCACCACGTCTCTGCTCCTATCCATCTTAAATATGGGGATGAGACAACAAACGAAGACACCGTTGTTGAGCGTTTCTCCATGTCATTTTATGGAACTCCTCAACACGATGTGATGATTGAGCCAATTCCAGGATGCGAGGCAATTGGAAAATGGCGCACCTTGGAGTGGGAGCCCAACATGACTGCCGGCGCTTGGATTGAGAAGAGAGTTGCACTTGAATATGGAGATGGACAACAAGTGCCTCCGGCTGTTCCTGTTGCTTAGATGCGAGATGAAGATGTTCTTTTTCGGTTTTGTCGGAATCTTTCTTTTTTGTCCTCCACATGGCTTTCTCCCCCAGGTAGGTTTAGATGACTCGATATTTGGAGTCAGCTTTCATGGAGTGATAACTTGGTTAGAGGAAACACATTGCCAACAATAAACAATCGAATGAGATTTAGTCAACCTGTTACCACGCTAAAGAAGGTGAAATAGATTGTGATCCTTTCAAGTAGTGTAGTCCTACATTTAGTTGAAATCTTATATTTCCAACCTTTGATGTCTTCCTTGCTATGCTCATTCATGAATCCCTTACTATCTACGGAGTACAAGTCCTCAAATATAAAAACACCCAAGGATATGGGTATTATACAATATCTTTTGTCTTGGAATTAAGCTCACAAGGCACCCATAGATTGTTAACTTAGATGGTAACTATAATTCTATCCGATTCCCACCCTCTTTACAGATGGGCTGAACCACCTTGCCTTGTTCCGATCGGCACTTAATGCATGCCCCACAGAGGGGGTCACGACGCCAGGAAGCTGCAGGGGCAAGCAGCAGAGTTAGAATGACCCAATATGTCGATCTTTTAGTTCTTTGTACAGGACACGTCTGTTTAGCCAATTGAGTTTGATTTCGATTTGTAATTAATTGCCCCAGCCCTAGAGTGACGCATGTTCTATTGCGTATCACGATCATGTATACGAGTTGGACTTTACAACACTCTGTATTCAATGAGTGGATATTGAGAAGGAAAAAGAAATGGACTTGGGCGGAATTGAGACAAGCAATAAAAAAATATATTCCTATCCATAGACTTTATTACAGGTGAAGAGCTCCTTTTGCTTTACTACCTACGGAATATGTAAATTTCGGCTAGAAACCTATTGAAGGTGTTAACCACGAGGTTGGAAAGATGAGATCACTGATAGTCAATATAGATGGCAGCTGAGATTTGCCGTAAACATGGACACTTAAGCGGAAGGCATACCGACAATCTGCTGTTGTGGCTGACTGAGTCCAAGACAGCTTTCTCTGCATGCATGCTGCATCTCAATCGGTCCTACCTGGTTTCTGTTGTATGGGATCACTGACAGTCAATATGGATGGCAGCTGAGCTTCACCGTAAACATGGACACTTGAGCGGGAAACCTACCAGTAATATGCTTTTGTGGCTGGCTGAGTCCGAGACAGCTTTCTCTGCATGCATACTGCATCTCAATCGGACCTACCTAGTTTCTGTTGTGATACATCATGATTAAAGTAGTCACAAACTTTTCATACAGCCGATTAAGTTTCGGTGTTGTGGAATTTGACTTCCGAACCTGCATTTCTGCCCCGTATACTTGATGCTTGCGCTGAAGGCAATGATTTCTCCAAGTATCCCCTGCAAAAGGACTACCACTAAGCCGCTTAGATTCAGGGAAGATGGAAATAGTTAAGGGTTGTGGGAGCTTATTGATGAGCTATTGGCCATATTCAATTTTTGAATTTGGAATGCTCGCAACACGGCACGTAATCTGCAAATTTACTTGATACCCTGCGTCATTCGACTACCTCCCCTGAGTCAATTCTGCAATAGAGATTATTCCTTAATATTACTGGTACGGTATTATTCACCTCATACATTGGTATATGTGATGTCCGAATGCACTCAAATCTATAAAGACAATTAAAGACACCCGGGAAGCTGCCGGGATTTTGGCCATTCCAGTTTCAGTTACCTCATATTCTAGCCTACGTTTTTCTCCACAGATATGTCTATACCAACCGATATCGCCAACCTACTGATAGGAGAAGGTGCTAAGTTTTCAATTCACTTCGATGAAATTCCTCTCCGCAACGATGGACTTCGCAATGGCTCCAGATTTTATATGCTTTCCACAAATCGTGCCCTGAAAGACCACGAAGAAAAGGAGGACGACCTCAGATATCTGTCTAAGGGCAGACAAGGCGTCATTAGGCTAAAACAGCTACTTAATGCCCCTCATGTCATGAGAGAAAAAGAAAGCACAGCCCAAGATGAGGGGAAAGCTGTAATGCGGCTTGGGGAAACAACTTTAGTTGTCGATGAAACATTTGATGCGCAAACTATTCACAGTCACATCTGGAACTCATTCATGTCAATTGAGTTTCGCTTCCCGAAAGCAGATTTCACATCTCTGCAATATCTACAAACTTCCTGGAAGGGCCTCGAATCCGGCGATACCCTCTTCACCAAGGAGGGAACACCAACTTTCGAACAAGTATCCATCGTTTCTGGAGTTTGTCTCTTCAATGCAAGGCTTTTGGAAATGAGTGCAAGCAGTCCGAAAACTGGTGGTGTCGATGTTGATCTACTCAAGAATTCAATCCCAACATACAATGAACTGGACTATATTGCTCGTGCGTCAAGTGCCATCGCTGATGTGGCTGCCATGAACATCTTAAGGGCTTGGGAGCAGGGTTCTGGACAGCGACTTGAAATAAAACTTGACATCCCTAGCTGGCACTACTTCCATGCAGTAGCCACAAAATTTGCGTTAAAGCAATGTTCGAACACCGAAGTGTTGCAATGGATGGACGCTGTTAACCAACGACATGATCAGATCGGCCAAACTTTCGTGGAAGCCATCAGAGATGGGCTTGAGCAACGAGGGATTCGCGACAGCACCAGCTATGGGATTAGCATAACATCAAGGACAAATCCAGCTGCTGTTTTAATTCGAACAGCAATTGAGCATGAAGAAATCCCTTCATTGGGTTTAATTCTCGCCGCATTGGACTCTGAAGAAGACGGGTGCTGGAAACGATTCTACGAGATGATCCCGGCCAAGGAACGACCCTCGAACCTTGACCAGCTAGGTTATCTGTTCTACGTATATGAGGCAATCAGGCCGTCTCTCGTCGAAAGTCCAACACCAGTACCTCCGGCATCTGACAAAACTAAGAAAGTTAACTTGTCCAAGAAGGCATTGAAAAAGCGAAAACCTCGCCGCCTAATTATCAGCGTTGATGACTCTGCGGAACGACGCATTTACTCCAGAGCTCAAAGGATACTCAGCAAGATTCGACAATCTAGCGAAAAGCCTGAGACTTACTTGGTAGAGTTATACGTTTGCAGGAGGTTCTTGATCAATAGAAACGAAGACAGAGCGCGACTAGGTCGGTTAGATCCTCTTCCCGATGTCCCAGTTCGCACTGGTTCCCACCATGAGGCTATACTACCTCTCGATGTGGTGCGGCGGCTCTACGGAGACAAGTCTGCTCTCAATTTGCAACGATGGCTTCAAGAAGCGGGATTTTCGATTTAGAAATTAGATCAGAAATAAATTTCGTGGCTCAGGGATTCTATTGCCGTAGGCACTATGTTACGAAAACCAGGCCTAAAATAACTAGCAACTCGTCATACATAGCACCCGAGCGTACTGATTCCTTATACAAGATATGCGTGTCAATATTATCGCTTACTGTGATATTCCCGTCTTCAATTGCTATCTTTTCCAATGTAAGACCATTATCTGATTATTTTTTTCGAAATTTCTATTTGGCAAATCAAGAAGAGACGAATGTAGAGCTATATTTTATTATCTATATTTTATTACGGAGTAGATGAAAGCAGAGTAAGGTTCGGTGTTATTATAGAGCGAACAATCAATTCTATTTACTCCGTAGATGAGACTTGAATATAGTTGGTTTAGCAACTTAGATAGGTTTATTTCGCGCTTGTCCTAAGGTATATATTTGATCTATCGAGAACAGCTCCATGCTATGTAGTTGCATCTGTAGTGCAACTGCCTGCTGTGTGACGAATCCATAAAAAGTGCTCGAACATAACCTGCATATTTGCACATATTACTGTATTTTGACGTAACCTTCCCTAGTCATGACTTTGACCCAGCACATATTGGTCATGTTACTCCCATAGCACGCACAGAGTATATGACTATCCAATAATATTATTCTTCTGTGCATATCAAGCAGCACTTCGAAGAGAAGTTGCTATATCAGGAGCGAATACAAAAGATTGCCGTACGACCCGATACACGTATGTAATACTTATGTTTTCTTATTTAAAATAATTTCGCTCGCTGGTTGTTCAGCCTTCATTCTATGGCAATTTGATACACCTGTCAACTCGTTTTCTATCTACCACAGTGGAAAGTCAAAATGGTCGGCATCGAAATCGTGGAGCCTGCAGAAATTCCTGTGATCGACTTCCAAACTCTCTCAGTTGGCACTCTGCAAGAGCGTAAGGCTGCTCTTAAACAGCTAGACGATGCATTCCAATCGGCTGGACTTATACATCTTTCCAACCATATCATCGGCCAGGATCTTGTAGAAGAGGCATTCGCATGGGTACTGTGCTCCATCTTCATCTTTATACATCACCATCCTCTTCATTTACTGACCTATACAGTCTAAACGCTTTTTTGATCTACCGGATGACGTAAAAGGACTAGTTCGTCACCCTCATGACGCATCTGACCACCGTGGCTGGGCGGCTGCTGGCACAACCGTCTCAAGTCAAGGTGTTTGGGATCAAGAGGATATCGAGCGCATACATAAAACTGGCCCAGTGGAAAGGAGGGAAAACTTTGAAACAGGAGATCCCTACCCGAGCAAGGTCCCAAACCCTAACTTCATACCGAATCGAATACTGCCTGAAGAGATATTTCCTGGCTTTGAAGCATTCACTAAGAGGTGGTGGGATGCATGTGTGGAGCAAGAGCTTCAACTTCTCCGGTACCTCTGCGAAATCCTTGATATTCCGGACAAAGATCTTCTTGGGAAACAGCAAAATCCGCACTTCAATCGCAGTGCAACCGGTTGGAACCATTATCTATCGGTACCCGCCCGATCTCTGACAAGTGGACAATCTACTCGTCTCAATGCTCATACAGACTATGGGCAATTGACTTTACTGTTCCAAGATACGACTGGTGGACTCGAGGTTGAGGATGAAGAAGCCGGCATTTTTAGGCCTGTGCTCCCTAGACCCGGCACGGTCATCATCCAGATTGCCGATATGCTAGAGAGACAGTCTAATGGGAGATGGAAAAGCGCCTTGCATCGGGTTACTACCCCTCATCACCTAAAGCACAGCGATGTAGGTGATGGTGTGTTGGTTGAGCGATATTCGATTGGTTTCTTTATTCAGCCTGACTTTGATCTGGTTATAAAACCTCTTCCGGGTTGTGAGGCTAAAGGAAGATGGTCATCACTGGAGTGGGAGGATGAAATTACTGCCGGCGAGTGGCTGACTAGGAGAGTCGCCCTGGAATATCAACACAAGGAATCATCCAAGTCCGCAGCATAGTGGGAGAACTACATGACTTCATATCAATCTCAGTTTAGGGAAACCTAATTGAATTGCTTTCGGGTTTGAAAAAAACTAGTTTGTGCTTTTCAAACTACATCTAACAAATTAAAATTCAGTAAAAGCCATAATATACATAGTACAACTGCTGCTGTGTAGTCACTTAGCACCCACGATCTTGTCATAAGTACCTAGGTAGTTCGCCGCCTGCTGAGTAAAAATCATTATTATTAAAGCCTTGCCTGATCACTTCTAACATAATGTTACCTAAACTTAAGGTGCAGAATTTCTTCGAGCTCCTCTCTTCAATGTTGAGAGGAGACACTTGATCTTCTGGCTTTGAAATACTTTTTCAGTATGGTATTACATATTTCAAAGGAATGCAGTTAATTACAGTGGGACCCCCAATATTTCGGAGGTCCCACTGTAAATATAGGAAAAGCTGCCACCTGCAAACTACCAAGGTAGAAATTGATTATTACCAATAAATGGTATTAGTATCACCGGCAAGAAAGTGTGTGGCGTGCATGCATTATTAGCGTCCCTTCCGCCCGAGCTAGCAAGACAGTGTATGTGAGGAGCCGACGAGTCATACAGGGAACATGGGGTAGCGGTGCTGAGGAGCTCGGTGAATAAGGCCAATGAAAAAAATGCCTCAAGTACGAGGTGTAGGAGAATGGAAATCGAAGAAGAAAATAGGGTTGTTAGATACTATGTACTTAGGGAAGAGTAAGGGATTGCATAGAACGACGCGTAGGGCGCACATAGTGGCGGCTAATGATTGATAAATGATTGATAGACCTAAATAGGACTAGTTCTTTCACCCAAAAGGTCCGATATGGTGTAGTGGCTAACATCGTCGTCTCTCACACGACAGCCGGGGGTTCGATTCCCCCTATCGGAGTTTCTTTTTGTTTTGCGGCATGGTTTTTCATATAACTAAGATAATTAGTTTCTGGTTGTTGGAGGTTTTGCTGCGTATATAAACCAAAGCTCTTGAGCTATAGTTGTACTACTCCTTTACGAAGGTGCATACCTTGGCGTCCCTATCAAGCATTGATCGGCATTGGCACAAAGGAGTGGCAATATACTCAGTGCAAGCCGTCAACTTTGTCGCGCTACGGAGTATTATGGGAAGAGCAATTCACAATAATATGGCATGGCTACCGTGAATAGCTTCCATATATATATTCGTCTATGTCTCTTGTCCACGAAGAGGCAAGAAAATAAGTCAACTTATGCAGTCAGATTACATCTTCTTTGGGGCACTTATTTTTGGAAGCAAGAGTAGCAATGTTCCTGAGGGACACTTTGGCGTAAACCTGGGTTGTAGAATATAACTAGAATGCGCTATTATATGATGTGTACAGATGTTAAGGTGATATATGCTAATTCCATTTGAGATCAAATGTTTGGGACCTTCATATGCTATCAAGACCTCGGGATATATATCTGACCCACATTCAACCCCTGCATGCTTTTATGAAAACCAACCCGGATCCACAAAACTACAAGAACTGACAAAGTGCACAGGGAACAAGCATTTCAGCGTGGCAGCGAGATAAAATGTATTGTATTGGCTCTTATGTCCTAGCTAAACCCTCGCCCGTCTTGCTGCTGACTGAGTTCAACACCTCAAACTCAACGCCACCTTCATAGGAAGACAAATATCCAATAACATGTTGTTCCGGTGAGCTAAACCAGAATGGCGAGTCTGTACTCGACCCTGCCACCCACCTCACATCATATTTTCCGCTCTCGGTCCTCTGAACAGGAACCCGAGCAATCAATGGATGACTCTGTGGGGACCACCATCGAATAACAGGCAAAGTATGCGTGATAGTGTTAATCAATAGTTGTGGTGTTGAAGGATGCCAAACAATCTGTCGAACGGGTTGTTCGTGAACTAGAGCTGATTCAAGTCGTGGGGTACCCTCTAGTGACCAAATCCAAACAACATTCTGCCGTGCAGTGTCAACAGTTGCAAGGAGGCGACCGTCTGGGCTAAAGGTCATTGTCAAGACGCCCCGCGGTGGCCCTGCCGACTCGGGACTCATGCTTAATGCAGAGGAGCAGGATGTCTCGGCATATTCAGCGTCCCCTACGGCGCTGGTGTATCGCTCGCGCCAAATATTGGGATATTGTTGGTCTGTTTGGAAGACATGGGAGAGTGTTGTTGCAGACGAGAACTAGCGGAATAGGATTAGGAAATAGTGTCGCACATATTTAGAGGACAACTTACCGTGCGAGTTCGAAGCAAGTCAATATTTCCGTTGACCTTTCCCACGGCCAGTATTTCAGAAATCCCCTGCGGAGGAGCAGGGCTCCATTCAATCTGTTTCACTCCGAGATCGAAGGAATCGTCCACCCCAGATGGTCCGGAATATGTCCTGAAAAGCTGACCGTCCGCTGTGAATACCAACACTTTTGTGCCTGCACTAGCTATGTCCCATATGGCAATCCATTTTCCATCCGGGCTCCATTTCAGTCCTTGTGCATCAATGGTTGGAAGTACGGCTTTGTTGACGAGCTCGTATGACCGGGGCTCATGGATAGTCAGTAGATCTGAAGTCTCCGGTTTCAATAGGATAGCAAGATGCCTAGTCGTTGTGCGATAGCCATACCCGAAATTGTGGGCAAACTTTGGCGTTTTAATGACTGAGCTGCGCCCGGTCTCTAATGAGTGAACACTGAGTTTAGTATTCCATGCATGAAATACAAGAACTTCATTCTCATCGGCTCCAAAATCGACGGCTATTGTCCCTGGCTCGATGCTTTCAATTTCGGCGAATATTTCGAGCGGAGTGAGCTGCCAGACGGATATTCGGCTGTCATTTGCGGAGAGGAGCCGCCGCCGAGAGGCCATCTCATCTTCTGATGTACCAGGTGAACTTCTCAAATTAAAGTATTTGAGTGATTTGAGTGGACTCTCTTTGATCCTTGCGATCTGTACCTCCTTGTTGTCCGAAGATACATTCGAGTGAACAACTAGGCCCTTTCCACTCACGTGGGCAGCATATAGCCCATCTTCAGACAAGCAAAGATTCAAAGTGGCTAACGACAGTCAGATTCGAGTACAAAAAAGGTTTCAGGACTGTGGAATTACCTCCTGGCCCTGTTGACGCGTCCATTGTTTGTAGTAGAGAGATGATAGCAAAGTCAGCGTTTAAGAAAATACCATGTCAAATTCCGGGGATCAATGCAGTAGCTTCAGAATATGATTCACTTGTCACAAAAAAATCGCACTCAAGCACCAGAATATGTATTGTTTTGAGTCCAGATTGCCCATTGGAAGATTTCAGGGCCTGCTTGGTCTCCAGGGCATTTATATCGGATTATGTAATCGACCCACAAGTCCAATTTGCAAGACAAGTTGAGATTGATCACGTTGTTGAGGTGTATGAGAGAAATGAAATATGACAAGATTAACTTGCTAGCATCAAATGCAAAGTTCGAATTCTCCAGTGACACAGGCTCAACGCGTTCGCAGTTTCTAATCTCCAATCCCCCGCGGCGATAAGATAAACCGGGAAATAATAATTCCGAGTGAGATAGGGCGCTTTTCGCAAAAGTTGTTTCTTCACTTTGTTGCGACTAGAGGCGATCAATCACCATAACCACGTTCTTTCCTTCCAAGCGTCAAGATAGGTATCTTGAAGCCCTTCAGCCCTTTGCTGGGCCGATTTTGTCGACACTTTTCCCGGTCCAACCTCTCAAAAATGGCCTCCGAAACAAACCCACCGCAGAACATTGAGCAGACCTCCGAGGCTACACCTCAGCCTAAGGAGAAGCTCTTTGGAAGAAAGTTTTATGAAAGCATTGGCAGCCCAAAATATGTTGTTGCTCCAATGGTTGATAGGTCCGAATTTGTGAGTTTCCCTTCCAAGTAGCGACATATCCAGACCAACATTAATGTTTCCCAAAGGCGTGGCGCATGCTCACTCGATCCTTCATGCCACCAAACGACCCGAAGCCTTTACTCGCATATACCCCAATGTTTCATGCACGTCTATTCGGCGAACAAGACAACGTCCGAGCCAAACACTTCCAACCTACCCGCAGCACCGTCGGTGGGAGCAAGGATGAAGTGTATCTTGATGGAAATCCCGCAATTGACCGGCCACTTTTCGTTCAATTCTGCACGAATAACCCAGATGAGTTCTTGGAGGCTGCCCGTCATGTGGTACCCCACTGCGACGCCGTGGACCTGAACCTTGGCTGCCCACAGGGTATTGCGAAAAAGGGACACTACGGAGCTTTCCTCCAAGAAGACTGGGACTTGATCTATAAGCTTGTGAATCGGTTGCACACTGAGCTCCCAATTCCAGTCACGGCGAAATTCCGTATTCAGGAAACAAAGGAGAAGACCTTGGAGTACGCAAAAATGATTCTCTCCGCTGGTGCCAGCATCATCACCGTGCATGGTCGCAGACGGGAACAGAAGGGTCACAACACCGGAGTCGCAGACTGGAGCTACATCCGTTATCTGCGAGACAATCTACCCCCCGATACGGTAATCTTTGCCAATGGAAACATTCTTAACTACGATGACATCGAAACCTGTCTCGAGGCGACCGGGGCCGACGCCGTGATGAGCGCCGAAGGAAATTTATCAGACCCGTCTATATTCAGCAAGCCACCTCCACCCGGTACCGAAGGGAGAGAATACTGGCGGGGGCGAGATGGAAAGGGTGGCTATCGAGTCGACGCCGTCCTGCGACGATACCTTGATATTATCTATAAATATGTTCTGGAACAACCGGTTCCGGAAAGGAAGCCGCTTTATCTTCCATCCGACCCGGTTGATGAGTTTGCAGAAACCATCGACACCGAAGATAACGACCACCATGATGGCCCACTCAAGAAAAAGCAAAAGCGAGGCAAGGCCGAGAAGAGCAAGAAGTGTCACTCTCCCAGCCTCGGTTTCATGCAGGGTCACCTCTTCCAAGTTTTGCGACCAATGGTCGCAACCCATACCAACGTTCGGGATGCTCTTGCCACATCGAAACCAGGTGACATGGCTGCTTTTGAGCACACCCTGGCGCTCCTCGAAGAGGCCATCAAAGCTGGACTTAAGGAGTACGAGGCCTCTCCTGAGAAGTTCGAAGCGAAACCTGATGAGACCCTGAAGGGATCCAAGGCAGTTATTGCGGAATATGGAAGGCCTTGGTGGATCTGCCAGCCTTATGTCCGTCCTCTGCCCGAAGAAGCATTCGAAAGTGGAGCGATGCGCGAGAAGGGCACCAAACCTCCCGCCAAGAATGAGAGCGAAGAGAAGAATACCCCTAAGGAGACTGAAACTCCTTCTGAGGGCACTGTCACGCCAGGTGATGGTGGTGCTATTACTGCCACCAGCATCACGCCCGATCCTCTCGTGAGTGGATAGGAATGTGAATATTTGATGCATTAGTCTATATGTCTTCTTCTTTGCCTTCGCCCATCGTTAACAAGTGTAAATATATAGAAACCCTCAAGGTTAGATCCAGCGCCCTGTCTGCATAGCGTGTTCGGAAGAATCCACATAGAGATAATTGGCTTTAAGTTCAAAGTTCAAATCAATATCAAATTTACTGTAACAATACGAGTTTAGCACCACTATGTGAAGGTGCAGCGCGGCCAAGGGTCAAATAGAATTTTTCTTAAGGTTTCTAAGTCATACCGCAGGTTTGGGGTTTCCTACTGAGAGTTTAGTAGGACCCATCCATCCAGACGCATTGCCTTCCTTGGGCCAGTATAAGACTTACCATGTTATGAGATCGACCATGTAGGCTGGCAAGATTGTGAATAACTAAATAACGAACCCGTGAAATCCGCCTTAGCCCATAAAAATTACGCAATAACAAAGCGCAAGGGCGAGTTTTGCTTCTCACACCGCTGCTGGAAGATCGAGGTCGACAACCCACGGTGGTTGTATCGAAAGGTTCTGGGAACCCTCGAATGCGGCGTTGACAAAAAGTGTTTCGGAGCCCCGTTGTAGAGGCTTGTGATACTCGGAGCAAGTACTTATGCTAGAGCACTCTGGGGGATCCCCTTTGCCTTTGAGGCTGGCGAGTCGGGATATGAGGAGAGAGTGTTCGTTGTCAATATCAGTCAAATAAGAAGGTTCTGGGCTAATTCCCTGGCGCCATCAGACAAGCTTGGCACCCCATCCTTCGTGGATGTGACCAAAGCAATGCATTAGGGGTCGAGGCTGGGCTCGAGCTATAGCTTTGAACAGATGTGGACAGCCGGCGCGCTCGCCAGACAGTGTGTAGTCCATGATACCCTTTGGCGGTCCATGTGTTATCACAACATCGACGTTGTCGATTCGAAAGTCGTGTCCACGGTCAGGGTGATGCTGAAATCCCCAATCGCCAAGCGATGGGGTGTATGGGCTAGCGTAAACACTCAATATGGCACCATTTTGCAAGCGAAAGGAATGGATACCTTCATCTAGAAAAGTGATACCCGTTTCTTTCTTGTTGAATAACCCAAGAGCTTCTTCGTAGTCGCCATATACCTTTCGAACCATTTGAGGATCCAAGGGTTGGGCTTCTGCGACCTTCCTCTGGAAAGTTGGGATGTCCATAGTAAAGTCATGGTTTCCAGCGATCACTAGTTTAAGAGGGGCATTTACGGCTTGTAGGAAACTGATCGAGGCTTTGTACTCGTCGATTTTGGATTCTGTAGTGAGATCGCCGCAGTGAATCGCGACATCCGCATATTGGCCCGAGACGAAGCTTGGTGGACTATCAGCCCCATGCGTGTCGGAAACGACTAGAAACCGAGTCTTGATGTTAGCTGCAGTCTCTGGCACCCTGGCAAATTCGATGGTAAATTCGTGTTTGGTAAAGATGTAGAGTCCACGGGTGGGAAATAGGGAGATGTGTAAGGTTTCAGGTGAGCTCACCTGGGCACCATGGCTCGAAAACGACAACTAGGAGCTATTTCATAGTGATCACACATATTCAAGTTTATACTCTTTAACCATTTAAGAGTCACAGAAACTTCTTCGACAATTTCATTACTATTCCTTGCCGTTACTCTTTCTGTACAGATGGTAGCTAAAAGGCTCTATTAGCACATAATTTGTTGAGATCCAAAACCAACAGACAAGAGATATCATCCATATTTGAGGGCGAAACTGAAATTCCGTGTGGAATGTCTGAGCAAGTCATGTAGATGGTTTTGGTTTCTCCTTGATGTTACCACTTCTTCTCATACTCCGGTGAGCTTTGATTCCAACGATTTTGACAAATTCCGAGCTACCACGAAAGCCATATCGGATTTTCGTCCGAGATATTGAAGCGCACGGATTAGGAAGTCACAATTTTGCCTTAAGCCCTCAATGTACACATGATCTGTGGTAATATCCAAGCTTTCTAGCAAGATGTATCCCGCTTTGGCAAAAGAATGGATTAGCACGGCTGTCCACGGTTCGACCAGAAAAGCCACTTCACTCAGTGAATCATGGAAATGACGGTCCATGAACGAGTCATGTCCTTGTATTGAAGCTCGAGCGAGTCCGGCGACTGCCAAGGCATTATTTGTTCGAAGTGTAGCAACCAAGTGTGTAGCTTGTCGCACCTCGCGTGCAGCATCAGAGCCGAGCCTGGATTTATCAATGCTTTCCAGGATGTCCGCGAAAAGCATCGCGGCGAGGTGCCAGTGGCCGTCCAGGATGACATACCACGACTGTATGCGAGAAGGAAGCATTTCATGATTGGTAACGCAATCGACCATGAAACTCTGGTATGTGGAATCCCAGTGTTGGCAGACTAGGAGGGCCTTCTTGATAACATTTTCAATATGATCGGGACTCGCGTCTCGGTAGACCAGAGTTTGAAGCTGTGTCACTCGGCGGTAGAGAAGTACTTTCACAGGAGTCGCCTCCGAAAGTATAGACGCAGCTTCTTCGTACGAGCACGGCCACCTCGCCTGGACCTGACCCGATCCCTGACGTTCCATTGAAGAGCGAAGAAAAAGATCACCCCACACATCTAGTTTCCCACGTGTCTGGGGGGTTGGAGTACTCCAGTGATCCAAGTCAATCTGATCTCTAGAGTTAGATAGTGGCAGTGAGGCCGATGAAACTTGACTATCCTCATCTGACACCACTAAAGGACGCTGATACATTGCAGCACTCAAGGTATCAAACATAACACCTAGCCAAAACATGAGATCTATTGTAGTGCAGTGTTCTTGGCTGGTTAGAAGTGGATCGAGTTGCCGAGGCTCTGGCGGCTGTTGCATCCCTAGACCGTTCGTCGTTGTTGGTTCTATCGACCCAAGCTCTCTCACTTTCGGGGCAGCCTCTCGTTGCAGTCTTCTGAACTTGTGCCGGAAAGTGAAAATCTGGCGGTTGGCGGTTTCAAGAAATATTGGTGCGCGATCGTTCTCCAAAAGCTCGCCCAAGCTTGCGTCCTTTCCTTTGTCTAGCAGACTTTGCGTCAAAGAGAAGATGATGTTTGCAAAGGCGACGCGGAACGATGGAATACTGCTTGAATGCTCCAAGGCGTGTCGTGCTTCGTTCCAGACTTTCTCTCGGATCAATCTCTCATCATGGTCGGTTGTTAAGGGGACTGATGCACCGGTACCCTTCCGTGCATGTTGCGTCCATTGCGATGCGAAGGCCATAATTGCTAGATGAAGCGCTCGAGCTGCCTTCGTATCTTCCTCCGCACTCAAAGCTCGGCCGCGTATTGAGGATGATACACGATCCAGCCGGCACACCCGAATACACATTCTGTTTGACCAACTTGGACCCCATTCTTGCCTCTCTTGACGAGGAAGCAATTGATTGATTGTGTCGCTGTAAGGGCAGTTGTGCTCCGTCAGCCAGCAAGACAAGGCATTCTCCATACTGTCGTGGTATATGCGGATCAAGTTGCGTGACATTGTCGCACGAGCGTTTTGCTTAGCTGTGTTTTCGGAAGCAATGGAAAAGTTCAATTGCGGTTCTCGGTTTAAGTTCCACTCAGACCTAGATTCTGATAGGTATTTGTGTCGACTCTGTTTCAACGCTGGAACTGTTGATACAAGATAAGGGGGTGCATATTCATGTTGTGGTAACAAGCTGGATGTCCCCGCGACAGAACTTGATAATTCGAAGTATTCCGCCTGGCCGTCGGACCCCTCGGAAGATTCTGGAGAGCGATATGGATTTGAGTTGTTAATTTGCAGATTATATGGGATGTTCATCTCCCAAGGAAACAATTGAAACTGGCCATCACTTAGATTGTGTAACGGGGGTGACTCGAGAAACTGATTATCTGTTCGCAAAGAAGACGAGGACGATGACGGGGCATAATCTGACGCTTCTAGGGAGCTAGGCAATTCGGGCAATTCTCCGACATCGGCAGGATGCGTTTGTACGGAGCGCAGTATCTCATCAAGAGCTTCGTCATTAGAGCCTGCGATAGCTGTGCCCGTGTTGGACTTGATTCGTTTTCGACTTCCTGTCGAATTGTGTTTCGAGGAGATCCAATTGAATGTACACTCTTTTTTCCATCGTGTACAGTTTGAACAAGAACTGAATGCACTTCTCTCTTTCTATGGACAGTCAGCATCTGTAAACAACACAGAGACATGTTTAACAAACAGGTGCATCACAGCCTCTCTTCCCCTTGCGACAGGGATCACAACTATGAAGTTGACGTCGGCGGTCCATGTTAAGGAGTATAGGTTGAAAGAAAGAGTAGAAGAATAATATTTGGGGGAACACGTGAACATTTGCGGAGTAAGTTTTGAGTGGGGTAAAAAGAGTGGAGAAAATGAATTTCCACGGGTCAAGTCCGAAAATATTTAGTTCCTTTACTTGACTTCTGCTTTTATTAAGGATGAGATGAAGTAGATAATTTATACTATATACTATATAAACTACTCAATATATATTATACACTGCACCATGTAGATCGTTGTTACACAGCACAACTTGGCACATTTTTGGCCCGAAAAGGAAGAATCGTCCAGCCAATCGTATAAAACCCCTTTTATGGTCACCGGTTACTGAAACCTCACCAATTTATTTTCGAACAGAATATAAGGTTTTGTGCTATTATCCCTGCTGTTTGCTTTGGACTTTTGCTAGTCTAAACTACTGAAACCTTGGCTTGCTAGTTTATTTGCTAGATCTGCAGGGGTCCACTTCATAGATTCCACAATACAGAACTATCCTCCATCATTCCTTTGTCTCTGTATGCTTCACACAAGGAATTTTGAAAATGACGCTAAAATGACAGCTTCTGTTACTGGGAACGGCCGCCTTTCCACCGCATCTACTAGACCTTAGCAAGTTCTCCCCCTCATTTCCACCCACAATAATCCGCCATCACATTGCCTTATTTCGCTTTAGCCGCAGCTGCAGCTGCAGCCATCTCCTTATCATCAATAGTCTTAGCAATAGCTGGCCGAGCCTTGATACGGTGCAACCAGGCGTGAACATGTGGGAAGTTCTGCCCGAGATCCATTTCCTTCGACCAAAAGAGCGCAGCAACCTCGAACCATGGCACAAAAGCAGCGTCAACATAGCTGTACCTGCCGACGAGGTACTCCCTGTTCTGGAGTGATTGATTGAGCACCCCCGAAACACGACGAATCTCGTTAACATAGCGCTCGACCGCACTGGGCACCTTCTCGGGGTGGTAGACCGTAAACCAGGTAGCCTGCCCGAAGTACGGACCCTGTCCGGACATCTGGTAGTGAAGCCACTGCTTGCTTTCATAGTACTCCTTCGAGGTAGCGGCGAAGCTAATGGTACGTTGCTTGTCGTATGTGTCCACTAGGTATTCGAGGATGGCGCCAGATTCCCAGATAGTGGTTCCGGTATTCGGATCTTCGAGAGTGGGAACACGACCGTTGGGATTGATAGACTCGTAGGGTTCCTTCTTTAGGTCGTCAACATCGACCGATTTAGTCTCGTAGGGAAGCTTGAGCTCTTCAAGGATCATGAGAACCTTCCACGGGTTCGGCGTGCCGGCGTGGCCCCGGAGGGTCCAGAGGGCGAGAGGCTTGAGAGACATAGCGAGTGAGTGAATTATTGATTGATTGGGAGAAGGATTATTTGGTATAGTGACTAAAATGATCGAGGGCTGATCTACTTAAATAGGACTATCTTTCAATGGAGGGACATGGATTGGGACAAGGATTATCCAGTTCGGCAGGTAGGAAGACCGAACGGTTGGTAAGCTAGATAGTTTGTCTATATTCAACAGAGTCTATGGGCCTTGGTTATCGATACAAATCACCTGGGCACCACTAGACGGACTGTGCAGCCAACCCCACTGCACGTTGATTGGTCCTTGGTGATCAACACAAACAGCACAAACCATTCAAACAAAATTTCGCTTTTTCGGCGTCTCATAACTTGATGATTTATAATAGCATCTAGTAATATGTACAAAATTAATACTAGTAGCTTCATACAGTCTTTGATAGTATGTCAGCCGACAGTCTCTTGAAGGAAATATTGTTCTGGTTACTGATTCTGGCAGAGAGAAGGCGAAACTAACCCGAAAAGGAAATCCATAAGCCACAATATTACAAGATGAATTAATTGGATATGGTAGGGAATGAAATTACATATTTCGATTCTAATCTAATTGGCAACTTCTCCGATTAATGTACTTGTTGAATGGTGGATGATAATGGTTGATTATCTATGGTATTTCCAAATTTGAAATGTAAAACAGTTAAAACAGTTGAAATCCTCCTGATAAGTTTAAGACTTAGAAATTTGCACACGGACTGTCTTCACTTCCGTGTAGTTCTCCAGGGCGTACGATCCAAGCTCTCGGCCTATTCCCGATTCCTTGAAGCCACCAAATGGCATCTGGTAGTGAAGGGTGTTATAGTTATTAACCCACACAGTTCTGTTGCGAGAGATATGTTAGAATATTTAGGGGACCCAGTTTGCTATTTAATTGACTCACCCCGCTTTGAGGACATTGGACACTCTGATGGCAGTGTTGATGTTCACGGTGTGGATAGCTGCGGCCAAGCCTATTTTTGATCATGTCAGTTTGTGGAAGTCATTTTTAAATCCGATAACACGAGTGGTACTAACCATAGTTTGTGTCATTAGCAGCCCGAATAGCCTCCTCCTCACTGTGGACCTTCTGCACAGTGCACACGGGTCCAAAGATCTCGTCTTTCACAATGGTCATGTCCTCGTGGACATCAGCAAAGATGGTCGGTTGGATATAATATCCTTGGCTACCATGACGATCACCACCAGTGACCACAGTAGCGCCTGCACCCTTTGCACCTTCAATATAACCCATGATCCGGTCATATTGGATCTGTGATACCTGTGGTCCCTGGAAGGTCTCGGCATGGAATGGGTCTCCGACCTTGTTTTGCTCGGCTCGCTTCTTGAAAAGCTGTAGGAATTGGTCATAGACAGCTTCGTGAACAATAATGCGAGAGCCTGCACAGCAACACTGTCCATGATTGAAGAAAATACCCAGGTTAACCCACTCGACTGCTTCCTCCAGGTTTGCATCAGGGAGAATAATGTTCGGTGACTTGCCACCGAGCTCTAGAGTCACTTTCTTCAAGTTGCTATCGGCAGCTGCTTTCATAATGTGACGTCCAACCAGAGTCGACCCAGTGAAAGCGACCTTATCAACATCCATGTGAGCGGCGATTGCCGCACCCGCGGTTCTTCCGAAACCTGAAATAACATTAACGACTCCAGGGGGGAATCCGGCTTCTTTAATAAGCTTAGCCACATAGAGACCCGAAAGGGGCGTTTGTTCAGCTGTTTTCATAACAACTGTATTTCCCGTAGCCAGAGCAGGGCCAATCTTCCAAGCGAACATCATAAGCGGGAAATTCCATGGAATGATTTGTCCACAAACGCCCACCGGTTCGTGGCGGGTATAGGTCAAGCTATTAGGATCAGTGTCGATTGTTTGACCGTAAATCTTGTCGGCCCAACCACCATAATAGCGTAGGCACCCTGCAGAGGCAGTGACATCTCCTCTAGCCATTGTCACTCCCTTACCATTATCAAGGGCTTCAATAGCGGCCAGGGTGTCGATATCACGTTCTAGGAAGTCCGCAAGACGAGTAAGCAGACGACCGCGCTCAGACGGAGTGACTTGCTTCCACTCTCCATTCAGTGCGGCGCGAGCAGCTTTTACAGCAATGTCGACATCATCTGCTGTGCCTTCGTGCACGGCGACAATTGGCTTCTCGTTGTGGGGGTTGATTGTCTCGAAGGTTTTGCCTTCCACACCCTTGACGAATTCATTGTTGATGAATCTGAATATTGTCAGATTATTGGGTCAACACAGGAAGTCCTTTTGTTCGGCTCAACTTACAGTCCCAAAGGCTGCTCATATGAGAGCACAGGAGTCTCAACGGTTTGGGAAAGTGCCATAATTGATGAATAAGAGTCAGTTTGATATAGATTTAACAGATTTGAAAAATGTGAGAATGTGAGGTATAGAGCACTCTTATATAGCAGGATCCTTCAAGAATCGGCGGTGTGGGGCGCGGGGGAAGCAAGATCGATAAAGGCCGGCCCGGTGTTTCTCGTCTGGGGTAGTAGTTCCTTTACCCCGCTGTTCTCCTTCAATTTACAGTTCCGTTCGTCCGGAAATCAGCGCTAGACAGGGGTGGAATGCGGGAGACGAACTAACCCCGTATTTTGGAACTCTTCATAGAACTCGATGTAGGAGACTGGCTACAGAGGAAGTGCATATCAATTTTCAATTCATATCCATTTTGCTATACAAATTCCATGTCATCATTCCGTGGGAACAATAGTCTAGTATTTTCTTTGGCATGACACATGTGAATTTGTTATTAATCTCATGCATCGATTCACCACTATTTACAACTGGGTGGGCTAAAAATGAAACTTTGGCTCCCACATATCATATGAATAATACTTAATGCAAGGCATGTCAGCTAAGCCACCACGGCTCCAGTTGCCGGTTCAGTAACACTCGAGGGTTCCAGTTTTGCGACCAACTTTGGAGCCGAATGACAAGCTCATAGTTCCCGTTGTGTGGAGACTAGTGAAATGCGGAGACTCTAACAACCCAAAATCAACATCAGTCTTATCTCGGATAGCGCGACAAAGCAAAATTGCGCCCAAAGGCTTCTTGTGTATCAGTTGAAAACCAGTAAATTCAGTATCTCAGTTCATATATCACAATGTCATATAACGCGCCCGCAAGTCTCCACCCCTATATACAACATACTCCTAGTCCACAATTTGTCCCTTTAGCATAGTCAATAGTCAACCACCAATTACTCTGGCAGCTCGAGCACGTAACGGCCGGCAATTTTGCCTTGTTCTATTTGAAGTTAGTTGTGAGGCTAGGATGGAAGTGAAAGAGTGTGACAAACCCATAAGCTCGTAGATCTTGGGAAGATCCTCCAGCGGCGCCAGCTTGAATGGCGCTTTAATCAAGCCTCGGGCAAAGAAGTCGAGAGCTTCAACACCATCCTGTTGGTTTCCGACGTAGCTTCCCTTGATAGTGATCATACGAACGACAGTGTTGATCACTGGGGCCTTGAGGTATGCATCAGGGGGCAATCCGATTGCAACGATTGTGCCTCGAGAGCGAACGTATTCCGATGCTTGTTGGAAAGGCTTCTCTGACACAGCCAACAAGATAACAGCATGAGCACCAAGGCCACCTGGGGTTGCGGCTTTAACGTCAGCGACAAGGTCTTTGGACTTAGTGAAGTCGACATATGTCTATTTTTCGCCATTAGCATCGATATTCAATCTTCGACTAGGGAAAATCTAGAGCATAGAGATATCACGATCTTACCTCAGTGCCAAGCTGTTCACACATCTCTCTCTTCTCATCGCCTCCATCAATAGCGATCACTCTAAGACCCATGGCCTTGGCGTACTGCTGAGCAAGGGATCCCAGGCCACCTCCTGCTCCAACAATAGCAACTGTCTGGCCTGGACGAATGCCAGATTCCTTCAATCCTTTGTAAACAGTAATACCAGCGCAGAGCACTGGCGCCGCTGCATCGAGAGGCACGCCCTTGGGGATCTTAGAGGCATGGGTGGCCTTTCCGACGGCATATTGCTGAAAAGTACCATCGACGGTATACCCAGAAAGTTGTGCATTGGCGCACAGAGGGGTATCGGACTGTCTGCAGAATTCGCATTCACCGCAAGAGCCATTGAGCCACTTGATTCCAGCATGGTCGCCGATCTCGAAGGTATTAACAAGATCGCCCTTCGCCACGACCACTCCAGCTCCTTCATGTCCACCGACTAGAGGCATCTTGACTGGGATGGGCCAGTGGCCCATCATCGCGTGATAATCAGTATGGCAAACGCCTGAGTAGCGAATCTTGACGAGGATCTGATCAGGACCGGGCTTGGGAACGGGGATCTGTTTGAGCACAAGTGGCCCTCCGATCTTCTCGGCAACCTGTGCCCATTGAGTCTCAGGGATAGACATGTTGATGATAAATTGAGTAGTAAATAAACGAGTATTCTTCGATGAGTTGATAATCCATTACTGAGTGCGAACTAGAGCTTTATAGCTAAACATGTAGGGTGGGGGATGTCTAGGTTGAACCCACGCGAGGCGGGGCCCATCGCTTCAATTCTCACATTGCCTGATATCTAGAGGAATCGGCCCACCGGAATATTCTAGAGCAAGACAGTTAGTATGGAGTAGATTGGATCTTGATCCACCTCCTTAAGGTAGACTTCCAAAGTTGGGAACCATGACGGGGTAATGCGGGGAAGCTTTGCGGGGATCGTGCACAGCCCGCCATGCGGAGCCGCACGGGGAGTCACTCCGATTGGATGAAATGTTAACCCCTTTTCTGGTTACGGGACAATCTTGGGTCCATAGATCCCGTTTGGGTGTATGCAGTAACCTAAAAGAATACGTAGATGGGAATGGATGCTTTTGGAGAAACTATTGAACAGGGCTGAAAAATTAGAGTTGGTGAAAGTTGGCGATTGACAGCCAAGACACCATAACACAGCTAAAATTGGTTGACTAAATCCAACCCCTTCCACCCTCGTCCACTACAGCGTTCATAAAAAATATTGGTATAATTATAAAATTCGTATTTGTACAAGAAAAAGAGGATGATGACCTAGATAATTCTGCGAAGGTCAAATTCTCGAAAATAAAACACATAAGATCCGTCTCCTTTTCTCTGCCACCTCATTTTGTACATAGTATAAGGCTATCAAAAGCTTGCACTCCACGTTCATTTTGGCTGCCTGATTCAGTGATATTTATTTTCATCGATTCCATGAGGAAAGAATGTACTTGACCAGCCACTGCTGATGGAAAATCCGAAATATGAATCGTCCCTTGCATACCTTCGTAGTTTCACCAATCTATCTCCAACATCATCTTCCGGCGTTTGGTATGATTCTACTTCACTATCTCCAGATACGCTGGAAGATCTCTCTGACCACGCCGAGTATCCAGAATTTGAGAAAAAGGGGATGGGATCGTCGTTTCCTTTGGCAATAGTTCGACCAGAAGCTTGATTTCCGAATTTGAGACTGGACCCTTCAGTATAAAAAAAATTTGAATCAATGAGTTCGTCAAAGACTTCATCAAAAGTGTCTTGTCTGTACCGTCGACTCTGTCGCTCGTCGCTGTCTTTCTGTGGAGTGGTCTCGTTCCTACACCGATATTAGCATAATGATACAATTCCTAAAGTGTAACCAAACTTACTTGTACTTCGTGATATTCAAGCTGGCTCCTTGTTCGCATTGGGTTGGTTGTTGAGAAGTAACATCGCGATGCAAGCTAGCGCTGCCTCCTCGCTTTGTATTGCCACTGAGATATTTAGGCGGTTTTCGATGTCCATCGACACATTGCGATGGCATCTTGCGCTTAACGCATTGCCCACAAGGGCGTTCATTTCCTACCCTCTCTTATTAGTTTATTATTCCTGAAGTAGACTTGCTCCAGACAAAAGGATGGGGTAGAGCTTACCGCATGTTCTATGGGCCTTTTGACAATACAAGCAAGATTTTCTAGCCTTTTTGCGGGGCCGCGGAATCTGGACTTCGGTGTAGGATGCCATGGTCAAACTAGTCATCTTCAATTTGCGTAGTGTGTGTGGTATCTTTAACGATGGGGGGGATAGTGTGTCGCTTATCTTTGCAACAAACTTGGCACCCGGTTCTATATATATCTTGACGCTGGGGTTGTCATGATCGCCAATAACTCCAAGGGTCCTCACAAACCCGAGATTCAACAAGATAAATTCAATGCGTTCATCAAGTGTCTTACTCATTTTAGGATATCAGTCTTCGCGGCTCCGCATTTGTGGTCATGCGCGTTACCATGGCTGTATACCAAACTGTTTGGACTAAAATAATGCGGGGTAAACCTGAGAATGTGCAGATCATCTTCTTAGCAGTTTTAAGTTCGTGCGTGCGGCTCCGCATGAAATCTCGGATCCGCATGGAACCCCACGCGGTCTTGGCAAACGGTCTGGTCCCGATACCCCACGATCTGCATCGCCTAGACAAAAGAAACCCAAACTATCAAACTCTTTTCTCATGGAGATCCGAGCCCCCGATGTGATAGTTTCTGGGGCCGTTCGAGCGGGAAGAAAAGCAATTTAGCCAAGAACTATTATTATGGTTAAAGCCTTGATGCATACGGGACACAGCATATCGACATGGTCCATTCGTCAACATCCGATCAACCAATCAGTGAATCCAATGCTTATTTTCTCCCGTTATTGAGTTTCTGCCGCGCTCTAGATTCACCCGTCCTTCCCAAAAATGGATACGTCCCACGCTACGCATCTGATTGGACGCGGTGGAAAGGAGTATTCTTACGACTTCCCCCTTTCTTATAGTAGAATGAGGAAAGGCTGATGACCCTATATTTTAAGCCAGGTAGAAAATCTGGGGAAGGTTAAATGTCCACAGCCCCCCGCATATTGAAGACCCACAAGAATCATCTCCCAGAGCTTAGAAGTCTCATTACCTGTTATAGTATATTCTTTTACTCCTCGATACTAGGGAGACTTATTTTTGCAACAACACAATGGACAGTGACACCACTCAATATGGCGAGACAAAGGCAACTTTTCAAAACAAGGAGAACAGGCTAAATGGCCTTACTACAGTCCCGACATCGGTAACACTGTCGTCTGAACAGTTTGAAAGGCTTTACTTGACTCCTATGACGGTTCGCCAATCACCTCTAGCCAAGAAGGTTGGAAATCCGACACCATTGTGAGTCTTCATAATCATATTCCAAGCATGGTATCGTGATCTAACTTCGCTATTCATCATCCAGAGCACTTGGAGGTTTTGTCATCACCACTACCCCCCTTTCATGCTGCTTGATGGCATGGAGAGGAGCTAGTGGAAACGGAATTGCTTTTATGTGAGAGATCAAATCAATCCACAAGACAACTTCATCTAATGTACTCAACAGTGGACCTATTATCTTCCTCGGTGGGCTTTTGTTGCTCATTACCAGTATTCTTGAGTTCATTATTGGAAACACCTTTCCCTGTGTTGTGTTTGGTACTATTGGTACGTCTTCCCATCCCAAAAGAGAAACCCCAATGATTCCTTCACGTTGCTAATGTTTTACCAAGGCGGGTTTTGGTTCGCCTTTGCGGCCACGATGATTCCCGCTTTCAATGCAGCCGGTTAGTTCATCCAATTATACCATTCTGTCCCAGTCATATCCGCTTACTCACATTTTATAGCACCTTATTCCTCTTCGGGCACCGATACAGCTGCTGGGCTAGCTAGTGAAGCCTTTATGAATACCTATGGTAAGTGTAGCCAACAGCTGTCGAATTTGATTAGCGGCTCTGACGATACCAGCGTTTCTATTCATAACCATGGCTGTTCTGATGCTAGTCTTCCTGGTTTGTTCCACGCGCATCAATGTGGTATACACTGCAATTTTCGTGTTTCTGCTCTTGGTTTTCCTATTTCTGTCTGCGGCCTATTGGCAACTCGGCCAAGGGAACGCAACTATTGGTAATCGATGTGTAAAAGTGAGTATTAGTCTGTGTCATTTGATTTTGCTGCTGCTTGGTCTGAATACTGACATCTGTCTATTTTCAGGGTGCCGGAGCGTCACTATTCGTTGCTAGTTTACTCGGATTCTACCTGTTGATTGTGCAATTGTTGGAGTCCGTCGGGTTTCCAAGCTTTTTGCCGGTTGGAGACTTGTCGAAATATTGGACTCGCAATCAAGACAAGTGAGTCTCCCGAAAGCGATGAAATGGTTCGTTCTGACCAAATGCAGAGGAGAGCAAGACGATGTTGAACGGCCAGCCCGCCAGTAGTAGATATTTTGCTTATTGGTATGAGTACCTGGTTATCTTGGATGTGCAGCATATGTTTGGGTTTATTTATTCGTTCAGAGCTAACGGCTCTTCTTTTTAATCACTGCGGAGCATAAGCGACGCAATTTAAAAAATCAAGGCATAGATTTAATGCCATATCAGCTTCCATATTTGGATTATGAATGTCCCACAGAAACAGAATACACTACCTCCTTCCGAATAATCATCCTCGTACTCTCGTCACTTCCACTACGCGTACTACGTAGATCCCCTCCAGACCTTCCCTCCCCCAACTGCGCCGGCGCCGCAGCCTCACACACAACCGTCCCATTCTCCGTCCCATCGCCGACATTAGGTTTGTCTATGAGCATGCCGCTCATACGGCGCCCAGGCCGTCCCTTCAGATTCCCCAGCTCGTAGTCCCGCGACCTCCCAGATGCAAAGGGGTCCGTATCCCCCTGTCCACTGGATCCGTATATATAGCCGCTGCTGCTGCCGAGGTAGGAGTCACCGGCTGTGCCATAGTAGGTTGTCAGGGCATTCATGAAGGGGCGTAGGCAGAAGACTGTGCACGCTACCAGGGCGTAGTTGAGGTGGAGCTGTGTGAAGATCGTGTGATTAATTGCGTTGAAGGTTGGGTTTTTGATCGCCGTATATTCTTTGAGCTTGGAGAGATGGAGGGCTGAGAATAGTATTAATCTGTGAGGTGAATCAGAGTTAGTTTTATGTAATGGAGACCGGGATGGGAAGTGAAAGAAACACGTACGGTAATCTCGCCGCGAAGGATACCATGATCACGGTTTTATGTGCGATGGGCATCTGTAGACCCCAGATCAAGGCGATGGAGAAGGTAAATAGTAAGATTTCGGTCGAAATATCGAGCGCGGTGATTGCTTGCCAGCGCGGAAACTTGTCACCGTTAGTATATGGTATTGCATCTCGGTGTATTTGGTCTTCGGGCGTGCTTAGAGGGTAGCTGACTCTTCTGCACCTGTACACATACTAGATTATGACACTGCTCGCTAGGTACGAGCCATGGCTTGTTCCCCTCGCAGTTTACTGCGATAACCAAGACGGACACAATAATCCCTACTGTGCTAACTCCGAATGTTGCCCAGAGGACGCTCTTATGGCGCGTGCGAGGCGTCAATCGCAAGTAGATGGCGATGATGCAGCATTTCGATAGGTACAAGGTTAAGAGATAAAGGATATCGGCGGCGAGGAGAGACTATGTTGTCAATTGTTATCGTTTATATTTGGGTGGGGTGCCGGGCAATGAGTACATTTTGTATGCGATCAACGGCCTTCTGGGTGAGTAGTGACATGTCAGTCCCAAAGCCGATGCTAGCAGCGTGAAATATGACGATCGACTCGATGATCGCGGCGATCTATCCCGTTAGTCTCATTACAAAAAAAAGTCGATGTCACTCAATTGCGTACCGTTGCTCCCAACAGGACGATATCGTCTGATCCCCATGGTGGACTGAGGAATTTCCGCACATACACTCGAATCAGTAGACAGACCAGCGAGATCATCAGACAGATAGCGGCTGTGATGATGATAATACCGGCATGGTGCTTGTCGTCTACCGTCTCGAAAGGCGGGGCCTGACCAGCGGGCACTTTGATCGCCATTGCAGCATGGAGATCAGACCGTGGTGTGGATCAGGAGTCTTGCTGTGGGAATTGTCTAGAACAAAAATCCAAAGGAAGAGCAATCATGATGGCGATTCCATGGATGTCGCCACACTTCTCAGGCAACCCTGGTGGATTGATCTAACTAACTAGCAGGGATCTATGTTCCAAGTGGGATACACTTGTAAAAAGTCCAGGAATGGCCCCCGGGGCGAATTTTGCGTTACTTAATCATGAATAAGAGTGGACACAGAGCTGTTTTATATCCTCTACATCAGTATATTCTCTTCCACTATCCTTTATTTTGATATCTTCTTATTAGGGCTGTTTTAGTATGGTAGGTTTAGGTAGTCTAATGGCTATTCAATGTTTCAATTTCGAGTTTTCCAAGTTTTTTTTTTCAATTTCGAGCCAGGAAGCATGGCATCCAAGGCAATTAAATTAAATTGGGAAATTAGTGTGGGATCCTCCCGAAGGCCGTGGGCATATGGGGCCGGGAGCCGGAAGCTTGGAATATTTAAATCAAGTTAATACAAATGTCCACCGGGAATGCAATTATGGATATAATTAAGCCAATTAGAGTATTCTCTCTGGATACTTATAGTTCTCACGCCCGTTTTAATATATACAGAGGGTACTTTTTATGTACTCTTCATCTAATTTGGAGATGCCAAGTCGGAAACACCGGGTGCACGAGGCCATAATGCATAAAATGTATGGACTTGGTCTTACATCTATGAGACATATACTTCTGCCAAGCTCTTTGGCTGATTTTTTTAATCTCCACTGTGTAGTCTTGACACCGGACTCCGTCCGAGTATTAACCCCTTGGCTTTCTAAATGCATAGACTGTGAAAATTTCAACTAGTTTTTGACGCTAACCATTCACCAGTCGGCTGTTTTGACTGAGGTCTGGCTTATTCTTGCTAAGTGGAACACCAGCGGAACACTATACTATGCACACAAGTTGACAATTGTTGTAACACTTTATATTATCATCTGAGAATGTGATTTTTCATTACTATTAACACACCGAATACTTTTTCCACCTCCAACATAGCTGATAAAAGTGGGTAGAAACTACATCTCTCGTTTCACCAGCGCCACAGGCGGGATGTAATGGTGCCGTCCCCGCAACACGTAATACACCACCGCGATAATCATAATACCCCCGTACATTACTGCGGACCAGTTCATAGTGTCTGGTGTCACCGTGGAGGTGAGCGGGAAGAAAGCGAATACAAACACCGGACACAAGAAACATAGCGCCCCGATGTTGATTGCCATGCCGAACCGGCCGAGGGTCCATCTGTGTGATGGGAGAGGCTGGCCTCTGATACGCTTGAGAAGCACACAGCCAATCGTGATGATGTACGAGGACATCATTGCGCCAATAGTCAGGGTCACGATGGCGAGGAGTGCAGTTGTCGAGCCGATATTGATGAGCGACAAGAGGATTGTCACTACCAGAGAGACCATCACGGCATTCAAAGGAATATTCCAACCGGGATTTACCTGATGCTTGTTAGTGTTATCAAATATAGAGAAAGGCGGGGAGAACGTACATATCCGAAGAAATCGGAGAAAGGAAGGCCGCGATCACGCGCAAAAGACCACAACTGGCGCGATGCCGTTGCTACTTCTGTGATTGTACTGGCTGTCAAGGTCAGTACTAGAATGGCGGTCATGGTGTTCGTTCCCGGCAGGCTCTCCGTCGCGTTGTAGAACACCTGCATGAACGGGTACCCTGTTGGACTAGCCAGGATGTCATCAATATCGCCAAGTGTGAAGCAGACTGTGACCAGCATCAGGAAACCGCAGGCGGCATTGACGCAGACAGAAGTAATCATTGCCTTTGGTAGGGTCTCAGATGCATCTTTGATCTCCTCCGCTACAAACTATTAGCGCATTTCATCAATTTTAGAAAGAGACGTACACATATGAACTGCACAGTCATATCCAATTAGCGCCGTGATGGTGGTAGAGAATCCAACGAGAGTGGCAGTGCCGGCGCTGTTCCAGTCTCCGCCGTTGTTGAATTCGGTAAACACCTGTTTTGCGCTACGGCGAGGACCCAGCACCCAGAGCGGAATCATAATAGCGAACAGTCCGCATACATGCAGGATTAGAATCAACACTTCGATGAAGGGAAGCCTCTTGGCTAAGAAGGTATTGAATATGATCGAAAACAAGGTGATGGCAATCACTAGCAGGGTGCCGTGCCACGGCTTGCCGTCGTAATCCGGGTTGTTCAGCACAATCAGGCCTTGAATGATAGTTCCAGCCAAATAGGCAATTGACACAATGGCACATTGCCAGCCCAGAGCGCATAGCCAGCCTACATAGTTAGTTTGGCTGGGTGGAAATAAGATAGGAGAACTTACCGGTGATGTAGCTAAGGAATTTCTGGCAACTAGGTGGAGCAAACTCCGATACCCAATGGTATTGCCCGCCCGAGGTAGGAGCCCTGCATAATCAGAATGGATCCAAGGTCTAAATGTCGGAATGGTAAACTCACATGGATGCCATCTCGGCCAGACTCAGGAACACCAGAAGGAACCCAGCAGCGACGATGAGGTATCCCCAGATCAAACCAGCAGTTCCTCCATCAGTTAGACCTTGCGTCAACAAACTAAAAGGTCAGCCATTGGATTACATAGTAAGCATGAATAACATACGTCAAAACAACCTCCCATGTGGCGATCAACGTGCAGCCGAACCCTACAATGGAGATGAATCGGAAGTTACGCTGCAGGGTCAGCTTAGATGCATTAGCCACAATGATTCTATGCGACGTACCCGCAAGACCTGATCTCTCCCTAGAGTGCTCATATCGGCCTGATCAGCCAGGGTGCCACGCCATTTGGGGGCGACCTGGCCTCTGGACGGGGCTTCGTCGGCCATACTCATGGTGACTGTTGAAGGCTCTTTTGTCCAGCGCATATTTACATGTATACACGAAAAACAAAGAGGGCCCGTATAAAGAATAGTGGTAGCAGTAGGCTGCGTCGTTATAAAAGAAGGATAGTGTCAAGCGTTGGAATATTCTCCCTTTTTAGAATTCACTCGGCGCATTGTACCGATAGGGGAGCTATTCGCCTCTAGCAAAATCTGCGCCCTTGGCAGTTAAGGCAATGAAACTGTGTACGGAATACTTCGTACTTTGTAGCAGGACTAGAGCATTGTTACAACATCCTAGTCTAGTGTGAATTAGGGCTCCACTGTTTATTGCCACGCCTGGAGTTTTGATCAACAGTAGTCGGTTAATTTAAACCCCCTTAATATGAAAGTCCTTTTCATTGGATAGATTTCCTAAGCGACAAAATCTTTCAAATTAAAACGGGATTTTCTTGTTGTTGTAGGTACAACATATATTACTGATCTACCCGAGTTGTATGAACACATGTCCCGTCCGCGCTCATCGGGAATACGGAGTCCATATCCGAATGTCAGGTTAATCAACATGGCAAGTTTCGAGAATATGTCTCAGCCTTAGAAGACTTCTCCTGCATAGCTTCTTTTCGGCTCAACTAACCTAGAAATTAATGATTGGCTCATTCGATACTAGTCTGTACGGAGATCCTACTAACCACATGTACATCACATTTTGGCGGGGACAAGTCTCCTTGCATGAGAACAGATGATTGGGACTCTCAGTTGAAATTGTCTTCTTCCTCTTTCCCCTCACCCATCATCATGACCCCCCTCATCCCCCTCGTCCTCGTAATCCTCACCTCCTACCTTATATACCACCATGTCATAAACCCTTACTTTCTCTCCCCGCTATCTGCAATCCCCAATGCACACCTCACATCCCCACTCTCCAGCTACTGGATTGACCGCAAGCGTAGCACAGGCACGGAAGTCCTCGCTATCTACGACCTACACCAAAAATACGGGCCCATCGTCCGTCTCGGACCTAAGGAGCTGAGTGTCAATTCTATCCATGGCCTGAGAACAATATATACGGGCGCTTTTGAGAAACACTCTTTTTACAATGATTTATTTGTCAACTTCAACATCGAAAACTTGGTCGGCATGTTGCACAATGCGCCGCACGCGCATCAGAAACGCATGCTGAGCAAGACCTACTCCAAGTCGTTTCTTCAGGAGTCTGGTGATCTACGCGCGATTTCAAAAGTTGTGATATGGGATCGGCTGATGCCTATTATCAAGAAGGCGGGTGAGAGCGGAGAGGTGTTGAATGTACTACCGCTGTTCCAAGCTGTTGGGATGGACTTCACTTCGTCTTTCCTGTTTGGGTTAAGACAAGGGACGAGGTATGTCCTTAATATTCCGGACTGGAAGGTGTGGTTGGAGGAGTATGAGCGGTTCAAGTACATGAGTCGAGACGACCGGTATATGGGATTTATTGAAAGTTGGTGCTTGGGGTTGTGCGAGCGGACGGAAGCATCTGAGAAGGAGGTTATCCTCAGGGACGAGGAGAAATTTCCATCCTCGAATCCAGTCATCTACAACCAGCTGCGCCAGAGTCTCCTCACCCAGAAAGAACACGATCCACGTCCACTGAACCTAGCAATTGCGTCCGAACTGTTGGACCACCTAGTTGCAGGCCACGAAACGTCGGGTATCACCTTCACCTATATGATGTGGGAGCTGTCGCGGCAGCCACAGCTTCAAGCCGAGCTTCGAAAAGAACTACTCACTTTATCTCCATCCCTCCGATACTCAGGCACAGATGGAGAGAACCCCCTTGCCTCCCCCTCCGCGGTCGATGCGCTCCCCTTGCTGGACGCTATGGTCCGTGAGACCCTCCGTCTCCACTCCCCAGCCCCAGCCCAACTCCCGCGTGTCACCCCCACCACAGAAAAGGGAACTTCCCTGCATGGGTATGACAACATCCCGGGTGGTGTAAGGGTCAGTTCAACCGCCTACTCCCTCCACCGTATCAGCGAGGTGTACCCACGTCCGTTGGAATGGCTTCCACAGCGATGGCTCGAGGCAGGTGATAAGATTCACGACATGAGGAGGTTGTTCTGGCCGTTCGGGAGTGGTGGACGTATGTGTCTAGGGAGTAATTTCGCATTGCAAGGTATGTGTCCTAAGTATGAATTTTGGAGAAGAGACTAATGGTGTAGAAATCAAATTGGTCATGGCGGTTGTGTATTCGAATTACACGACCTCCATTGTAGACGACGATGGCATCGAGCAGGACTATGCATTTATTGCGCTACCACGTGGGCGAAAACTGATGTTGAAGTTCATCCCGGTCGATGAATGATTCGATGCAGTCACAATACTAATATCAAAAATCAAAAGTAATGAAGAGCATTCTTTAGTCCTTCTAGACCTTTGGCACGTTTTTCATGATATTATTTTCCTGGATTCCCAGACGAACATCCCACGCATAGACAGACAGGTATGTCAAAGGCAAAGAAGAAAAAGGGGTTTCCGTATTCGATTTTGAGATCTTCAATGTCTCACCGTCTTGGCCCCCACAAATGCCGATTGGTGGAGTAGAGGTAAGCGCATGTGGCGCCTCATAACGCGTTGGACGTGTCACTTTTCACTTGTCAGCGACATTTCCCTGAATTTCAAGGATCTCGCCCTCAACACCTTTAATATATCTTGATTTGGTGGATCCTAATATCCATGGTGAATTGTGGAGCGCAGCCACAGCTTGTCAAATTTGCCCGTGTAATCAAGCACTATGCGGCTGCTTCTAGGTAATGATGCTCTAATAATACAACGTCTAGGATTATTCTCACAGCCTTCCTAGTCCTCTTGGGCATCACAGCTCTAGTTATCCATGGCAGTAATGCCAAGCAATTCGAGCACTGGTATCCATTCTACCGATTCACTTTAACAGGAGAGGGGGAAGCCCCCGCCTGCCTTAAAAACTACACGCGCGAAGTCGAGAAATTTGGTCCACAACACTCGATGACATGCAAAACGCTGGTTACCTGTATTTATAGCAATACGAAAGAAATCGACAAGGCGGATATGTCATCTGCGCTGGTTCTGCTGGGCCTAGCGCCAACAGTCTTAGGACAAATAGGCCCGACCATCCACAACAAGGCGCAACTTTGTTTTCATTATCCGATTCTTGGATTACTGTGTGTCCTAGGTGCACCCGCGATGGCGTTCGGGATGCCGTGGGCCAAAACAGATCCTAGAGAGCCCCCTCAAGGGAGCGCCTTCGCTTCTGGGGAGAAGTGGATTGTTGGTACGGAAAAGCCTGCGCAGCCAGTTCCACTATTGAATCGTTTGTGGAAATATTCAATTCGTTTATTAAAATATTTGATCGCGGCTGGTGCTGCGATCAACGTTTTTCTTAACGCTTGGACTCTAGGACAACAAACGGTCGTCAGCTGGAAATGCACTTCTTCATATCTCGAGCTTGTCTGGGTTGTTACTACATTGGGTCCGATGTTTTTCGCGATAGTGGCTTATCTGATGGAGGGGTCTAAGCGTACGAGCGAGAAAAAAGGCTGGGCCTTGTGGATCAGATCCTTTTATTCTCTATCCAATATTGCTGGTGCTGGACATGTTATTTTTGGGACATTGGTTTTCTCTTCGGTGCTTTTTATTGGAACGATAGATGCGCTAGGGGTAGTGGGACGGTTAACAGGTTCAGCCCTTGTCTGTCAATTTATCACAGCGCTGGAGTTAGAACGTGTGAAGGAAGAGAGTGAGAACAAGAGGAAGAGAAACGAAGAGAGTGAGATTGAAAGGAAGAGAAAGGAAGAATTAGAGAAAGGGGAGGCCATTACTCCAAAGGCCATACCGTGCAGCTGCTTAGCGCGAGCGGACTCGAGTCACTCAGTGGCGGGAGGTGTGCAAGCTCGAGGAGACTGAAGGCCTGTATCAGCAGCGAACTTCCCTTTTGTTCTGTTTACATCATTTACTTGTCATGTATAGAAGAGTTGGGATATACAAAATAAAAATAATTGGATATATCTTGAGTCAGTATGCGTAATATTAGCAAGACATTATCCATATCGTGCATGACTCGATGTGACTCAACACATATGAATTGTTATATAGAACTGCTCTTCAAGTACGGAGTAACAGCCACGAACTTCAATCTGATTCAAACATATTCAATTCCTCTATTAAAACTAATTCCTCGTGAAAATTCCACCATGACCTCCCCACCTTAACCTCATCACCCACTACGGAATCAATAACCTTCTACGACATCGCTCTCGCGCCCCCTGTTACGGAAACCGCCTGCTCACCAAACCCCTGGAAAACCCGCTACGCTCTAAACTTCAAAAAGACCCCTTACAAAACAACCTGGGTGCCCTTACCCGCCGTCAGCTCCGTCCGCAGCGCTCTCAATATCCCAGCCTCACGAAAATTCGCCGACGGATCCCCTTACCACACCCTCCCCATTATCTCCGACCCCGCCACCGGTCGCATAGTAGGCGATTCCTTTGAAATCGCGACATATCTTCAAGAACAATACCCGTCCTCAGGAGCAGGCGACTTATTCCCTGCGCAGGAGCTGGAGTTCGTTTTTGGGCGGGACTTGGCACTTTTCGCGCCGATCGCGGAGGCAGAAGTGGCAGAGGGCCCTACTACGGCATACGTGAAGTTCAATACGAATGTCGATGCTGTGTTTAGTGCGCATGCCCGCCTGATGGCGCATGGTATGCCTTTTGATCCTGCTACTGCGGAGGAGTGTAAGGAGATGTTCTCGCGGAGGGTGGGAGTGCCGTGGGACGCTTTGGCGATTAGTGGGGAGGAAAGGGAGGAATTATTGAGATCGTTTGAGGAGACTCTAGCTGGACTTGCGAAGTTATATATCAGCGATGCGAGTGGACCTTTCATAATGGGGAGTCGGGCAAGTTATGCGGATTTCATTGTTGGGGGTTGGTTGCGCATGAGTCTGGGGATGCTGCCGAAGGAAGAGTGGGAAGCGATAAAGGGGTGGCATAGTGGTGTGTTCGGAAGGTTACATGAGGCGCTGGAGGCTTTTGCGCAGATGGACTAGAGAGCTTAGGAAATGTAAGAAGACACAAAACATTACTGGACCTCCGGTGGGAAATATCAAGATCGGGTCAGGAACGGCCCGACGCGGGGTCCCACTCTTGAGCTATACGACAATACATACTATCAAACTAAATGGTGTATAAAATATCTCTTTACATTATACATATGTAGTTTATTGGATCGAACTATATGATTTGGAATATAGTATCGAGAATTAATGCATACCGAGATACATCTCTTCCAATCTGATCCAATTTTGAGCCTCAACTTTGTCCCCGCAGTTCATAACCAGGGAATTTATAAATTTCTGACTCATATTCCACCATTATTTCCCAAGGTTACATTGGTTTACACCTAGCTGTCGCTGCTATACTTTTGGAACTATGGCGCAGTGACTCATGTGGGGAGTGACTCACAGAGATTTGGTTTTATGTATGGAGCCATATTAGTGGAGACTCTTTTTAGCCTCATCTCTAGCTAAGCTTGGACCTTGTGTGTCGTCTATAAAGACCCAGTTTGTGCACGCATACAATAACATCAGCGTCCACCCACTCCACCCACACACACAAACAACAAAACACAAACAACCAAACACCAGCCTACACACCTCACCCAACACCTAATCCCCCCCCCCCCCCCCCCCCCCCCCAAACTTTCACCTCACAATTCGTGATTAGCCTTCCTACTAGCCATGGAGCGAGTAAGAAAGGTCTTCTTTCACCCGCTTGCGGCATCGAAGGCTCGGATTCGAGAGATCCTAGAGGAACTTCCAGTTGGCTCTGCACACCCCTTTAGTCTCGAGCGACTTCTTCTTTGTCGGACAGAGAACGGGATTGAGGAAATTGATATCTCCTCCTATCCAGATGACTTCTTCTCCAATGCTGTGGACCTTGGGGAGATGGGTGAGATCCTTCTGAGACGCATGGCTGGGTTCCAGTCTCATCTTGGTATGTCTTCTTTTGTTCAATGACAGAGTGGACACTAAGTATTAGCAGCGGTATTCCAGGACTTCCAAATCCAGCAGGCACCAGCTTCAACGTTCAAGATCCCGATAGTGTCTGGGCAAATTACAATCCTGGCAGTCTCTGAAAGAACGCCCACTTACTACGATTTCTGCTTCGCAGATGCATCATGCAATACATGTTGTTGGTTGGAACGGAATACCTTTCCTGGAATTAACCACAGCGGCGATATCTACGTCGGAAATGATCTGCTACATTATGTTACGATCAGCAAGGATACTCTCACAGAGAAAGAACTCTGCGTATTCATATCTGGCTACAACAAGACCCTCATAACACGGTTTCTGGGAACCCACCCTGCCTTGCTCGTTGCTGATCATGTGGATAAGGTATGTTTGACGGCTAGCTTTCCTGTGTGCATTAATTGAATTGTCGTTGGCAGATCCTTTTTATTGTCCCAGTACCCTTGGATAAAGCGACAATCGGAGAGGCAACCATATGTTGCCCACTGGTAATCAAGCGTGACGGGGACTCCCTTGTCTGCTCAATTTTGTCAACAGCAACTACAGACGTAGATATGTACTGCGATAGTAGGAGGTTGGAAAGCGCCTCCTTCGCGGAAGCAATCAACCGCGCCGATTTCACCATTTCTGAAACTCCTACCGGTAGGACATTTCATGCTTGAGACGGAGTGCTTTCAGAAGCTGATACGTATACAGATGTCGCCTCAAGGGCTCCGGCCAAGGAAGAGACTATCTCGACATCGGAGAGCTTGCGCAAGATGACAAAAGAAAATGCTGTGTTTGTCACCGATCTAGTCACTATCCCTTCCTTCCTTGATTTAGAAAAAACAGAAGTCATACGTTTTGGGACTGGCATTGAGTTCGAGCAACCAGGCGAAGACTTCCTCACAAAGACAGAGACATCTACCGTCGTGTTGCCATGCATATTTGGTTCCCAGCTTCAAGGCCCGTTTATATTGGCAACGGGAACGGCCCCTTCCAATGTTCCTTTTATTGATGAATTCTCCATACGAGAATACTACAAGGGACTCAAAAATGCTGTGGTAATTGTCGACGATCGAATGACAGATAATGCCCGCAATCTCGCAACTGCGTACAGAATTAATGCACTCTTCATCGTGCAACTCAGCCCACAAACCCAGCCAAAGAATACCGACGACATTATTTCGCTACTAAACTCGGCAAACATCAACGCGGTGACAGCGCTCGCAGGACCACAGTCCTTGGTTCTAGTACAAATCTCAGAGAGGTATTACTTCTACCGAGGAATTGCTAATCAGGCACATATCAACACGTCCAGACTCGAGTTTGGCTCTGATGTCACATCCATACTCGAGGCTGTCGGTTTGGAATCGATCCTAGACCCACGAATTGAGCGTATCGTTACTCTCGGCGATGCAAACCGGATCATCCTACCCAGCTCAGGCCAGCTAGTGCACCCTCGAGATCTCCAAAGGCTGTTTGAAGAGCTCCCAATGGAGCAAGTTGAAGAGGTAAAAGACGACATATCGGCAGCGGTTCCTCAGCTTCAAGTGCTTTTGGACCAAAAGGAATTACGGGAACTTTCCAAAACCTTGATATTTGCACTCTCAGCAAAGATCAGCAACGTCACAGCTCCATTGAGAAGCACCTACACTAAATATGTAACCGAGGAGTATAAAATAACGGATCCAGCATCGGCCAAGAAAAAGAATGATATGCTTGGACAATTGAGAAAGGTCACCAGGGAGATGCAGATTGCGCTTGAACCGCTCATTTCGAGTTTGAGCAACATGATCTCTTCTCGAACAACATCAAAGCGGACTCACGATTTGAAGAGACTTGTTCGTCAAACTCAAATTCAAAACAATGTCGAGGCCGTTAAGTCCATGACTTTTGACACCTTAGCGGGATATCTTGAAACATATGCTGGAGATATGGGAGTCATGCTATTGAATATTGACACATCGTCCTATTCCGAGCTTTTGAAAAATCTGAATCGGCCCACTATCGATGCCAGGTACGTTAGGCTATTGAAATCTTTTCATCTATGGGGACACCCTCTCCTTATCATTGCAACCACACAGGAAATTCTTTATTGTACACGCTAACTTTTTATTTGTAGTCCATGCTGTGACCTTGACTCGAGAGTCCTACATCTCGAGGGATTTGACGCCGGAATTATCATAGAGCAGTCGCAGGCCAACCATGACGGACCACTCCGATCTGGACATGATCTCTCCCGCCCAATTTTAGCGTTACCGTACCTGAGCCAACACTTAGGAACCGGATCAATGCTAGCTTGGGTGTGTTGGGATGAATTTGTTAACCTCGAAAGTCCTTTCACCGTGCGATGGATGGAAAAGTGTAACGAAGCGCACATTGCCGCGCTAAGAATCATCATGAGGTCTACTCTTAGTCAGGCAGTATCGGCCAGAGAGTGTAATATTCAACCTAGCAGCCCAGAAACTGGCCATCTTATGAGCGCTTTGTTGATGGCGGCCATGTCTAAGCTCGCAGCGATGAGGACAACTGCGCCCGTTGCGTCACAGCAGGCCGGGGACACTGTCACAAAACTGATGCGAGGACTGTTCGGCAATCTGTTAACAATAGCAGGTTCAGGAGTGCGACCTCAAAGCATGGTCTGGCAGCTGTTTGGCCTAAACTCTCAGCCCGACCTGCCTAAAACCGATATTGAGTGGATTTGGTACGAAACTGTTGTTGCCTTATATCCATACACCGGATGGCCTCTTGAGCAGTTTTACGAGAATTTAGAGAAGCTCCTTGACAAGGCCCTTATTCGTGTGGTGACCAAGAATGAAAAGGTGGATGGGGTGCGGTCAAGCCGGACAGATGAGATGATACGGTTTTGCAAGCTTCGAAACATCCAGCTTGACCATTCCCGCACCATTATCACCATCATGATGCGGATGCTCACGGCTGAGGCTGAAACTGCTCCCATCGCCACTCGTCTGCTAGAGCAGATTCCAGAGAAATTAGAGCGACAGAGTAAGAGCTATACCAGGATGATCGAGTATCTCAAACATCTCGCCAATGGAGGCGAACGACGTGCTAATGATGACCTCGTCGCCGCCGGTGTCTACACCTCGCGCTCAGCTGCCTTTGGTGCACTCAAGAGGGAAGCGTCGGAAGCTTGTAAGAGCAAAGATTGGGCCAGGATGAAAGACTCATGCCAAGCAATTATGGACAAGCATATCGAACTCGCTTCTCTCTGGCATATCGACCACCCTAATGTCCTGAAGGTCCAGAACATCAAATTATACAAAGATCTTCTGGAAGCAGACTTCGGGACCGATATCGACGAAGCTACCAAGACCAAGAATCTTGCACTCAGCAAAAAGGTCCATGGTGATGCGGAGAAACAGCGTATTCCTTGGCAAGTAGGGAAGCAAGGTCAATTTGGTGATGACATTGAGCCTCTAGACGAGGTCTTCCTTCACGAGGTTCTGACAGGAGAAAAGTCTGAAGCCCACCCAGTCGTTGATTCAGCTCAGGGATCAAGCCCAGAGGCAACTGCCATGATTGAAGCCAAAACAGGCGACTTCGAGCAATTTGAATCGATAGTGAAGTCTAATTTCATCATTATGATGGAGAAGGATCTTTCGGCTGAAATTGTCTGCAGTATGATAAATGTTCCGGTTACTACAATGCGCGTCTTTATCAAGGCTCTTAATCCAACGTTTGTGTGGGAAGACCTGGGGAAGAACTTCAAGACCACAATTCTGGGGTTGTTGGAAGAGCGTTCGCATCGGGAAGAGAGTCACCCTACTAAGAAACTGTTGGACCTAGTGATAGGTAATGCGAAGCTTCAAATTGATGGGTGAAGCAGGGGGTTTGAATAGGGATAGGGCTTAACACTAGAGGGGATTCTCGATAATATGATTTTACAATATTTCACAGAACATGACTTAATTAGATTCACGAGTCTTCAGGACATTTTACATTATACGAGGGAAGGGCATGAACGAAGAAAATACAACACATTCGAGGATGTTCCAAGATGAGATGTGTCTACCTTTAAACGGTACATCAAAGCTATCCTACATTACTAGCTCCAAGAGGGACAAATGGATTTTGATCAAATCCAAAAAAAAAAAAAAAACGAGAGGAAGTACAGGCATAACCAAGAAAAGAGAAAAAAAAATACATGAACTTTGAGAGAACAAACTAAACACCAAATGACAGAATGGAAACAGAGCTGAAACAGAGACGAAAACACAAAACAAAAAATGACAAAAAGAGACAACAAATGTAGTATAGTGAGTTTCCATAATCGACGCCTTTCGCCTCCTTCAAATTTCCTCCCACGCCCATCGTCAATACTAGCTGGGTTACACGATAGATATTCCGTATGCCGAGAGACTCCTAGGCTCCTCACCCGGCTCAGGACCCCATATTCAACATCAGACTTCAAAGCCGCAAGTCCAAGATCCTTAATATATCTATTTTGAAGTTCTTGCAGCTTTCTCCATTTCTACAGCCCATTGTTGGTGTCTTCCAACAAGATTTTTGTGCTTGTCTCGTAGGTTCTTTGCCGCTGTTCGAGAGGTGGTAATTTCCGAAACGTGGTTGCCATGAGCCTCCAGACTCTGGTATGGTTGAGGGTACTTGTCTATAAACCCAGCACGAGCTTGGACGATCCTATAAATGCAAATTAGCTTTTCGATCAGAACTTTGGCTACTGTTCGAGGGCATATTACTTGTTTGCTTGAATCAATCGAGATGAAGTACGGGCCAGTGCAGTCTCGATCACTAGGCCATGTTCTTCATGGGGCGTGTTATTATATCCAATTTTCACCTTAGTAGCGCGGCGAATAGCTTCTTCGGTCTCACGATCCTTACGCAGAGCTAACGACTTATAATGTGCGCGCTCGGCCTCCATCTGCTTCGAATAACGGTTGGGGTTCTTCACATAAGGGTCGGTGAATTCGTGAATCTGTCTAGGTGGGTGGAACGTATGGGCACGGCCATGGAGATCCGGATGGCCCGGGGGGATATTTTCGCCTTCTGCCCTTCGGAGATATATCTGCTCTTGTTGTTGTCCCTTTTGGAAGTGCGGACCAAATTTGCTCGGATGGAGCGAGGGATGTTCAGGTACAGCCGGCTGTTGGTCATATATAGGATCGGACTGCTGCCTTTGGGGTCTCGAGCTGGAACGGCGGAAGAAACTCATAATTGTGGTAATAGTTTTGAGCCAAGTTTCTAGTAAATCAACGATAATGAGCAAACATAAGAATTATATGTTTCGAGGTATACCGCGGACTTATATAGACTGCTTGACAGACTCTCAGGTCAGACTCCTTGCTAAGGAACCCTACCATCTCGAAATAGAGCGAAACAATAGAAGTTTCAAACTCTAGATGGTAGTTCACGCGCGCATATCAGGGGCAAGTGATAGGTAGGTAGCAACTAGGGAGCTATTGGTGAACTTGCGAGGTTGCTATTGTTTCACTCTTGCATTAGCCCTACAACGTGATTCGCATATATGCAAGAGGATAGGGAATATACCCCGAAAATAAGCACCAGGGTATACAGCAGAAGCTCCTGTATTGGACATAAGCACTGTAAATAGATAAGTCCCAGAATCTACGAATTAAATCCACAACAGATATTCATGGCTAGCGGCAAGATGTTAGTCGCATACTATTGTTGTTTCACTCTTGCATTAGCCCTACAACGTGATAGGCATACATACAAGAGGGCAGGGATTATACCCCAAAAATAAGCGCCAAGGTGATACAGCAGAAGCTCCTTCATTAAACATAAGCACTGTAACTAAATAGATAAATCCCAGAATCTACGAATGTAAGGCACAACTGATAATCATGGCCGGCGGCAAAAACGTTAGCTGCATACCTAGCGGTTACAGGCACAAAGTACCAAAATTGAACGATTGGCTCAGAGTAAATTTCTACTACAGGTAAAACTTGTGATCGGATGAAAGATTCTTAATTTTCCTGGTTAGCAGCGCGACTTGGCTAAAAATACATTTTGAGCCGCTGTTTAACGGTCAGATGGAAAGGTACGAGCCTCATGTAAGAAGGTAAAATACATCGTAATTTACCAGTAACAAAACCCATACTAGTTAGTATGTATCTTTTGACATAAGACCCCGCCACAGCCCTACTACTATCAGGTCAGTCTCCCCGTTGACCTTCTTCCATCACGGTAGTCTCTCACATAGTGCACATGGTAAGCTCTGCAATCTTGGGGGGAAAAACATAATGCTTACCTCTTCCAAGGCCAAACCAACACTTGAAGCACTCCCAACGGAGCTACTCATTCTCATCTTGCTTGAAATACCCGATCTGGCTTCTCTCAAATCCATAGTGCTTTCATCGCCGACATTTCACCAGGCCTACCTTGTAGTGCGACATGAAGCCCTCTGTCGCATTGTCAAGAATCAATGGGGAGTACTGCTTGGGGATGCGATAGCCGCTACCCGGTCTCGTGGTCTTATCTTTACTCAATACAAACACGAATCGATTGCGTTGCTAGACACCTGGCGTCGCAGAGAAGAGATTAATAGTCTCGCATTGAGTTCATCGAATCGGATAGATGAGCCGGGCAATCTAGAAGAGATTTCGCACCTGTTCTATCTTTATAAGGTGTTCCATTTCTTTCTGGAAGATTATGCGAAAAACATACCGCAGCCCCCATGGATGGAAGATGATCAATGGAAGACTCAGGTTCTTCCCATTAAGTTGTCTCCCTCTGAAAGTCACCGGTTACTCAGAGGACTATGTCGCCTGCAAATCTACCAAAATATTTTTGGAACCCCTGAACACCTGGATGTCCCCTATCACCAGGTAGGGGAGAAACCGGATCGAAACCAGTGGGACATGAATAAGGGACCTAGCGGTCATTGTGATCCCAGACGAGAGGTGTTTCGCTTGTTCTTTGGGACGATACCGCCTTGGGAATACCAGGAAATGGCGTGTGTGTGGGCATACTTCAAGACGATGTTCGACCCTATCTACAAGGAAATGACTGCTGGCCTTCATGAACTTGTGGATAAACATATGAGCAAGGATATACAAGAGTGGAAGCGTGAATATTTCGAATTTCTCCCGGAAGATGTAATGCCTTATTGGGTTAACATCGGCAGCCTCTCCGCTCTTGAGCATCTTTCTGATATGTCAGATTCACTTGCCTCAATGGGACCAGAGTTTGTCTACCGTCTCATGCATGAGACAGCGCCCTTGATTCGGCGGGATATGGTCATGTGTAATGCAAATGACTATTCGAATAGCTACTTCACTGACTACTGGCTAAACGAGGATGATCTGCTTCCTTTGCTTCACCCTGCAGACCGACACGCAGTGCAAGATTTTGAGTATCTTTGGTCAACATTGCCGTCTGTCGAGCGACCTAACATTCTGTGGAAAACGATGTTCTTGATGCCTGACCCACCAGAACATACATTGGAACGTGCCATGACTTTACAAGGTGGACGTGAGCCTGTATGGCGTCTGGGTCTTGCTATTTTTGATGATGAAAGATTGACGGCATGGGAAACCCCTTTCTCGAAATATACTTGGGGTGATATACCCGATTTTGAACCCGATTTTTAACCCTAATTTATTCCTCCCTTCAGCTCTTTTTCATCGTATATTCAATTGTTTATTCTGGCTTTCTCCATGTACTAGTTAGTATATTTCTATAACATTACGGCCGTTTTTAATGTTCTTCACGTCGTATGTCCGGCTACCGAGAGATCCAATTGTAGGACTTGGGCATTCCCATATGCAGTACGAGCTTGCTAATGTGATCGAGGAGGTTTTCGATGTAATCCTCGGTGGAGTCGTGAGCTGCCGATCTTGATGAACGCCGACTTCTGGCCACAAATTCCACTTCTAGAGCGTTACCCATCGGCGCACTTGGCAAACTAGGCTCTTATATTGATGGATTTAAGTCTATGGAATCTGGAGTCCAGACTTGATTTGTAGAAATAAGGCATTAAGAACTTTTTCCACTCCAATCAATACATCTTCTTTTCGTCACAGAGTCTTCCATCAGAGGATAAAACTCGCTGTCGTCATCAGGCCCCTTTGTTCCACTTAGATATAGGAAGTGGGTTGCTTTCTCGCCTAACAATTTTCTTTCAGATATCTCATGCTTTTAGATATCTCATGCTTTTAATAAAGTCCATGGACTCCGTTATTTAGCTATGGCTGGTATTCCTTTGTTCAGCCCTACCTATTCTTGCCTAGTACTTCTTAGATTTCTCTGTTTCTCTTCACAAATTGATCATCATTTGTGTTTTTTTAAAAATTTCATGAATAAATTCTAAATTTGTACCCCAGGATCCTTACAATATGGAGTTTTAATATAGCTCCTATATTGAATCCTCTAAAGGTGTCCATAATTTCCACACCTGCGGCGTATATCAACTCGGGATTTGCATACAAAGAATCTTTTAGTATTCTAAGTGAAAGATACCCCTTCGCTAATCAAGATGATTCTTCTATTCTTAAATGGTGGGCTTTAATAACTGCAGTCCTTGTTGTCAATGAAGCAGTTCCTAATCTATTCTTGGAATATATTCATTGACAATACCCCAACCCCAGTTTCTTTCACCAAATCCCTCGACATTCAGTTGCTCCTACGAAAAAGTCCGAAACGGAAGGGCATTGAGGAAAGAGATCCTATATAATGCCTGGCTTTCGCTCGACATGGCCACAAAATCCACATCTACCTGAAATTCTCCTAGCAGCGCCCTACAGCAGTTATTATGGGACATCTTTCAAAATCTCTTTCCGAATGTCTTCGGGGAATCGCTGGGGCAATTACTTCATTCTCATCGTCAATCTTGGATCATGTCACGCTGAAACTACTACGTGGAGATGATGATTCTGACAACGGGAATGATGATTTGGATTCTCTCGACATAGATCCATTCGAAGCTGTATTGGAGAGAGTGAAAGTGAAGCACATCGGTAAATACGTGGCAGGGATTCGAGTGAAAACTCAATCGAGCAACAAGAAGAAAATCCCTGTTGTCGAGGTCGGGTCTCCTTCTTGCAATGGGGAGCACATGTGCTATAGGGTGAAGTTTGCCGACGGGGTTAGCTGGCTCCTCAAGGTCCCAGCCATTGGAACCCCCGATCAATTTGGCGAAGGTGATGCTGAGAACCTTCGCTCAGAATTCTTGACAATGAGGATGCTACGGCGTGAGACAACTATCCCAATCCCCGAAGTGTTTTCATACGACAATACATGCAAAAACAAGCTCAAAGTTCCCTTCATTCTCATGGAGTTCATCGACGGTCGGCCTTTGGATGAGGTTTGGCATGATAGGGAATCTCCAAAAGAAGTTGTGCAGGCTCGACGCACGCGCTGTCTGCAGGATATTGCTGCTGCGTATGTACAGCTTGGAAAATACACATTCAAGAAAAGTGGCCCTTTGAGATTTGACGACAAAGATTGCCCTATAGGTGTTGTACCCGTAAACAGGGATCCATTCTCGGGCCTCAGAGAGGGTTACACTTCTAGTCTGGACCGGTGGGGCGAACAGGATAGTGAGTATAAAAGGGGAGCTGTAAAGCTTCTTCGAATGTTTATCGACTGGACTCCCAAGCCAAGTGGCGAAGAATCATTTGTTCTAAGCCATCCAAACCCCAACATCTTCAACTTCCTTGTTGCAGAGGACGGTTCTGTGCGGGGAATCCTTGATTGGCACCGCACGTTTGCTGATTCGCCAAGCGTAGGGAATGAGACATACCCACTATGGCTGATGCGCGACTGGGCTCCGGGCTTATATATATGGAGCGAAGAGATGGAGCAGGGAATCCATGACGAGAGATACGTTTGGGAAGACTCACCGGACACACGGAAGTTCTATCGAAATGTCTACGCGCAATGTATCGCAAATCTGCTACCTGAAAGCGAAAACGCAAAAGTGACCCGTAATTCCATTCTCTTCCGACACTTGGAGATGGCAGTGGGGGACTCAATTTTTGGCTTCGGTTTCGCCGATCAGATCCTTCGTGAAGTTGTGAAGCGCATGAAGAACGTGGATGACACTTGCCAATCTGCTTCATGCAACACACCCAAGAACAACGAAAATGACAATGATAGCCAAGATGATAGTACTACCAAAGAGAAGGATGCGACATGCAATCAAAATTCACCGAACGAGTCCGAAGTCAAACCGGAACATGGTGGTATCGAAGCAGACAATGGCGGAGAAGACGAAGACGACTTTTTTGATGTTGATGAGTTTCTCGAGAATTTGGACAGAAATGGTCTCTGTGAGCACCGACAAAGGCTGTTCAAGGCTGGATTCGAGGCTTTATTTACTAGGTAACTTCGAGGTTGTGGTGTTGTAGATATTAGATGAACGGTGGCATTATGAGAAAATGACTGAGAGGATCAAGTGTTGTTGATATTGAACAAGAGTCGGGGGCATCTATTTTAAAATCGTAGGGAAAAAAAAACACATTCCGTAAATTTCCTTTCCGAATACTTTCTTCTGTTCTTTGTAGAGCACTCAAAATGATATATCGTTTGACAAAATTATAATAGACACCTCAGGCATTACATATCTGGGGATGATGTCAGCTAGATTATGTAATTCAATACGTCAGCCAATAACAACATCCAGACTAACCGATCAAGGGCTTAGGGCTCACCTCAGTCACGCCCCACTGCCTTTTCGCACTTGAACGGCTTCTGGACGTCGCCCTCTTCCTTTGAACATCCACCTCATCCGACAAAATGGTGAGTTCCCCAGCATCCCAGTATACCAACCCGGAGGCAACAATACTAATCGAAATGTGACGAACAGGCGCCCGCAGCAACCGGAGGCAAGAAGCAAAAGAAGAAGTGGTCCAAGGGCAAGGGTACGCAATCACCAACCATGCGATCGTGACGATTTCCGCCGAGTTCCCACAAGACACGAAAGAAATCGTTGGACGAGCTGGGGATACGCAATAACACACCGAGAGCAACATTTACTAACATATCTTTCGCCCTACAGTCAAGGACAAGGCCCAGCACGCCGTCATCCTCGACAAGGCCACCAACGACAAGCTTCAGAAGGATGTCCAGTCCTACCGTCTGATCACTGTCGCCACCCTTGTCGATCGTCTCAAGATCAACGGCAGCCTTGCCCGCCAGGCTCTCAACGACCTTGAGGCTAACGGCCAGATCAAGAAGGTCGTCGGTCACTCCAGCCTGAGCATCTACAGTGCGTTCCCTCCCATCTACATCTCGAAAATTCCATACTGATAACCTTTTCTTAAATAGCCCGTGCCGTCACCGCCGAGTAAACTTCTCGTCTCTCGTCTTTTCTCGCGGTTTTCTTTTCCTTGCTACGAATGATATCATTTACCATGGGAAGCCCGGCTGGGCATGATGCATAGTGGATTAACGTCGGACTCTTGAAGAGTGTGGAACATTCGCACTCCTGGTTTACGTCAGGTAGTGCGAACTGAATCAAAAAATCTACAAAACTTCATGAAAAGGACATGCGTCATTCCGTAGACTTCTCTCGGCCTCTACCACCCAATCTGCAATATCCAACACCAACCCAGCAAATTACAAAAAGTAGTCCTACGACTTTTCCAACATTGCACTCCTCTTCGGTCGCTGCTTCTGCGCACCCTCACACAGCGGCCACGGCTCTCCAACAACACCTCCATCCTCAACCACCCTCCCCGCCTCAAAATACTTCTTATGATTCGAAAAGAATTCAGTCCACCTCTTCACAGCCCCCTCAACCCGCGCTTTAGCAGCCCGTAACTCCTTCTCGCGACGGATTTTCTTCTGCGCAGATGTGATAGACTCATTCTCGACATCCTCAACTGGCATGAACATAATCTCAACACCGCGCATGTCAGACGTAAGATCCTCCTTAAAGCAGCCCGTGACAAAAGCGCGTGTTGCGTCCCGCCCCGCGAAGAAGTTGTAACTCCCGCCCGGTCCGTAGATCATTCGGTTTGCTGAGACATCGAAGATGGTCCCATTCACTGCGACGTAGAGGGGTAAAGTGGCGTCTGTGCCGTTGTAAAGGGATAATTGACTTGGTGTCAGGGTAACAGGGCCTTGCTTTATTTTTGAAATGAGTTAGCTTGAATCGGATGTGACCTGTTTTGTGAACGAGAACCGGGATTTGCGTACCACCCACTGCTTCACCACCGGCCACCGTGTATACCATGGTCTGTAACCCCACAGCACGGACTCGGAGGAAGTCATATAATAGGAGAGACCGCAACAAGCGATGATTAGGGTCACAATGACGCGGATTATGTCCAGTAGGCTTATGCCGTGGTCTTGATCGGTTTCATTGCTTGAGTGCTGTCTTGACCTTGACTCTTTGTCGGGCCCATTGCTGGACTTTGATGTGGCTGTTGGTCGCTGGCGGAGTTCTGACATTGCTCTCCCAAATGTGAGTCGATTGAGGAGTTGTAAAATCAGACCATTTGAATTGTTGGAGTTGCACAGGTGGAGGACTTGGCTGACAAAACCCGAGGCAGTGCGCCGAGTGGACTTTGAATTTATCCACTTCACATTTACAAAGTACAACTGGTTTAGATTTTCAATCCAATTTTCTATTATCTCTCCAAACTGCATTCGCTAAAGGTACAAGAGGCTTGATTTCATAACGCAGCCGAGAAATACACTCTGCTTTTTGCTTCCAACGTCAAGTTTTGCCTCAATTTCATTTCCATCACTTGCTTGCTGTTGAAGCTACTGCTTGGGCCGTAGACCCTTCTTCCCAGCTGCGCGAGAACACTTCGTTCAAGGCATCTTGGAAAGTACGACAGTTCATATCAATCAGACCCCGCTTGTCCTTGGCTTCGGGGTTGCGAATCACCGAGACTAGACAGAGGTACCTGAAGAAAAAAGTCAGTATAGATAATAAAGACACTCGTTGAGATACACATACTTGTTCATCTCCATCAAATGGATCATGGTCTGATCATGCAACACGACGTGGCTTTCTGCTTCTTGGATCTGGTCACCCAATCGCTTGCGCACTGGGTGATCCCAAGAGTATAACTCGGAAATATCGACAATCACATCGATATAATCAGAGCACATCTCGTAGCAAGCCATATCAACAGGTCGGGTGTCAGAGGCGATATAAATTTTGCTCAGCACGTCGAAGAGGTATGTCTTTTCAAATCCACAGTTGTTGGCAAGAGTGTTGATAAGATTCTCAAGTGTAGATAAGTTGGGGATCAGCTTCTGAATCACTTTGCTGAAGGCTTCAAAGACAGAGTAATCGTAAATGGAAGTCAGATAGTAGTGCACAGGCGCATTCTCATATCCAGCGTCACTGAGCTCGTCGGAGATGCGCTGCACAATGTCTTGGAACGTGTCAGTGCGGTACTCGTCTGACAGTCCATCGACCTTGTGAATGAAGACTTCGATGTTGATGCCGGGATAGAACTGCTGGACAGTCAATATGGTGCGGTTGAGCCGGGCTACCGAGTCAAGATAGTCATCTTGTGCGTCGATCACCCAAACCAGGGCGCCCAGACTGCCGAATATATCCTCGAGATCGAAGGCAGACTCGAAGTACTCAAGCTGACCCGGGAAATCCCAGACTTGGAAGTCCATAAAAGAGCTTCAGGCTTCATGTCAGTGGAAAGGGCATAAAGCAAGTCGTGTCTGTGGATCTTACTGGATCGAGTCCTTCTGAATCCGAGTCGTGGATTCCAAAAAGAGTGTCTCGTTTGGTGGCATCTTATGGAATACCACACTAGCAATAGATGACTTGCCACTCCTAATACACAGTTAGTACCATTGTTGCGTGCGGAGCTGGCAGCGAGAACTTGCCGGCGGAGTCCCATTAGAAGCAGACGAGGTTTAACATCAGGGCCTTTGGTGTTGGGCACAGACGCCGATTTAGCCTGATTCGGCGCAGCCACTTGGTTGTTTCCCTGTAAATTATCCAAAAGACTTAGCTCGGCTGGACTCTTATGGAGTGGATATTCGCGCCGTCGCTTCCAAAAATTAAACTCACGCCCTATAAAAGGACCATGAGGCCGGCTCACGCGGGCTACCGGTGAGTCGGACATTTAATCAAGCCAAAAAAGAATGCATTTTGGAGAAAAGGCGAAGCAAGAAACAGGTCAGGGTTATCAGGATGGAAGATTCATGAGTTAGGGGCAAGGAGGAATAAATCAACGCATCACATGTCGGAAAAGGAAGAGGGCATTGGGCAGTCAGCGAACCCAGCCAGGCCAATATTCCTTGAAATGACAAGGAAATAACTGATCCTGAAGACGGAGACCCGTGGATTCAATATGGTACTATCTTGCAACGGCCCGTTCTGGCAGCAACCGTGGCAGACGCCCCAAAATTGGAAATCCATGTTCCTTGCCTATTCTAGGGCTCATTTAGCTGCCTAGAAGGTTTCCGGTGCTTCTTCATCCCCTGGGAAATAGCGGAAAGGGTCCGGAACCAAGCAGCTGTCTTACAACGGCCCGTGCATGGATGCAGCGGCACGCGGTAACTAACCGAGCTTTACCGAATGACCCAGGCTTGGTTCAAGGTATTATAAAGAATATTGTTCGGGGGTGTTGTTTTGGGGAAAAGGAATAGTTTCTTACCTCCATTGAGCGGGCAGACATCTAGGAATGGGGTGTTAGAATCCGGGGTATGCACAAGGATAGATTGGGTGTACTTACTACGCAATTTATAGTGTATTAGACAGGGGTAATCAGACCAATGCAAAGTCAAAATTACTCCGTGATCACGAAGAAGAATGGTAAAAGGGACTGGTCGAGCTGAATTTAACGGCAAAGGCCGACTGTTGGCATCTGCATGTGCTGATCTCGCCTAGGACAAAAGCCGCAAGGTTCCCAGTTATTGCCTGGGATGGTTGTACAAAGTCGGATATCTGCAGTCAGGCCTGTAGCATCGTCTCAAGGTTGGGAATTAAATTCGCGGCGGAACAGTGTTGGTTGAGGTGATCGTTGAGTAACCGTTGTCCTGAGGAGTGCGGGGGTTGGAGTAGCTCGGAGCTACGAAGCGAAACGAAGCGTGGTCAGACACCGATGTGCAACGCGCACGATAGCGCGGCAAATGAGCTAAAAGAGAGATTTTGAGAGTAGATGGGGGTTTCTTTGATTTGAAGGAGTATTTGGCATGAAATTGTAAGGAAGAGAGGATGGGATAGAGGAAGAGGAAGGGCACCTGGGCAGAACCTTGAAAGGCGGAGGCTTTATCTCCTATCTTATCTCTAATCTGTCACAGACCGCCCTTCCTATTCTGCCACTATATTCCAGGGCCACACCCTCGAATCAACATCACTTACACCACCTCCAACTTCATTTACGATGCTTAGACAGGATAGATGTCCCAATGTTTTGGATTTAAGATTTTATTGTTATTAAATTGATGGAATTGAAAAGGAATCAACTTTTTGATTGGTATTAACCTCGACAAGTTCATACGGCAACCATCCGGTGGCTGTGTCCATGTCCATGTCCATGTCCATGTCCATGAACATGTTTAGTCCCATTCTGAGGACCCAGATATTCACTAATTCGACGCTTCCCCTGCTCCGGCTTCTCTTCCTCCTCTTCCTCTTCTTCAAATGCAGGCCAATCTTCCCAACCATCTTCCCACATCTTTGCTAACTTATCCGTCTTCTCCTCTCTGCTCATTTTCTTGTTCTTCATCACCTTTTCCCACTTCTTCATATCCTTATCATCTAGAAGACACTCATCCAGCAAAGCAGTGATCTTGGCACTGTCAATACCTTCACCGATAAACACTAGTTCCTGGCGACGGTCACCCCAAGGACCTTGGAAATCATTTTGAATGGATTCCCGTACCTCCTGGTCTTCTGGCCAGGCCTCGTCGGGGACTTCAGCAAACCAAGGTCCACCACATCCAACAGTCATCATACCGCCTGCTTGACTCCATTCTCCAAATTGCCAAGGTCTGGTTGTAAGCCAGAAGAAGCCCTTGGAGCGAAGAACTGGCCCAAAGGCCGGGTGGGTACGTTTATTGTTCAGAATTACCTCTGAATCAGGCTGTTCAAAGTCTTCCATGGACTCTGACTCGGAGTCTGTGTCCATTGCATCATCGTCTTCGTCTTCCTCGTCGCCTTCTTCCTCTTCGGCTTCAGTGTTCTGGAGAATGATGAACTTGTCATGAAGAAGAGCGAAGATACGGCGCGGGTGGAAGGGTCGACGAGCAGTGTAAACGAAGTTGTTGATACCATACCTGCAGCGGTCAGTAAATTGTCCATAAATGAATTACCGACAAACTTACTCCAAAGTCTCTGGTTTCGGTGCCATCCGGTCACCGTTTCCTGTCGTCTGTATTGTCATTTCATGCAGACTCCGCAGCCACCCGGGGCCAGATGCAGCACGGATAAAATCAAATTTGTTTGTGTTGATGATTTCCCGGACATCTATTTGGGAGTAATTTGACTCGAGAACCTTTGCCGCTGGGTTCAGTAGCTTCACCAAATGCAAGATCTTATCGCGTGTTGCTTGGTCAACTGTGTCGATCTTGTTGATAATCAACACATCGGCGAACTCAATCTGATCGACCATGAGATCAGATATTGTACGCTCATCCTCGGGAATGATCTCTTCACTCCCGTAGCGGTCAGAGAGGAACTCTGCTGTGTCGAAGCTGGAAAGCAAGTTGAAAGCATCAATGACAGTGACAGTAGTGTCTAACCGAGCCATTGTGTGCAAGCCACCTAGTTCCACACTATGTCATGTCAGCAAGTCCACCGTAAGGGGAGATGTGGTGGCGAAAGATACATTTCATTCAGGATCTTCTTTGCATCAGCATCATCGTTCGCAATCTGATCTTCAGCTTCCAGCATGGCTGAGCTAAACTCGGCCGTGAAAGTCTCGGCCACTTGCATGGGCTCGCTGATACCAGTCGATTCAATGATGACGTAGTCAACCTCATTTCTTTTGGTCAGAGCTGCCAGTTCAGACAGCAAGTCCCCTCGTAGGGTGCAGCAGATGCACCCGTTTTGAAGTCGAATGAGTTTCTCGGTGGTTTGAGAGACTTTGTGGTTTTGGATGAGGGTAGCGTCGATGTTCAACCTAATGGAACGAAGCAATTAGCTGACAGCCTATGTTATCTATTCAACGTGGAACTCACTGGCTCATATCATTGACGATGACAGCAATCCGTAACCCATGGTCAGGGGACTGGAGGATGTGTTTGAGGAGGGTTGTCTTGCCGCTTCCCTATTGAGGTGTGTCAGTGTCTCGGGATTGGCTCAACGTTGATTTAATTGATCGTATTTCATACCAGAAACCCAGAAAGCAAGGTGACAGGCATCTGCCGTGTCTTGGGCTTTTGCTCCGTAGGAGTTGGGACATGGTAAGAGACTGTGCTTTTTCCCGCGTCGATAACCATAATGAAAGATGGGCAACTTTTGTGTATATGTATACAAAGCAAGAAAGAAGAAGAAGGAGAAGAAAGATAAGTTGAGTCTGCGGGAATTCTAGGATGCTACATTATATAGCATCTTCCGCAGAGAACCGTCTCCAAGTTCCTCATCCTCTGACGCTGTCGGTTACATTCCTGATGCCGTACAAATGCCAATACAGGTCCTCCAAGGTTAAGGGTACACCAGTGGAGCCGTAGCATATCCAATGAAGTGTATGATTTCAAATGGCTATGATAATTGCTGTGTTTTAAGTGGCCAGCGTGAATTGCTCGCAAGGTACCTGTGTAGTACTGCTGACTTTCACGGTCCCCATTTGATACCATTGGTTTTCAAAATGAGTATTAAAATAGGATTAGACCAGACAGAGGTCTGATAGGAGAAATTAATTTTTAGCCATCTTGTGAGGAAATTGACAAGGTAAAAAGATATCTAAAGCACCTGCACAAAAGGTCAATGTAAAACAGTGGTGATGTTAGGGCATTCCATCTGGACTGTTTCATCCGCGAGTTCACTATTAATATATTTAATTTATTAGATATAGCATCAGATATAATAAAAATATCTGATCGCTTATACGGTCCTTATTACTCCGTACTATACGGAGTAGTCGGTCTATATTTCCTCCAAATCGGTGCTCGGCTCGATGAGCGGGCCGACAGCCAAATCGCCGATCCCAAGACACGTCCACCTAGAAATCTATAAAGATCCTCTATGCTAACCCTTCCAATTCCATACATATAACCAAAATGATCGAACTAGGAACCTACACCAAACCACTAGCCTACCTAGGCCTCTTCACCCTAGGAAAAAACCTCCTCTCCATAACCCGCCAAGCAACCAACTTCCTCCTCCCCAGTACCCTCCTCCAACGCTACAACCCCACACAAAAAAACTGGGCCCTCGTCACCGGCGCAACAGACGGAATAGGTTTCGGCTTTGCACAAGAACTCTGCGCACGCGGGTTCAACGTTATCCTACACGGGCGGAACAGCTCGAAACTCCAACGTCGTCGTCGCGAACTCGAGGCGCTCTTCCCCGCAGTTCATGTCGCCGTGCTTGTGCGCGATGCGCAGAATTTGACCGCGGATATCGATGATGTCGATGCGGAAGTGCGCGATATTATTCGGAGTAATGGGACTGTCGGTTCCCAGGGCGGGTTGACTGTTCTTATTAATAATGTTGGTGGTGAGACTAAGCCTGCTACGCTCCTTAAGGAGTATACCTATCAGGATGTGCAAGACACTCTTTCGCGGAATGCGACTTTCGCTTTTCATATTACGCGTGTTCTGGCTGAACAGTTGGAAGAGAATGCGCCTGGTCTTGTGATGAATGTTTCTTCTGTTGCTGCGCTTGGATTGCCATATCTCAGTACTTATAGCGCTAGTAAGGGTTTTGTGGATTCGTTTACTAAGTCGCTGCGCGCTGAGTTTGCCGCTGAAGGGAAGGAGGTTGAGGTGATGGGACTGCGAGTTGCGGAGGTCAGCACTCCTGGGTATGATGTGAAGGCTAATCTGTTTATTCCTGAGGCGAGAGTGCTAGCTGCTGCTGGCTTGGATCGGGTTGGCTGTGGACAGGATATTGTATGGGCTTATTTCTGGCATTGGTTGCAGGGCTTGTCGTTTGAGTATCTACCGCACTCGATGTTGATGAAGATTGCTGCGATGAAGATCAAGGCAATCAGAGCAGATCAAGAGGCTAAGGCGAAAAGTAGCTGAAATGGCAGCTGATATGCGATTCTGGTTCTCTACTTCTGGCCTATCAAATCGTAGGAGAAAGAAAATATCTCCAATTAAAAGATAACATTACAGTCTATAGAGCGTCTAGAAGCCAGCCGGGGCCTTTTCACGATCGTCTGGACCGTGGAGGCCAGCGCCAAGGTTCGCCGTGCACTCGCCTTGCCAGTCCTTTGGCGTGAACTTATCAACAATCGCCTTGAAGGCATCCAAAGTGCAGAATGTCTCATCGCCAGGCAGGTGGTTCTCGGGTTTAGCAGCACAGCCGGGGATACGGACGGGCTGGTCATTGTAGCGAATACGGACATAGTGCTTCTGGAGAGACTCGCGAGCGCCTTCGGGAAGGGATTCCAGAGGTGCGCGCGCAGTATCGGAGGTGGCAGGTTGCTTCGGTGCGGACTTACCGAACAGCTGGGAGAAGACACCGGGCTTCTTGGGTGCGACAGATGGGCTAGCGAACTCCTCAAGCACAGCACCAGCGCCGGAATCGGAGCGGGCCGCCTGTGAAAAGAGCTCAACTGCGATAGAGGAAGTAAATGGAGGCCATGACTGGTCCTGGAATCCACCAACACTGGACAGGATGGCCGCCAGGGTGGTGTCGTGGCAGCCGCTCATAGCAAACTTGATAGCCTTGCCGGTCTCTGGGTTGCCTGAGCCGGACGCGGCAGTCTCACTACGCCAGCCACCCTCCACAGCGGTGCTGACCATGCGGTCAACCACATCACCCATGAGAGCACCAATACCCAGCTTACGGTACTCGCTGCTCTCGCCGTAGCCAGCAAACCACTCCTCAACCGCAATTCGGTCCACGATAGCACGACCCTTCTTGTCATAGAACTCGGATGGGAGCCTAGTGGCTGGGCCATGGGCATCGGTTGCATTGATGGTGTCCATGATTCCAGAAAGACGGGGGTGGGCATCAACAGCAACCTTAGGTGATTCTTCAGGCATGTGCTTTGACCAGAGGCTGTTCAAGTACGCCATTTGTTCGGAGTCGTTCCCTGCATTAGAATCATTAGCCGTGACCCTTATCTTCATATCCCACCGATAAGCCCATACATCGTGCAGCGGCGCGGTCGGCAAAAAGCCGTGCCAGCTGTCGGAACCGTTTGCAGTTCCCCTCATTGGGGAAGAGTGTCTCCTCATTAACCTGGCGGGCCACAATCACCGGCGGTGGGAAGTCAAGCGTGCGCGCGCTAGCCGGGTACATGCCCCAGAAGGCCTCCTGGAGTGACTCCAGCGCGCGGGGAATCGGTGTGGCGCGGAGATACATATCTTCGGAATCCCCCTTGATCTGAGGCATGAACCCAAGCTGGTCGACATATAGATGGCGCAACCGTTGTCCCAGCGCATATGTCGTCTCACGACCCTTGTCTGTGAGCTCTCCGTGCAAGCTTCAGATGGGATAATTTAGCTTTCCTCCACATACAAATCATAGCTCCGTGGAGAACCTACCACATCCCTTCGACTTTTCCTCCGGGTCCTGTTGTGATCATCGCCTGGTCATTACTGCCGAATGACTCCATTTTCCGGCGCCATTGGAACCCGTTCCATTCCGAGAGGTCCTTGCTACTCGATGCCATCTGCACCATGCGTCTTGCGACGCCGCAATACGGCCAGTCTTGTCAAGAGAGAATCAGTATATACTCGGCCGATATCGGTATTGGGAAATTGCCATACATGGGCTCAAGCCTGTCTTTGGGGAAGTGTTAGCGGAGACCGTCGGAGAGCGGATTTGGGGGATGGGGTAGCAATGGCGGCATACATTTGAGAATCGGGATGAGACAGGTGTCCGTTCGCCTAGGATTAGTTAGAAATGCTTTCAGGGGTCGCATTGTAAACGTATCTCTCACCATGACGAAGGAACTGTACTGGTTAGCCATATTACGTCTTTGTGGAGACCAAAACACTTACCACTTGTACCAACTCCAGCTTCAGAGCTGCTGGATACAGGCGAGCGAGCTCATCCTGAGTATAGGGCTCACGAGGTATGAGGGTGGTCATCTCGAATCAATTGCAGAGAGATATCCAGGAATCTATAAAATGGAATTGAGTCAGGAAATATACGGACCCCATGGGGGCGGTGAGGGGACCAGTTGGGGTAGATCGGCCGATAAGCCATTCTGTTGCCCAATGAATTACATCCTCTCTCTGTATTATGGGGTGAATTAGGCGCATCAAGCGGAGATGCTACTTATATTCATCGATATTTAGAATAACATGGGAAGAGCAAAAGCTAGGAACTCCAAGAATGCAACAGATATATGGTCTCCGCATCTCGGCAAGCTCGCCGAAGCTGACCTCGGACTAGTATTCTCCGAGATGGAAAATACAAAACTTTTGCTATGCATATTTGACATGGTATAGTATATACAATTAGGAACAACATTGTTCATCACTCGTCTCCCATCCTTCCTCACTTTCACTAGCACTCCAGACAGACCGAGTGGGCGTCTGCACATCGCTAGTCTCAGTTGCTGCAGCTGCAACTGCTGCTGCGGTAGCAGTAGCCATTTGCTTAGCCCATTTCTTATTATTCTTTGCCTTGCGTGCATTCTCCTCTTCCTGTCGGGTATGCTTCGCGCGCTCAGCTTCCTCATTCGCTGCCCGCTCCAAGAGCTCAGTGAACTTCTCCAATGCCGGTGCATATGCCTGCGCAAGGGCGAAGTCTCCGACCTTGACACGCATGAAGTCCATCGCTCCGGCGACGGGGCCGGTATACACGCCGAACCTTTGGCTGAGACCCATGTTGATGTCGTCGGACAGTGGAGCGTCGTTGGAGTCCACTGCTTGATCCTGAGGGTCGTCGAATGGGATATCCGCATCTGCGGGCTCCTTTGCAGCTGAGTCCCGGCTGGACTGGAATTTGCCAGGGTTCCGCTTCTCTACATAGGCGGTCTTCTGGTAGCGCTGGCTGAAATGAGTGAGCAGGACAGCGCGCGCTTGCATGCGACGGCCGACTTCGATTGCCTCGGCCGAGGTTGAGTGCCGTTTGGCCTTAGCCGATCCGACCATGTCGGGTTGGAAAGTGGCCTCGTGAATGAGCACTGTTGAACCCTGTCCAATGACGGCAAATTTATCCGATGGCCTGCAATCACCAGAGTAGGAAACCTTGAATCCATTTGAGAAGACAAGGGACACAGCGAAGGCACCCTTGCAGTGTTTGACACGGCAAGTGAGTAGATCTGTAAGACCGGTAGCAGACTTGAGAAGAGGAGTGAGGTGGGAGGATTCGTCCGTGAAGTTAAGATTGAACCGATAACGATTAGGTAGTTGGTGTGAGAACTCCGTGGTGATTTTAGGACCATTTACTTCAGGGCGTGCGGAAAGAGTAAGCAGCTTGTCAAATCCGAAGTCCTCGACTTGTGAATATTCTTCCAACCAGGAGATCATTCCATCATCAGATACAACAGCCAGTCGCTTCTCCAGGAGGACCTTGACCATATCGTTTTCACGTTTAGCATCCGAGCCAAATCCATTCTTGAAGTTCTCCGTGTGCCAGGCCTTGATCACTGAGACTGTTCCTAGATGGTGATCAGCGTGCAAATGGCTGATCCAGATCATCCGAAGATTCTGAAGGACTTCACGAAGTTCTTCAGGCTCGAAAACTCGCTTCAGTTGACCAAGAGTATTCTCGCCACAATCAAGCAAATAGTAGCCATATCCAGGTACCTTCACTAGTGTGGCAGATACATTTCGGTATTTGGATGGAACAGAGGAACCAGTACCCAGCGCGATGATCTCTGCATCCGCTCCAGGCCATTCTGTCCGTTGCACGTGCAACTTTTTCTGGAATTCAGACTTAGCGACGCGCTTGCGAATGACTTCCATCCGCTGCTCGACAGAACGCGGGATGCTATGCAATGCAGTCGCTGGGTTAAAGCGAGACATGACTTCGTCGCTATTGAACCCGAAATTGGGTTCCATGTTGATGATGAGTCCGGGCTCAAGAGGCTGGAGTGGAGAATTCTCACGAGCAGCAATTGCCGATTTCGAATTGGCATTGGGGGTTCCGGGTTGTGGAAGTGACACATTGTCGTGAACAGGAACTGCATAGCTATCAGGCTTGAGACGGGCGAGTCGAACAGTCGAGCTGGCAGAGCTGGTCATCGCTAGGTAGTTCGGGCAGTGGTCTGTGCTCGACACAGTATGCTTGCAGTGAGACATTCTCGCAACGAATTCCTGGAATTTAGGATGCTCGGCCACACCTGGTCCAAGAATCCAGATGAAGGCTTGCAACTCGGTCGTCACAGCTGGCGAATTCCATTCGGCCCGGCTGACCAGGTCGTCGAGGTACTCGGACGATGGCACTTCCATGATGGCAACGCCTTTTCCTGCTCGCGTCTGTCCCAAGACCATGTCTGGGGTGATCGTCTTTCCGTCCAGGGATTGAACACTCTCGCCCTTCGTCAAAGCGGAGTATTTAGCACCCTTCTCGACGTTCAATTCCTGGGCCTTCTTCGGGTCGAACTTTCCGCGAATATCGTGATTCCGCACAATGTAGCATACCGCTTCCTTCGAGGGAGAAGTGGGTGGGAGACTCTCGACAGTTGCGCCGGGCCAGGGCTTTCGGACGAGAACCTTGATGTCTGGAAGCTCGTCTGGACCACCCGGCACCGGACCTTTGTATTGCTCAAGGTCCTTGGTTTCAGGGTTCCGAATGAATATAGCGGCCGGCATCTTGACCTCGGCCAATGGGGTTTCATGCAGAGCATCCATCTTCCATGTTGAGTTGAACATATCCTGCACAATGGACTGCGTCACTATCAGGTCTTTAGCACGCTGGTCCATATGATCTTCGGTCTTTTCAGATTCCTGGAATTCTTCCAAGCTCCGCTTTCGTGGACTCTGTGACCGCGGCTCAACTCGAGAACTAGCTGATGGGCTAGGGTTAATAGGCAGGACCCAGACTTTGATGTTAGAGTCGAACCATGTGGGCTTCTCAAAGGGATCCTTGGCGCCGATAGGCTTTTGCTTTGCGAGGGTCTTCGAGTCATATTCTTTCAAATAAACCGGCATTCCTTTTCGGAAAACAAATCGCCGCGAAGTAGCCAATGTATGCGTAAGATTCGCAGCACCATGAATTGTCAGATTACCCCTCTGCAAGACTGTCTCGCCTTCCCGCTCCACAACGGGCTTGTGTTGGTGCGGCTGTGGACGGGACTTCTGTTTTACGGGTTCTTCAGCCTCCCTTTCCGCCTTACGGGCAGCCTTCTTCCGATTTTCCTCCTCAACAGCCGCCATGGAGGTTGTTACTGTATCGGCAAGGGTCAAAACAATCCCAATCAAGCCGCCTGTGTTGGCCCATTCCGTTCGTCCAGTAATAAACACATCGGTGAGAAGAGAAAGCTTAATTCCGCGCTCTGTGCATGCGCGCTGCGTGCCTTCGGATAGCTGGCCGAAAAAGTATCGCTTGTCCGGGAAGTTGAGGCAAACAGCTGTGCCGGGGGTATCGGCCGTTGGGGTCGTGATGACCTGGTAGAAGAACTTCATTGGGTCGATTCCTGCTCGAGGCGGGGGCAATGAGGTAAGTTCGAGTCTTGATGGTTCACAAATCAGGTAGTCGTCGTAATAGGCGCGTCGTCTCCTCGATACCGAGCCAGCTGGAAGAAAGTATGCGTTGGGGTTGATGGTAGGTTGTCTGATCCGGAGTGGCGAGCGGTTCGCATAGGCTTCCTTGATCTCCGCTAATTGCGCCAATGATTTAGGGAAGCTGAAGCTCCTCGACCGCGATTTTGGGTTATTAGGGATTGGTGAGTCACGGTTCCGGGTGCGATATGATCGTAGGGTAAATGGCGAAATAGGAATTCGAGGGCACGCGCTCCGGGCGACTGCGCGAGTGGCGGTTGACAAGGCACCGCGCACGCAAGAGGAAGCCAACTTGTCTAGAATAGAGGTGATTGAATGGAAATGATAAAAGGCCCCTTTGTAATAATGTAAAGGAGAAAGCAACAAAATTGGTGGATCCAAAAAATGTTTTTGCGGCAGAAAATCCATTTGGACCGCCATGGACTTACTCTTTTCCAAGATAACTAAGCTATAAATTTCACCTGGGCAATAAAAAACATTTATATTAAACAAGTCCTTGGGATTTATGTTTTTGTTGAAGTATCTCGATGGATGTACACTTGTAACGCATTAGGACAGGGTCATGTTAAATTGACAAGCATTCTATTTGGCTAAATAAACTACATCCAGAGCACAGGCTATGCAATAAAATAAGACAATCATATGGCCGTAAATATCAAGGGTTGGATTTTTACCCAAATCCTTCAAGTACGCCAGTAAAGCTCCAAAATTTCACCAAAGAATTTCATCGTGGGAGATACACGATATAGTAAGAGACAAGCGCCTTGAAACTCCCTAGGGCATCTGGAAAAGGGAAAGAAAAGAGTACCCCGATGATTCGCAAAATACGGCAAGAGATTTCACCTAAGGTGACGATAACGATGGCGAAGAAGAAAGGGAAAAAAAAAAGAGTGATCACATGTACAAAGAAAATGAGGCCGAAAAGGTAGGACGCTAATGGGGAATCACTGAAGGTGGGACGTGACAGCGGAGACACGCTCAAAGGCAGCGTCAATGCTGTTGCAGAGGGCGTTGAAGGTTCTCTTGGCTGAGTCGCTGACTTCGAAGTTGTCAACGACGAGTGTAAACTGAGCAGCCTTTTCGGTCGAAACACCTTCGAAGGTGATGTCGGCAGCAGGGGGAGAATCAACAAAAAGAGCAAAGGCAGGATCAGACTCATCAATGTCAACATCGGGGTTGGCAACACCGATGTCAGACTGGGTGGATGAGTCGCTAGCAGGACGGTCGACAACAGGTGCCTCATTCTTGGAGCTCTCGGGAATGCCGAAGGAAGAAGAGGATTTTCCGGACAGGACTTCGGCATCGAGGGCCGGACCCTCGGGAACCTCCATGACAGCGAACACGGGAGTGTTACCGTAGTTCATGTCAATACCCGAGTTCCAGCCGGCATTGTTCATGCCCATGCTGGAGGGGTCCATACCCTGGCCAGGGTTAGGAACCATGACCATGTTGGGCTGGGGGTTTTGCTGCATCTGGAACTCTTGGCCACGGTTGGCGTTTGTGTCTTTGGGCATAGCCTGCATACTAGGCTGGGGTGCAGCCTGCTGGGCTTGTTGCTGCTGCTGAGGTTGCTGTTGAGGCTGCTGCTGGGGTTGAGCGGGCAGGGTGTCACCCATATCGTTCAGGAAGTTGGAAAAGTGGGGTGATCCCAGAAGCATGCGGGCCAAGTCATTTAGGCGGGCATTTTCTTCATAGAGAGCGCGGTTTTGGAGGCGAACCTCATGGGCTTCGTTGGTTCTAGCGGCCACCTCGCTTTCGAGCTGGCCAATGTATTCTGGTGAGAGACGTTAGCAAAGATGATATTACATTGCAATTCAAGGGTTCAGATAGTCATACCCTTGCGGCGAGATCGGAAAGCACGAGCGGAAACCTTGTTTCGCAACTGGCGGCGCTCTTTGCTGCTGAGCTTCTTACCCTCCTCGCTGGCAAGAAGACGCTCATCCTCATCCATATCGGCCTCATCCTTCCGGGCCTTGGCCATCTGCGGCATACCGTTGGAGGGAGTGGGGGAGCCCTCGCCATTGGCCATGGCATTCTGTCGCATCTGTTGGAGTAGACGAGAGATACGTTCCTCGACCACGGGATCGGGGTTGCGAGGACCGCGGGCCTGTGGCATAGCAGCAGACACTTGATCCGGACTCTCCTGTATTTGGTGGCGGACCATCTCACTTTGCTTTTGTTGCTGGGCCTTGGCCATCGCAGCCTGCTGCTGATGCATGCCGGGGTACATACGACCGACCTGCGTGGACGGACCTGCCTGAGCCAGCTCATGGCCTCCGAGAGCGTTAGGATCGACATATTGGTTCTTGTTCCCAGGGTTTGCTGGGAAGAAGTATGGCGAGGGATTCATGGTTTCAGGTTCGATCTCCATCTCCGACGGGTTCCGGCCCGGTGCAGTGTTGAAGTCGAATTGTGCGTCTTCCCGCTTCATGTGATGACCAGCATACACCTCGGCGTTCACGGGAAATCCTTGACCATTGCTGAAACCCATCGGGACCTGGCCGTAGGACATGGCCAAAGCACCGGGTGGGAGACCAGTCTGTTGTCTGTGTTCGTCGTACTGGTGACTTGGGGCTTGGAATGCGAGGGGGGACTGGCCATTTGAAGCAAAGCTGGCGCTTCGGGCATCACTGGCACTAAACTCGGTGCTTGCGACCGACGGTTGGCTGACCATGACCTTCGAACGGGAGGGATCAGATGTGTAGGTGAGTTGTTCGAAGTTGATAAATGAATCAAGATCCTGGTCGTAGCTGGCAGGTTGCATCGGATGTTCTGCGAGAGTCGCCATGGTGGTCTGGATAAGCCTGTTCCTCAACTTGTGTAGGGATAGGTTAAAATATGGCGTGAGATAAGTGATACGTAGAAGTCGATATAAGATGAACGAGGGTATAAATAAAAGATGGAAAATATAAGGATAAAGTATCCGAAAAAAAAACGAAGGTCTAATAGAATATGAATTTGGTTCTAGATGGATAATGAAATTGGAAGTGAAGGGGAAAGGGACAAAGTGTTCCGGAATAGCAACAGGGGGATTGCGCGTCCTTTCTGAGTCAGCGGTGGCCTCAGGAATGCGACCCCGTGATTGGCTAAATTGCCACTCGGGGCAAGGTTGTTTACCATACCGTATTCAGGGAATGTTTCAAGGTGTTCGGATCTATGCATGTAACATGTTCGTATGCTTCGCCTAATCTCTACTAGTACATACTTGATAGGTATATTTTCTATATTTATTCGGTGTCTTCGTGTGTAATACATATGTAGGTTACCTTGTTAATACTTTTTCCCAAAACCTTGGAAGTGGCTCTGAGGGCTCAGGAACCTTCCCATCCCATTGGCTGGATAAATCTTAGGGCTCGGAGTTACAGGCGTATGGTATTGTAATTGTACCTTTTTGTCCCCTTAAATGACGCAGGTGGCTGTGCCATCTGTTTGTGGATTGCCCGCTCTGGTACAAATTGCATTCCTGTTGACTTCAATGTTGGACTTAGGGATATGTGAGAGTATCTGTATCAATGACCTGGAAGGGCAGCCTTCAAGAAAATAGGCTATATATGTACCGATCTTGTTTTGACTAAAAGTGACTATCACCGCAGCTAGCGTCTTTTGGGTGTGTCTTTCGGGGCTGAGCCAATTATTGCGAGTGACCCCGGCTCAATACATACCCAGGTGGTACGGCGTCGCGCACAAAAACATACTAATAAACAGTGCCCATATCCATGGACTGAACACCTTTCTGGAAAATATGTACCGAGTACTCTATACTTCGTACACATATGCGAAACAGATCTGTGATCCAAGGTACATTTTCCATACTTCCGTGTTTTGACCTCGTAAGACCATTTTCGTCAAACCCAGAATGTAGGCCTATACACAGCTAGTGGCTAAATAATGAGCCCGTTAGAGGAGTACTCCGGATATACTAGGTCGGGGAGGGTAAAGAACGGCAATAAGCTTTTGCTATAGTTGAAGCGGGTCGGCAACAAAGCCCTATAAAGACTCATAATGTATTCTGGTTCGGTCAATTTCCGTGAACTATTCTAAATTAGGCTAGCTTGTCCGAGTCTAACGAAGCCTCTTCCACCTAGGCACTTTGTGGACTGCAAATTCTAGATCTGCGCTAAAGGCATAGAACCTTCTTTCCCAAGGTTCCAAGATTTCTATAGACTGGTCTTTTTGGATCCCCCCTGAAGCTTAACCAGATGCAATATAGACAGGGCAGACTACTCCGTAGGTAGCCCCTTTTCTTTTTCAACCCTTGGAACTCTGCCCTGAGTCTCGATTCTTCGGCAGCCCGCTTTTCTACTACCCGTGGACATACTATGTAAGGCTAAGTCGGTTTACAATTGATCCCCGCCGCGTGGGGTGACTGCGTATAAAGAGGCTTAGCTAATTCTGCGCCTCAATGTAACAACCCTACTTGAAGCTGTAGGTTTCTGTTTCTTAAAATAGACAGAAAAGCACCAGGCACAGCATTTCACTGAAATCGATGATACCAATACATAATAACTTCGAGTCGACCTTTTTCCCATTTTTGAAGTTTTTGGACTTGTGTGGATCCTTAAACCCGACCTTCGAAATGTGGACCCATCTCCACACTTAGGAAATTACTCCCTGAAGATAACTTTTTGCCTACAAGATACAAACATGATTCTATCGCATCAAAAGTAGCATCACTTACGTATGCTACATGGTTACGCCTCAATATTTCCTACCTAGGTAATGCAATTCCATAGGCCTAGACTAAATCTCTTCAAATATCCTTTCAACGCCACTATCTGGTTATCTGACGCCTCCTTATCAAGCCCCGCCATACCCTCTCCCGGCTTTTCAAGCCTCCAGACCCTTCACTAGAAATTCTAAGAACTGGTCTACTTTATGGTTGTCTGACGACTCATCCCAAAACCCCTCAGATTTGAAAGTCTAGGCGTGTTCGATGCTCCTCAACCCTTTGATGAGATGTCGTGGATTGACCTGGAATTAAGATCTAGATCTAGATTACACCTTATCGTAGACAATAGGTAGAATTTTGGTTGTGGCGCAACTCCGGCACACGACTAAAATCGATCTAGGCTTTGCTTGTTTGCGTATTCGAGGACTCCCCAGTCTTCATTGAGCCTCTAGAATCTAGAGCAGAATAGAGTACATCCACGTGTCGATATAGACTTTTACATTTCTTTCCGGCGGGATAGGATGGATAATATGGTATCAGTCAAGGCCCTCGAGGTTCTAAATCTTGAAGTTCTCCGAGTTGCTTGACGGTATATCCATGATATTGTACTACTCATTAGACTCCGGCTAATGCTCTTTGTTAATGCATGAACCCCCTTTTCTCAAATTCTATTTAGAAAAGAAAGATCTACAACTTGTATAGTTATAGACTTGAATTTTCTGTTTTGAGCAACCCTTATGTATGTTCGAGTCTTCGTGGGTGCACTGTTCCCCTGATATATATATTTAGTTCAACAATAACACACAGAAGCCAAGAAGTATGAGTCACGGTGCGACTATGGGTACATCCATAGTTGGATACCTATATATGACTTCTCTGAATAACTTATAATAAAATGCAAACACAATGACCTCGGGAGGCAAAAGAGTGACTCGGCCAAGGAATGTGATTCGAAGCCTCAGGCACCGAACTATGCCTCTTTCGGACCCCGACCCTAGAATGGTTGTCAAGCGACATCCAATTGACCACATATATTCACATTTGATTTGATGAACCGAGAAATGAGAGGATTAATGGGGTCATAGTGGCACATTTCAATTCTTCAAAGGGGCTTGAGTGCTGTGCGCTTGCTAGTTATCTATATGAACCCTCTCGAACTGATTTCGGTAACTTACTTCACATATCTAACTCTTGGACCCTGGCGAAAATCACACAAAGAACAAGAATTCTAGCTCATTTTCTGAAGCTATGACGTCCGCCCCGACAATTCTGGCAACGTGCAAGCAGACACGGTTTCATCTGCTAGATGATAACCCTTCGAAGGAGGTATGGATAACCACAACAATGATCTAAATGATCTCTAACGTGATATTTGTTCTGCTGACAGATTGATGTGGATGGACTCAACATCATTGTCACATCATCTGCACCTGAATCCACCGAAGATACATCGAAACCAAAGACTAAAGGGAAATCAAAGTCCAAGGGTGCAGGGAGAGAGCTCATCTCAGATGCGCATCTCCGACTCAAGGCAGGCATTCACTATGGATTGCTAGGTCGCAATGGAACCGGGAAATCAAGTGAGGCAGACCTATATAAGTACCATACACAAAGCTCAGTATATTGATATTACCAGCTCTCCTTCGGGCAATGGCAGAGAAACTTATCCCTGGCATCCCGCATGCGACTCGAATGGCAATTTTGCAACAGACGGACGAACAGAATGAGAAACCTTTCGGCGGAGAACTCAATCAGGATAAAACTGTTTTGGATGCCGTTCTGAGTAGCGACGAAACAAGGAACGAGACTACTCGGATGGCGGAATGTTAGTATATCTATTCAATTGGAATTGCAATCGACTGACCTTCCAAGTCCTATCGAAGAGCTTTGAGGCTGAAGATCCAATGCAGCCTGTGCGGGCAATCCGAAAAATCCGACACCAGAAAGCAGAAAAACACCTCTTCCTGGCACACAAGAACGCAAGTCTGAAGAGCGGTGCTCGAGGTCTGCAGGCAAGAAAAGACTTGAAGACTGCCGAGGGGAAGCTCGAGGCTACATCGGAGATGTAAGCTGCAATTAATTCATGCTAGCGACTATATCTGACTTCTGCCAGGTTGGACCAGGATGTAGACGCTATTGATGCGGAGACAGTCCAGTCAGATACCCAAGCTGCTGTTGAGACACTACAAAATCTACAGTCTCAACTTGAAGATGTAAGTCTTTGCACGATGGCAATTCACCTACTCCGTTAATGTGAAACTAGATGAAACTCTCCGATATGGAGCAACAAGCTCGTCGTATTCTCCTAGGTCTCGGCTTTAAAGAAGACGGATTGCAGAAAAAAGTCTCTACGCTCTCAGGTGGTTGGCGTATGCGATGTATGCTAGCCAGTGTTCTAGTCCAAGATCCCGACATCATGATCCTCGACGAACCGACCAACTTCCTGGATCTTTTGGGAGTGGTGTGGCTGGAGAGCTACTTAAAACAACTCCGCGACACATCAGAGACAACTATCGTCTTGGTCTCGCACGACAGAGATTTCATCAACGCTGTCTGCGAGGAGATTGTCATTCTACGAGATCAGAAACTGACGTATTTCCGAGGAAACCTGTCAGCTTACGAGCAAGATTTCGAGGACCAGAAGCTCTATCTGGGGCGCATGAAGGAGGCCCAAGAGCGGCAGGTTGCACATATGGAAGCCAGTATTCGGGAGAATATGAAGGCCGGGAAGAAGAACAATGACGAAAACAAGCTGCGACAAGCCAAATCGCGGCAGAAGAAGGTCGAGGACCGGATGGGTCTTCAAGTCAGCGCGACCGGGGGGCGCTTCAAGCTGAACCGTGATCTGGTCGGGTGGCATGAGCACAATCGAGCTGAGATCGAGGTGCCAACAGATGAAAAAGGGGCCACTATGAGTTTGCCCAACGCGACAGAGTTGCGGTTCCCCGGACCGTTGGTATCGCTTGAAGGTATTGTTTTCCAGTACAAGAAAACCGACCGTGTCATCCTGAATGACGTGAACTTGGTCATTCACCTGGGTGATCGTGTCGGGATTATGGGTCTTAATGGATCAGGAAAAACGACTCTGCTCCGTGTTTTAACGGGTCAAGTATCTCCTTCCAAGGGAAAGGTATCAACCCACTCCCGGTTGAAGTTGGGATACTATAGCCAGCATTCTGTGGAAGAGCTGCAAGAGCGTGGCCGAGGCGAGCCTAGTTTAACTGCACTGGGCTTATTGACAACCGAAACTGAAGGAGCCCTGAATGAAGGCGCTATTAGAGGTCTACTTGCTTCAATGGGGTTAGCAGGCCGTATTGCATCTGATGTCCCTGTTGCCAAACTATCAGGTGGACAATTGGTATGTAAAATGTGCAAGATCAGCATGGGACATTTGAAGCAAGCTAACCATATTTTTAGGTCCGACTTGCATTAGCTCGAATTGTCTGGAGTGCACCACAGCTTCTCATTCTTGATGAAATCACCACGCATTTGGATTTCCATACAGTTACTGCATTGGCTACGGCTCTCTCCTCCTTCGATGGTGCTGTGCTTTTAATTTCGCACGATCGTTTCCTTGTTCGATCTGTAATCGAGGGCAAGCGAGATACCGAGCATAAACTTGATGAAGATTTCGAAGGACTGGAGGAGGAAGAGACCGAGGAAACGCCAAGACGTCGGTCTGTCTATGTGATTAAACAAGGCAAGATGGAGGAACAGAAGAATGGAGTGGAGCAGTTTGAAAAGAGCTTGGTGAAGCGGGTACAGAAGTTGTTACCAGCTATAGATTAGTTTTATGTAGTCTACCTCTTGAGTCTATGACCAATTGAAGTGATTGGAAATCCCCGACCTCGGGAGGTCAATTTTATGACTCAGCACGGAGCCCGCCGACGATAAGAGAGAGACATTTCCCCTCATTCCTCCGCGGAGTACTTCTTAGATATATTTTGCCTCCCCGACATGCAATATTTTACCCCTTGAAAGAATTTCTTCATGGCTGGCTTGTGCAAACGGATATTGCCTTGCCCTAGGGTTGCCCGCCAGTGGGGCCCCGTGATACAGACTCGCCTTCAGAGCACTCGTGCCGTATCAGGACATAACGTCACCGTCGCCCCTGGATTGCCTCCGCATCCCCCGACCGAACCCTCGAGACTATCAACACTCAAGTCTGCGAAGCCCTTCTCCGACTTCCTTACCGATACTTTCAATCGTCAACATGACTATCTCCGCATTAGCGTTACGGAACGGTGCAATCTTCGGTGTCTGTACTGCATGCCCGAGGAGGGCATAGACCTCTCGCCCTCTGCGAAACTGCTTACGTCCCCGGAGATCCTATACCTATCGTCGCTATTCGTTTCACAAGGTGTTACCAAAATCCGACTGACAGGTGGGGAGCCAACGGTTCGCAAAGACATCGTACCGTTGATGCATGACATTGGCAAGCTGCGATCAAATGGGCTTCGGGAATTGTGCCTGACAACCAATGGGATCTCATTACATCGCAAATTGGACTCAATGGTGGAGGCTGGGCTGACAGGAGTCAATCTCAGCCTCGACACGCTAGATCCTTTCCAGTTCCAGATCATGACAAGACGCAAGGGATTCGATGCTGTGATGAAGAGCATCGACCGAATTCTGGAAATGAATAAGGTCGGTGCGGGAATCAAGCTGAAGATCAATTGCGTTGTTATGAGAGGAATGAATGACCGAGAGATCCTCCCGTTCGTGGAAATGGGTCGCGAGAAAGCGATTGAAGTACGTTTCATCGAGTATATGCCTTTCGGTGGAAACAAATGGAACCAGGGAAAGATGTTCTCGTATCAGGAGATGCTGGCTGTTATCCGAGAGAAGTATCCCACATTCGAAAAAGTGGCCGATCACAAGAATGACACGAGTAAGACATACCGTGTTCCTGGGTTCGAAGGCCGTGTGGGATTTATCACGAGCATGACACACAACTTCTGTGGTACCTGCAACCGATTACGCATTACTAGTGACGGTAATCTCAAAGTTTGCCTGTTCGGTAACTCCGAGGTCTCCTTGCGGGATATCATTCGCAAGGAGAACGGTGGGAACCCAATTGATGTGGATGCAATGAACAATTTGCAGTTGTTGGAAACAGTACAAAATGCAGCGCGCCTTAGTGACGAAGGTGGCTTGGTGAATGAGCGAGAACGTGAGATTCTCGATATCATCGGCATGGCAGTGAAACGAAAGAAGGCGAAACACGCCGGCATGGAGCAACTAAAGGATATGAAGAACCGCCCTATGATCTTGATTGGTGGGTAGCCATTTTCTTCTCTTTTTCTCATGATTGGAAACGCTTTACGACTTGTAGATCATCTCGGATGATTTGGATTTTATGGAATTGGCGATATCTTGATACCATGTATACATGCAATTGATAAAGTTGGACATTTATTGAATCATCAAGCTGATAGATGAACTAGATAATAAACCAAAAACTTTGTGGTCAGCGTCTCCCTCTTGGTCAACTATACCAGTACATATGCTTTCGCATCTCCCTGCAGCTTCCCAAAGTCGTCTCTACCACACTGGGCGATCTAAACCAGAGCCCAAAGAATGTACTCCTCGCCCATCTCCCTCTCTACCCACTACCTCCGACGCCGACCTCCCTCACCTTACACCATCCAAGACTGTGCACATGACCCAGATCACCGAAAAACCCGAAACAAAGCGCGTCGCCACAGCCGCATGCACGGTTTCATTCTCGAACCCACGACCCTGGGAAATCCTTCGTGAAGGCCAAACCACGCACAAAGGCGACGTCTTCAGCGTTGCCCGAATTGCTGGTATCATGGCTGCAAAAAGAACGCCCGATATTGTACCCCTTTGTCATCCCGGCATTGGCATTACCGGGGTCGAGGTCAGCGTGGAATTAGTTGAGCCCGGGCAGAATAGGGATCACGGCGCCATGCATGTCGTGGCGTCGGTCAGCTGCTTTGGTCGCACAGGAGTCGAAATGGAGGCTATGACAGCTACTATGGGTGCAGCTTTGACAATTTATGATATGCTTAAGGCTGTGGATAAGGGGATGATCATTGATTCTGTTAGATTGTTGGAGAAACAAGGTGGGAAGAGTGGACATTGGCTACGGGAATAAAATATAGAGGCATTGGTATGTATATAAACTCTCTAGTTAAAGGGGTTAACAATATTTTATAATGGTCTTGGGTATAATCGTTGAATCCTCCCTCACCGTATTTTCCTTTGATATAGTGAAGATCCTTATAGGGCTGCATGTCTTACACAGCCAAGAAATTTCAAGAGCCCACAATAAACTTGGCTTTGCTTGTGTTTTTTCTTTTTTTCCTTTATATAAAATATAAATCCATCTATTTGATGTTGTGTTTTTAAGTCTGTTGTGGGTTTGAAAAAAAAAAAAAAAAAATCCTGCAAAAACTTCATTTCATCATTACACGCCTCAAACGGCAAACACTTCCAAGCACCTGAGAACTCACGTTTGATCCTGCCCAATGTCGCGAAATTAAAATGCAGGCACTGCTAATCTGTATGTTTGTCTGGGTTACTTGCTATGGATTTATTCAATTTAACTAACCCGCTTCATACAGTCCGCAAGTCGCGGAGGAAGATCGGGAACGCCATAATGGCAGTGCTTCCGCCCTTGAATTTCTTGACGCTACATTATTTCTATTTCATTGCTACAAGCATAATTGCTAGTATCATTTTTTACTTGACATCGACGCCACATCTCAACGTTACTTATGTGGACTCGATTTTCCTGTGCGTCAGTGCTATGACCGGTGCTGGATTGAATACGGTATGGACTTCCATCTCATGTATGACTATATCGTAGACTAATGACCCGATGATCAGGTGGATTTGTCAACTCTGAACAGCTTCCAACAGGCAATTTTGTTCACCCTGCTTATTCTGGGCCATGCCATTCTCATCTCCCTCACTGTACTTCTAGTACGGAAGAGGGCATTCGAGGCAAAATTCAAAGGTGTCTCCGATGAGCGGGAAAGAGAACGGTCTACTCGTAACCACTCAGAAGTTGAGCTGCAGGTCAGGGACCGGGAACCCGCTCACGGAAGCACCGGTACTAATCTGCCCGGCGAGAGCACCGAAGGACATGGCTGTAATCCATGCCCAAAGTCGTCCGTACAAGTCCGAGTGACCCCGGGAGAGTCATCTTCCCGTGACGAACAGCCTTGGGTTGACGACGACCAAATAACTATCGGCGGTACACCCCGTCATCATCAGCACCGAGTCTTTCCCATGGCTGGCATTGGGGCGAGACCAGATCTGCATAACCACCCCCGAGACGCAGCGCCAAATGTTCCATTGGCCGTAAAGGATTCGGCGTCTGGCTTCAAGGGAATTCTCCGTGGTACACAGAAGTACATGGCGTCCAAGGGACTTGTGTCCCGGAACTCCCAGTTCCACGACCTCACTGCTGCTGAGCGTGATGAATTAGGTGGTGTGGAGTACAAGGCTGTCTCATTTCTGTCTATTATTGTGTTCCTTTACTTTATCTTGTTCATCATGTTCGGCATGATCGGTGTCGGTGTCTGGCTGGAAGTTAACGATCCCGCCGTGACGCGCACGAACGGTCTCTCGCCTTTCTGGACAGGTGCTTTCTTTGCTGTTTCTGCTTTCGTGAACAGTGGCATGTCGCTCCTGGATGCTAATATGACTGCTTTGCAGCTAAGGTATGCTGCCTAGATAGATGGGCTATTCATCTTTCCATAGCCAATATCGCTGACCACTCTCTAGGGCTTATCCACTTCTCACAATGGGATTGCTAATTCTTGCTGGCAATACTCTCTTCCCATGTTTCCTGCGGTTCATTATCTGGGCTATGAGGGTCATGCTTCCGGACCGGCCGAAGTGGCAGTCATGGCGGATAACCCTTGATTTCATTTTAGAGCATCCTCGAAGGGTAAGTCAAGCTGCATTACTCTAATAGCTTGCAAAATATAGACACTCATCATGGAGCTAGGTCTATACGAATCTCTTTCCTGCTCGCCATACCTGGTACCTTCTCGGTACAATTATCATTCTGAACGGTATCGACTGGGCGGCATTTGAGCTGCTGTCTATTGGAAACAAGGACATCGAGAGTCTTCCTACCGAGTATCGTGTCTTGGATGGACTATTCCAAGCCCTAGGTTTGTCAACCATTATTGCCAACAGTGTCTGAACCAAACTAACAAATCATCTCGATTAAAGCGGTACGCGCTGGTGGATTCTACGTTGTAACAATTGCCGATCTTCGTCAGGGTCTCTTGGTTCTCTATGGTAAGTGCTCGCAATATCTCATCGCCGGACCGAAAGATCACCATGCTAACAGAACCTCTAGTACTCATGATGGTAAGACATACCAGTCTAGTGCCCCCATACACAAAACCCAAACTAACAACTCATCTAGTACGTGTCCGCGTACCCAGTAACGCTCACAATGCGGTAAGTAACCCATGAACGCAACCAACGCCAAATAAACCACAATCTAACACCCTACACAGCAACACAAACGTCTACGAAGAACGCTCCCTAGGAATTTACGCGCACGACGAATCCCCCGACTCACCAGCAAACACAAGCCGAACCAACGTAGCAATGGACCTAATCAGACACCATCTCGGCCGCCCAGGCCTATCCGAGACTTCGCGTGGCTACTTCGTGCACCAACAGCTTCGCTCCCAGCTCAGCCATGATCTGTGGTGGATCGCGCTGGCAGTCTTCTTTATCGCCATCGCTGAGTCTGACCATTATGACTCCCAGCCAGTGGCTTTCTCAACCTTCAATATTATCTTTGAGGTTGTCTCTGCGTACGGCTGTGTGGGTGTCAGTCTTGGCTTCCCTGGGAAGAATTACTCGTTCTGTGGGGCGTGGCATACTATTAGCAAGTTGATTCTTGCTGCTGTTGCTTTGCGTGGTAGACATCGTGGTTTGCCGGTGGCTATTGATAAGGCAATTATGTTACCCAGTGAGTCTTTGGCTTGGGCTGAGGAGGAGGATGCTGCTATGCGTAGAGATCGATCTAGAGCCTGGGCTCAGGAGCATGGGCCTGTTGGGTCTGTTTAGATGTTTAGTTTAGATGGTTGTTTTCGATATACCCTCCTTGTTAGCCGATTTATTGTTCAGACTATTTTACAGAGCCTGGATTTATGAGACTTATGATGATATGAAGATTTGAAGATAAATGATTCTTTTGTAGGACTGAGCAACTACTCATGGTGTATCCCAATAAACAAACAAGACATATGCAATAACCGTGTGAAGTAGATGGACATGGACATGGACATGGACGAGATATACAAATTAAAAAAAAAGTCTAGACGATCTACTCGTCCTCCATCTCCATCTCATCTTCATCTTCACTCTCCATCTCGATTTCCTCCTCGCTCTCCATTTCCTCTTCACCCTCATCCTCGCTGCCATCATCACTGCCAGCAACACCGCCCATAGTCTCATCCTCTCCACCGTTCTTCTTCGCCTCCTCTCTCCGCTTCTCCTCCTCAATGCGACCCTCTTCGAGGACAGCAGCACGCTCCTCACGCAGCTTGCGCTGAGTCTTAACGAACGCACCGACAGGAGTAGACTCCCAGTCAACATCCTTCAGGAAGGATTCAACGTTGGAGCGATTACGGGGAGCATAGGAGACGTTCATACGGCGCTCCTCGATCCAGCGGGCATTGGCCTCAACCTTCTGCACCAGCAGCATAATCATCTGGTTGGTCTTGGCGTTCTTGTTTCCACCGTTGCGGGCAGAGACCTGCTTCAGCCAGCGCTTGAGTGAGACAACGACAGGCACAGACAGTTCGGGGAACGCGATGTGCTTGCACCACAGGACGAAGAACTCGGATAGAAGCTCGGCGACCTGCTCACCGACGCCGTCCTGGTAAGTGCGCGAGCGCAGGTAGGATTTAGGCGCGCGGATAGCTGTGTTGAAGTCCAGGGGCTTGAGTGTGCTGGACTTGGGGTGCTTGCGCATCTCCGCTGAGGTCAGGACCTCGAGAAGTGAAGCTGAAAGCGGGATATAGGTTCCTGTGGCGCGGGAGATGCGGAGCAGAGAGCGAGTCAATTGGAATCGCAGAGGGAAGTACGTGGCGGTGGGGATGAGGCGCATGGCGCCCAGGGTGATTTGCACGACGGGGTAGATGAGGGGACGCAGAGCAGATTGCTTGCCAACTTGAGCCTCGACAAGGCCATCGCAGTGCTGTGAAAGCACACGGGACCAGAAATCCAGCGAGTGCACGTATTGCCAGTTGTAGATGGTCTTGTAGGACTCCTTGGAGGTGTTGGTAATGCTCTTGCGCAGGTGCATAGCAAGCTGGCGGATGAAGGAGAATCCTGCTGTGTATGAGACGTTTTGGTCAATGCCCCAGATTTCGGCTGCGGAGTTCTTCATCAAGTTCACGCCTGCTAGCGTGTGCACGGTTGTGTTGCGACTACCCTTGACAACACCCTCGTAGGTGGCCTTAAGGACACTCTCCTTGATGCCTGCATCTCCAAGAACCATAAGGCGGCGCAAAATCAAGAAACCTGTGATACGGGTGGCATCGGCCGTGGACACATCAGCCCAAATTCCGACGACAATCTTAACGAGTGTCTTCAGCACCTTGCGGAACTGAAGAAGGTAAGGGAGCATGGGCTCAATTGACGCGAGGGTCAACTTGAGTGTTGATGCATCGGACAAGTTAAGCAAAAGCTGGTGAACCGAAGCAGTGTGCGATTTGATCAGAGGTGTGAGGGTCTTGAACTTCTTGGTCTCCAATGACACTCTGATCTTGCCAGAAGCGCTCTCCTTGACAGGGAGATGGTGGGCCAGGACCTTAGGGACAGTGTTGAGGGCCGTGATAAGAACCTGGTGGTACACGTTCTTGTCGGAGATGGTGTATTTTTGCTCGGGGGCATCGGGGTCGTTGACATAGGCGGCCGCACGGAAAGCAAGCACAGCCTGGCGCATGGCTCGGATAGAGTTTTGCTCCTCCATAAGCGTCTGCCACTTCTTGACCATCGCAATAGTCAGTGTCTCATCCTCGGGCTCCTCCTCTTCCTTCTTCGACTTTCTCTTCTTCTTCTTGGCCGGTTCCTCGTCTTCAGGTTCTTCGCTTTCACTCAGAGCGTCAACCTCTGAAAGATCGCCTTGCTCACCGAAATCGAGCAGTTCAGAATCGTTTTCCTTAAGATATTTATAGAACTCAGGGTCCTTCTCCTTCAATGACTCCAGTTGATCCTTGTGCTCGTCGTAAGCATCAACACTGTCTGCGTCGTCATCCTCGCCCTCAGAAACCTCGGCGTCTTCTTGTGCCTTATCTTCTGAGCGCTTGCGCTTGCCAATCTTGGGGGTGGTATCCTTCTTGCTGGCCTTCTTTCCCTTCTCTTCGGGGATATCGAAGCCGCCAGCGAAGAAGTCGTCAACGTTCATTTCAGAGAAGGCATTTTCCTTCTTCTTTTCCCCTGGGTTGAGCTCTTCGGCGGCTTCGGCTTCGGCGCGGCGAGCAGCGGCTTTTTCCTTGCGCTTGTCATTCAATTGGTGTCTTTGCTTGATCTTGGCATGGGCTTTGCGTCGCTCAAGAACATCCGGGAGGCGGTTCTGGATGAACTTCTTGGTCGATTTTTTGCCGCCAACCATTTTGAGATATTGATGCAGAAAAGAGTCTGCAAGTGTAGCTTGGTCGGGAAATGGCTGGTCAAAAAAAAAATTGGGGAGAAAATCAGCGGGTCCGCCTTTCAGACCGCCTTTGGCACCGGGCGATAACGTCCAGACAATCTACAAGACAACAGACAACATTGAACCTTGCAATTTACGATTGATGATTGACGATTGACGATTGACGATTATTGTACATATCGAGAATTTTCCAACAAAATGTACTCACAGCGCCCGCTTTCTTATGCGCCGACCCCATACAGCTACACACCCAATCCCGCCCGGTCAGCCACAATCAACCTAGATGAAGTATGGATCCTTCCAAGGTTGTCTCCGCATTGATAGCCATATCGACTAATACCACTTGTCTCAGGAAGTCAAATTAGCATCCAGCTCAGCCGAACGTGACTTATATGAATCACTAGCCGAAATCTACAGTATCATCGTCACCCTCGATGGACTGGAGAAGGCATACATCAAGGACGTGGTCACCGAGGCAGAATATACCGAGACATGCACACGGCTATTGAAGCAATATAAGTCCAGTCTTGGAGACGAGACAGTGTCGCGGGAGTTCGTGGACCTGGAAACCTTCAAGCGGACGTGGGGTGTGAGTGTTCCTCTCCATTTTACCCCGCAAACTCCAGGATATCTCTGACACCAGATGGATAATATAGTTAGAATGCCCACGAGCTACAGAGCGATTGCGCATTGGTCTTCCAGCCACAGTCGAGCAAGCTTCTCACGGCGGACCGACCTCTAGTATGGGTGCAGCGACATCGGGTCCGGCTGGCGGTGCCTCTGGCAGTCTTATTCTGGCAGCAACTGAAAACTTTATTACCTTCCTCGATGCATTGAAACTCAACATGGTATCCAAGGATGCACTGCATCCACTTCTGTCGGAAGTGATTCAGTCTGTGAACAAGGTGACAGATACCGACTTTGAAGACCGCGGCAAGATCATTCAGTGGCTGATCGCATTGAACCAAATGCGGGCTACTGAGGAATTGAGTGAGGATCAAGCGCGTGAACTTGCATTTGATATTGAACAGGCTTACCAGGGATTCAAGGCGACGTTGAACTGATTTGGAGAATCGTTTTCTGGTGCACCGGCAAGGCGTTCATATGGACAAGAGATACCATTATGTTTTCGTGTATTAACATGATCATCAATGATTGCTAGCTTAATATACCCACTATTGCTTTGTTTTTAATCGAAATTACAGCGATTAGGGCCTTTGGTTAACTAGATTCCCAGTCAAAATAGCTTGATGCCTGATAATTTAGGCTAAAATCAACCCGCGGAACGGCGGCGCCAGCCTTTCCTCTTTGGGAATATTTTCTTTTTTTCTCCGCCACATTTTGTCCAATCTCCTGGCTGTGAGGCCAATTCCTTGCCTTTTATTCCTCTCCAGCAACATATAGAAAACATACAGCTATCATCATGATCAGTGCTACAGATGAGCCTCTCCATGGTTAGTTCACAATCTACCCCTCTGATCAATTCGGTCCACAAAAGATAATGGCACTGATAAGCGCAGTGCTTGATCTCCCGCAACTGTACCAGAAGCCCTCGGGAACTGATCTCGTGAAAGCTTTGGCTCTTTTGAGCTTGCAGCCACGCACATTTGGCACGACCGCTGATGTCGTCAAAGGCCCCGCAGTCCAGCCTGCAGGAGTGACTCGGTATCTCACATCGATCATCGCCAGTTCACTGGCATGGCTCGACACCGATGAACTCCGGGAGGCAATCTGGGATACTGCCGCTGCACGATTAAGTGAACGGTCTGGTCGAACCGGTAAGCAAGCCACCATCTATTCAAGTTTCTTATCCCGCTAACCGTGACTCATTTGCCACAGCTATGCCGGCAATGTCTCGAACCTTCAGCGTGCCCACCTCCTCCGGCGAAGAATACACACTGACCCTCCACGAACCATCACTGACGGCGGATAACCTCGGCATGAAGACTTGGGTATCTTCCTATCTCCTCTCGCGCCGACTTCACAACCTTGGATCGCCACCAGCACTTATTCCCTCGGCCTCGGCTACCACATTCAGCCCCCAGAAACCGCTGCGGGCACTTGAACTCGGTGCCGGAACAGGCTTAGTCGGGCTCTCCTTTGCAGCTCTGCAAGGAAAGTCTGCCACCGTACACCTCACCGACCTGCCCGAGATTGTCCCAAACCTCGCCCACAACGCTGCCTTGAACGTAGAACTCCTCACAAGAACTGAAGCGACTGTAACCACCGGTTTACTTGACTGGTCGGTCACACCGTCGCCCCTTCCAACTGCGGAAGAGCAGTTTGATGTGATTCTCGCCGCAGATCCATTGTACTCGCCCAAGCATCCCAAATGGTTGGTGGACACCATTAAGCCCTGGCTTAGCCGTGGGCTCAATGCGCGAGTAGTGGTAGAGATGCCGCTACGAGATGCGTATCTACCGCAGGTGAACGAGTTCCGGCAACGGATGGGCGAGTTGGGTCTGGCTGTGGTTGAGGAGGGCCAGGAGGTCGGTTATGATGACTGGGAGAGTGCTGACGGAGGCGCGCTAGCCGTCAACTGCTGGTGGTCGATTTGGGGTTGGAGTGAAAAGGTATAGTGGCATATTGCCAGGTCGCATTGGGAATGGCAACCAAACGTAATGACGAATAATAACGATACACGATAGATTAGAATAGGGATGTCTAGACATTGGTTATTGCAATACAAGCATCATGCATCTAGAGTCAGAGGGTTAGTAAATATCCGGATCAATTTCTCTTGTCATATTTTTCAGAACTCAAGATGAATGAGGAAGATCGTTGGTCAACAGAAAAGAGGAACAGGTCCATCACGTGGAGATGACGTCAGTGTCACCATCTCTATCAAATTGGGATTTCTACCATCTCTTGCATTTCTAAAGGTTTCTGAATTTTAACAAAGAGAATGACTCGTACAGGTCACATATATCCTTTACGTTCGTTTGGTCAGTCAATAACCCAACATTATTCGAATATCAAGCATATCATCCTAATACGACAGCAGACCTGAGTTTAGACCAAAACGCCACATGAACATCAGCTACAAATTCCCCAAATATAATTAGTACGAGGAAAATTCATACCCGACCAACACCCAAGCTGCGATATAATTGCGCATTCTACCACCTATATACCGACTGCGATTCATTCCTTCGCCCTTGACCTCTCAAACTGCGCATCACGGAAGACATTGCATACTTAAAATCGCATACCCCACCAAACAACTGCACAATGATCGGACTTCTAGCCATCACAGCTATCCCAACGGTCACGGGTGTATCCCTCGCTTCCAGCGAGCAGCGCAAAGCAAACCAGCGCAAAGAAGAGGCCCGTCGCATGGTGAAGTTCAACATCGTAGCAGAATGCGATGGGGACACAGATGACGACCGCGAGTTAAACGGGATGGTTGTTGTCGTAAGAGACGAGAAGGTAAGAAACCCCAATACAAACCAGATTAAGATTCTAGAGACCTCAAAGTCCTTTTGAACATTATAATCGAAGCCCAAATTGCAGAATTAGACTAACTTTATCCCCGCAGGTCTACCTTGCCGATCCAGATCCCGCCAAACGCAATCCGCCAGCTTTCACAGCCCTGGCTTTCTATATAGAGTACCCAGAACCAGAAGAATTAAAATATCTCAAGCGGGAGCGCGGCTTCGGGCTCCCAACTTACGTCCAAGACAACCCACCCCTTCTGAACTGGATCTATGCAGATACCGAAACGCATGAGTTGCGGTACGGGAATCGATCACAGAGTGTGGAACAGCTGGTCGAGCCGTGGGACTGGTGTAAGAATGAGAAGATCATTTCCCTGCAAGGGAAGCAAAATGCTTTCATTGCGGTTGAAGAGGAGGAGGGTGAATGGGCGCTTTATTATGATCGTGATGGCGACGAGCTTGCGCGCGTTCTTGAGGAGCAGGGTATGCTGGATTGCGCTTTTGTGCCTGTCAAGCTGGTGAGGAAGGTTGTTGAGGAGAAACCACCGCCACCTCCTACTGCTCAGCCTGCTGCTCCCCAAGGCCAAGCGAATGGTCAGAGTCAAAAGTAGATGGATAATATCGTGGTTGAGACGAAGGGCTTGTATGTGTATATAGTTCATGAGATACTTAATGCGTTTATGATATGATCGTGATTATGGACCGCGGTATCAACCTTGGAATAGTGTATTGTACAAAAGAGACTCGAGCATTTAATCATCCAATCCACCCCAGCTACCAGTGTCGCTAACATTGCCACTAGCCGCAGCTGCAGCCTTCCGGTTGCGACTGGCCTCGATAGCGCCCCTTTTGTTATTCTCCAGGCGACGTTCAAAGCCACTCTTGGTACTGATTCTCATACCACGAGCGCCCTTTCCGTCATCCTCCTTATCGGTCAATCTTGGGGCCTGGCGCGCCTTGACACCATGCCTCTTCATATCCTTCTTGCTGTTCTTGCTCAAGTTCGGCAAAGCATCCAGCAGCCATTTCTGAATGGATTTATCGCCTTGTTCGCCGCCGCGTAGCTTCTCGCTGACGTCGATGATGTTGGCAATGCTCTTCACATAAGGAATATCTTCCTTGGTGTAGTAGGTGACGGCGATACCGCCCTCGCGACCAGCACGGCCAGTTCGCCCCACGCGGTGGACGTAGACGGCGGCTGAGTTGGGGATATCGTAGTTGACCACGCCGTTGATACCACGGAAGTCGACGCCGCGGGCTAGCAGATCCGTTGTAACCAGAATCCAAATCTCGCCTTTGCGGAAGTCGCGCATGATATCGGACCGTTGGCCATCTGAGAGATCGGAGTGGAGAACGGCAATACGGGAGGATCCGCCTGCTTCGGCGGGGATGTCATATTTGAGTTCGGAGTGCAGAGCCACCGCACGAGGTATGGTCTGTGTGAAAATGAGGAAGGGAGGGCGAAGGCGGATATCTGATGGTGAGGCTGCAGCCGGGCGAAGAAGTTGGCGAAGTCCCATCAGTTTACCCTGCTCTGTTGCTGCGTACACGAGTTTGTGATCGATGTTGGGGATCGCAGAGTCTTTCAATCCTACAACCAGACGAAGTAGTGGATGTGTCTCGCTTGGCTTTTTTCCGAGCTCTTCCAGTCGCTCTTTGATGGTCGACTTGGTGAGATCCTCGATATTGGATCCCATGGTGGCTGACCAAAGGCCGACACGCAAGTCGGGGTGTGAGCATGACTTCCAGATGTCGAGTGTTTGTTCCCGGAATAACGGGTCGAGGAGTACATCGGCTTCGTCCATAACCAAACTCCGCACTAGGGGTAATGTTGCCATGGTAGTCGTCCGATTCGCAGATAGAGCATTGACCAACATCAAAGGCGTAGTGACGAGAATATCACTCTTGGTAACCGGGATGTCGGCCCGCTCCTTTGCTGGCTTGCTTTCGGCATCTTCATCTTCCGACCCGGATGATTCTTCGCTGTTCTCCTCAAGAACATTGGCATCCCCGTGGTCTCCAACACGCATACCCTTTCTCATCAACGTGATCTTCACGCCAGTTCCAGCCACTAGCTTGCGGCCCTCGTTGACGATCTGGCTTGCAAGCTCCCTAGTGGGCGCAACAACCACAGATAAGATACCATGCTCATCGGGGTTTGAGTGATGGTGTCGAACAATTTTGTTGATCACAGGGATCAAGAATGACAAGGTCTTGCCGCTACCGGTGGGAGCAACAACCAGAAGATCTGGCTCAGAAGACTCTCTAAGAAGCAACGGAAGGGTTCCAAGCTGAACTTCTGTAGGTACTGTAAATCCTTGGTCTGCAACGTTTTCTGCGAGCCGCGAGGAGATCTTGTATTTAGATCGAAGCTCCTTGAAGTTAAGCAGGGGTTCCGGGAACAAGCGTCTGGCACGCTTCTGCTCCTTCTTACTGAGAGTCGGCGCCTCTTCTTTCTTTGACTTCTTCTTTTTCTTCTTGGAATCTGTGGTAGATGTAGGCTGGACTGGGATGTTTTCTAAGTCGCGCATATCTGTAACCTTGATCTTGTGCGAGTTCAAGATTGTGCGACGCTGCACTTCGTCCATGGAATCATCGTCATCGGATGCGGCATCCTGAGCAGACACTTTCTCTTCCTCCTCGGTCGCAGCAGCGGTTTCCGTCACACTAGTTGCAGGGCGCTTGTTTGAACTGAAAAAGTCGAGATCGGGGATATCCTCCTCGTCCTGCTGGACAGCAGCACCTCTCTTTCTTTTTTTGCCATTCTTGGCAGACTCGAGCTTGTCGGTCTCCGCGGTCCGGAAGAGCTGCGGGTTAGCTGCTTTTCCTGTGGACGGAAGACGAGAGTCTGAAGCCGACGAAGCGGGCTTTAATTTGGTTGACCGGGTCAACAATCTGAACGCATCCATCTCTTTTGTGGTTGAGTCGAAAATGTCGTTGATGTTCTGAAAAGAAAAAAAAGTGGTCCGCCGACTTTCTTCTCGGGCCAATCAGCGTTGTGCATCGTATATCACCGCCGAGGCTGGGGACAAAACAACGAGAGAAGAATAATTTCCAAAGATGGAATTGTCTGGACATAATAGATATACCATAGTAGGACAATTGTTCGTACCCAGGGGATTCGGATCATGGCTACAGAGAGGTTTTAGGGAGGGAGAAACAAGTCGAGATCAATGAACCTTCAGAATACAGAAGCAGTACGGAGTAGCTTTTACACATGCGTAGAGAATGAACAGGAAATCAATTGCAGTAACAAGGTCTATCTCAGACAACAGTTTAAATTCCATCGTCTATCATACACAGCGCGGGAAGATTAACATAGGGAAAAAGGAAAGGACGATTCTCTTCTATCCACATCCACTTAGTGCGCATGCGCAGGCTCGCCACGGTAACCAACAATGTTCATACGACCGATCATCTCGCCAACAGTGAAGAAGCCAATGACCTCAGCGGCAGTGACACCAGCGAGGGCCATCTGCTTGGGGCTGGCGTTGCGGATAGAGGCGAGGATAGCCGAGGGGGAGGGGAGGGTCTTGAGGGCGGCAGGGTTGGTGATGAAGGGCTGGAAGTAGGACTGGAAGGTGGCCAGGTTGCTAGGAGGAATTGTTAGATGGGAAGTAAAGGATCAAATGTGGAGTCCGACTTACGGAGGAGCCATGTTCTGGCCACGGAACACAAGTCGAGCAAGCTCAATTCCAACCTTGGAGTAGTAGAGGGTAGGAGGGATCATGGCTAGATTAATTGATGGTCAGCTATGCACTTTATGTAAATGTAATCCGCCGATTGAAGTCAACAAGGAGGTTGGGATTGGGTGGCACGACTTCAACCGGATCAATCGGTCAATCGTTGGCATTTTCTTTAGATGAGCATCCAATGCCCAACGCTCCATTGTATCCATCCAAGCGGGATGGAAAAAAAATCAAGAGTGTCCCTTACAATCGACGAAAGAGATGACCTTGCCGGCGGGTCCACCGATCTTGCGCAGGGCACCAGCGGCGTTCGAGATGGCAGGACCAGCGGAGGCAGAGACCTTGGACAGACCCTCAGAGGCCTTGGAGGCAGCTGAGGAAGCAGTCTCACCAGCCTTGGAGGCAGCCTCGGAGGTGGACGAGGCGTGTCTGACGGCGGTTCTCCGGGTCAGGAACTGCGATTGCCGCAGGACGGCACGGGTGGCGGCGGGCATTTTGAATACTGCGAAAGAAATGAGTGGAAAATAAGAATTAAGCAAAAGACACCCGAAGCAGTCGCTAATAGGAGGGCAGTATGATCTAATGATCTGGAGTTTCGCGCAACGGCAGAACCAGATGAAGATTTGACGCTCGGGAACTTCAGGAATTGCGGGTCACGTGAGTCACTTTTTAACACAAGTAAATAATGTACTTTTCCATATGAACTGTAGTTTCAAAGGGGATTTACAAAATTTATGGACTTACTGGTTATATATTAAAGCTCATCTTGCTTGGAGTGAATCTGAAAGTGGATAGGAACATGAGCATTTTGTTATAGCATTGTACCTGCATCCGGCCCTCCGTTAGTCGAATCACAAGCTGGAACTATACTCCGGTCAATAGAAAACAAGGTGATGGTTTCTTTTACCTATCTAGAGAAATTAGTAGATATGTCAACTTTTTTGTTTTGTGAAATAGGTTGGAAAATTGATCTGGGGAAAAAGTGCAAATCGAAGCTGTTGTGAGCAAAAATATATAGTGCGATATGCTGTAAAGCTGCACCATTTTTTCCCTTTTGTCAACGAGTTTAAGTAGAAAATCTAACCTGCAATCTAGACCATGCACTATAAGAATAATAGATCAATATATATTCGAGAAAAAAAATGAGAGATTACAGTCGAGTGCGCTATAAAAACAAAAACGACTGGCGATGTATAAGCTAGAGTGACGATCTTAGAAACATAATACATTCAAAGATTGGCTATCTTATATATGTAACATTGCCTTAATATGACAACAGGAGTCCAACAGCCGTTTTCACAAATTAAGCCTTTTTCCGCTTTCCCGCCACATTTTGCCGACCTATAAGATAGACAAATGTAGACAAATGCAAAGGGCATATCCGAGAGTGGAAAGACCAGAAAGACAGCACAAGCTTGACTATTCTTGTATAGGAACCTTGCCTAGGTGGAACCTGGTTATGGCTACATACTCATTTTGTATCGACCTTCCAATGTTGGAATACTATAACTAAGTAGTTTGACAATAATTGTTACACAGCTCCTTCTATGAACATCGGAAAGAAATTAAATAAAGAAAGATAGAAAACATATCTGCCTAAATGTATCCCATACAAGTAACATATATAGTAGGAGTTATCTATATCTGTGCTCCGGACGGAGTAAAGTGAAGAATTATAAGGCAATAAAAAGGTTTGCATTGTTTGTTTCGGAAAAACTCACAAATTTATTCGACCTCCGCCGGAGAATTGCCTCACTTGATCCCATTCTGATCTGCTATACCACATTTACCGAAAATACTCCAGATTGCTCAGTATGAATCAAGTTCAGATAACATGAGCAGAGAGCTATGGAGGAAATTACTATGGAAATGGGGGTCTTTCAACAATATTAACCGATAGCCGATCGACATTCGGCCCGAGAGAGCGGGCTAGGTTTTCCTAATTAAGACCGAGAAAGCAGTTTAACCCCCCCGGTTAAATCGAGTGCCCCTCGACTCCACTTTTTCGTTACTCCATACATTATCGTCGTGGGGTTGAACAATATGAGATCACCGGACTTTCCGGATTCGAGTATTAAAGTGGCTGTTCCCTCCTTGCGTTCAAGCTTTTCTTCTCTATTTTATTCCTCTTACCCCTCCTCATTACACAATGGCTTCCGCAACAGTCACCAAGACCAACATCGGTGTTTATACCAACCCGAAACATGACCTTTGGATCGCCGAGTCCACCCCCACAGCAGAGGACATCAATTCTGGCAAGAGCCTGAAGGCTGGAGAGGTCACAATTGAGGTACGCAGCACTGGTATTTGCGGATCCGATGTGCACTTCTGGCACGCTGGCTGCATTGGCCCTATGATCGTCACAGGCGACCATGTCCTTGGTCACGAATCAGCCGGCCAGGTTCTCGCTGTCGCCCCCGATGTCACCCACCTCAAGGTTGGCGACCGTGTTGCCGTTGAGCCCAACATTATTTGCAACGCCTGCGAACCCTGTCTGACCGGTCGCTACAACGGTTGCGAGAAGGTCGCTTTCCTGTCCACCCCACCTGTCGACGGCCTGCTCCGTCGTTACGTCAACCACCCCGCTGTCTGGTGCCACAAGATCGGTGATATGAGCTATGAGGACGGTGCTATGTTGGAGCCCCTCAGTGTGACCTTGGCGGCTATCGAGCGCAGCGGTCTGCGTCTCGGTGACCCACTCCTTATCACTGGTGCCGGTCCTATCGGTCTGATCAGTTTGCTCAGTGCACGCGCTGCTGGTGCCTGCCCTATTGTGATCACTGATATTGACGAGGGCCGCTTGGCTTTCGCCAAGTCTCTGGTTCCCGAAGTGCGCACCTATAAGGTCGAGATTGGCAAGTCAGCCGAAGAGTGTGCCGACGGTATCATCAATGCCCTGAATGACGGTCAGGGTTCTGGCCCTGACGCGCTGCGCCCCAAGCTGGCCCTGGAGTGCACCGGTGTCGAGAGCAGTGTCAACTCCGCCATCTGGAGTGTCAAATTCGGTGGCAAGGTGTTTGTCATCGGTGTCGGCAAGAACGAGATGACCATTCCCTTCATGCGTCTCAGCACCCAGGAGATCGACTTGCAGTACCAGTACCGCTACTGCAACACCTGGCCTCGGGCTATTCGCCTGGTTCAGAATGGTGTGATTGACTTGCGTAAGCTGGTTACTCACCGTTACGCCCTTGAGGATGCTCTCAAGGCCTTTGAGACCGCCTCTAACCCCAAGACTGGCGCCATCAAGGTGCAGATTATGAGCTCGGAGGAGGATGTTAAGGCTGCCACTGCTGGCCAGAAGGTTTGAACGAGAGTAAAAAGAAGCGGTATTTGAGAACATCAGCGGGTTTCTGGTTGGGATCAAGATTGGCCATTGGCGTTGACGATTTTCTTTTTTATATTCATGAATGATGTCTAGAGGATGCCCCTGGGCAGAATAGAAAGCCCATGAAGGGTATTTACAATTTCTGGTTGAACATGGTAGAAGCTGAAGAAGTACAATCAAGGTAGCGGGGGGACCTTGCAAGTCCCGAACATCTCACGTCATATTCGGCATTAAGTCGGGCTAAGCCTGGGGAAATAAGAGTAATATAAGAAAATGAATGAAGTAAAAAATGGGGACCCTGCCGCAAATCTCGAGCTATTGAAGCTACTTAGCTATGTACTCCACCTTGTATGGGCTTAAAATCGGAATTGACCGATCACAGCCAAGAGAAAGAACCCGGTGAATGCCCGTTCCCCTCACAAACTACAGATTTGGCCAATGTGATGACTCTCGCGCAACACTAGTTCAATGTGACAGAGAAGTCAATGTAATGTTATGCAATGCTTTTCAATCATGTGGTGTCTAGTATCCCCTTGCACATTGTAACACCCCGCATTTTAATCCAGACCAGTGCATCCTGCATTTAAAAGGGTCCCCTGGTCCTCTTATCAATCTACCTTCAGTGTATTCTGTTGTGTAGCTACTGCTGTGCTTCAGATGTTGTCAAACATGAAAGGCACATTGTTTCTCCTGGCTCCCCTCGTGGGTGCCGCTGTCTTGGGATCGACTTCTCAGATTGACAGTTGTCCTGGCTATAAAGCTACCAATGTGAAGCAGTTAGGCCAGAGATTGACGGCTGATCTCAACCTTGCTGGAGAGGCCTGTAACACCTATGGCACGGATCTTCCAAACTTGAAGCTCCTTGTAGAGGCGCAAACTGGTATGATAAAACATCCCATACTTCAACCCCCAAGTATATATGTATACTTACCATTATACTAGAAACCCGCCTTCATGTCATGATCTACGATGCAGATGAGGAGGTCTATCAAGTACCAGAATCTGTCCTCCCTAGACCGGAGAGCGCAAAGGGTCGTCAAAAGGAGTCTGTCCTTAACTTTGACTTTGAAGAGAATCCTTTCTCATTCCGAGTTCTGCGCGGAGAGGAAGTGCTCTTTGACACTTACGATACCAACATCATCTTCCAGTCTCAATACTTGAATTTGCGCACTTGGCTTCCTGATGATCCGAACCTGTATGGTCTGGGTGAACACAGCGATTCGCTGCGTCTGCCTACCACTAACTATACTCGCACTATCTGGAACCGTGATGCATATGGCATTCCCTCTAACTCCAACCTTTACGGTACTCATCCTATTTATATTGATCACCGCGGAGAGAAGGGCACACATGGAGTCTTCTTTTTGAACTCGAACGGCATGGACATCAAGATTGATAAAGCTGCCGATGGTAAACAATACCTCGAGTATAATACCCTCGGTGGAGTCCTAGACTTCTATTTCATGGCCGGTCCAACCCCCAAGGAAGTGAGCGAGCAGTACTCTGAGGTCGTTGGTCTTCCTGTTATGCAAAGCTACTGGACTTTTGGAGTATGTCATTTCTACAAATTTTTGAAATTGTATTCTAATGGACATTCTAGTATCACAACTGCCGATATGGATACCAGGATGTCTTTGATGTCGCCGAGGTAGTTTACAACTACAGTCGTGCTGGAATCCCACTCGAGACTATGTGGACCGACATTGATTATATGAGTGGCCGACGGGTATTTACTCTCGACGAAGAGCGATTCCCTATCGACAAGATGCGCGAGTTGGTTTCGTATCTCCACAAGCATGATCAGCACTACATTGTCATGGTAGATCCGGCTGTCAGTAACTCTAGTAAGTGTTATGATTACTGGTTCCTCTTCAATTCTGCTCTAACGATGAGTGTGTTACCAGATAACGGTGCTTTCAACCGAGGCCACGACCAGGGAGTCTTCCTGTACCGCGACGATGAGCAGAACGAACTCTACGAAGGTAAGTTCACCAAAGAAATACAACATTGACCATCCCTAATAGAATATCTTTAGGCGCCGTCTGGCCAGGCCTAACCGTCTATCCAGACTGGTTCAACAAAGACACACAGAAATACTGGGACTCAGAATTCAAGCGGTTCTTCAGCGCAAGAGACGGCGTTGACATCGACGGCCTATGGATTGACATGAACGAAGCTTCAAACTTCTGCCCATACCCCTGTACAGACCCAGCAAAGTACTCCGAGGAGAACAACCTACCCCCAGCGCCTCCACCAGTCCGACCGAATCCACGCCATATCCCTGGTTTCCCGGATAGCTTCCAGCCTGGATCTTCTTCATCTGGCTCTTCATCGCCCCGCGCGAAGAGAGGTGGCGCTACTATTGAGACACGTAGCATTAACGAGAAACGGAGCCGTGGTAAAAAGGGAAAGAAGGTTGGCTTGCCTGGCCGAGACCTTATTAACCCGCCTTATCAGATTGCAAACGAGGCTGGCTCGATTAGCAATAAGTCTATTGATACTGATATCATCCATGCTGGTGAGGGTTACGCCGAGTATGACACGCACAATCTCTACGGAACCAGTGAGTACCCTGTTGTTCATGATCGAAACCTTTCTAACACAACCTAGTGATGAGCTCGGCTTCTCGCGAGGCGATGTTGAAGCGTCGACCCCACGTGCGACCCTTGATCATCACGCGTAGCACCTTCGCCGGAGCAGGTTCCCAGGTTGGGCATTGGTAAGATCACACAAACCTCCTAAACCAGCCTGAGTACAGCTATACTAACCCATTCCCGAACAGGCTCGGCGACAATTTCAGCCAATGGGAAAAATACCGTGTATCAATTCCACAGATGCTAGCCTTCGCCTCGATTTTCCAAGTCCCAATGGTCGGCAGTGACGTCTGCGGTTTCGGCGGAAACACGACTGAAGAGCTGTGCGCGCGCTGGGCAATGCTCGGCGGCTTCTATCCATTCTATCGAAACCACAACGAGATCGGGGGCATACCGCAGGAATTCTATCGTTGGCCAACCGTGACAGAAGCCGCGAAGAAGATCATCGATATCCGCTACCGTCTTCTCGATTACCTGTATACTTCATTCCATCGCCAGACCTTGACGGGTACACCGTTCCTCCAGCCTCTTTTCTACGTCTACCCAGAGGACAGCGAGACCTTTGGTAATGATCTTCAGTTCTTTTACGGCGATTCCATTCTCGTCTCGCCCGTCTCAGAAGAAGGTGCTACCTCTGTCGACGCATATTTCCCCGATGATCTCTTCTATGATTGGTTTACTGGCGCAGCCGTGCAGGGCGATGGATCTGTGAAGACGATTAGCGAACTTGGTATTACGGATATCCCGATTCATATCCGTGGCGGGAGTATCATCCCGCTCCGTACGGAGAGTGCCAAGACCACGACTGATCTGCGTAAGCGCGGGTTTGAAATTCTCATTGCGCCTGATGCTGATGGGTCTGCGGGGGGTGAGTTGTATATTGATGATGGCGAGTCGATTCAGCCGGATAGTGCGGCGGAAATCGAGTTCAAGTACCGGGATGGTAAGCTTAAGATCATGGGTCGGTTTGGATATCGCCCCAATGTGATTATTGAGGCTGTTACGCTGCTTGGACAGAGGAATCAACCTCGGGATGGATATTCTCGGCATAGTGTTACCAAAAAGGTTCAGATTGAGTTGGATGGGCCTACCGAGGTGATTTTGTGAGTTTCGTATAGTTAGGGTTTATGAGTCGGGTGTTTTAGCGGGTTTTTCCACTTTCTTTACCGCCACCTTTTTTTTTTAGCCTCACTCAACTTGGCAACCCATGGAATCATTATGAATGTAAGCGAGCATCTGTTCCAGTGCTATTTTTTTTTCTATTTTTACTACACTGTTTATACTATTTTTACTCGGTCGTAAAGTCCAAATGACTAACTAACATTCCTGAGTCTGAGACCCCACGCAGTCAAGAATCACGTGTATGTTGTACATGAACATGGGCATAAATGTATAAATAATTATAAGCGTTTCAAAAAGCAAAACAATTTAAACCCCTTGCATGGCCTTGCATGAGAGAGGGGGGATGTTAGGGGAAGACACCCTTGAGATGTGTGAAAATTTCGACTTCAATTGGACGGATGAACTCTATCAGTACGGACTCCGTATCGAGACTAAAAGCGCTCAGAACTATGGACGGAGTATACCAAGTCAAGCGCTAGTGGACTATTCTAAGAGGAAAAGGTCTCACTCAGCCCACCTGGGCACTAGTTCAGGCACAGGCCGCTAGTTCCTGAGTCATCTGATGAGAAACCCGTGGACCCATCAACTTCGTGTAGGGAAATTGGTTATTATTAGTTCTGGGGGTTTTTTTTGAGGCAATTTTAACCGATATAGAATATATTGAAGACATTTGTCTATTGTAGAAAATGCCTTACTTGTATGTTGTAGACAGTGTCCCAAGTAGGACTATGGCCCGTGTTTCATGATTACATGGATGTGATAATATATTAATTTTCAAGGTTAAAACAGATTTCTAGTAGACCTCGGGAAGTATAACGGATAAATGTGGTTGGTTGGGATTGTAATATAAAAAGGGAAAAAGAAAAGAATAAGGCAACATCTTGGCGGTAAGCTTCAATGTTGGCACTTATTCTGTATTATTTACGGAGTACGGAGTATATATTACATTTGATCTTATATTATATTCAATATCTGAATTTTGATTTACTGATGTAACGACAATGTATATGTGATCATAATTATGGAATATGTAACATATGATCGGCTGATAGGTACAGTCCACTTTCAGCACATATAGTAGGGATCTACGGAGTACTACATACAATAATGTATTCATATACAAGTAAGATGTGTACCTAGGTATTGTATATTGTATACTTCATACAGTTACCATGGATATCTCCAGCCTCATCCTTGTCTCACAACCCATAAATCCAACCACATAAGGCTATCATCCCCACTTTCCCCAATGGAGGATCATTAGGATCCACTTTGACTGGACTGTCTGAGAGAGTCTTACCTTTTTGTCTCAGCATCTTTCGGGCTTGTCACCCGATGTCCAATCATCTTAATCGATGCCCAGGTGGTCACTCCCGCCTCCCTTTTATTTTATAGTGTAATATTGCTGTGGAGATGAGTAGATAAAGTGGTGCCTCCCAAGTTCCTTCCCATTTTAACATTCACTCTCGTTTCCACTTTCCCGCGTTACTTGACATATTTAATAACCCTTTCCCATTTGATTTCCCTCTTGTTTACATTTATTCACTTTCACTTCTCTTGACGCGTACATCACAATGCCGTCTTTCATGAAGTTTGCTGCTGCGGCTCTTGCCGTGGCTGCCCCTCTCGTTTCAGCTCAGACTTACTCTGACTGCAACCCAATGGAGAAAGCATGCCCTGCTAATAAGGGTTCCGCTGCCAACTTGCACTTCGACTTCACCAAGGGTGATTCCCTCGATCAGTGGAAGATCAGTGGTGGTAAAGTTCCCACCGGCGCTAATGGTGCTGAGTTCACTATCAACAAGGAAGGAGATGCTCCTACCCTTGTCAGCGACTTCTACTTCTTCTACGGTGAAATGTCTATGGAGATGAAGACTTCTCATGGCCAAGGAATTGTCAGCTCTGCCTTCTTGCAATCAGATGACAAGGATGAGATTGACTGGGTTCGTGATAATCTCACAGACTAGACTGAAATAATTACTAACTGAAATATAGGAAGCACTGGGTGGAAGGGCTGATACCATTATGACCAACTACTTCGGAAAGGGCGATACCTCGACCTATGACCGTGAGACTTGGGTGCCTGTCTCCGCCCCTCATGATACTTTCCACACCTACACCATCCAATGGAGCAAGGACACTGTCAACTGGTTGATCGATGGTGCCATTGTCCGCACTCTCAACTACAAGGATGCCCAGGGTGGTGCTCGTTTCCCCCAGACTCCTATGAACATCCGTCTTGGTATCTGGGCCGGTGGTGCTCCTACCAACCCCAAGGGTACCATTGAGTGGGCTGGTGGTCTTACCGACTACTCCAAGGGCCCCTACTCCATGTACATCAAGAGCGTCACTGTTAAGAACGCCAACCCCGCCGAGTCTTACACTTGGTCCGACAAGTCTGGCTCCTCCGACAGCATCAAGTTCACCGGTTCCGGCTCCGTGAGCTCGCGCAGCACCACCACTGAGGCTGCTACCAGCTCTTCTGAGGCTGCCTCTTCCACCACCAAGTCTCCTTCCACTACGACCGACAAGGATACTTCTAGCGCTACCACTACTCTGGCTACCAAGACCTCCAGCTCCTCGTCTGCCGAGTCCACCGCCGCTTCTTCCTCCGGTGCTGCCAGTTCTTCCAGCTCTGGTGCCTCCCCCAGTGGCTCCAGCGGCTCTGGCTCTGGTTCCGGTTCCGGTTCCGGCTCTGAATCTGGCTCTGGCTCTGGATCTGGCTCCAGCCCCTCCTCGGGTTCTGGCTCTTCCACTAGTGCCAGCGCGAGCGCCAGCCCTAGCTTCAACGCTGCTGCTTCTGTTGTTGCCAGCTACATGGGACCTGTGTCCCTCCTGGGTCTGGTGACTGCCATGCTGCAGCTTTAAATGTCCCTTTCAGCGCTGTGATTTTTTGATGCATCATTAATGGAAACGCGCCTCGAAAGAGGATACTGGGCTGGACCGGGTATGATAATGGTTCATGGATGCGATATCTTTTTGTTTTTTTTTCTTTTTCGGATTGTACCAAATTTTCCCCCTTTTTGTCATTGGTGCTCAAATGCCTGCAGTCTATTAGGACTGCCCGGATGTGTTGATTGGCACACTCCGGTAGCATGGCGATTTTTGGGCGGACATCATGTATCTATCCGCACACATACCTTTGCCATCGAGCAAATATGCAATAATACGAAGTCATTTGACTCTACGGAGTACTTAAATTCATCATTGTCCCCATTGTAGCCTGAAATCTAGATATCTCACCGCATTTTTCCTGTGGATTCGCTGTATATTGCCATTGTGTTCGTATTTCATCATTCGCACTGCATCCACGTGGGTCCTATGCATGTCCTTTTCAAGTTTTGGCTTTAGGTTATTCGATACATTTCCAAGTATGCATAAACCGCCACCGGCCAGGAATAGCATAGATATCTTAACACACCGGGAAATGGATTGCTGCGAACCATGGATCGAGAGATAATTGTAATGGATCTCGATTTGGATTGGCTGATAATAAATTGTACTGAAATGTGAGTAGTAAGATTGGTTGATCGAGCGATGAATGTGTAGTCGAACCATGGACGAATATTTACACATTCCAACCTTCCAAGGTTAGAAGGTTGGAAGGTTCATTCATGGAGTAGGTATGAATTGTTGGTTTAATTTGTGTTCCTTGTATTCATATAAAAAAGTATGGTAAAATACTGTCATGGCTCATTATTGCATCAAACATTGAACTCATTTCATCTTGGATAACATCGTCCAAAGTCAAAAAAAGAAAAAAAAAGAAATAGTCCAAAACATTACGGTAACTACGGTAATACCAACTCTCGGACCCTCAAAATCAGATCTTCCCCTCAGCGCCCCAGCCCCCTGTGGAGACCTTAATTCACCAAGTGGACCCAGCCCCAGTCGCACGCTGCACATCTTTCAATTGGCGTGATAACCGCAATACCGAGTCAGCAACGGGACGATGGTGCGTGGCCGCGACCCTGAGGAGAGCAAGAGTGGCGGGCCGGGGTGTGTGTGTGGGTTCAGTGGATGCGGTGGATGCAGTGGATGCGGCAGACGATGACGACTCAGTCACAACAACCGGATTGCCATCTGCAGCTCCTGACGATCGCGCCCGGAACAAATATGCCCCGAACGGTAGCGGGAGCGAGTCGAGCATGGAATATAGTCCGCTGCTACTGTCGTCAGAAGCGTACTTGTGGAAAGTTGGACTTCGTCGTTCTTCGCGTGCTACGATGCCGTCCACCGCTTCGAGGTGGTCGTCTAGTGTTATGAAGCGCGTGTTGAGGGAGTCTGCTTTGCTGCGGATTTGCGAGCGCAGTCGGTCTAGGTACTCTTCGCGTCGTCGCATTTGCGTCGCGAGTCGTGTGTCTAGAGCGGCTGTGCCGGTTATTTCGGTTGGTGGGCGTGAGGCGAGGAGGCTGTCGATTGCTGAGCGCAGGTCTGCGCGTAGAGAGTCGAATTCCCATACTGCTGTTTGGACGGCTTGGTTGCTGCCGGTGAATTCGAGATCTAGCGCGTTGCGAACCTCTGGGAAAGTTGATTTTAGTTGAGATTCTAGGTCGGCGAGCATGCTTTCGCTTTGCTTGAGGATTGCGGATAGAGGTGTGAGGGTTTCAAGGGCGGTGTCGAAGATGGATTCCAGTTGGCGCTGGGAGTTTGCGAGGGTTTCTTCCGGGGGTATTGCCGAAGGGTGGAAGGTGCTGCGCGGTGGGTATGTCGTGGGGAGGGTGATGCAGCTGTTGGGGTAGAGAGTCTTGATGGTTGATATATAGCAGAGGTCTTTGGCTTGGTAGACGACCTCGGGAAGAACTAGTAGGTGTAGGATGATGGCGATCAAGATCGCGTTGATTGCATTGCGGGCAAGGGTAGCATGGCTACGAAAGATGGACTGTGGTTTGACAACCAGGCCTGCTTCATTGGTGGTCGTCTCTGCAGACGAACCGGCGTCTGCATTCTCAGCTTTAGCGCCGGTCCGGTCCTGTTCTCGCTGCTTTGCACCATTCGGCGTGGAAACTTTGCGTCGTTTTCTCATGCTTTCTGAACCTTGCTGTTTTGGAGTCCGCACATATTCCACCCATGACTTCTCTAGGTTAGGCGTTTCGCAGATAGAAGGCATGATCAGCTCCGGGCCTGATATGGTCCATGATGATGACGATGAGGATGCCAGTGACTCCGATGCCGGGTCGGCTGTCTTTGTGGTCGCTTTTATGCTTTCATGCCGGGTATTTGGAGTTTTGGTGGGGTCATTTTCTTTCAAAGAAGCAGTTGATGCTATGACCCAGGATTCGCCAAGAGCTGGGCGATCTGGGATACGAGGCTGTTCTGTAGACATGGCGTATAAACATCTCAGCAAGACACTGTGCACATTGTGTAGTTGTTCTGTAGCTAATATATCACGATTCGGAGTGTTTCAAATGTTTTGAATGCGACTGGCTTAAGTAGATCGTTGCACGCGTAAAGCGGTGGGGAAGAAAGATCGGAGAAACCGCGGCGGCCGAATAAGTGAGAATCTTCAACCATGCGCTCATTGCTTCGCCTGAGACCGTCCCTAACGCCTTGCGTTAGATCTTTGCCATGGCAAATTGCACGATCGCGATCGTTGTCATACACAGCGATTCGGAAATGCTCGTGTTCTGACAAACCCGAAGCTCCAACAATACCTCCCACCGACCATCGAGCTCTCGGGACCGCCCAAGAGCTCTTCACATCTTCAGTTTACAGCCCCGGATCTCCTCTATTCCTCCCGAATGGCACACATGTTGTCAACAAGCTCATCTCCTTCCTCCGCACCCAATATCTACAATATGGCTTCCGGGAAGTCTTAACCCCGACCATCTACAAAAAGTCGCTCTGGGAGATTTCAGGCCACTGGCAGAACTATAAGGATGATATGTATGAGGTGACCGGACGAGGAGCTAGCGGTGAGGCGGAAGGCGAGATAGGAGAAGATGAGTCCTACGGACTGAAGCCAATGAACTGTCCTGGCCATTGTCTCCTCTTCAAGTCGCAGAATCACTCCTACCGCGACATGCCGGTGCGCTATGCAGACTTCAGCCCGCTGCACCGCAACGAGGTATCAGGATCACTGACTGGTTTGACGCGTGTGCGCCGTTTCCATCAGGATGATGGGCACATATTCACTCGCCCGCAGCAGATCAAGTCAGAGATCAAATCAGCGCTGGGATTTGTGGATATGGCTATGAAGACCTTCGGACTCGGTCCGTATCGATTGGTCCTGTCGACTCGACCCGAAGAGGATTACATTGGTACATTGGAGATGTGGGATAATGCTGAGATGCAATTACGCGAGGCTCTGGATAGCACCGGACGCGAATGGGCGCTGAATGAGGGCGATGGTGCGTTCTACGGCCCCAAGATCGACATCCAGCTCCAGGATAAAGCTGGAAAGTACCACCAATTGTCTACTATTCAATTGGACATGAATCTACCACAGCGATTTGAGCTGGAGTATCAAGTTGCAGAGAGTGAGCCAGACTACAATCCAGCCACACCCGGAGTTGCAACTCCAGTTTTGATTCACCGCGCCATTTTCGGCTCATTAGAACGATTTTTGGCATTGTTGATTGAAGAGCATGGTGGTCACTGGCCATTCTGGCTTTCTCCGCGCCAGGCAATTATCCTGACAGTTAACCAAGACGATGCTGTTGTGCGCCAGGCTCAGGAAGCGGCAGCCAAGTTCGCTGGTTTCCGCGCACTGGTGGATGATGGTACCGCTGAGTCGCCCCGTCCATTGTCCTCTGTCGACTCTACATTCCTGGTTGATGTCGATACCAGCGCACAGACCTTGAGCAAGAAGATTCAGCGCGCCAAACAGATGAAGTATAATCTCATCTTCATCCTCGGCTCACGGGACTTGGCCGATGGTGGCATCACTGTTGATGTCACTGGGCAGATGCAGAGCAAGACGGATAAAGATGCTCAGACATTGCAGGCGCTGATCAAAGCCAGACTAGGCAATGACGCGCTGAAGAATCCTCGAGCTGTCAAACTTAGGGTGGAGGAGGTTCACCCGCTAATGGTCGAACTCGAGAAGAACTTTGTGTAACTTTGTATAACTTTGTATGTTGTATAACATGTGTGTTGTCATTTTGAGCGTGCTTAACTACACTTTTCTTGTTTTACTCCTATTCTTGTACAACAATATCAGACCGATCTTTCGCCGAATCCAAGTTCTATTGCACACCGATTGATTGATATTAACAAATGCCTGCGGCTAGCCGCGGAGTATAGAGCCTCAGGCAGCAATATCTCCGATGTTCGGGGTCCTCTAAGAAGACGGGGACAGTATATATTCGTCGTAAATGGCTATTAAGTGATGGTAAATGCAACATAATTGATATAAATTGACACCTGCAAATCCCTGCAGATCTACCAGCATCATCTCAGCCTCATTATTAAACCAATTGTGGCCCAACGCCCCCAAATTCGATCAAAGTATATATCACGTGCCTCCGCTGTCGGCGCCGAAAACTCGGCGTCATTGACGGGCCCATTTGAGTCACAGCATATTTCCCTAATCTTATTTGCTCTCCTTTTCTTCTTTTCTATAAAGGAATCATCCTGTCCATATTTTGGAAGTCAATTCTTTTTTCTTAATTCAAAATCCTGAATCTGCTTGGCTTAACTATACTATTTCCCTTTAATCGCCTCTTATCCACTTTCTCCCCCGCGGTACCCCGCCAACATGCCGATGTATGTTGAAATGACTCTCCGATTCGGTTTACATGCTAACATTCTGAAGGCTCAAGGATCCCTCAAAAAAGTACAAGGCTTTTAAGCCGCTGAATGTACCAAATCGCCAATGGCCTAACAAAGTTATTGATAAGCCTCCTCGGTGGCTGGCAACCGATCTGCGTGATGGCAACCAGTCTCTGCCGGATCCAATGGTATGATATGATATATCGTTCGCTACTGTTTCCCAAATTGACGTGATTGGATCTGTAGGATGGCGAGCAAAAATACCGTTTCTTCAAGATGCTTGTCGATATTGGCTACAAGGAAATCGAAGTGTCTTTCCCGTCCGCATCGCAAACTGATTTCGACTTTACCCGCCGTCTGGTTGAAGAGCCCGGCCTCACACCCGATGATGTTGCTCTGCAGGTCCTCGCCCCCTGCCGTGAGGATCTCATCCGTCGCACAGTCGATTCCCTGAAGGGCGCCAAGAAGGCTATCCTCCACATCTACCTCGCAACCAGCCCCTGTTTCCGTCGGATCATCTTCAACATGGACCGAAAGCAAAGTCTGGAGATGGCCGTAAAGTGCACAAAATACGCTCGCTCTATCACCAAGGACGACCCCTCTCAGGCTGGTACAGATTGGCAATTTGAGTTCTCCCCCGAGACTTTCTCGGATACCGAGCCCGAGTTCGCTGTGGAGGTCTGCCAAGCTGTTAAGGCTGCCTGGGGACCGACTGAGGATAAGCCCATCATTTTCAACCTGCCCGCCACGGTAGAGATGGCCACCCCCAACGTCTTTGCCGATCAGATTGAGTACTTCTGCACAAATATGACTGAGCGCGAGAAGTTCGTTGTTTCAGTTCACCCGCATAACGATCGTGGTTGCGCCGTTGCCGCAGCTGAACTTGCACAGATGGCTGGTGCCCAGCGAGTAGAGGGTACTCTGTTCGGCAACGGTGAGCGTACCGGAAACGTGGACCTGGTCACTCTCGCCCTGAACCTGTACACACAAGGTGTCTCCCCAGGCGTCGACTTCTCAGATATCAACTCCGTCATCAAGGTGGTAGAGGAGAGCAACAAGATTCCCGTTCACGAGCGTACTCCCTATGGTGGTCAGCTCGTGGTGTGCGCATTCTCCGGAAGGTTTGTTTTCCAGTTCTTCCCAAGTGTATTATATGTTTTTCTTTTTGCTAACCTGTTTTGAAATCCAGTCACCAAGATGCAATCAAGAAGGGCTTCAAGCTGCGCCAAGATGGCGGAGGTGCCGACGAGGAAACCGAATGGCAAGTCCCGTACCTGCCGCTTGACCCTCAAGATATCGGCCGTACCTACGAGGCAGTCATCCGCGTCAACTCCCAGAGTGGTAAGGGTGGTGCCGCCTGGATTATCCTGCGCAGCCTGGAGCTGGATCTCCCCCGCGCGCTGCAGGTCGAGTTCAGCAAGATCGTGCAGGAGAAGACCGAGGCTGTCAGCCGGGAGCTGAAGCCCACTGAGGTCGTCAATCTCTTCGAGGAGGCCTACCACCTCAAGTCAAACCCCCGCTTCACCCTTGTCGACTACAGCATCACCACCGACCGCTCGCAATCCCCTGCTCCCCCCGAGCCCGGCAAGGCCCTCAACACCAAGAACCTCAAGCGTCGCTTCACTGGTATCATCGAGATCGACAACGTTCAACATGCCATCACCGGTGTCGGCCCAGGTGCTATCTCCTCCCTGGCCACCGCGCTTTCTACCCTTGGTATCGATCTTGACGTGCGTGACTACAAGGAGCACTCCATTGGCCGCGGTCGTGATACCAAGGCTGCTACATACATTCAATGCACAGCAGCCGGCAGCAATCAACAGGTGTGGGGCGTTGGTATCCACCAGGATGTGGTCCAGGCTTCTCTGATTGCGCTGCTCAGCGCCGCCAGCTCGGTAAGATTTGGTCTTTGATTTGTCTGTATCTCACCACTAACATATGTTTAGTTCCTCACCTCCCGCGCTGGTTCTCCTGCTCCTTTCCGTCCCATCCGCTCCAACACCCTCACTGACGAGGACATCCAGGCCCTCGAGCAGCTGGCCGGCTCTCCTGAGGCTGCCACATCTAACGGCGGTCTGAGCGTCAAGGTCAACATTGATCAGCTGACAAAAAAGGCTGAAAATTTGTAAATAATCCAAAAAACAAAAGTCTAAAAGTGATAGCAATAATGTGAATACCATGATCAATTTTGAATCTAGCATTGACTTGACTGAATATATTTGTTAAGAGTAGCATCGAGGCTCACCACCCAAACAAATCATCCAACCAGCCCCTCTTTGCACTGGCCCCATAAGAATTGAACTTTTGCGGCCCCTCCGCCGAAATAATATACCCTTTCTCACAAGACGAGAACGAAACCTTCGGCTGATTCGCGTAGAAGGTATCGAAGCCGGAGTCCAGCGCATCAGCAAGACTGTTCACTTTACCGGCTGGATGCAGTTGCTTCCAGGGGTATCGACATGAATCGCCTTCGCAGGACTTGAGGACGAGCATCAGTGCATCTAACCGCGCTATGATTTGTGGCAGTTCACGATTTGCAATCTTGTAGGAGTGTTTGGCAGGGTGTGTGCCTAGATTCACAGTTTGATGGGGGTCGCTCTGTTTTAGGGGTTT